CCATTTAGCAATATTCTGCATACTTATTACCGTTTATGTACAAATGTAGGTTTTTTACTTTGAAATGTCTTGGAGCAATCCGTAATTGCTTTGATTAGTGTAAAATGAACTAGTGGGTTGCGTTACCTATAATTGATATAAAATCATTGAAAGGTAATTGAGGTAATTTAAATTAAATTGTGCACGAATAATACAAATCGCAAAGTACGTTTACATTTTAGACTAGAAATAGATATTAGAGTTAGAAATTGATTTACTAGGGGTCGCTCAACAACTGATGCGGGTGTTCAGTTCGTTATGAATATTTTTGAGGCCTGGGAAGAGTCTAAGTATGCCTTAGGTATATTTTTTGTCTTAACCAAAGCTTTCGATTGTGTACAGCATGAGACCCTGGTCAGGAAACTACGCCATTATTGTATAAGAAATGCCGCACTCAATCTTCTGAAATCGTACAAGAGCCATGGAATTCAGAGAGTTGACGTGAATGGCAAAAGATCTCCCGGGGCCCCCGTAAGTATGGGGGCCGCCGCAGGGATTTATTCTTTGGCCCTTTCTCTTCCTCATTTACATAAATAATCTAGTTAATAATAATCATGAGATAGTATTATTTGCTGATGATACCTCTTTAATTTTTAAACTAAAACGACGTTCTGTAAATTATGACAATGTAAACAATACTCTATCCACTGTAGTACGTCGATTTAGTGCTAATAATCTACTGTTATCTACTGAGACGTGGTCTCTAAATGTTGGCCTATTGGAGAAGCTCAAAGTCACACAACGAGCTGTGAAGAGAGCCATGCTCGGAGTTTCTTTGCACGAAAAAATCCGGAATGAGGAAATTCGCCGAAAAACCGGAGTCACTGACATAGCTCTCCGGATCTGCAAATTGAAGTGGCAGTGGGCAGGCCACTGATGACCAATGGGGAGTAAAGGTTCTCGAGTGGCGACCACGAACCGGAACACGTAGCGTTGGAAGGCTGTCGCCGGTTCTTCTCAGTACAGTGGCTTTCTTTTCCGAACCGGTGATAGTATTTTGACTATCCATAAGCAAGTGTAATACTCATATGTTGAATAAAGATATTTGATTTTGATTTTGATAATATAATTAAGGAAGGAAACCGAAAAGATTTTCATTGACTTGTCTTGTAGCAAATCTCAAAAGCGTTAAACGCAATTTTTGAGACATATTTTCTTTACGACGTAAGCTGCCGCCATTTTTTGCGAATTTAACAAATATTTATTTTACTGATTTATATTTTGCAAAAGTAAAGTAAGGTAACAGCCTCTACATGTCCCACTGCTGCTCCTCTATATAGACGGTATCAGGGCATAGTCCACCACGCGGCCCCATGGCGGATTGGCGGGCTGCACATATCTTTCTTTTTCTTTGTTATTATTTCGAAAATGTGCAGGTTTCCTCACGATGTTTTCCTTCACCGCGGAGCACGTGATAAGTCAGCACTTAAAGTTAAAAACTTCATTGGTGCCGGCACCGGGGATCGAACTCAGGTTGGCCGAGTATATTGAATTAAAGGCGAGCGCCCGGACACTAGCTAGAGAGCTAGCAGAGCTATCACGGCTATATTTTGTAACAACACGAAAAATGAGTTAGACTAACTATAAATGTATTTCTTAAGACAACGCATCGAAATAGAGTTGCAAAGAAAGGGTACATTATTCGTACACGCTTAAATGGATTTTTCTTTTAAAATGTCTTACTGTTTCAAGATAACATTGAAATCTAGTTTGACAAAATCGGAAAAATTAGCAAATGTTCAACTATATGCCTCATTGTTCAGCTATTAAATGTCACTGTCATAAAATCGGAATTCCTTATAATCGATTGAGTGACCGCGATACGAAAAAATACGTTGACATAAGCATAATTTCGGATCGAACGTGATAAACGCAGAAACGTATGCAATAAATTATAAAAGAAGGTCGCTGCTGAAGGTTTCCGTTTAGTTTGTAGTAATTGTGTGACTAATTCTTGTTTTCATATTTATGTTTAACGAATATATTGACAGAGGACGTGGCTCTAATTAAAAGTAATCGATAATCAAAACTTCAAACCTGTCAAAGACCAAGTGGTGTATTGAAGTAGGATTTATGCAATACAAGTAATTTCGTTTCGTATGCTGCAAAGATTTTCTATACCTACAATTGTTAACGTTTTTTCTTAAATAATAAAATAAAGGAAAAATGTATATTAAGAACCTGTATACGAGTAGAACGGTAGAAGAGGCGGTCAGTAACACGCAGGGCCGGATTAAGAGGTCCGGAGGCCTCGGAGCAACAAAGGAGTGGAGGCCCCTGGGCCCAAATTATTTTTTTTTGTCAATACAAATGAAATTTTACATTATTTCCAAACAAAGTGAACAATTTTTTTTAGTCGAGTTTTCCAATAAATAATTTATTGTGAAACATATAAATATAAATATGAAAGTAAAAGTTGTTAACTAGTGTTTACTAGTCTCAATTTGATTTTTTTTTCCGAAGTCTCTATTGTGGGCCCTCTTGTGTCTCTTGTGGAGGTCCCAGGGCTGTAGCCCCGGTTGCCCTCCCCTATATCCGGTCCTGGTAACATGAAAGGTCTGCCGAGTCTTTAACTACAGAATAGGGGTGGTTCGTATAAAGGAGTATACGCCAATTGCCATATTGTGACAGATTTAACTGACTTTTTTAAAAGTTCATCTGCAAGTATTTATTTACAAAAGAAAAGTATGTTTAGATGTTTATCAGTTTTCTAGTACCCATAGTACAAGTTTTGCTTAGTTTGGGACTAGAGAATGTTGTGTAAAAATGTGTCCTAAAACAATAAAAACAAAAACAAAGCCCCCAGGTAATTTACAATTCCATGGGCGGTGGTCTTCGCTTGTGTTATATAGTAATTTATACTACATTGCGTTGAGTATAGCATTTATGATGAACCTTCCATCACAGGCCTTACTAACTAGTCTCTTTTTGCCTCAGTGGACATTGTGAGTTTTCAAGCCAACAATGAATAGACTTTGCTAGCTTTGGGCTGATGTACTTATCACTAGAGTCTACTTGTCTGCTTACGATGAGATAATATCCAAGTAATAACAATAACTACAATAATCAATATGTTAGTATGAAAAAAAGAAATGCCTGAGTATCGTGGAACATTATTGATAAACGTAGTGTTTGGCTTTAAGGCCGCCTTTTTACGGTTTATGCATAAAGTATAAATAAATAAATATATTTCCAATAACTAATATATTTATCCCCTGTGCCAGTACTTTGTTTGTGAACAAGACATTAAATTAAATGGTTAACGGTTTAATTTAACAATTTGAAATTATGGGTAAAAAAGTTGATATTGGTTGTCATGGTAGTTTCGTGACGGAAAATTCTTACAATGTTTTTCGCCTAGCCCCCATCCGCCAAATCCGTCAAACACCGTACGCTAGGGAGCTTCGTTCCGAAAAATTGAACAAATCATAAGGTTCAAAGCCCGAAAAACATGACCTTTAATATAAAAAAAGTGTCACAATCGAATCGGAAAGTTTAATGGCGAGCTTATCGTGCGTTCACTTTTATATTTGCGAACTTCGTTGTCAAAACAAACTCCTTCTTGGGACGTTGCGAAATCTCGCCCGCTGCCAGCGAGACGGTTGGCGTTCAAGGTTGGCGGGACGTCAGGCCTTACATAATTCCTCTCAGCGAGGCTGGTCAACCCGCTACTGTGAAGTAACACTGAGTCACTGGCGATTTCACGCACTGACCTTCGCTAGCGGTGTTTACTTTGAAACGGCGTGTTCACTTTGTTCACTCGGCTCAGCGGCAGTGGTACCGACTGTTCAAAAAAAAATCTTTTGAAGCAATTCAAAAACCCACTAAAATTCACTAAATTCAAACCAAACCCGCCAAAATTAGAAACATTTATAAAAATTTTTGGATTGAATTTACCTCCAAAAAAGCATCCATTGCAAATTTTTTCTTCCTAAATTTAGGAAGAAAATTCCTAAACTTAGGGAGAAAAAAATGGCAATCGAAAAAGGCACAGAGGTACCGTAGCTCGTTTCCTGTGCGTTACAATTTTTCAAGCAGTGTTTGTCGATGTGTTTCCTTTAAAGCAAACGACCATTTTTAGGATTCTGTACCCGAAGGGTAAAATGGGATACTATTAATCCGCTGTCTGTCCGTCTGTCGCCAGGCTGTATCTCTTAAGACGTGATAGATGGATAGTTAAAAATTTCACAGATGATTTATTTCTGTTGCCGCTATAACAACAAATACTATAAAACAGGTAAAAATATTTGAGTGGGACTCCCGTACAACAGACAAGACTTTTTTGCCGTTTTCATAGATCCGCGAGTCCGACACGCACTTGGCCGGTTTTTAATTTTAATTCCCGACGTTTCGACTCCATATGAGCATTGACGGCGAGGGTGTTGATACCACTCCCCCCGGTAGAACCAGTCCACTCTTGCAGCGAAAAAAGTTTATCCTTACACTGAAATAAATGGCTACCTTATCATTATTTTTAATTATCTGCATTATAATTCAAAACTGCTAGCAATTATTTAGTCGCAATATTTATTGAGACTTCAATTCCAAAAAAAAAGGAAACAGTAGATAATTTAATTTTAATTGCATTTATTGACGTATTCACATTTTAATGCATATAGGATGAAGTATTTTTGATACGAGACGACTAATAAAATGAAACATAAGTTTTCGTAACAATAGTTTGTTATTTCCTCAAACTTAATTCCACATTACAAACAATGTTTGTGTATATATTTCATAATATTCCACTAATAAAATTTGTGTTCTTAACACAGAAATTTTATTTTATATAAGGGAATAAAATAAATAGTACAAGCTATTATGATGATTCCCAGGTGCAGTTGCCAAGTGGCTTCGGCGTCGAGGGTCGTGGGTTCGATTCCCATACGGGACAACTATTTGTGTGACCTACAGATAGTAGATACAATGTTTTAGAATTATATGTATATGTCTTGTTCCAGGTTTGTTCATCCTGCTCATGCTTGGTTTCTTTGCCGTGGGAACGGGCTGTTTCATATTGTTCCTGCATCCTTATGACTTCTTCTTCAGCCAGGTGAGTTACACCGCGCGATATCTGTCAACTGATTAAAAGGGTATTCATTTTGTCGGTTAGTTTTTGATGTAAATTGTTTTTATTCGTAATTTTGTAGTCGTTTAAGTGGTGACAGCCCCTCATAGACGTTTCAAAAACAAATAGGGTTGCAGATGCTTCGACAACTTTTAATAAAGTGGGCCCCAGCTCGCACACCAGACGAAACGCAGAAATACAACCCTTCCATTTCACGCCGATCTTCGGTGACGTCGTGATACTTCACGACGTTCGCGCCGCAGCGAAGACTGTTACGTGACTGGCGTGAGGTGGCAACGCATCTACAACCCTACAGGTGTGGCAAATGTCCATGAGCGTAACATCGGGCTCGCCTGCCACCTTCTCACGTAAAACAAATTGTGTACTATATTATGTAAGCACGTAAGAAATTATACTTTTGTAGCGTAACAAAAGAAAAAGAGTATTGGGGTTTGTGTGCGCGCGCATCGTTAAAAGTTTACAATCCATATTTTTTTCTAAACGCGCCAAAAAAGTATGACTTCAATAATAAAGGATAATTTTAAAATTATGCTCGTTCATTTGTCCCCTTATCTTTAATTACATATTGCTTACTAGCTGCTGCCCGCGACTACGTCTGCGTAGAATAAGCTGAAGGCGTAACATTCAGACAGAAAGACATAAAATGATACATATTTTATGTATATCTGTCTTTCTGAATATAGCCAGAAAATAAAAAGAAAATGAATAGCCCATGCCTTATTCTGATGTATAAGCTATAATATTGTAAAGTTTCATTAAAATCCATTCAGTAGTATTTGCGTGAAAGAGTAACAAGCATCCATCCATACATACAAACTTTCGCCTTTATAATATTAGTAAGGATAATATCTCGCACAGAAAGCGTTGCTAGAGGATGGGGGCGAAATCTTCGAGATGTGGAGGAAACCTGAGGTGAAGCTGTACTGCCGAGTGTATCTCTTCAACATCACCAACGCCGAGGAGTACATGTCGGGGAAGGACAGCAAAGTGAACGTCCAGGAGGTCGGGCCCTACGTCTACCAGTAAATACTCTTGTCTTTATAATTTTTGAAACTGTGTTACATATAGTATTTTAATTAAAATTTGTAGAAAAAGTACGAAAAGATTGTCGCCGCTGTGGGAATCGAACCCACGTCTTCGGCATTCGCGGCCTGACGCTTTAGCCACTAAGCTAAACGGCTGATTGCCACACCGGCGAAGATCTTAACGTCTTTTATCTACATTGTTTTTTTTAGCATTTGATGCAATTCTACACATTTTAATTTACAATCTTAAGCGCAGAGATTAGCACTATAACAAAAAAATATATAATTTAGATATTTAATTTCCACAAGTTGACCCGACAGACGTTGTTCTGTACTCACGACTTAAATCCGACAAGTTATAAATAATAAAAAAAAAATCATAGTGGACCGAATTGTACATACATACGAAGTGGGGAACTAACCGCGCAATTTTCAGGGAGGGTCTGGAACATGAAGTGCTACGCTTCAATGACAACGGCACCCTCTCAGCAATCCCGAGGCATCCTCTCACTTGGGTGGAGGAGTTGTCCGAGGGCCACAAGGAAGACGACATACTATATCTACCGCATATCGCTTTGCTGGTGAGTACCGCTATTACTGTTGTGTTCTAGCAACAGTCTACGAGTATACAATAAGCGAATGATGGTCGTTTGCAAGGGTTCAGTTGGTGGAAGACTAACGATAATCCCATTTAAACTTTAATCTTCTTATATGAAAAAGGCAAGCGAGCGGGCGGTTCACATGATGTTTCGGGAAAACTGCCGTCCAACCTACAATAACTAAACTAAATTAGCAGATGTGTTGCCAGCATTAAAAAATGTAGTAATAGCAGTGGTAAATAACAGTAGTACCTGCGTAGCCCTACCGCACGAAACTAATAGCGACTGAGAGTGTACATTTGATAATACTGCCAACCCTAAAGCAAATTGCTTTTGAATAGGTTAACAGAATCTTGCAATATTTCAATCAGTCTCGAAACCGGGCGCACGATTAAGCAATACGTCACTGCGTTATAAGTCATTGACAATACCAACCTTCGATCGGAACTTTTTTAATAGAAAAAGATAGGAACGAAATTAATTTAATCTAACTGTGGTATGACCACGCAACAGCCCTCGCTGTTGCAAGAATGGACAGGTTGAATGGGTAGCAAATGTTAACATTTAACATCAGGTGAACCACCAGGTCGCTTGCCACCTTCTCACTTAAAAAAGAAGAATCTCGAGTCATTCGGGCAAGTTGATTTTTTTCTTTAGCAGGACAAGAAAACATGCATAATTTGAAAAGTTACTAGCATATATGAAATTGCGCTACCTTAGTGTATCTATTTATAACTATAATGCGCATTTGTTTTCAAAGAAAATAATTTCGTTAAGAAGTAAAGTTGTAACTTAAAACTTTAAAATAGCTACGCGTGAACGAGTTTCTTGACCAAATATTTTATTGAAGTGACGTTCCATCGAAAAATACTAAACGAAAAATACTTAAATACTGCCAGTGAGTTTTTTCAGTTTTCAGAAGTACATAACACATTTGAATATGTAAATTTGAAAGAAAGAAATATTTATTTGGGACATAATAAACAACATAAAATAAATAAATTACAATTAAAATTTAAACAACAATGCACCAAAAAGGTGCGATTGCTGGTTTTCAGTGGAACCTGGAGAGATGATGACTTTAACTATAATAACATATAATTTAACAACAACAGATAATTAATAAACATAACAACAACTTAATTTAACGCCTGTTCGTATGTGTGTGTGTGTGCGTAATTTTTGTAAATGATTTGTAAGTGGTAATGCTTTTGGAATTCTTTATGTTGAATTATGGGAAAATAAAAATAGAAACAAGGGAAAGAAATAGATAAACTTTAAGGTTTCAAGTGCCGGATTTTTGCATTGATTTTAGAAATGCTTATAATTTAGCTTTGAAGGAATGAATAAATTTCTTTGCTTAACAGAATAGTTTTCTCACTTAATAACTAAAAAGCGAAATATGTGTATTTCATTATTAACTTTTTTTAATTATAAAAGTTGACAAACGAGCAGGCGGTTCTACTGGTGTTAAATGATTTCCGCCCATGGACATCTACAACACTGACGGGCTGTAGATACGTTGCCGAGACTAAAAAAGGGGGCCCCGTTTACCCCACTTACCAGATGAAACGCGACAGAATAATACTTCCATTTCACTTTGATCTTTAGTGAGGGAGTGGTACTCCTCCGGATGGGACTGCCCATTCGTGCAACAGCCAAAGCTGCTGCGTGGTCCTACCGCAGAACCTGGTTGACACAACACTATACTACAAGGATTCGAGATTGATGACTCCGTGGCGCAGTTGCCAAGGTATTGGCTTCGGCGTCGGGGGTCGTGGGTTCGTTTCCCACACGGGACAACTATTTGTGTGACCCACAGATAGTTGTTTCGCATCTGGGTGTTTGTCCGCGTGAAATTTATGTTTGTAAAACGTCCTTTACAACACAGGATAATATTATCCTAAAGTAAGGGCAGTGTTTTTTTTTTTTTAAAAAAAAAAGAACAAAAAGATACGGCAGACAATTTGTCGCTTCAACGTATTAGTTGTAATCCGTATTCGGAAACACGACAAATGACAACTGATCACACATCGCCGTCATCGTTTGGAATGTATTTTGGACTTATAAATACGAGGAAGCCATAAGCATAATCGAAATGTTTAGCCTAATTTACGACTCGTTTGTGCACAACGTTCTCTTAGTCCCAGACTAAGCAACGCTTGTAATATGGTTACTAGATAACTGATTAACATACTTAAACATACTTTTCTGTTGTAAATAAATACATATTTTACGTATATAAACACGCAGACACTACAAAACACTATTCATCACACAATATTTTTCCAGTAGTGGGGATCGAACCCACACTTACTATTAACGCTTATTATTTAAATATTTTTAAATAATGGTAATGACTCTGGGACCTAGATAAATGTATTTTTAATTCTGACAGAAATACTTAACGCAACTTAAATTCTACGACTGGTTCAATAAAACGAATAAATGAGAATTGTCCCACTCCGCTTACTTCAATGAGCCACCGTTCATATTATTTTTTATACTGTATTGTTTTAACTCGAGTCTGGCATTTGAGATTCTACACGAAGATTATAAGCAACCAGTTCAGATTGTTAATGGGCTTAATTAAAATACTTTGATATAATATGAACAATAAATAATAACGTGCGTTGGGCTGCTAGCACCTTATTGTGAGGTATGCAATAAAATCGAATGTACATCACATGCTGATGGATTGTGAAAGGAACCGACTTAAAGGGAACTGCTTGTTAAAGATCTTAATGTAAATTTATTTGATGTTGGTCTTATATTTAATATTTTGGTGAATCCCTAATGTGAAACAATAAAACGTACGGCCTTGGTCAAATCAAACAAACAGTTATTCCCGTTGTATACAAATATATAATTTAAGGGATTAGTTTTTCGTAAGTTGTTGTGACATGTATAAGTTACGATCGGCTTGTCGTATCTATATAGATAAAAACCCCATAAAATATAGATAATAAAAAAAATAATGTGCACTTCTAAAACTGACCTGATATAAGAAGATGAATTGATGAGAATTTGAAGCATTTTTGATTTAATACAAGTAGAATCTTTTAATCAAGCTGTAATTTTATAAATTACCTTGATGTTGAACATCGTGTGTAAATTCATATAACACTTTTTTTATACGGGACTGTCCGGTACTTGACTGCTAAACCACCTGATGGTAAGGCCAACAAAAGCGTATATAGGTAGGAAGCGATGTAACCATAACGATGAAGCATGTCCATGCTACGCGGCATTTAAAAATAGTCCGCTTTACATTATATGACGTATAATATTTTAAATAATATCCTTACTAATATTATAAACGTGAAAGTTTGTATGTATGGATGGAATTGTTTTACTCTGATGTAAGGATACATCAGAATAAAACATAGGCTATAATTTATATATACATATTTTATGTATATCATCTCTCTTTCTGAATGTTACGCCTTCAGCCTATTCTACGCAGACGTAGTCGCGGGCAGCAGCTAGTCCTTACTAATATTGTATGTATGGATGAGTATTTGCGTAAAAGAGTACTTTTACGCAAATACTACTGAATGGATTATTATATTGCTTATACATCAGAATAAGACATAGGGTATAATTTATATACATATTTTATGTATATCTGTGTTTCTGTCTGAATCTTAAGCCTTTAGCCTATTCTACGTAGACGTAGTCGCGGGCAGCATCTAGTGATATATATAAATGTATGAGGCAGATGATATAGAACGTATGATACGGAAAGAGATATCAAATCAAATCAAATCAAAATACATCTGTATATTTATTCACATAGACGCTAGCGTTCTTATGAAACGTCAAAATTATACATAAAAACTAATAGGTACGTATATTACCACGGAAAGCAGTTTCTGTAAATAAGAAACTAGCAAGAAACTCAACAGTTGCTCTTTTTAAAACCATTCGTTTACAATATAATAGGACAGGTATGTCTTATTTTAACCTACATGAATATCAACAGTATTACAGAATATATAGAATTGCAATCTAATGTCATTGGATGTTACCCAATATAATTGTTACTTACAAATTTAACTATTGCTTTACCACGTACTCATAGGTAAACTTACTTTATTGCATTACTAGTTCCCTTGAAACTTCTCGAGGAATATAAATATATTATTCGAGGAACAAAGGATATATTTTAAATTCTTCTCTCGTAGTCCACCAATCAGCGACCCTTTTCTGGATTTTAGGATACGTTGTAATTATTGTTTGTTTGTTTTAAAGTTTCCACAACAAGCATTGCAACATTTCAGTATTAATCAATGCAAAAAAATGTCCTTTAAAACCCGATAAAATTGATCAGTCGCAACTTTAATTAATCGATTTACGTTTGACCTGATTGGGAGGCATTGAACGTTTATAAGGTCTGCTTTATAAATGTCACAATTAAGCGAAGCATTTAACAGCAAATAATTATACGCAAAATATGCTCCTTAATATGCTGCCGATATTTATTTCACGACCTTCAGCACCTTGTGATTATTTTATGAGTTCAAAGGTTATTTTAATCGACAATTTATCTTGATTCAGCGTTAAAAGTAAAGTTCTATGGATGGACATGGGAAGTAAATGACAGTTTTTAATATTTCAAAACCCAAAGGTAGTAACCGCTATATATATTTTTATACAGTAGAATCAGATAATATGACCATAAAAAACCTGAAATAATTTACTGGTCCTCACTGCAGTACTCTGTCAATAAAAAGAATCTTACGTATATTTCATAGTCTGCACCCAGAGCAGTCATCAGTCAACTAACTTTAACTAATAAGATAATAAAAAAAACGGTCAAGTGCGAGTCGAACTCGCGCATAAAGGGTTATGTACTATTTTCTATAACAACGGCACAACATCATTCATGTCTGTTGTATGGGAGCCCCACTTAAATATTTTTTTATTCTATTTTTTTAGTATTTGTTATTATAGACGCAACAGAAATGCATCATCTGTGAAAATCTCAACTAACTACAGCCTGATGACAGACGGACAATAGACGGACAGACATACAGACAGAATACAGTGGAGTCTTAGTAATAGGGCCCGTTTTGAGTACGAAACCCTAAAGCTCAGTATGTACGATTGCTACTACTTGTTACTAGCTTGTCTTACTTATTTAAATAATAACTTCTTTGCAGAGTATAGCGAACGTGGTGGCGAAACAAAGTTTCATGACTCGATTCGGACTGAACAACCTGATATCGTTGACCAACAGCCAACCACTGGCCAAGATGACGGCCAGAGAGTTCATGATGGGATACAAATCTGAGCTGATGACCCTGGGCAACACCTTCATGCCTGGGTGGATCTACTTCGACAAGCTCGGCCTGATCGACCGAGTAAGTTGCATATTACCGCGGTTAATGATAGACTAGTGTTAAATTCTGATAAAAACTGAGCCCATGTTATTTTTCCTTTTACTCCTTAAATTATAAAATTACAGACATTTCTTTTTGGATCTGGTCGCTTATCGAAATCTAAAACTTCCCTACACCACGAAATAATCTCGTCCTGCAGTAGGAGTCTTGTTCATTACTACATAAATATAAATACTAAGGATCAAGCATCGTTGCGCAGATGTACGATTTCAACGGCGACTTCGAGACCATATTTACCGGGACGGACGACGTGACGAACTCTGGTTTGATCGACACCTATCGGGGCTCCACCGACCTGCCCCAGTGGGATGGCAAGTACTGTTCCAACGTGCAGTACGCTTCAGACGGCACCAAGTTCAAGAGTGGCGTCACCTTCAACCAGTCCATCTTATTCTACAGGAAGAGCCTCTGCAGGGCTGCACCGCTGGTAAGGTTTTGTTTTATTATCGACTTTATTCGTTAGCAACATTCATTTTAGATAATCTAAAACATCAACTAGTTTTGTTCACGCTGATACTATGTGGAATTCCATCACCGATTGTAGGGATGTCTTCCATGTTTCAGCAAAGACATGCTCTTGTTTATAGTGTCTAAAATCAATGTGCGCTTTATTTTATTATTGATTAATAAAGTATCTTAGCTGTAGAGACTGAAGTCAGGTAACCCCTAATTCAACGGAATTAGGGGTTACCTGACTTCAGTCTCTAGTTAATAATAAAACGTTATTATTAACTAGTAAACACCTGTTACAGATTCCCGTAGAAAAAGGCGTTAGAAGTGGTCTTAAAGGTTACATGTACACATTCCCTGAACACATGCTGGACAATGGGAAGGCAATAGAGGAGAACAAGTGCTTCTGTAGAAGAGGTTATTATAAATTATTAATAAATTTTTCTTCGGTTTGCCAATAGGGTTATTTATAATATTGCGAAATTTGTTTTTGATTTTAATTCATCAAAGAAAGAAGTACTTATGTATAGCTTTTACTACTTATAATATTACGCAGATCAATACTATGCCATATAGACTGATGAATGTTCACAATACCTTAATGGTGGAGGTAGCATCAAGTAGCCTCATGATTCTTCGAACTAAACTTATCATTTAAAGTATGTAGAAAATTCTTACAGAAATAATTGTGCCTTATATTTCTTGTTGGAGGTTAATTCATTAAGAATTTTTCAATTAACTACTAAATTAATCATATATGCCTTCATTATAGAATACTTTAGAAAAAGTTTAGATTATTATGAAGTACTAAATATAATTATATTAACTTTTTTTTATTCCGAACTTGCTCTTTGATGTTCGCAATAGCCCTAATGATATCCAACATTCTCATTCCAGACAAATGCTTACCCGAAGGCTTAATAGATGTGGCGGATTGTTACTACAGCTTCCCTATCGCGCTTTCTTATCCTCATTTCTATAAAGGAGATGATGTATTATTCAGCAAAGTGGAAGGTCTAAATCCAAACCAGGAACAACATGAAACTAGGTAATTTCGATTCTGGTAAATTGCTATATATCTGTAGCAATCGTCTTATCCTTCTGACAGTATTATATATTGCAATTTTTATATATAGATTTTGGATTCAGCCCGATTCCGGTCTACCCTTGGACGTTAGTACCAAGTTCCAGATCAACATGGCCCTGGACGACCTATCGGCCATTAAAAACTCCGAGAAATTCTCCAATATGTACCTACCCTTACTGTGGTTTGATATTGTAAGTAATGTTGAATAATTATTACAATTTAATAGTCACAATAGTTTTTAAACATGATAATGATACAAAGTGATTTAGATACAACATTTATGTAATATTTAATGTAAGGATTTTAATCATTAACAGTATGAGAGGTTGATGATCTATTGATAAGCGATAGGCTACAGTGTTCTTTCAGGCTGGGTCTTGGGTTCGAGTCCCATCCTTTCTGAGTGTTTTCTTTATGTTTAATTTGTGTTTGTAAAACGTCTATATCGCAGAGCAACTTGTCATAATTATGTTAGACATAAAAAAAATATACAGCATTAGTTGGATGATAACTGCACGCTTTTCTTACAGAGAATGTACACACTAACGCCGTCACTGATGCAGAGGTTCGGCCTTTATCTGAACGTGCTTCCGGTAGTCGAGAAATGCGCTATGTACATCTGTTTCGCGATCGGCGCGATTCTGATCCTTATGACCACCTACATAGTGACGTTCAAGATAATGTTCAAGAGCTACGACGGAAACGGGCGCAAGTGCAACTTCAACTTCAAGAGCGCGCACTGGATAGAGCAGGGGAAGCCGGGCCGGACAGGCCGGGGCACGGTTTACGCGCCTTGCGAAATTCCCCTCACGGACTCCGACAGCACCGATCCCTGCTTGCAGGACGCCTGCAGCACTCAGAGCAGGATCAAAGAGCTCGGCAGCCTGCTCCCGGACAAAGTCCAGGGTTCGGTAGACAGCGTTAAAGCGTTGAGGGCTGACCGGACAAAAACGCCAAGCCGCAAGGACTCCCTGATCGAGAGCGATTCGGGCGAGAGCAGTGCGGGCGTGGCCAGCGAAAACGACGATGCGTACAAATCCGGCGACTGCCGGTATCTGGAAGTGGTGGACGACGGATTCGACGAGAGCAGCGCGATGTTCCCGGCCGGTGATGGGGCCTCGAGGACCCCGGAGCTCCACATCCACATCGGCTGATGAAGACGAGGACTCGGTCGTGTGAGTGATTAGTTATTATTGCGGACGTGTCGATATCGATAAAACAGTGCCGGCCGAGTGAATCGATGTGCCTATTCAAATGTCGGGGACGCTTATTATTTTGCACTATTGTCGATTTTGTGGTGGCGATAGGCACGCCGGGACGTGTCGATATCGATATCGATAAAACAGTGCCGGTCGAGTGGATCGATGTGCCTATTCAAATGTCGGGGACGCTTATTATTTTGCACTATTGTCGATTTTGTGGTGGCGATAGGCACGCCGGGACGTGTCGATATCGATATCGATAAAACAGTGCCGGTCGAGTGAATCGATGTGCCTATTCAAATGTCGGGGACGCTTATGATTTTGCACTATTGTCGATTTTGTGGTGGCCGCGTACAAATAAAGACTTAACGGTAGTGAGTGGCTCACTTTACAAGCTACTGAATATAGTTTGATCGTGCGTTGTCGGACGATAATCGCTCAGTCTCTTCCACATCGGTGTTAAGAGAGAAGTGAATATATCAATACGAATTCTTGTATTCCATATGGTGTCAATGTTATATTTCGTATTTATATCTCCAATCGAATTTGAATTAATACATTATTATAAACTGAAGATTTTAATAAAGGGACCTACCCTGTAAAAAAATTAGCATTTATTAAACATGCCTCAGGTTATGACTATTCTCGCACGGTAAATACAGATGTTGGCTTGATTGCCGCAATCAAGCCAACATCTGTCCTATAAATATTTGGTTTTACAAATATTATCGAAGATGATATTTATTTATTATGATTAGTATATTATGATGGACGGAGGAACGACCGTGCCAAGTGTGAAGGAACGTTTCTCACTCCGGTGCGATGTGCTCTTTCAAAGATGACGACGAGCTTGTCACCCGTCAGGATGTTCAATATATTACCAGCCCGTCATCCTTGAATGGTGCCATGGTTTCACATCCAAAGCCTGCTTATTGAGCTGCGCTGTAATATCTACCAGCGCCTCACCTCATAGACCATTATCTACCTGATGTTAATACTAGCGTATATTATAGATGGTTAATTAGTATTAGAGCTTTTATTATGCTCCATAGGTAATTCGTAAACTTTTAAGGACATTGCTCAACTATTCCAGATATTGTCTTGTGGACTTTGATTCGAATAAATGCGAGAAATATATCGCCTTTGTCCGAATGTTACACATCACACAAGGATGTTTTTGGGTATTATATTCAGTTTTTATATATTTATACGTTTCTATTGTTACAGATTCCTTCCATATGAACCATATGCCTTTTATGTTCTTATGTCATAGTGAAACAAACCTACCGTTAGCTTTTGAACCGGGAATTCTAAATTATCATTCTTAATTTTTCCAAGAATTACTAACTAAAAAGCAGATAATATCCCTAAAAAAATTGTTTTCTCAGACGGACGTCATAAGACATGTAATTTATTCATTTCTACAATTTTTTTTTTCTTTACGATTTTCTTATTTTATATTTTTGTTCCGTCTGTTGTTACACACAAATTAAACGATTTCACTTTTTTATATAGACTAGAGGCTTATGATTGTATCGTTGTAGCAATATTGATTCTTGAGTGATATGTTTGAGATTTTCCAAAAACCTTCACTGTTTTTTCTTCACATGTTCCTGGTTAAATAATGATGGGTTATCGTCCGTCACTTGGGCATGTTTATATTAGTGAAATTTACTGTGGCGCTACTATCTCCTCATAACATATAATTTAAAAGTGAAAACATGCCAGTATAACTTTATTGCCGTATTCACTATACATTCCAGAATTTAATACTCAACAATTGGATAGATTATTAGTACATTTATTATTATAGAACATTTAGAAATTACCTGTAATATTCATAATTTTACAAGTTGTTGTTTCATGCTTGCCTTATAGGACTGATGTTTAGCAATAGCGAGCCATTTCTCAATCGACTGTGGATTTTAGGTTTTAAGAATGATTAATTGTAATTAGATATAATTGCACATCGATATTAATGTCTAATTATAATAAGTGTTTTGTGATATAATTGATTCCCTTTGTATGTTTATGTTAACGATGTCTCGTCTGTTCGAGTCTTCAAAACGTATTGTTGGTGCTCGGTCGACTACTTATTTTTTTACAATTGTAATATTTTAGAATAAAGGATTTATATATTCAATAAATATTTGATTTTTTTATTTGTATTTCAATGCGTATAAAACAGCGACTGCGGCTAAACCTTTTTTATTTAGCAAAATTAATGTTATTAAATTATATATTACTAATTAAAATTATCTTTTAATATATATTTCATTATTATACATGATAAATAAAATAGTTAAAATATTATTTTAATTTTAATGAGTGCAGGGCAGTTTTAAAGTTACAATAAAAATATCATTCCAGCTTATTTTCACGCAATCAAATTTTATATATGTATTTCATTTCCCAGAGATGTTGCTATTTTTAAATAAAAAACACTCAATTATTGCTTGAATATAATACTTTCTAAGTAATACGCTTGGAAATCGCGAATTGTAGATTCGATTCTATTCCAGGACAATCATTTGTCCATTTTTTTGCATCCAGATGTTTTAAAAATCACAATAAAATCTGTGTTTGTAAAATGGAGGAAGTGTTTGTAATATCTAAAATGGATGGCAATATTATCATGTTGTTACTGGGATAACATTAATAAAACCAGTATTGTGAAAAAAAAACCATCACTAACAACATCAAAACAACAAATTAATAATAAAACAGGTTTATTCCTTAACATAAATTCAAATCATTCAAAGAATATACTATTAATTGACATAATTGAATCCTGAATAAAACTAATCTTGAGTAGACGCCAAAAGACAAAAGTGTAGAATAATGATTGCACCACTATGTCCAAAATAATCATTCTGAAACAAATGAAATCAATGCAAAAATTTATTTGCGTATGCAAAATTCTCTATACACTCTTTAGGCTAGCTATGATAATAGTGAACTAAAAAAGCAGCAGGCGTTCCGTTCCATATTGGATGAGGAAGGTCAAGGTGCTAGGGCCACGCGGCAGCCTCGGGCTATTGCACGAATGGGCAGGCCTGTCCGGGTAAGTACCACGACCTCACAGAAGACCAGCGTAAAGTGGAAGTATTTTACTTTCGTGCTTCGTCTGGTGAGTGAGGTGAACCCTCGGGCGTAGCAGATATCCATGGGCGGCGGTATTCACTTAACATCAGTTGAGCCGTCTGCTCGCTTGGCAACTTTTCACATTAAAAAAATCCTGATACTTTCTTTTACTTCACTTTACTTTTAATTGTGGTAGGGCCACGCAACAGTCTTCGCTGTTGCACGAATGGACAGGTCCGTCTGGGTAACCACGACCTCACAGAAGACCAGCATGAAGTGGAAGTATTAAACTTCTGCGTTTCGTCTGGTGAGTGAGACCACCGGACATAATATATATAGGCCCATTTTATTTAAAGTTTTTAGCAAACCTACGAGTGTTGCAAATCTCACCTTCTCACATTTAAAAAAAACTGTCATTGAGCAGTCTTAATTAATTTTTTCGCAGACTGTCTAATGCTTCACCGTCATCTTACCTGATGGTGATGGCTTAATCAGCCTAGGTGATGATTATGCCGTTGTAGGTTAATTGACTAGTATGTTCACCTCCACTGGTTAGAGATCAAAGATGCCTTAACTACTTTTTAGGATACCAGTCCACAGCACTGATGAACGTATAATCTGAACCCCGTCAAGAAATATTCATTTCAAACTGGCAGAGAAACACTTCAAAATTGAAGAAGTTATTCTCTTTCAGGTATTAATTCCAAAATCTTCACACAGTCGCAATGAAACAGAATGAAATAAATGACAAAACCTGACGAAGAATAAGCCTTACGAAACTGTAATTTTCTAAATATTTATCTTTAATACTTTTTTTTCCGGTCAGCTTAGTGGTATTTTTATTACGAGTAAGTATATTATTTTAAAAGGGTTCCACTCAGACACATTTGTAAACGAGTGATAATTATTACACATGAAATCGTGAAGTTACCTCCGATAGTGGGCTTTGGCTTTAGGAATATCCTCGTCCATCTCTTTTAACAAATATTTCCTGCCACCGAGACAGCTCGCTCGGAAAAACTCAGTTCGATCGATATTCTCCATCTTGTAATAGAAATGTTCCTTGTCAATATTCTTCAAGGTGCTACGAAGCTTTACAAAGTTGTCGTTGCTGAAAGTCCATTGCTGCGTCAAGTAGTAACGAAGAGCAAGATTCGCTATGTAAATTCGTCTTTGTATTTTGATCAACCTGAAAAATTAAATAATCTCTATCATACTATTTCTCAAATATGTTTTTTTTTTTCGAAACACAATAACTTTCATAATTCTTCATCACGTGTAATGATTCAAACACCATTTTGAAGCTTAAGCTTGACAAAAAATAGACTAAAGTTAATGGTTACTTAAAAAAAACCTTACATGAAGAATGTATGACAATGCCATCTATTGACAATTTTCGAAATTATACTTTTTTGGCGCGTTTGAGAAAAGAATATGAGATTATTTTTGATGAATATGATGCACGCGCACACGCGAAAAGCAAAATGATGAAGTTTACGGTATTACCATGGCAACCAATAACAACTTTTTGACAATTATCTATAATTCCAAGTTATGACCGTTATCAATTGCATGTAACGTCGTTTTCATAAACAAAGAGTACTGGCACAGGGGATAAAATTTTTAGTTTGTTTTCTTTTCATACGCTAAAGAACTATTTAGGTGTGTACATAAATGCACACATTTTTTTTTAAATTAATGATAGTGAATCAGTCTGAATTTGACCGTCATCTTTCACACACCTTTCTTTCTTCACACACATTCCTTGCACACCGAAACTGAGGCGCTAAAATTACGCCAATTGGCGTAATTAGATTGCGATTATAGAATCGTAATCGTGTAATTAGACTGTTATCTCTTTCTGTATCATACGTTCTATATAATCTGTCACATTCACGTACATATGTAACATATTATGTATAATGTAAAGCGAAACAATTTTTAAGCGCAGAATTGACATAATTACGTCATCTTTATCATTAAAAATCATTATTATCCTTCGTAATAAGGTACCTTTTATAGATATGTACTTATTTGTACAGTATTTTATTACCTTCCGGTGACATCACGGTACTGTGCGAAAATTACGCACTGATAGAATAAACTTAATCTATTTATCGTTACGAAAATAATGTTCGATAACAGAAATAAGAAAAGAAAATAAAAATTGATTTGAAAACTAACCACTATCAAATAATACGATCTTATTTGTGTAATATAACTTATATAAATAAAACGGAAAAGAAAATATGAATTAGTTTCCGTTACTTGTAACAAAACCGTCTCCTTGAAAACGGAAAACCGACCACGGTAAATAATAACAAAATTCCACTTACATAGGTTTTCTGCCTAATGTCCAAAGGAGTAAGTCCACTAAAATTGCCGGTAAAAGATGTAGAAACAAAACCTGAAATCAATAAATCATACAGAATATTTTAGTTCTTATTACGTTAATTTTATATTGTGAAACATTATATATTTTTAAAGATATTATATGTATTTTTTTTTTATTTTTCTCTTTTTGAAAACATTGCCCTGACTTTAGGATAACATTACCCTGTGTTGTATTAATATATTTCACACGGACAAACACCCAGATGCGAAACAACTATCTGTGGGTCGCACAAATAGTTGTCCCGTACCACGTCCCCCGACGCCGAAGCCGATAGCTTGGGCACTGCGCCACGGAGGATATTAGCTAAAACTTGTGTTAACAACTTATCAGTGAATATAATAATATACAAGGAGGCTTTTTGAGAAGTGCCCAAATTTACTCAGGAGGTTCAGACTCGGTAGGTAGGTATAATCGTTTATTGAAATAAAAGAAACTAAAAAAAAAAAAAATGCCGTCCTATTCCCTAAAAACAGAACTTGTTGACAATGCAGTAGTCATTCTTAAATACCTAAATTTTAATGTACACGAACTTGTGTGCGTCTTAGTTATGAATGATCGAATGAGCGTAAAATAAATGAGTTGCGTATAAGTCACGCACTTTTTGAGATAAGTTTAAATGAATGTAATTAATTACTTACGAGTGATTTTTAAATATTTATCATTTTTACATAACATTATTTATGTCTAGAATTTAATAAAAATAAAGAAGTTTCACTTCAAAAAATGGATACACTTAAAAAGCCTCCCTGTATTATAACAACTTGAACACTGCTACGGGGATAGAAAAGTTCAGGGAAGTGTGGACAAGGAGAATAAAAATGTGTGATAACCAAAAATTATCACCTTTATGTAAAAGATCGTTTTCGACGTTGTGATGGAACCGCCGGCTCTCCATAAGGCACCATTAAGAGGCATGGTTCTTATCACCCTGTGGCCCAGCTCTACAACCTCATTCATGGTGATCTTGTTAAGATTTCCCGCACAACAGTTGTATATTGGAATGTCGTCTGTTGGCTGCAACCTTCGAAAGTTTCAAAAATATATTTGCGCTCCGACATTGATATAGATATCGAGTTGTAAGTCTTTGTAAAAAATTATGATTATTAAAACATGTAGAATTATGATTACTTTCATGATTGAGGCATAAGTGAAATAAAACTTAACAAAAATAATTATTGGAATAAAAAAAAAACAATTTTACTCTTTAGTTCCTCTGATCCATGCAGCCACGATGAAACCCTTAATAGCGATATCAACAGGCATGTAGTCAGCCTCCAGATCTGGGTTGGAATATATGCTGCGAAGTATACCTGCAAGTTATTATACTTAGGTTAAACAAATAGATAAATTGTATATTAAATCGTGCAACAACATTGAACCAAAGTATAATATGAACATTTTAAACCTTAATAAGCCAGACTGTTTATTCTAGTATGATTTTTAATTTTATGTATCTGCTTAGCTGCCAGGATCATCAGGAGCAGGAGGAAAAAAGATAATAACAAAAAATATTTCGAAGATATGTGAAGTCCGCCAATCCACTGTATACTGGTACCCACTGTACAGAGGAGCTGTGGAACATGTATAGGTTTTAATTTATTTTAAAACCTGACAGCGTCTTGATAAACGGGACACCATCACGTGAGTTTTTGAGGGGCACCACCATTCCATACAACGATAACCTCGAGAAAGCCGATACAGACAAGACAACTTTTTACCGTGGTAGGGCCACGTAGCAGCCACGGCTGTTGCACGAATGGGCAGGTCCGTCCGGGTAAGTACCACGACCTCACAGAAGACCGGCTTCAAGTGGAAGTATAATACTTTCGTGTTTCGTCTGGTGAGTGGGGTAGCCGGAGCCCAATTTTCAAAAGGTTGTCAACGCAGCTGCAACCCTCGGGTGTACCATACACATACTGCCCCTTACAGCTAAGGCCCTCCTCTCTGTTTGTATCTAATAATCTAGTTATTTAAAATTTATACACCCCTACAAAAAATCGACAATTCTTACCTTTGCCACTAGCGACTAGAATACCAACCGGACCGTTGAAATTTTCTATCCATCCCGGAAACGGTTCCTCAAGCGCTCGATATCACTGAAACAAGAGGATACAATAAGATTAGCAAACTAATACAATTCTATTTTAAAGCTTCTTTATTGCATACAATTGTATGAGATTGGTATCATTCGATTATACATTCATTTTCATGTAACATTATTTGATGGCAGAAATATATATATATATATATATATATATATATATATATATATATATATATATATATTATTCATAACTATAGATACTGGGGAACACTGATTCAGCCAACACCATTCAGGGAGCCTTGCCTCTCGGAAGACCGGTATAAAGTGTTACACTTTTGGGTTTCGTCTGGTGAATGAGGTAGTCAGAACCCAATGTTCTATAGGTTCGCAATGCATCTGCAACCATGAAGTTAACAGCGGCTTAACAACAAGTGGCCGCCTGTTCACCTGCTATCTCACAGTAAAAAAGGCCTTCGCTAAATGAGATACACCACCGCCAACACGGTAATAACTGATTTCGTTATCATGGTGACAATACTTGATTCGAATTCCATCTACATATATAAAGCAAGTATACACACATTTAAAGCAGATAAAGACAGTAGTTGCTTCTACTTTGCTTTTGAATTATTAGATCGATTAAAATTATTTCTCACTGTATAAAAATATCTGAAATATTAGGACAATAAGTATTAACATAAAAGCTCCAACTGCAATTTATTTCTTAGTACACGAAGTGAAAATTATTACCTATAGACGGCCGGATAATAACAACTGGTAAATTTCCCTTCTCTTCATATACTACATGTTCGGCGAGCTGTTTTGTAAAAGTGTAGGTGTTGGGCAGCTCCCCAAGGTATCTGAAATCACGTAGAAATAAATAAACAAACAAGGAAAAGAAACTGCTTGTCGCTTCTAACTAAAGAATATGAGCACTGTATGGACATTCCAGACACTGGAGGCGTTACAAATACCTTGACGCCAATTTGAGAATTGCGAGGAATTTGTTGAGGTACTTCCCGGTCGGGCTGACTTATACACTGGAGACATTGGCTCTCCTATAGTAAAATAGTAGCTATTCTTAAACAACAGTAATATAGTTAACTCGTAATAACACAACATGTATTTCCCTATGAACATAAATTTTAAAACTACTGAAGGAACTCACTTCGGCGTAAGCACCTTGAGCGTATGCTCGTCAGTATGCTCGCAGACCATAAGAGTGTCTCTCCAGTCCGCGTGGGGAGGATACATCACCTCTTCGATTGGATCCCTATTGGTGTTTGCGTAAGATGTGGAGACATGTACGAGCGCCTTTAAAAAAAGATGATGCAAAGTTAGTTTCTTTAGTGTTCGTTTTTCGATTTACGGGGAATATTGATAATTATAATGTTTACAACATGAAATTGGGAAATATTTCACTTACTCGGTGGGTATGAATTCTATGAATTATATGAATCGAATGTCGACCTCACAACATTCATTGTAACCAGATGATATATCAAAGCAGGCAAATGAATGGTAGAAGTACGTCCCATGACCATGAACACAGTTTCGAAACGTAGGGAATTTATGTAATAATGAAAATATAATGCTACAAAATTCTTAAAATATTTTCACTTTAACATATGATATAAGTTCGTAGACTCTATTGCTATGAGTGTATGCAAGTGCTTTCATATCTTAAGCACATCATGTTCGTTCGCTGAATCAGATGTATTTTAATTATTCTGTTCCGTCGGTGGTTTTCACACGTTTATTGCTAAAAGTTATTCTGTTGTTATTCACGTTTCAGATGAAAGTCAAACTGACTTTAAGGAATATTAAAGTAGACTTGGAAAAACTGAAATTCTTTCCAACAGTACTTGAAAGTATCGCGGCCATTAAGAGACCAAAGAAAGGTGCCAAATTTCAATACATAAGTGACAAAAGGATACTTACTTCCAAATACCTGACATCTTTGGCCAATTCGACAATTTCCTTGGTCCCTCGCAAATTCAGACGCGCAGCCACTTCAAGGGGATCGTCAAATCTGCCCAATATAAAATTTACCCATAACTCTTTCTACGGGGTGAAAGGCCCTTTGATATCAAATAATTGTTAGCACTATTATTGTCAATAATTTTATATCATGACTAGCGACCCATCCTGGCTTCGCACGTGTGCAATATATTATACATATATACCTTCCTCTTGAATCTAGTTTAAAAAAACATCAAGATCCGTTGCGTAGTTTTAAAGGTCTAAACATACATACAGACAGACAGCGGGACGACTTTGTTTTATACTATGTTGTGATATCAAATTTGTGGCATCTGCCCATTCCACGATGAAGCTATAATAATTAACTATGAGTTCGATGAAGCTTTAATGGTCTGCGTACTTAAAGCAAGATATTCATTTCCCCGTGATGGTTTGCTAAAATAGGTCAAGAATGGGGCATTAATCGTCACTTATCTTAAAGAGAACATTTTTCGACTGTTCAGAACTTGCATGTTAAAGTGTAGGCGGATCATTCACCATTATTATTGACCAAACTTACCGAACACTTGCAGCAACGTGAAATATAACGTTGACACGATTGACAATTAGAGCTCGGTCTTCCTCAGACAAACCTGAAATCGATATACAGCGTGTTGTTACAACCACGACATTAAATGAACACACGTTTAGAGCTACTCGCCAATAATCATAGAAAAAATATAAAACGTAATCGATAATTTAAAAAAAATATTTTTCAAACAAACCAATTAAATAAAAATAAAACAAAATTTGTAACATCCTATACAACTACAACTGACTGATTCCGACATTCCGAGACTTTTTCATTCGTTGCCACAGCGTCTCATTACAAATCTCTCTCTCTCTAACAGTATGTTTTATCTCTTTTAAATTCATTCTACCCATTCATATGCTTTGTGACCTTTACAAATGAACTTTACGTTACAGTTTTATACGTGGAAAATTTAATAACTCGGTAAATATTGCTGTTTAAAGAATGTAAATATGTAATGCAATTTTTATGAGTTATCCTCTGTAGGTATGTGTATTGATTTATGGTCGCGTTAATAGCGCCACGCTGTATATTAAACGGGTTAAGTATTAGGTACTCAGGTCAAAGTCAATTAAATTATTCACGTTTTTAACGGGAACTTGAAATGAAAACACATTCTATGATTACAGTTTGTTTTAATTCTTCAAATATATAACTGGCTGTTATTCAATATAAGCAAACCGACACTGGGTAATCCCAGTGTCGGTTTGCTTATATATATCGACAGTAATTTTTTTAATCTACCACAGTTTCGCAATAAGGTTCCTCTAACGGAGAAGAAACAGGCGAAAGTAACTCCGTAGGTATCCTCTTTTTTGTAATTTTTTTTTCTCAAACAAAAATACATTGTTATACAGTACAATTTTTTTTTATTTAGAAACAGCTTAGGAACGATCATCTCATTCCCAGGGGTAATTATAGTAAATGTACTCTTTTATATTGTAATAACCCTTTTTAAAAAGTTTTTTTGTAAATTATCACAAAAAACTTTTTAAAATATAGAATTCGATGTACCGTTTCGACGCGGGGCAAAGGTTACATTGAAGTGACATCCTTTAAAAGGTTAAAATCTAACAAATCCGTGACAAACAAGTTAATTGAACTTGGCCCTTCTGTTATTATTATTTATAAGTTCCTTGCTGATGATTTTTATATCTATTTTCGAAACAAATGCAATTTTTTGTGAGTAAATAACGCTCTGTTGTAACCATACTCCTAATTAATAACAAAGATGGCAATACAACTAAAGATGACCATTAACAAAAGAATAAGTAACTATAAATATATATATAATAGCCCGGACATCTACGGTGCAACCGTAGATGTCCGGGCTCCGCTTTAATTCAGTATACTAATCACCTATATAAGTATTAGTAGTTAGAAGTATACTCGAGCAACCCAATTTCGAATCCAAGTGGCGGCCCCAGTGAAATTGTTAATTTTAAGTGCTTATTTACCACATCACGGAAAATATCACGAGGAATCCTCGAAATAATAACAAAAAAAAACCAATTTTCGCCAATCCGCAGTCGCGTGGTGGCTTATGCCCTAACCATTCCGTACAGAGGAGGGCTTTGCCCAGCAGTGGTACATATATTGGGTGTTACTCTACTTACCTAGTCCAACCTCACTAGCGTCCCCTGAGATCACGAAGACCTTCGACTCAAACACTCCTGGCCTTTCTTTCCTTAGCCGATCGAAGCACTACAAAGAAAGTGTAATTTAAATTTTTCTCCCGTTTGCATATATAAAACAAATAAAACCGTATAGATTATGGTCTGGTAGCCCTGTACATATTTACGTATTAATGTTAAACTGTGACTTATTACGTCACAATAGAAGATTCTTATTACTAAAGGAATAAGAAGGGAAACGAATAAGAAATGATACTCTTTTACTATCCATTATTTCCTGGATTGGATTCCGAAACTGATTTGAGATTCTGTAGAATATGTCTTGTTTTCTTTTATGTAACAAATTGGCAAGCGAGCTGGCAGTTCACCTGATGTTAAGTAATAACCGCCGCCCATGGACAATTGCAACACTCATAGGGTTGCAAATGCGTTGCCACCTTTAAATAAAGTGAGCCCCGGCTACCTCACTCACCAGACGAAACGAAAAGTGTAACACTTCTACTTTATACCGGTCGTGGGACTTAGCCGGACGGATATTCGTGTCACAGTGTTGTGTGGCCCTACCACCGTAGGTGCTTCCAATAAAACAAGCTTTAATTTACAAACATTTCAATTACATTTTTTTAATAAAATTGCTTGCGCGAATTCAAACGCCGAGGACCGGAATAAAAATGTATGCAGCATAGAACCCAAGACTCGACAGACACTAGCAATTGTGAAGATGAACACCTAATTCATGTGAATAACTACACATTAACTATAATAATCCAACTGAACGCAGACCACATTCATGAGAAGAAGACAAACTCATTTGTTACATTGTAACAGGGTTTCTTACAATGTAGTAAGTCTAAATTATGAAAGGATGCTTCTAGAATTGGAACCTTGGGTCGGAGATATCCCATTGAATATGTAAAGGTGCATATACGTACACAAAATGAAAAAAATAATAAAGCCAAATCCGATTCAGGAACTACGTAACTGATAAGGGTATACTATAACTTACAGGGTATATATTACTTACAGGAGATGAAAAAATGGCTTGCAACCGATCTTCCGATTTCACATCCTTCTTACTTCTCAGTAGCAAATAGATCCTGTCCAAGTCTGTGCAAGAGTATAGGAGTTTCTCTATAAGCACTTTACCCATAAATCCTAAAACAAGCCAAAACACATACAAAAAGATCATGGACAGGTTTTTTCACTCTCAAACAAAGGGAGACAAAATTTAAAAAAGTATATAAAAAATTGCATCAAAATTTTACTAGCTAATAAATTTCGGAAACAACGCACACGCGTTTTCTTAAAAATTCAATAAGCAACTAACAAATGTTTAATGCTGAATTAAATCCAAGGAGCGGTTTGTTTGCAACGTCGTTAAAGTAAAAAAAAAAATTGGAAACCTGGCATCTTTATATAAAAAGTATGAATATATAACAATATATAGCAGAAATATATAATAATAAGATTAAAATATTTTACAACTACAGTTGCATTAATATATTTACGATGTCGGATGCTGAAATTAATTATTTTGGAATAACTAAAAAAGAGGATTTTTTTGTTACACTACAATCGTACTACTATTATACACCATACCTGATCCTCCAGTAATGAACAACGTCTTGTCTTTGTAATATTCGGGAATAGTGGGAGCATCACTTAAATCTCTTTCTTCGAGGAACCCCATTTTCTTAAACATACAAATTTATATATTTTTTAATTTAATTACAATACCTTTAGTTTCGTATAATTGTGAGTTATTCTAGAATCTAGATTACTCAACGCTAACTGCGCTTACTCAACACTAATTTAAAAATACTTACGAAGAAAAACAATAACTGTTATTCCTTCAGTCGCTAAACACAAAAGCAACAAAGAAGCGAAAACAATAGACAATGTACAACACACAGAGAGTTCGAACAACTATTTCGAAAATGTAGCAAAAACAACGGCTCCCACAGATATATTTGTTCCGTTTCGTCACTATACGACCAACTGTAGCCCCTTAAGTTGGTACGACTGTGACCCTCACGCTAACTTAGTAATTGTATGCGTCGCCGATTGATTGTGATGACCGAGTGTTTCTTTCATTAAGGCGAAGCTTGCTTCGCAAGGATGATGACTTTCGCCTATATTATTAATAACTCGAAGACTATTAGCTGAAACGATTTTTATTATTCTTATTTAAATCTCAATCTCCCTGGTCACGGGACAGACTGAGAGGTATTGATGTCCTAATGACAGTTATCTAAATTATTAGTTGATCTCTAAATCACTTTTCTACCGTACTCTAAAGGCGACATTATTTTCCTATCTTTTAAATTTTAAATGGCTTCAATATACTGCCCCTGCGTAACGTCCCCATCGAATTGGCCGAGGAAAGGGACATAAATATTCAGCTATGCCACGAGTTTGATACGACCAGAAGCTGAAGTTTTGATATGAAATTAAAGAATAAAAGCAGAAACATAAGTCAAAGTTAAATAAGAAAAGCTAACTAAGAATTATATATAACTAAGAAGATCTATTGTAAATCTCCATACAGTCATCACTCCTATCGAGCGGGCACAACACATTATGTGTGATATCATTGTTAATATTTTAATTTTTAAAGACATACACACAAACACACATAAGAGAAAATTAAATGAAAACGTCAAAATGCATGAACCCAAGACTTGTACTCAAACAAGGCTCGGTAGTTGAAACTTCAAAGATATTTCAATTAAATATATTAATTGAAATAGTTTCCATTGCTTTTAAATAGTTTCATGTAATATCATTATTATCTAAAGAAAAATAATATTTTTGTTTTGTATATACGAATTCAAAAACATTGTGACCATTTTGTCGATGGTTTAAAATGAACCATCATCTATCCGAAATGAAACATCATCATCATCAACCTGAACTACTGTTGGACAAATGCTCCACACACTTCACATGGATAAATAGTTCAATGAAATAACTATACGTCATTTATTGCTTTCGTTATTATTTCAAGTTCACGACATTTCAAAGCTTATAGTATCCTTGAACCCAGGAAACTGCGGTTTCTTTTATTGTGTTACTAATTTAAAAAAAACAAAAACAAAACGTGAGCAAGTCTAGTGTGAGTTAGTCTAAAGTTGTCTTCCTCTTAATGCCTAATCAGCAATTTAAAGTGAATGTAATTATACTCTATCCTTGGTATACATCTATAGCGTTTAGAACCCAAAAATTAAACGAATGCTTCATTCTTTTAATAGACTTACTAGAATGTTTTAATAATTAATTGACAGTTGTCACACCTGTGTTCTCTATAAGGTGCAAAGACAAGTATTCACGACGAGTATAGAGTACCTAAAATTCATGCAACAACATGAACGGTGGACATGTTGCTGCATGTAATACATCCATTACACCCATGAGGTTGCAGGTGCTCTGATAACCTCTAAAAGATATACTTCAATTACCAGAAGAAGTCTTCTTCTTCTTCTTTTCTTTTTTGGCGGTTTTCAATGAATACGCCAATGAACACTGTTAATTCTCAAACACAGTTAGTTATATTAAACCAAAGAAGAAAAGTCAATCTGATATTTTAATTCTCCCGCCAAATTTCTATCCTATGTTCTAGTTAGACTAGTTCAAAACCAAAATCAAAAAATCAAAATCAAAAATATAAATTTTAAAGTTTTTTATAGTGCTAATCTCTGCACCTAAGCCGTTTAGCTCAGTGGCTAGAGCGTCAGGCCGCGAATGCCGAAGACGTGGGTTCGATTCCCACAGCGGCGACAATCTTTTCGTACTTTTTCTACATGTTTTAATTTTTCTACATGTTTTAATCAAAAATATATTTATTCAAATAGACGCTTTCGCGCTCTTATGAATCGTCAAATTTTACATCAAAGATTATGTATATAGGTTCGTAAGGTACCACCGGTTCGGAAAGCAGTTTCTGTTGACAAGAGAACGGCAAGAAACTCAACAGTTGCTCTTTTTCAAAAATATCAGAGTACAATATAATATACAGATATATATTCTAGCCTACGTGAGTATCAACAGTATTAACTCCACACATTGGCGTCATCGAGATATTCCGAAATGGTATAATATGCTTTAATCATTAATTGATTTTTAATTTTACATTTAAATAGGTCAAGCGGCAGACTTAATATCGACTGTGGGATTTTATTATACATGCGCACACTTTGCCCCATGAACGACCTATTTACTTTTTGTAGACGAAACAATGGTGTAGTAAGTTTGTCCTTATTTGTAGTGTTTATTTTATGTCTGTCACTATTCTTCAGGTAATAATTAAGGTTATGACGTATATACAAAATATTACAATAAATGTATTGAGAAGCAACAGTGAGTATATTAACCTCTTTGAAAAGATCTCTGAGTGAATTCCGGGCTCCGATATTGTAGATTGCTCGAACAGCTCTTTTTTGAAGAATGAATATAGAATTTATATCTGATGCACTACCCCACAACAAAATGCCGTACGACAAGATGCTGTGAAAATAACTAAAGTAAACAAGTTTTACGGTGGTAGGGCCACGCAGCAGCTTCGGCTGTTGCACGAATGGGCAGGGCCCGTCCGGGTAAGTACCACGACCTCACAGAAGATCAGCGTAAAGTGGAAGTATGACAAATACTTTCGCGTTTCGTCTGGTGAGTTGAGGTTGTCAACGCATCTGCAACCCTCGGGTGTGGCAGATGTCCATGGGCGGCGGTATTCACTTAACATCAGGTGAACCGTTTGCTCGTTTGACAACTTTTCGCATAAAAAAAAAAAAAAAAAACAAGTCAAAAAAAAACAACTGGCAGTGTCGATGTCTGTTAGCTGCCTAACCCTTCTAAACGCAAAAACAGCGGAGCTCAGCCTATTCGCAAGAGATGATATAGGGGACTCCACTGGAGCTTTGAATCTACTGTAATTCCCAGAAATACAGCAGACTCAACTGGATTAATATATACCACTGGCATAAAAGGGGAGATCATTAATATATACTAAAAATAATAATGGGCCCAAGATTGATCCTTGTGGGACACCCATTTTCATCGGGGACCCAGCGGATTTAACATCATTTATAGATACTTTTTGAATTCTATTACTAGGGTAAGAGGCAATGAAATTGAGGGCGATGCCACTAAAGCCGTAATATTCTAGCTTTTGAAGGAGAGTTTTATGGTCTACGTAGTCGAAGACTTTTGAAAGGTCACAAAAGACACCTATTGCATCTTGTGACCTTTCCCATGCGTTATAAATATGTTTGACAAGTGCGGCGCACGCAACTGTTGTCGATCTGCCTTTAGTGAATCCATATTGCTCATCGTGAAAGATTTTGTTCACTTTAAAATGAACTAAAAGTTGATTTAATGTTAGCTTTTTAAAAACTTTACTAAGAGAAGGCAATATTGTATTTGACATTGACAGTATAAGCATATAATTTATGATTTAATTTCATTTATTTATATTATGGACTAGATTTATTATATTAGATAACATGTAATTTTTGGTTTTTTTTCCTCTTTATTTTTAATATAAAGTTTTAGAACATTTTTCTTATGTCTATTCCAGATAGATTTAATGTTGTAAATATTATATATGGTGCAACACGATTAACGACCTTTAAATTTCTTCACTCTTTCTTTCTTATAAACTTTAACAATCCCAAATCTCACACTAATGGGTGCAAGAAATGTGATAAAAAGTCATACAAAGTTCTTTATTTTACTAAAAAGGCCTCTTGATTACATCTTGGGTTTTTGACTGGTAGAGAATAACGAATAACTGTTGTGTAACTGCCCAAATGTGCGGGAATTCGATGGATGCAGGTGGCTTAGGATCTTGGTTCGTGGCAGTCTGTGAGGGAGTCCTATTTTCCACAGTGGAGAAATTATGAAGATCATGATGAGAATGACTTTGAAATTTTTCTGTTTAAGATTAGCGATAAAGCATAAATGGTATGTCATTTTCAAACCCCTCACCAGTAACGGTTATGTTAATTTCGTTTATAACAACGTGACGATTGATTTTTATGCTGCATTGATAATTTTAGGTATATATATCTGTGCGACGATCCCATTGACATTTGAATTTCAATACTGCCGCTTGACCCGGCGCTGTCATGACGATTTAATCTTTTCATAGTATTGTATACAAATTTTTTTTACAAATCAACGCTTTTTTAACAAAATCATTCGTACTATAGACGTGCGTTTATGCGTAGCTCGGGTAAAGTTTATTAACTTGGGACATGGCGAAAAAAGACAAAAACAAGAAGGTAAGTAGTCGTTGAACTTTATTTAAATCGTTTGAATAAATATAATTAACATATTGACAGTATCTAGCACGCATGCACTCTTTAATACTGTTAATTACGTAGTCTTTAATATGATCCATAAACACTGTAGCGGCAACAGAAATACAATCACGGATCATGAAATACAGTTGATGACAGACGGACAGACAGACAGCAGAATCTTAGTAATAAGGGTCCCGTTTTACTCTTTGGATACGGAACACACACAAAAATTAGCAGTTTTTGACACTGTGGCGGCTCATTCGCTATAGTGTTATTTTTCTGCGGCACATAAAATCATAAACCATCTGCTGCGGCGGCGGGTCGAAACGTCACTAACGATATTTCCGCCAGTGCTTGGCGGATCTTTATCGACTTTTTAACTTAATTAATACGAATAAATACAATTATTACTAATTAATTATGTTCATTTACAGAATGAGCGGCCGGAACCACCTGGTAATTATTACTTTAAATATTATTAGACTTAATGGCCTATGTAATCCAATTTTATGGCTAAATTGTAGAATCTGACCTATTCGGAAAAGCTGATGCAGTGCAAACAACTGATAGAAATGCAAATCTGAAATTAAACAATTTGTTGATTTGAGGCTTGTATTTTACCATTTGAATTCACTACAATGTATATTTTTTTATATATCATGAAAATCGAAATCAGGTACGTCCATGCAGTTGTTTTGTTGCGGAAACTGTTGCCTCCTCGGTGTGAAATGGAAGTGTTATGCTTCTGCGTTTCGTCTGGTAAGTGAGGTAGCCGGGGCCCACTTTGTTAAAAGGCATCCGCAACATCAATTTTTATGGTTATCACTTAACATCAGGTGAACCGCACGTTTCCCACCTTCTCTCATAAAAAGCATGTTTCTATATAAAAATCGCAAATGCTACCGAAAAAAATCGTACGGTGATAACCAGAAAAGTAACGAAGTTAATAACGCTAGTATATTAAAAATGTAATAATTGTTTAAATGTGAGGTTGCGAGCTTTTCTTTATACACTCGTATTAAAAATGAAATTGTTTAGAATAACTCCAGTTTTTTCCGTGATCCAGAGTCGGAAGTTCTGGAGGAGACCCTGGTGGCCACCACGGACCTGGAAAAGCCACCCGAGGAGGTCCAATATACGGACACGTCCTATACCAGCGCCTCTTTCGAGTCATTGCCGCAGGTCGAAGGTAAATACATGTAGACAGAGACATTCATGATTTGTCATCAACAGGACAAACAATGATCAACAATTTTTCAAGTTTCATCTTCGTTATTTGTTATAAATGACAGTTATAGATCATTGGTTTCCCGTTTGAATTACAATATGTTCATGAGCAATTGTACGCAAGCCAGAATTTTAGGAAAACGTAAATACAACCGGCATGTCATTGTCATCATCATGTCATCATTTCGTGATGACTCCGTGGCGCAGTTGCCAAAGTATTGACTTCACGTCGGGGGCCGTGGGTTCGATTCTCACACGGGACAACTATTTAAAACCCACAGATATTGTTGTTTTGCATCTGGGTGTTTGACCATGTGAAATTTATGTGTGTAAAACGTCCTTACAACAAAGGTTAATGTTATCCTGAAGCGAGAGCAATGTTTTTAAAATTAAACAAACAAAGATTAAGAATAAAGCCTGTCAAAAATTTGAACATTGATATTATCCCAATTTATTTTGGCTTGATCACTTTTGTCATTTTATTTGCTAGGTAAAATAAATAAATTGTATCATCTTAACTCTTCATAACTAAAGCAAAGAGAGTGTGGATATCATCGTTTTATACAGTTTGTTTTCGTAGACAACGAACGTAGTTTGATCAATAACTTTTTAGTGTGGACAACAACATCCCAGCTGCTATTCGTGTTTAAAAATAATATTTGATATCGAATGCAGTTTTTCTATGGGTAAAGATTAGGGTGCTCAAGAATACAAATTGATAGCATTCATAGGACAGACTAAGTCAAGTCAGCAGGACAGTCAAGTTAGCTGGTAATATTTATATTTTCTATCACAATACTTAACGCAAACAGTAAGGGAAATTGTCCCTGAAATATACATCAATTATAAATAGAGGAACGTGAGTTTGTATAAAATACTATCTACAATTATCATCGCTTTAATTAATTCACAAAACAGTCGGTGTCTTGCATTTGAATCTTATTAGCCATATAGATATGAAGCAATAAATATTTTTTACGAACTTCAGTGCATTGGTTGTACTTTTGATTATTTTTTTTAGTGTTACTGTTAAGACTACATAGGGCACATAGTTCGTGGAAAGGCTAGATTTCTACAACTTTGTTAGACCCCACTTAATTTTAGTTGCGTGTTGTAATCGACTTATGTGTATTTTTATCTTAGTCATTATTAACTGTACCCCCGATCGTTATCAGTGATGTCTAAGAAGATAAATGCACTTACTCAGCAAAAACCTAATCACAATTGTCTTAAAAACACTCGCATTATATTGGACGAAAAGACAGATGCCGGCAAGTTGTCCTAAATCAAAATATTTTTTTTTTTTTGCTTTTATAGGGACGTTATTTGCCACTGTTACAATTTGCTAATTTATTTCTGTTTATTTTGTACTATTTAGATGAATGACTTAACATATGTTGTGATTCATCAGTCCTATTCTTGAATTCCAGATGACATCGTCAAAATACCTCTTAATATCGTTTATTCAGATTTTATATTTCATAGTAAATACCAATACTAAATCATGCAAATAAAATCAATCGTAATTGTTTGTCCGCAGAAATAAAACCGAAAAAGAAGAAAGGAAAGAAGAAGGAGGAGGTAGGTCGATTACTCCTCCCTTAACTAAGTAAGTTTGGTTCAACAATGAGATTAGAATTAAGCACTGAAGAAGAACGCACATTGAAGTCGTCTAATTATAATTAAATCTGTTCTAAACTGTGAACAATGAATCCATTGTCCTAACATATTGTGAAAATTCTAATAATGGAATTATTAGAATACAATAACCGAATATATTGCCCAATAAATATTCCTGAAGAAGAAGTATTCATGTCCTTTTTAGTCTTTACGCATTCTTTTCTGGTCATTTTAAGGTACTGGAAGTGGCAAAGAAGGCGACGTCGTTGTTCCTCGACTGGTCCGATGAATCTATAGCAGGTAATCTTTGGGTTCGATGCGTTTGCATCCATTACTATACATTCACATAAAAATTTGCGCAAATATAGTAACGTTGCGTAATCGTATAATCATTACGGAATAACTGAGAGATGCCACAGTCCCCTTCTATTTAGATATGAGTCCCCAAGATGTTGGGGACTCCCCCCCCCCCCCCTCCCTTGGGCTCAACAGCATCCCTGGGTCTGTTGACACTAGCCACCGAAAAGGCAATCTGGCTTAGATGCGCACAAGCGTTAGGAATCCAGCCTAAGGGATGAGGGGACGACCTTTATGATCGGATATCCAACAGTAACTGGTCTGCGATTCTATATAATAAAAAAAAAATACCGTCGCACAGTAGCTTCCGGTAATTGACAGTCTGAAAGTAGGGTCCCGTGAACCCGCACTATCATGCCATTTATCCGACCTATCGATGCTTCATTAGCCATCGAAGAGTCGGAAAAATTCGAATGCTCAACGGACAACTTTTAAGGTACCCCAAGAGATCTCACAGAAATAATAAAATTATTGAAGTCCCGTTCCTATTTAGACTCAGACCGTGTATTAATAATATAGCTTAAACACTAAATTTTCTTATCCTTCCGGTTGCTTGGAAAGAAGTCATACTATTCAAAAAGTCATAATATTAGCTAGCCCAAAAATGAACTCTCCTAAAAAGTAGAGCCCAAACTTCTTGGAAGTGTTTGGCGCTAACCGCCGCCCATTGACATTCGCTAAACCCAAGGAGTTGCAGGTGTATTGCCACCTTATAAAAAAGTGGGGCCGAGCCACCTCACTTACCCGACGAAACGCAGAAGTATAACACTTCCACGTAATGCCGGTCTCCTGTGAGTTCTTGGTACTTACCAGGACGGACCTGTCCATTCGTGCAATAGAAGAGTGCTAGCCCTGCCACAGTTAAAAATAAGATAGACGTAAATATAAGTCATCACTGATAGAATTAAGTCTTTGGAGTAAAGTTTTTTCTACGCGAAAGTATAATAAAGTACTACCACTTCATGCCGATCGTTTGTGAAGCCGTGATACATCCCGCCGTGAGTCTTCCCATCCTTGCACCAGAAGAAACTGCTGCGTGGTCTATTACTTTTAAGCTTTCGGTAAGTTGGTTAACAGTAATGGTACATTTTTCACAGATATTCTCATATTTTTTACTTGCTAATTTCTCTTATATTTTTTGTCTTCTCATGGTTATTTCTTTTCCCAGAGGAGCAACTTCCTGCAGAAGAAGAAACGCAGGTTGGGAAAAAGAAAAAGGGGAAGAAAGGCAAGAAAGACAAGAAAAAGGAGGATATACCGGATTTCGAAAAGGTGAGAAAAACGTATACAAATTAGAATGTACTGCAGAAACGAAATGGGCTAGAATCTAGCCAATCTAGCCGCTAGATAGAAAACATCTCGTCGTACGTGTGTATTTTACAAGATAGCATTTAAAAAGTATAATTCACGGCTATAAACTGTGTGTCGACGGTCGACGACCTTTTCGTGAGTCCGACACTGCTACGAACACAAAGCTTGCAAGATTCAATAAACCCCCTATTTGCATACCAACTTCACTCACTTTTATTTATCGTTTATGGTACGAATCGGTCAATCGATAGGTGAACGACCCTCAACGAAACCGTAATACTTTCGTTTTCCGATATCACGAGGAACTCAATGTTGTCGCTTATTAAAATGAAGTAGAACGCAGCCATAAATTCGCCTTTGCGTCGACTCGTCACTGCTATAAAAATATTCCTTACAACCCCTACGACGCCACACGATTGTTCGGTCTCGCATGGTGAACATGAAATTGGGAGCATATAGTCTGTCTGGAAAGCAAAATAAATTCTTAACAAAATTGTGCCAAATGAAGTGTGACCAGTTGTTAATGGCTATTTACAATATTTGCTAGTTTATTTCCGTTTATTTTATAATATTCTGTTAAATGTCCAATTGTGTGTTGTAATCGATCATTCAGAAACTTTCCGAAGAACTTAAAACAAAAAGTATTACTTTACAATAAAGTAGAGTGTGAAGATGAAGTTTTCATTGTATATTATTTTCAGAATTTATTTACAAAAAATGTTTCTGTACTCCACCATTTTTGTACTCTAACTTTAGCGTAAGCCTAGCGACAGACTGAAAAGTTAACACGCATTGTCGCGGCTATTTATATTTTTAAAATCGTCTTAATTTTGAGGTCAGGATAATTGATTTTTACTCACACAGTACATCGACACTATGAGTATCAAATAACAAATAGTTCCTTATAAATAGATGTTGAGTCAATAAATCAATTCCCCGATAAGTCTAATTTCAATAATACAATTTGGCGCAAACATAGCCAAAAAACTGGAAGAAAATGAACAAAAAGGAAAGGGAGACCTGGCTCCTCCAGCGAATTGAAGAATGGAGAGCGGAAAAAGAAGCTGAGAAGTTAGTCTTCTATATCATCTTTAAATATGAATGATTACTGTATTTACTTTAGACAACCTGTAGCATTAGATTTTATTGGTACTTTTTGACTTAGCGCTTAATGTGGAAACCCAGTTCTTAAATCAGACGGTAGGACCGATATTACTGGTGATAGAATGTACTTTCTCTGGTGTTATTTTATTACATTTCAAACTAACTAGTTAAGTTTGTCGAGGTACATTGACGTAAATAGCTCTTGGTAGCATTTTTTAATTTATATTTTTTATTTATTTGCTTCGAGCTCACAATAAATAGCTTATTATGAGCTCGATCGTTTTTCAGCTGTTAAGCTGTTAAGATGTTTAACTACCTTCATATATTAACACGATAAAGCAATGCAGGCGTGTTTGTTCATTTTTTATAACATAATTTTAAAAGATTACTCTTGTCCATCTAGGCATCTGCATCAACTTTAGGACTGGAGATGGAGTATCAATCTTTAAAGGATAGAACCTCACTAAGATGAAACGCAAAAGTGAAATAATTCATCTTCACTCCAGCCTTCTGTGAAATCGTGGTACTTTCTCGGATGAGTCTGCCCATTTGTGCAACGGCAGATAATCATGCGTGGTTCTACCACAAAAGAGTTCCAAACAGGACTGTTAAATCTATACAAAACTCTTAATAATGTCACTTAAAATTCTTATTAGGGATCCATCTGGTTTCGTGGTGTTACATACTTAAATACAATGATATTATTATAAATTTCATTACTAATAACTTATTTCTTTTTTATAGGCAGGCGATTCTAGCTGGTGCTAAGGAGAAGAGAATAGCCGAAGCAAGAGCGCGGGAGGAACTAATGGCTAAGGATAAAGAAGAACAGGAGATCAGGAAAGATTTGCTGGCAAAGACAGTCGTCTTATTCAACAGTAAGTTAACTATTTTAATTAACTTCTCATTTCCGACATTGTTCACTTTGTCCGGTACAGGCTATCTGCATCTTTACAATATAATGATAATTTTGTTAACAATTTGAATATTTTCGTTCACAATTCGAAAAGTTATTAAAACTCCTTTACAACGTTAATACAGAATTTAAGATAAACGGCCCAAAAATAAAGGCGCAATTCTTCAATTTCAGAATTCGAACAAGAAAAGTTGAATTATGAAAGGAAAAGGCACCAAAATGCTGAAGTAAGTTTTTTAGGTTATGAAAATAAAGCCTTTTTGTAAGACATCCTATGACTAGATATATTTGTCTCCTTCACCTATATTCCTGCTTGATAGGGATTTATTCCAAATCCTACATGTTTGATAAATATCAATCAAATACTTTGTTACATGCTTTTCAAGTGTTTTCGGTCAATGGACATCGATGTTAGCTTATTAAAAAGCACTCAAATTGCTATTATTATGCTTTCTTATCTTTCAATATCCCTCTTAACTTACTCCTTTTACTACACGGCTAGTAGAATCCGCACATCACTCACGTATTGAAATTGTTCTATCTTTGCACTAAGATTGTAGTTGCGGGTCGCCGCTATCGAACCCACGTCTTCATGCCTTTAGCCACTGAGCTAAACGGCTGTTACCACACCGACGAAAATCTTCTTTTCCACATTGTTTTTTAGTTAGCAATCTTGGCGCCACTACTTTATACTTTCCAGTTTATTTCGAATCGTTTTACAACGATAATTCGAACGAGAGATGTTATTTTTTTAGAAATTGAAATTGTTTATAGTGCTAATCTTTGCACTTAAGATTGAACATTAAAATATGTAGAAAAAGTGCGAAAAGATTGTCGCAAAGAAAACAATGTGGTAGAATGCTTTAAGATTTTCGTCGGTGTGGTAATCAGCCGTTTAGCTCAGTGGCTAGAGCGTCAGGCCGCGAATGCCGAAGACGTGGGTTCGATTCCCACAGCGGCGACAATCTTTTCGCACTTTTTCTACATGTTTTAATCACTCACGTAGTTGGTTCTAGTCTAGGTGTAGTTGGGGTCCTAGATCTCATGTTTGTGTGTTGTTCTTTTACTTTAGTTCGTCCTACACTTTATTACTTTAGGTTTACGAATGGGAGTTATTTTTAAGATAGAAAAGATAAGAATAGTAAAAACATAAGAATTAGAACATAAGAAAAAGATAAGAATAAACTTTGCTGTGGTCGGGTTAATATATTATTTTTCTTATTTAACAACTTCTTTAACACTAAAGATATTTTAATATTTATAAGCTTAAAATAATCTGCAACAGTGGCAACAGTATCTGCGCTGCGATGGTCTCCCGGATCCCCGTGTGATCACGCAGATGAACACCTACTTGCACCTATGGAGGCTGGAGAAGATTTGTGACGACAATGAACTAGAGAGGCGCTATGTGGAAGTTCTACCGGTACGAGATTTTTCATTGTATGTACAATTCAATACAATCTGCATTGTGATGCTATGAATAAATAATAAATAAATAAATAAATTCCATAGAGTGAAACAATACTACTATAATTCTTGTTTTATGCGTTCATTCATGTGTTTTCTTTTTATTGAAAATGGAGGCAAACGAGCAAGCAGGTTACCTGATGGTAAGCGATCAGCGCCACCCATGGTTGAAGCATCGGAGGAGTCACAATTGCGTTGCCAGCATAATAGGTAGGGTCTCTTCTAGAAGGTCCCTGAATTGTGTCGGAAATACCGCTGAATATATATTAGGCTTAGCCCACGGAATAACACGATTTACCCAAACCATGCTAGCCCGTGGTGCATGGGTAGCATGGGTGTCACTTGGGGCTGCGTAAGGAGAGTTTGTGGACTTGTCAGCTGACACCAGGCAACGCAATATACTCTATGTATTAATCAAAACCTGTCGGATTAAAACACAAAATGGGACACATTAAAGGCTAGACCAACAACTTCTATTCACTATAATGTATTAAACAATACGGTGGCTTGCCAGACATGCGATATTACTTCTTCTGCCAGCATTGGGTACGTCAGACATCAATGAACCAATGCCGAATGACGCATGTCATCTTCTAAGTAAAAATCATGATAACAGTTGCTGAGCCCGGAACTGACCAGGAAAAATTCAAAACAATACAATGCAAGTGTCAACGTTTTGATGAAGATCCCAATATGCAATCTCCCTTTACCCAATTAAAATATTAATAAAAAAACTTTGTGATAAAAAATATGCAGCTGAAATGATATCATAAAGACCTTTGATGTTGCAAAATTCTTTTCGTATTCTATTGTTTTATTTTAATTTCTATGTATCATTCTCAGAATTTACAATTTTTTTCACAGATGTTAGACTTACTTGAAGAAATAATGGCAGATAAAAGACAGTACACTGATTTGCAAGTCCAGAGCTTCGACGAAGTAAGACATTTAATAAACATTCTCTCTCTCTCTCTCTCTCTTACACTTTAATGCCGACCTGGTACATCCGTGATGTTCGTAGCTCGGAAATTTGAAAAACACTTTAGAACCAAAGACGCGATGACGCTGTAATTAAATGTGGCAACTGTGGTACTGACAGCACGTTGTGTATACTGTTTATACCGCCAACGCGATGTCGAATTAGCACCCTGCGTAGAACAGCGTGACATCTGCAAAATTGTAATTGTTCAGGACGGCCGATTCAAATAGTGTTTTTTTATATTGGTCATAATTTTCTTATATATAGCATCTACTAAAAACTCATAAAATATGTATGACATAAACGCATGTAGCATTGTTTTCAACGCAATGTCCATAAAAAAGTGAGTGACTGTGCAATAATTATCAATTGACTCTAATACCTAGAGTATATTACATTCGTCTATTACATTAGTAAGGTTAGTCTAGTCAGTACAAAAAAACAATGTCTAAGCATACATATGTCCTTGTACTCCGGGGCACAAATCAGATAGAACGTTGTTCTATTCTGAATCTCAATATCTACAAGTCAGAAGAAAAAAATTAAAATGTTATCTGAAAGCGTAGACAATGATTAAGACTATCCGACGATAAAATTAAATTCGTTCTATGTGACCATAACGTTATTCTACGCACGGTGCGAATTTTAATTATTTATGCTTTATTTCAATTTTCTACAACGGATTTATTTCCTCCATTTTGCCTGCTCTTAAGCTGCCTTCGGTTCCATGTTTTTATGGAGCATATTATTATAGAAACTTCCCTGAACATCGCAGGTTCGTCTCGCCCTTCGCAAGGAGCTCTCCAACGCCATACACTTCGCCTCGTACACCCTCCTTAGGGACCTGGAGCACAGGTTCAACTGGGACTCCATAAAGGTGGCCATCTATGAGCGCGAGTTCAAGGGGCTGCGCTTGAACTTCTGGGTCGCCGTGAGGCTGCCGACGAGGAGACGAAAGCCCGTGGAGCCTGAGCCGTTTGTCGATTGTTTTGCAATACGTTGATGTTCCGGCCTCGGCTGTTGCGAATGGGCGGGCTCGTCCGGGTAAGTACCACGACCTCACAGGAGACCGGCGTAAAGTGGAAGTAGAATACTTTCGCGTTTCGTCTGCTGAGTGAGGTGGCCGGAGCCCAATTTTCAAAAGGTTGTCAACGCATCTGCAACATCCGGGTGTAGCAGATGTCCATGGGCGGCGGTATTCACTTGACATCAGGTGAACGGTCTGCTAGCTTGGCAACTTTGCACATTAAAAAAATGCAATAAAAACTACTTCATGCACCGTGGTAGGGCCAAGCAGCAGCTTCGGCTGTTGCACGAATGGGCACGTCCGTCCGGGTAGGTAACACGACCTGAAGACCAGCCTGAAGTGGAAGCATAATACTTTCGCCTTTCGTTCGATGCGATAACTGACGCCCGCTTTGGATGAAGTACGAGCATTGACATATTTACTGCCCAATAATTGGAAGGAGATAAATAATGTCCTCCAGATATCATTGTGTGCGTGTTCGGTTGTGTGCGCCTCTCGGCCTCATTCAGGTTCAAATCCCACAGCGTTTTGAACACTTATCGACGAAAATTCACATTTTAAGCTCCACCTTGACTGCAAGTACTATTACTAAAGTGAAATAATCATAAACTTCAATAGCACAGGCCACATCTCTCATTTCGAAATTACCAATACCACGATTTATGCGTATCAATCAGCACAAAATCATACATATCTAAACTTAAAGGTGCCGCTCTTTTAAGGATAATGGCATAGTGTACACTGTGTGTCCAGGAAATGTATGATCAAATATCCCTCAACTGTCTCAACCGCTCAGGGAACCGGTGGAGCTGTCTTTTCCCACCATGAAGGTGAGCATAAAGCTTCCGAAGATCATCGATGGCTCCTGCGTTTGCGTGAGAGCGGCACGCTCACTAATTGACCTACTCAGTGAACGTTGTCGAACATTTGCACTCGCTTCTCCAATGCCCAATAGATATGAAGGTAAGCAAAAGCTGGTACACGGTGGTAAGGACTTGTAACAGCTTCGGTTGTTGCAGGAATGGGCAGGCTCGTCCGGGGAAGTACCAGGGCCTCACAGAAGACCAGCGTGAACTGGAAACATAATACTTTCGCCTTTCGTTCGATGAGGTAACTAAGGCCAACTTATTTTAAAAGCTCAACACATCTTCAAGCCCTCGTGTTTCGTAGATCTCCATTGCGGTAATCACTCACAACATCAGGTGAACCGCCCGCTCGCCTGACAACTTTTCACATAAAAAAACACAAGATTTATATTTTATTCATGTTGTAATCGAGATTGCTGGCTAAATGTTTAGTACGGAACTATGGGACTTGTGCAATATCGTTATAAATTCTGAGATATTCGCAGAAACACTTTGGTGAATGTATAACTTTATATTACTCTACGTATTTGTATTTGTATTTATTTGTTTTTAACATATTGCCCTTACTTTAGGATAACATTATCCTGTGTTGTAGGAACGTTTTACAAACACAAATTTCACGCGGACAAACACCCAGATGTGAAACAACCATTTGTGGGTCACACAAATAGTTGTCCCGTGTGGGAACCCACGACCCCCGACGCCGAAGCCAATACCTTGGTAACTGCGCCACGGAGTCATCAATTCGTCTCATAGCCTTATAAGTTATATGAGTACACTTAATTAGAATACGACTTTTATTACCAAAATTCTTAGCGCATTATATTTATACCAGCGCGTAAACAATGATATACTAATTCTCAGGATATCGTTTCCTTGCGTTCAATTTTTTTATAATTTTTCAATTTAGTCTCCAGCTGCCGTGGTGATGATATATGATAAATCCGTTCATATTAATTCAGTTCCATACTCTCGTATCTAGATCAAGATATTTAACACGTTCGGCAGATCTTTTCACGTTCAACGTCAACGAACATGAGGCGACGTACAAGTTGAAGGCGGAGCAGGAAGCAGCTCGCGTCAAATTCTACAAGGAGGTTCAGGATAAGATAAGAGAAATAGAGGCGTTGATAAAGGGCAACCCGTAAGTAGTTTATATCGTTGAAGCCTGTGACATTTGCAAGATCGCAATCGGTTGATATTGTTTACTTATTTATTTATTTATTTATGCTTTATTGCAAAACCTTAAAAAAAGGATTAGATAGGGCGGACTTAATGCCATTTGGGCATTCTCTCCCAGTCAACCCAGGGCGTGGAGAGAGATCGTGGTAGGTGCAACAAGCTTAAAAAGATCATGAACACTAATAAATAATATCAAAAATGCAGATACTTACATAATGTAAAACCTTTTAAACTTTTCCTTAATATTTATATCTACTCTAAAATAATAAATATATATGTCCATATATATAGAAGGATAGTAAATCTATCTTTGTCTATCTACTTATGCCCCGTAAAAAATTCTTTATAATTGAGAATTATGAACGTACAGTATTTTCCTTGCATTTGAGCTGCTCAACTATTTAACGTTTGAATTTATTCATAAATTTTATATTTATTTTAAAAATCTGACATTACAATTGTCTTAAATTAAGAGCAGCCATTTCAATTTGTTTCATTTTATTCAGTATAAAAAAAAACCTAAAATCCACGATGATATATCGATAATCACCAGCGCAATCATTGTAATCCATATTGGATTAAATAATTAAAAATAAATAATGATAATTATGAAAATTCCCATTAACTGATAACTCGACGATGATAAATATTTCTACTACTCCTTAATAAATACAGCATAATTTTTCAAATTTTCAGATTTTTAAAGACTGACAAAGAGAAAGAAGAATTGGACAATTTGAACATGGCAGAACCACAAGGTCTGCCAGATCCGAGAACTTTTATATCGGAACAAAACGGTATGAATTTGTATCTCTTTCCAAAATATCCATAACACACGGCAATTGGGCAAATACCGTTGACGCCCATGATAATGGACGAAGGAGAGGCGATGGAAAATATGTGTAAGGCGATGTAATTTTTGCCTGCCCTGTGCCACAATGAACTCGGTCACTATAACCTTTTACAGCAAATTTGTATCATTGAAAAGTAGGTTAGTAATTCTATCATTAAAAGGTATCCTGAGTCCTCTCTAAATCGTCTCATACCTTTTTGTCGCATTTCTTTCGAGATCAGACTACATACGGACATGACAATACTAAAGCTAGCCTTTTAACCTTAAATAAACACAAAGAATCTACATCGTCGACTTATAACATCCTAAACAGTGGTGATACCTGCCTGTTACTATTAAACGGGCACAAATACGAGGCAATAATTTCGGTTTATTTAATAGCAGATCCGAAAAATCATGGGTGCAAGCTACTGGAGTCCAGCGTTTAGTATCCAGAATCATAGTTATTTCCGAAAGCTCCTGACAAAAACCCGTTGTTACAGAACTCGCATTCACCAAGTATCTTAAACTGTGCTCAACAAGGACGAAGCCGGCGGAAGTTAATCTTCGTAAGTATAGGTGAGTCAAACGTTTCAAGGACTGAGATGCATTGCTTTATTAGATTTTCTACATTATAATACATACATTTTTATATATTCTTGTATAATGTATCAAATTTTAAGATTTAAAATGACATTTATTTATGTGTCTCATCCTTGGATATCGTAATAATCTTAACATTTTTACTAACGAAAAACAATAAAGACTTCAAATATCTCGCTCTGTATTCATTTTATAATTGATTTCCCTAAGTATCTCCGGGACCCAAGATCCAATCCTGATGAAGTTAATATGGGACCACATGGGAAGTATCAGCTTTCAAATAAAAAAAGAATCATCAAATCGGTTCAATCAAACATAAAAAAATACAGTCGAATTGAGAACCTTTTCCGTTTGAAGTCGGTTAAAAATAACTTGACTTTGTCTTAAAATTGTGAGAAGGAAAAAAATATTCACTCCGTTGATATCACCCGTGGCATGTGTTCCTTTTAATTTTTTATGACTTTAAGGACATTATTTACCTTCAATATAATTTTGATTAATTTATCGTAAAGGCACGTAACATCCTCTGCTGTTGTTAGAATGGGCAGGCTCGTCCAGGGAACTAAAACAACTCACAGGAGACCAACTCATGGTGAATTGGAATTATTACACTTCTGGCTTTAACCTGGTGGCAACGCTTTCCCACCCCACGAGTTTGGTGTATATCGTTTCTGTGGTATACGTATTAACTTATATAATGGAATAGGAGTCATCCACAAACAATTAAGAGTAAATAATTTCAAACATTTTGTAAAAGCCACCTTAATGGAAAGGGCCTATTATGTCGAGGAATACATTGAGGGCAAGGATATGTGGAAATGACTCTTGCTCTGCACTTGCAAGTCCCCTGGCTTCTACTTAATTATACTTAAATACTTTTGTGTATATACTAAATAATTTAAAAAAAATATATATGACCGCAGCGTTTCTTGTCGGTTCTTCTCTGGCAGGTCTAGTTTAGTGAACCAGTGGTAGTTTTTGACGTTCAATAATAACTTAAAATAAGCCTATGTTAAATAAGGACATTTTGATTTTTATCTATGAGCGGTAGTTATCAATTAACATCAGGTGAACCGCCAGCTCACAAAGAAGGAATATTAACATTCCTGAAAACATTATTTACTATTAAAAAGCTTATTTGTCCTTTACAGGATCTGTGGTGGGATCCTCAACTTGGATTTACTGACGACCCCGCCGCAACCCAAGAACATGGAAGGCGGTATAACTCTAACTACACGTGAGTGAAGCACTATGGCCGTTTATCCAATAACTAGTGAATTCGTGACATCTCTTACTTTTTGTTTTAATGTTACAAAGGTAAAATGTTAAAGAGAAACTTTAAATGTTTAGCTATTGTCAAAGACATGAGTTTGCGTCGAACATTTTCAATAACTCCTGTAGGATATTGTGCCCTTCGTTCTTTTAATTTCCATTAAAAATAATTGAATTTATTGTTTTAACGATTATCAAATACATTAAACAGCGATAGCTACGTAATTTCGTTTCTTTCGCAAATCCAAGATAAGCTATAAATAATGGAACGTGGCATGCTAATTGAATTCAAACTAAGTTTCTTAAAGGGCAAGTACTTTATTGGTCCTTTGTCGATTGAGACATATTTTTGACTCACTCGCTACTTCAGCTAACCGCGTGCAATGCAAAGGAAAGCGTTTGCTCTAAATTCTTTCCTTCTAGGGAGTTGTAACAACAACCTGTTCACTCTCTCTTTCACTTCAAACATTATCATTCATGCCAGTGAAACGTTGTCCGCCTGTTTCATTTTGTGTGTGACCAAACTCTTCTTCAACCTCCGCCAGAATAACTTTTGTTCGGCACACTCCTTCGGCCAGGCGATGTACGTGTTAGTCACCATCAGATAGTGCAGAGTGTTCGGCCGAAGGCGACGCGGTATATCTTCTAGAAGAACTATGATCAGGTCTTCGCGTCTCGTTTCTAGGAGCCTGTGCATAAATTGAGGAGATAATTTTTCACTAGGAAGTTTTAGTTTAAAGGTAACTACGGTTGGCAGGTGAAAGTAAAAAAGAACACTTGTATGCCCTAACCATGCCAAAAAACTAGATATTTAATATTTAAAAATTAAATTGATTTTTGAATTAGATGAAAGATCTAGATGTATCTACGACTTATTTATTTATTTTTATAACATTTAAAGCTGCCGATTTTTGTATACTCGTAAATAATTGTAATATCTCTTTTAAAATATGATTTGCATGAATATTGCGGTAAATCTTCCATTTTATGACGTTTTATGTGTTTTCTTCATAATCGAATTTCGTGTGATTGGATTTTCGTGTTGTACCAAAATTCTATAAACATTATTCATTAAATTATCAAACGCGAATTTCATTTTTATCAAACATAAAATACGGGAAGTGAAAGCTGAAAAAAGATAATAATCCAATGCAATATATTTGCACTGAATAGCAAGTTTTTTGCACCCACAGCGCATCACAGAGCCATGTTCACTGTCAAAAAATATAGAAACATTCGAATTATAGCCACCTCCTTTTTGAAGTGGGATAAAAATCATCAAGCAATTCTTACCGATGCTGCGCCAAGTGCATTTCGAACTGACACCATTGGCTCAGTAAGAACTTCCGCGAAATGATTAGCATGATTGCTTTCGAACGATCCATGCAAGAAACTATGTTCTCTAAGATAGAAAGGCCTACCTAAAAGAAAAATTAAAAGAAAATTCTTTGTATTTTAATTCATGTCATTTAGTCAGTCAACATCAAATAATTAATTTGTAAAAGTAGATTTAATTCATCCTTACCAGAAAATCTCTCTCGTGTAAGCAGACACTTACGGTGCAGTCTGCCTCTACATTTGGCAGAAGATGGTCGAGCACCCAGGCCCTGTCCTCGTTACAATACGACACAAACACATCGTAGTTAAATATTGCATTTTCTGAAACGAATCATTGGGATTTTGAATTTATATTTCTTCATCCATTCGTTAATTATCAATCAATAGAGCTCAATGGATTTAAAAAAATATTTCAATAATAATAATAAAATTTCAAATTTTTCAATTTAGGGATCCTAAAAAAACAAAGAAAACTAATTTACGGATTTTATCAGGTTGTGAAATTGATTTGATTTTATTACGCAAAAATGTTTTATTTAAAGATGTGTAGTATTTGATAAGATGTGTAATATTTGCGTAAATACAGGAAATTATTACTTTCTTTTCCACATCAGGTTACGCGATGGAACTTTATGTTTAACTCTAAACGATACACTATGAAGTTATAATTAAAAACTCACCATCGATCACTTCATCCTTGTTTATCAAACTCAACATCATCGAGTTTCTCATTGTTATATAGAAATATCTAAAATTTCGTTTGAAAACAAATCCCAAAATCAAGAATGGCATCATGCCAAAAGGTATTATCAACAAGTAAAGTTTATTCCAAGTATTTCGCATCATAACGTCTATATTGATTTCTCTAGTTGTTTTGCAAGACGGCACTTTTGCGAATGACTTGGTTTTGCCTTCTGTCACCAAAAGACAATGATAAGAATTTTCATCATAATCAAAGAGCAGAAATCTTCCACTGATTTCTAGAGGAGTTTCGAAGCAAGCCCCGTCTTTACACATTGAATTTAAGCGGTTTCTTGTAGAAATCATATAATTTACATCTTCAAAACCCCGGTGATACATTAAGCTTGTCATATTACCTATATCTTTAGATATTGTTGTAACGAGTTCTTCTTCTCTGAGATATTCATTTCTCATTGCCAATTCAAAAATCTCTCTAGCGTTACAGTTACACACGATAAAATTTCCCGAGAGACCGATATAGGACACATTTTCAAAATCTCTTGCCATCTCCTCAGATATTAAGTTTATGTTGTTGTGTCTTATTGAAAGAAGCTTAAGGTTAGGCATTAATGATACCGTCGGTTTAAACCACGCTGCCAGTCTATTCATGTCCAAAATTAGAACCTGAAGATTTTTCAGGTTGCTAGCAAACTTTGTTCCAATTATACTGATTTCGTTATTTGAAACTCTTAATATCTCTAGGGATTTCAGATCTTCGAAGACATCTAGATTCTTTAAAGCAATTTCGTCGGCATAAAGAACTTTCAAAGAATTTCCGAGTCCACGTAGCGCTGACATATTTCCTAATATATTTATATTACCAGAAACGTCTAGATACGTAAGATAGGTATGAGCAAAAATATTCTGATATAAGTTCGACAAGCCCGAATGACAAATCGATAATCTCCGCAAATTTCTGCTAACACTTAAAAATCCGTGGATATTCCGTTGAGCCATCCTTGTGAATGACAGGTCTAAGGACCTCAAAGCTGGCATCTTCTGGAAAACACGCCAATTGTAAAAGTATAAGCCTCTATACGTTCCATTTTTGTCGTATTCGTAGTTTCTGCTGATGTCTAAATGTACAAGGTTGTTCAGACCCGAGAACGTCATGTCGCTTATTAAAAATATGTTGTTCTCGCCTAGGAACAATTTCTCGAGATTTGGCATGCCACTGAAAACGTTGTCTTCCAGCTCTTGAATACCGCAGAGTCGCAAATCCAATTCGCGGAGACGTGGAAACATCATTCCTTGTAGACCAGACGACCATATGATTTTGGCTGTGAATCATTATTTGAATATTGTTTGAATTCAAAAAAATCAATCAATCATTTATTTTTAACGCCTTTAAAGATTATTGGAATGGTAAAACATATGATATTTCGACAAACATTTGGGTTTCTATTTACAATGTAAAACGCCGAATTGCTCACCAGATCCCCATCTCACGGGCTCTCTATTAATCGTCGCAGCACTGGTCGCATTCATTTCCACTCTATACTTTAAAGCGATTGGTCCTTCCTCTCCGAATTTATTACCATACATTGATAAATATTGTAAAACGTTTGATAGCAATCGTCCGCACTGGTCCACAGTGAATCTGAAAGCCTGAAAATCGATAGAGCTGAGCGTTCTACGTCACCTTTGAACGCTATTTTCATATGATGCTAGCTAGCATTTTATAAAGCGGTAAAGAGGTTCATTGCCGTAATTAATTAACACTTGAAATAATATTTATGTGAAATGAGTTGTTTGTTCTTTTGCATTTCACAAGGTAACATTAACAGTTCTAAGGTAAACGTAGTTGTTGCGGATAGCGAAATACACGGAAGTAATCACTTCTCAACTGGTGGCCCTTTTGTTCGTTTGCTTCTTAAAAAAGTAAATTTGTACGTCAAAAATGAATCAAACTCACCATGGGTACCTGCCGTAGATGGCATTTAGCCAAAGTTACATATATTACGGAGCTATTGCAAGGATGCTTCTGCAGTTGCAATTGCAGCTCCCGTATACAATTGGGTTGATAGGAAACATCGATGGAGCTTGTTTTATCTGAAAGCAATCATACACTGAGAACAAGGGAAACTATCAGTTTGCGAAAGGAATAAACACACAAACTGGCGCTTGTATTAAATATCAGTTTATTTATCAGAAATGGGAACTCTAGGTCTGTTATCTAGTAGTGGTATATTCGCCTGTTAAGTTAATTAATAATTTAACATTCTATAGTACTTAAAGTAAGTAAAGTAAAGTAACAGCCTATACATGTCCCACTGCTGGGCAAAGGCCTCCTCTATACAGAGGGTATCAGGGCATAGTCCACCACGCGGCCCCATTGCGGATTGGCGGACTTCACATATTTTCGAAATACATTTTTTTTTGTTATTATTCCGAAAATATGCAGGTTTCCTCACGATGTTTTCCTTCACCGCGGAGCACGTGATAATTCAGCACTTAAAGTTAAAAACTTCATTGGTGCCGGCACCGGGGATCGAACTCAGGTTGCTTGAGTATACATTGAATTAAGGCGAGCGCCCGGACACTGAGCTATCACGGCTATAGTACTTATGATGGGCATACTGGCAAATATGGTACTTTCTACAAACCAACCAAAAACTGATGGTGCCTTGATGTCGAAGTGACCAGTTAAGTTATCGAAATGACAGCTTATTATTCTTACTGGTATGTTCGAAATTTCGCCCTAATTCAGGAATTCCTATCATATACAGCGTGTCGTAACCATCGCGACAATAAATGAACACACGACTAACGCTACTTGCCAATAATCATAAAAATATATTAACGTTAAACAAAAACCGATAATTAAAAAAAAATTTTTTCAAACAAACTAATTAAGTAAAAAAGAAACAAAATTTGTAACATCCTATACAACTCGCGCCACAGCGTCGCATTACAAGCCTCTCCTTCTAACAGTATATTTTGTCTCTTTTAAATTCATTCAACCCATTCATATGCTTTGTAACCTTTACAAATGAACTTTACGTTACAGTTTAATGCGTAAGGCTGTTCTAAAATTCTTTGTTTTAGAAAATTTTATAACTCAGTAAATATTGATGTTTAAAGAACTTAAATGTTTAATACAATTTAAAAAAGTTATCCCCTATATGTGTGTTCATTTATTGTCGCGATTGTAAAGACACGCTGTATATGAAGGCACTCAATAAAAATGATTTTATAATCAATACTTATTAAATGTGAGAGCCTGCGAGCCGTGATAGCTCAGTGTCCGGGCACTCGCCTTTAATTCGACATACTCTAGCAACCTAAATTCGATCCCCGGTGCCGGCACCAATGAAATTGTTAATTTCAAGTGCTGACGTGCTTAGCGGTGAAGTAAAACACCGTGAGGAAACCTGCATATTTTCGAAATAATAACAAAAAGAAATATTTCGAAGACATGTGTAGTCCGCCAATCCGCAGTGGGGCCGCAAGGTGGACTATGTCCTGATAACCTTTGTACAGAGGAGGCTTTTGCCCAGCAGTGGGACATGTATAGGATGTTACTTTACTTTACTTTAAATGTGTTTAAATAATACTGAATGAAAAATACGAAATTAATGAAGTGAAAGGAGAGAAGTACGGACCCAGAGAGTAGATTCATCAGGTTTTATCTCAGTAACCAGAAACTGACATAGCTTGCTGCTATGGTAGCAACTGGTTTCTACAACTAGTATATCTCAGTTTCGGTCGCACAAACATAAGCAAACTGCTTGGCATATTATAGGTACCAAATTTGATTTTGATGGACTCTGTATACAATCCAAAGATAAAAAAAGATGGAAGGTGTATACGAGACAATAAACTACTCCGCAATTGAACTGTGTAGTTGAATGCCATATAGGTGGTTTTCTTACTTGCCATATCCGTCAATCTTCCATTGCTGTTCACCCAAGACTGCACATCCGTCATATAGCCAGTAAGGCATTGTAGTTTTGGCGGCAGGGGCTCCGACGACAAGCCATACGTTAACCACGAATAAATCCTAGGGAACGCAGCTAAGTGTTAATTAGGTATTTTATGAGTAAATGTGATAAGCGAGTAGGATTTTCCTCATGGTCGTCGACCACCGATGCCCGAATGGATCTAGAGCAACCGTTGGGTGGCCAAAGTATTACCAGGCTTTACTAACCGAGTCCGCTGAGAAAGATACACTCACTGGATGAGAAATTTCTACTCGCGCCCATTCACATCTTCTGCTTTACCACGTATTTCAATATGTACCATTTTTTAAGGAATGTGTTGCTGATAAAATTATTAAACTGAAATATTTGTTAACGGCTGAAATGCCAGCAGACTTACTTACAAAAGGTTTGAGTATTACCAAACATTATTATTTTGTGCACTTGTTGGGAATACAGGATATAGGAGTATAATTAATTTGGAAGTTTTTTTTTTTTGGAATTTCGTAATTATTTTTTGTTTCTTTATTAGAGGGTCCAAGTTGTTAGGTGTACCTACATTATTTTGATAAGTGGGGGTGTTAATATTGTATCAAAATAACTGCTAACGCCATCTACTGTGTTTCTGAATGCACTACTACTGAACAAATTCAATTAAAGGGAAAAAATCAAAATCAAAAAGAAAGATTTAGAGAAGCAGCTGGTCATTGTCGTTTGAAAATTGAAAATGCTCAATATTTTAGTTGCAAACTCAATGTACATAATAATATGCATAATAACTCGTGAAAGTCGTTAATCATTTTGATAACGGCTAATCTGCACGGACTATTTGGGGGAATATCAATGTCATAAATCAAATTAGTGATAAAGTGTTGAGACATTTCTACCGTTGTGAATAAATCAAAAATATTTATAGCTTAAACTCGAGACGCTATCTACATATATCAATAATGCTCGCCACAATACAACCAACAGAAAAGTAATTCTTGAACCGTAGAAACATTTAGAAAATGTTCCATTAACCAGGCTCACTGGACTTCGCTAGGGTTTCGGACAACCCTGCACAAGAATGCAAGTCAGCAGGTGTACTGCCTACACGTTTGGGTTAAGACAACAAAGTACATTATACCTGTATATTATATTGTACCCTGATATTTTTGAAAAAGAGCAACTGTTGAGTTTCTTGCCGTTCTCTTCTCAACAGAACTGCTTTCCGAACCGGTGGTACCTTACGAACCTATATACATAATCTTTGATGTAAAATTTGACGATTCATAGGAGCGCGCAAGCGTCTATTTGAATAAATATATTTTTGATTTTGATTATGAATTATAAACGCCACAACAGACCTCCAGAGGAAGATCTCTTAAACTGCAATAGGGCCATACAAAATAGTATATTGTTACACAAATGGGCAGGCTCGTCCCGGGAGGCACTCCAGCATCACAGAAGACTAACGTTACGCAGAAGTATTTCGCTTTTGGGTAGCGTCTGGTGAATGAAGTACTTATGGCCTCTCTGTTATTAAAGATTGGTAACAACCTTTAGCACCTGCAACCTGACTGGTATTGTAAATGTCCACGAATGGCAGTAATGTCTAAACGTCAGGGGAACCGTCGGGGAAACGTCGCCCGCTTGACAATTTTTTAAACAAAATAAACGAATAAAAAAAGGGAAATTTGTTCTAGAGTGAAAACTCTTCTTTACAGAAACTGAATTGGGTTTTTTTTTTTATTTTCTTTAATTTTCATTTTTATTTAACAACAACAGCGGCTAATTTCGGTCTGGTATTTTTTTTACTAATGTATTATATGGACTATGAGAAAACCTTTGATACCACGGAAACCTGTTCTGGTCAGCTATGGATTCCTAAAGCAATTCCAAGAAGACCGCTCGATTCCAAATCAGTCATTTAGCTTAGTGGTTAAAGCGTTTGGGCACAAAAAGCGGAAGATGTGACAAAAAACCTATCATCTATTTTTTCAGCAACTGCTAATCTTCACCTTAATCGATCCAAATTTAGTATAAAATTAATTTTTTTATAGTGCTAATGAATAGCAAAGGCGACATAAAAGTAAAACTAACAGCCTATAAATGTCCCACAACTGGGCAAAGGCCTCCTCTGTAAATAGGGTATCAGGCGTAGTCCACCACGCGACCTCACTGCGGATTGGCGGACTTAATATAATTTTCGAAATATTTTTTGATATTATTTCTAAAAAATGCAGGTCATCTCACGATGTTTTCCTTCACCGCCGAGCACGTGATAAGTCAGCACTTAAAATTAACAATTCTATTGGTGCTCGCTGGCACCGGGAATCGAACTCAGGTTACTCGAGTAAATTGAATAAAAAGCGAGCGCCCAGACACTGATAGCTCACGATTCGAAAGGCGACATATCTCGTTCGAATTAGATTTTTTATAACTGTTCTGTATTTAAATTTACCTTATTAATTTTTTTAGGTGAATATTTTCCGAAAAAAATTAATACATCCTCAATGGTTCCTAGTGACACACGTTCCCGCAGCACTATTAACACTCTTTGGCTCCCTTATGGTATAAATTTTATATTAAATTGTATGTCCAAAGCTGCACTGATCTTGAAAAATAGTCAAAAAGTTGTTTGCCCCGCGGGAATCGAACCCACGTCTTTTGGAATCACGCCCAAACGCTTTAACCACTAAGCTAAACGGCGAATGAAAATCTCAACGTATTTCATCTACTTTTTTTCGCATCCTAAGCAATACTTGACGCCATCTATGACTATGCTCTTTACAGCATTAACAGTATCAAATACCGTTTTACAACGATAATAATTCGAAGGAAACATGTAGTCTTTGCCATTTCAATTATTTATTTTTATTAAGTTTTCTACTTCTCTATTACTGGTGGTAACTTTCCCCGTTGCCGAATTCTTCCATCGTCAGCCAAAACAGCTGTTCTGCTCCGCTGGTGATTCCGGTCCACTCACTTGTGTTCCTAGACCATGATATTCTACGCATTCCATCGAGTCTTTTGCATTCTATTTTACCCATCAAGTTATGTTGTAAGATATGTCCTAAATATTGGACTTTGTGCATTTTGACCGTTTGCAACGACAGTCGTGACAATTTTTAACTTATTTCTGCGCTTAAGATGAAACAATTCTTCCTTCCTTCCTATATTCCTCGTTCTATAAGTTTAAGTTCTCTTTTAATTTGTACAACCTCTTATATTTATGTTTTTATTTCCTCAAATAACATTATGCTTTAATTGTTCGTCTTTATTGACCATTCATGTGATTAATCTGGATTAACACCCAGTGTTTCTTTTGTTTTAGCAGAGTCTTCAGATACTATCAAAAAATAGTTCTTAAATAAATGCCTGTATAATCTATGTCATGAAGAGTCACTATAATATTAACTTGTTTAACAATTTCGTATAATAATGGAGAGGGATTGAGAATTAACAGTAGCTTTCATTGGCGAAATAATATAATATCAAACGTGAACTTACAAAAACGTTGCGAACTTTTTAATATCCATTCCAAATGCCGCTGTTGTTCATCCCAGTAGCGCAAGCATAAACCCCATTCGCAACAACTTCAATATTAAAAGTACTGTACGTTAAGAAAACACACGACACTTGACGTTTTGAAGCACTTCACATTCTGTATAAAACAATTCATAAAATAAAATAAGCACTTATCACCTAGCACGCGCTAATCTTTCCCTGAGGAACATTCGAAAATGAAAATTCTAAATATATCGATTACACAGAAAACAATCGTTTAGTCCGCGTAAATTCGTAATGGTCACTAACTTATCTTATCCCCGATTGGAGCCCACAGAGGCTCGGACGATTTGCGAGTCGACACAGACATACTACAATGATATGGTTGTATCTAATCTTTGCTAGATCGATTCGCGATTAGAACAAACGTTGTTTGCCTTTCGAGTGATGTTTTGGTTAGGCTGATGACAGCTATGATAAATTTATAAGGGATTATTATTTTAGGATATAATGATCTTGAAACATGAAAAAGATACGAAGAGTGCTAAGCATTGCTTGAAATGGGAAAAAATAGTTTACATATAAGACTTTGAATTTTTGTCGGTGTGGCAGTTATTTATTTTTACCTGCATTTCTTCGCGTCATACTCTGGTAAGATCACTTTAAATAGGCTTCCTGACAAACAATTCAATTTGATCACCAGTTTCCTCACATAAAAATAGTTGTTCACGGTGCATGCTCTGATTGCCAAAGTCGTAAATGATGGTATGCCACAAGGTTGCGTACTGTCCCCTATTCTGTTTCTTCCTAACTTACCTATTACCAGGTAAGTTAGGAAGTACCTACCTACATATCAATGAGTTATATATTACCAACCTACGAGTCAAACTACGAAATACCAACGCTACCTCATCGATGGTTTGCAGTCCCTGTGTCACGTAACTATCTGTCACGCACAGCCAAATTGTGGAATATTGATTCCGCGACAATTGTGTCGCCAGCGGTCCCATACGGTACGATACCACTTGGGGATCCACTTCCACCGATACACTTCAAAAATACATCTTATTCCTTCCTCAAGGCTGGCAACGCATTTGTAACTCCTGTGGTGTTGCCAGTGTCCATGAACAGCGCAACACATACCATCATGGGGCGCGCCCGCTCGTTTGTCTCCACTTACATTAAAAAGAGCCCACCGCAGTAATAATACACACAGACAGTAATGACTTAAAAGACATCCTAAATGATGCCTTCGTTCCGTCTCTGTACGAGTTTGATTTAAAAACACAAGTTTGATTAAATTAGTTGAAGCTTCAAATCGGCGATATCATCATTTAACTGTGGTAGGGCCACGCAACAGTCTTCGCTGTTGCACGAATGGGCAGGTCCATCCGGTTGTGCCACGACCGCATAGAAGACCAGCGTGTAGTGTAAGAGTTGTACTTCTGCGTTTCTTCTGGCAACGCATTTGCAACCCTGTGGGTGTTGCAAATGTCAATGGGCGGCGGCGTCAGCTCGTTTGCCACCTTCTCACATAAAAAAATCAAAGTCTCCTTTCGCCTACTAACTATAGCTAACCGTCATTTCTTCGTCCGATCTTCTGTCCTCAGTGCAACTGCCGAAAGAGCTGCAGCACATGAAATACCAAGTCCGATATCGTGCGCCGTCTCCGCCACCAGCCGGCGTGACTCGGACACCCGAGGAGATAGAAGCGGAGATCAAGAGGGTAGAGGCTGAATACGAGAAGCTCGCCCTGGTTTTTATCGAGTGAGTTCACTGTTTTGTTGATTATGAGTTTGTGTTGAATGTTACCACTAACGTTTAACGTGCTCAGACATGACGTCGTCGTAGGAATAGGCCACCGAGCAGCCGTTTCACCTAATGTTAAGTGATTACAGCCGCCCATGAACATCTACAACAACGGACGACGGGTTGCAGACGCGTTGCCAAATATGACCTGAGCTCACCTTACCAGAGGAAACGCGAAAGTATAATAATACTTCCACTTAACACCGGTCTTCTGTGAGCCCGTGGTACTTCATATAAATTAGATTAAAACTTTAATGGTAAAAGCTAAGTATTCAGCTGCTGTCTCCAGGCTACCGCTGGACGTGATGTGGTCTGAGCCACCGGTGATTTGCCAGTGGTACGAGCCCCGTCTGCTTTGGATCAGCACCTTCGTCAACGACTACAAGTTCAATGAGGACAAGCTCACTGTGCAGTTCCGGACTGGTGTGCTGTGTGAGGAACACTGCGAACAATTTTCTCTTTCTATTTTGTTCCGATGGTCACCTACACATGTGATGGCTCAACCGGGCGGTTGCTTAGGCTTGGAATCGCTCCGGCGCCGGGGGTCATGGATTCGATACCCACACGGGACAAACATTTGTGTGATCCACAGTGTGTGTGTGGATCTGGGGCTCGTTTCCAAGTAGGGTTAACGTCAGACAGGCGGTTGGACGTAAAAAAGAGCTAGAGGATTTTTTTTAATGTGAAAAGTTGCCAAGCGAACAGACGGATCACCTGATGTTAAGTGAATACCGTCGCCCATGCACATCTGGTACGCCCGAGGGTTCCAGATGCGTTGACAACCTTTTGAAAATTGGGCTCCGGCTACCTCACTCACCAGACGAAACGCGAAAGTATTATGCTTCCACTTTACGCTGGTCTTCTATGAGGTCGTGGTACTTACCCGGACGAGCCTGCCTATTCGTGCAACAGCCGATGCTGCTGCGTGGCCCTACCGTAAATGATGATGGTGGTCACCTATATTCGTAACCCGTCGTCTCCTATGAGTACGACAGAGACGTTTCATGGAGATCTTCAAGTCCCATGCACACGTATACCTAAATACTCGCGTCTTTTTTTTCATCACAAAGGTATGTCAAATGGATTTGATACGGTCTGTGGATATTACCCCTAATATGCAAACTTAAAAATCTGATCACGTCACTCAGCGGACAGTGTATACAATTCTACTTGCATTGGTCTTCTGTATACATATGATGCATCATAAAAATTAACACAAAAAACGTCCCTTTATCTTTAACATTTAATAACAAGCCAAACATTTGCACCAGCCACATGACTAACTCAATAATAGTGTTCATAATTCTTCGTCTAAACGAATTACCAAATTTCATTTGTTTTTTTATACAGGGCCTATTGGAATAGCGACGTTAAAGTACAGTAACATGCCTTACCAAGGGTGGGATATTAGACCGGACTACGAGAGGTGAGAACTGATGCACCTTAATTCATCATCATCGTCGTCATCATCATATCTGCTTGTTTGAGTCCACTGCTTAACGAAGTCCTACCCCACATGCCAGCATCCTATGCCACCTGCATCCATCGACTCCCGCACACTTGCTCAGATCGTCACTCCATTTAGAAGGAGGTCGAGAACTCCTGAACCGTGGCCAAATTCATTATATTTATTTATTACTTATTGAATTATTTTCATATAATATATGAATAATAAACATATATATATGTATATATATTTATATATAATTAGAACATATTTCAGTATATGATATAATGACAATTATATAATTTTTATGAGAGAGAGTGTGTGAAAAGATAATTATATAAAAATGTATTTATGTATTTATCTTAGTAGAAACAAACGCAAGTTACAAAACATGAGTTAAAAAAATTGTAATGAAGATTAATGCAAAATATTGTAACTAAAATCAAACTACAAAACATTAACAATGGATCCCAAACTAATCAGTGTTTGGATCTCGGGAGCCAGAGTTGCCAGATTTGCGGTAGGTGTATAATTACATCGTGAATACTTATTGCTATAACAAAACTAAACAGTTTACATCCGATTTTATCCCACTAAAATTTTATCCGACATCGTGTTTTATCCAATATCATGTTTTATCCACCATTTTACATCGTATTTTCCAACTAATCTCCATAGTTCGCTTCCAAAGCTTATCTTATAAAAAAGCAAACAGTCAGAGAGAGAGAGAGAAATTACAAGGTATTTAAAAAAGTTATTTATGGCTACTGCTCTCTTCATTCGACAAAAGTTTTTGCTACAGTATCGCCACTTACCCATCAGGTGGGATCATCAATAACTAGTGTGATAAAAAGCCCACTACCACTTTGTATCCAGCTTCCCAAAGAAATTGGTGGTGCAGCGGCACAACTGCCGCCGTGGCATTCTTGTCCAGATTCCACAACTTCCATTGTCCAGTTTCTACAACTTCCGGAATTATCTTGAGCCTTATCTTTTCCGCAGTGAAGGCGTGATTATAAGCGTCACCGGTGTCTCGGTGACAGTGACCTGGCTGTGCGTCGGCAACAGAGTGAAGTTACGGTGGATAGCGAATGCGACAACACCAGCCCTCAAAAACCATTTCGGGAAACCGTACAGCGTGAAGAAAATGATTCAGGTACCTCTAACAATAGCTCATCGGCTGATTGCTTGAAGTGTAGTTTCACCACGGGTAAAGCATCGGCTAAAGATAATTAAAAATATTAAAACGGCAAAATGTATTTCTATGTGCTTAAGAAACTTCTGTAGTATCAAATGTGATGAGGTAAATACTTGCAATCAAAATTAGTACAGCTTAATGTTAGATTCCTGACATCAGAATAATTTAGACATAGTGGCCGCTACAAGTCGTGGCATTTTGTTTCGTCTATTATGCTTTTTCACAGACAAACATTATTTCAGTTCTATTTCAGAGGAAAGTGCAAATTTCAGTCAACTCCAGACGTGAAAGAAATGGCAAAAATTATACGTTTTCCGCGTTCAAGCACTTATTTGTTTCTTGATGTTTGCTCTTTCAGTACGTAGACTATGTAAAGCTTTCATCGGGCACTGACCTTCCATAAAGAAGGGCTAGGATTCCACGAGCTTGGTAGACCCTGTATATGAGTAAGATCCTCCTCCGTAACGCAGTACCTCGTATACGCGCTTTTGCGATGTCGAATTACAGTGAATGTGTGTTAGCTGTGGTTGGGCCACGCAACAGTATTCGCTATGCACGAATGGGCAGGTCCGTCTGGGTAAGTACCACGAACTCACAGAAGACCAGTGTGAATTGGAAGTGATATGGTACTTCTGTATTTCGTTCGATGAGTGAGGGAGCCGCGGCCCACTTTATTATAAGATGGCAACGCTTCTGCGATTATACGGTTATTGCATAAGTTCATAGGTGATTCATGGGTGATTCACATTAAATAAGTAGAATATAATTTAAAAAAAAAAAACCCGACTGTGTTTCTGTGTATTTTTTTATTTTGTTATACCCAGGATCATTCTCACAGTAAATACCAAGCTAACGACACCTCTCCAGCTAAAATCCATAAAGGCGTTCAGGCTGCAAAGCGTGCCAAACAATTATACATACATACATACATACTCTCGAAAAACATAACCCTCCTTCTGGCACAGTCGGGTTAAAAAGACGTTTCAACAAGCCCGAATGATCTGAAGCCTGATTTTGAGGTAACTTCTGTAATTTCTGTGAAATTCCCTTGAAGCTGATGCGAGAGGCCGCGTGCGATTTCTTCCCGGACTTCGACGCCCACAACCACGTGGAAGGTAGCTGCCCAAAGGAATGGGTGGCGGAGCGGCACAACTACCACGCCATGGCCTTCTTGTCCAGGGCCTACAACTTCCAGTGGAGCAGGTATAATTAATAACATATTAGTCACTAACTACTAGTCAACGAATTTCGACAAACAAAAGAACATTAAATTGTTGAAAACTAACTCGTATAGTTCAACAGATTGTTTGTATTATCTATATTTCAGAATAGCACTTGGCTCGCGACTTCGTCTGCGAAAATTGTGATAGCTCGGTTAATTTGACATGACATTAATTTATTTTATCCGCGTAGTTCCCGTTACCGTGAGTATATGGGTACCTTGGGTTACATTGTTAAATTTTAGGTAGGGATCTTTAATTTTTTTTTTTGAAAATATCATACAGCCAATGTTAATCGGTAAATATGTAACTTTTTACTGGTGATAAAATTTTTAAAACCGGTCGAATAGCTTTTGAGCTAAGTTATAACAAACAAATAAACAATCAAAAAATCTAATATGTCCCCTTTATAACATCATATATATTTCAGATGGAACGTAACAGCGGGCCCTAGAAATATTGTGATGCAAATACGTGAAGCTATTGACAGAAAGAGAGAGGTATTTATCACTTATGTAAATTTTAATACAAAAAGTTAATAAAACAGGACCCAAATTTTCCTCTGGATCATTAATCGTTATGGGGGTCATTATTGTTTGAAGTGAAGAAAACCTTTTTTTTCTAATTACTGAATAAAAATTGATTGAATAATATTATTATATATTGATTGAATTGATTGAAGAATATATAATGAATAAATATTATGAATATACAAATATTAAAATTTGTGGAAAAGATTGTCGTCGCTGTGGGAATCGAACCCACGTCTTCGACATTCGCGGCCTGACGCTTTAGCCACTAAGCTAAACGGCTGATCGCCACACCGACCAAAATCTCAACGTCTTTTATCCACATTGTTTAAACTTAAGTGCAGAGATTAGCACTAAAAAAAATGAATTTCTAATATACAAATATGTTATACTTGCTATTCAGTAATGTTCCTATCAACAAAATAACAAATATGAATATCAGTAGGTACTATTATTTTCTCCAAATCTCTTTTAATGGTGGTAGGGCCACGCAGCAGCCTTGGCTGTTGCACGCAGGCCCTTCCGGGTTAAGTACCACGACCTCACAGACCAGCGCAAAGTGGAAGTATGACAAATACTTTCGCGTTTCGTCTGGTGAGTGAGGTAGCCTGAGCCCAATTTTCAAAAGGTTGTCAACGCATCTGTAACCTTCGGGTGTGGCAGATGTCCACGGGCGGCGGTATTCACTTAACATCAGGTGAACCGTCTGCTCGTTTGACAACTTTTCGCATAAAAAAAATCCAAAACGAGACAAGCGATAAGCGAACCCCTCGTTTTTACCGTTTTTTGACTCAGCAAGTACAAAAAAAATAGTATTAGTACTTGCCCTTCCCCACCGCCTCAATATTTAATGACCTGATTTGTTGTAGTAAAATCATATGCTGGCTATAAGTCAATTACCTTGCCATTTTGGAAATACGTAATGTTTCTACTTGTTCCAGGCGAAGTTTCAACTTCTGCACGTGACACCTCAACGCGCCACTATACTAAAGTGCAACGAGCTCTCGCAGGAGTTCAACTTTGAACCTTTACAAGGTCTTCAAGTAAGGAACATTTAGAGCACTGCCCTGAAACGGTGGTAGGGCCACGCAGCAGCCTCGGCTGTTGCACGAATGGGCAGGCCCGTACGGGTAAGTACCACCACGACCTCACAGAAGACCAGCGTAAAGTGGAAGTATGACAAATACTTTCGCGTTTCGTCTGGTGAGTGAGGTAGCCGGAGCCCAATTTTCAAAGGTTGTCAACGCATCTTTAACCCTCGGGTGTAGCAGATGTCCATGGGCGGCGGTATTCACTTACCATCAGGTTAACCGTCTACTCGTTTGGCAACTTATCACATTAAAAAAATAAAGGAAAAAACTCTTTCATTTGCGAGTCTTAATGAGAAAGTAATGAAATAAGGCTGTTTTGATAGTAAAAGTTTTTCGATTTTAACGATCGCATCGCGACATAAATGCTTAGCCTAAGTGAAATTTATAATAAAGATAACTTACCCTGCGGATTATTCCTTTTCATGTGAATTTTCAACTGACTCATAAAAAAGGATTCACAAGAACCATTCTCATATACATATTACTTAGCTCCAGTGCCGGATTAACCACGTAGCGGGAGTAGCAAATGCAATTAACGTAGCAATTGCCCCCGCATATTTAGTCCCACTAATCTCTGTCTGAGCGTAATTTTTTGAGTGAAACTTATTAAGTAAGAATATTGAATTGTTTTTAGCACTTTATATACTTGAGAACCCATTGTAGATCAAGGGCTGTTTGAAAGTCTGCTACGGGCCCCGCGCTTGCTTAATCCGGCACAGCTCAGCTCTAGTTCTCTTTCAGTTCTACCCAGACCTGTTCACGCTGAACATGTCCTACGGCTCAGTTGACGCGCGAAGGTCGGCCTTCACGATGAGCTACAAGCTCGTGGAGACGGTCTTCGGCATGCTTCAGGAGCTGAAGCTCTGCAGCTTCTCCTAGACCACGAGCCTCTTCCAGTGTTTCCGTATAAACGGGAAATTTAGGCGCGTTCGTTGACCGAGCACGGATTGAAATAAACGCATTCCTAACGCATTTGCTGTTTCGAATCCACCGTACAGTAAGCTCCCTTATTTTATTATAGTACAAGTCCATTTTTTATTAAAGGAAAAATAAACCGACTTCAAATATCTCACTCTGTATTCATTTTATAATACCAATGAAATTAGTATGGGACCGCATGGAGCGCACCAGCTATCAAATAAAAAAGGAATCATCGAAATCGGTTCACGAGTCGAATGTTATGAGGTAACAAACATGAAAAATAAAAAAAAAATACAGTCGAATTGAGAACCCTCTGTTTTGAGGTCGGTTGAAAACTAATAGAATGACAGAGACGGACAAACACGTGCTTTAAGGGTTGGTAAGATCGAAGGTCCATCGTCATTGCAGCGAGGCTACCCAAAACTAAATATGAGATGCATATAACTGTGGTAGGGCTACGCGAGTCTTCGCCGTTGCACGAACGGGCACGTTTGTCCGGGGAAGTACCACGACCTCCCAGAAGACCGGCGTAAATTGGAAGCATTTAAGTTTCGCGTTTCGTCTGGTGAGCGAGGTACCCGGTGCACATTTAATTTAAAGGTGGCAACGCATGTGCAACCCTACGGCTGTTACAAATGTCAATAGACGGCGGTTATCACTTAACATCAGGTGGAAATACGTAATGTTTCTACTTGTTCCAGGCGAAGTTTTCAACTTCTGCACGTGACACCTCAACGCGCCACTATACTAAAGTGCAACGAGCTCTCGCAGGAGTTCAACTTTGAACCTTTACAAGGTCTTCAAGTAAGGAACATTTAGAGCACTGCCCTGAAACGGTGGTAGGGCCACGCAGCAGCCTCGGCTGTTGCACGAATGGGCAGGCCCGTACGGGTAAGTACCACGACCTCACAGAAGACCAGCGTAAAGTGGAAGTATGACAAATACTTTCGCGTTTCGTCTGGTGAGTGAGGTAGCCGGAGCCCAATTTTCAAAAAGGTTGTCAACGCATCTTTAACCCTCGGGTGTAGCAGATGTCCATGGGCGGCGGTATTCACTTACCATCAGGTTAACCGTCTACTCGTTTGGCAACTTATCACATTAAAAAAATAAAGGAAAAAAAAAAAAAAAAAAAACTCTTTCATTTGCGAGTCTTAATGAGAAAGTAATGAAATAAGGCTGTTTTGATAGTAAAAGTTTTTCGATTTTAACGATCGCATCGCGACATAAATGCTTAGCCTAAGTGAAATTTATAATAAAGATAACTTACCCTGCGGATTATTCCTTTTCATGTGAATTTTCAACTGACTCATAAAAAAAGGATTCACAAGAACCATTCTCATATACATATTACTTAGCTCCAGTGCCGGATTAACCACGTAGCGGGAGTAGCAAATGCAATTAACGTAGCAATTGCCCCCGCATATTTAGTCCCACTAATCTCTGTCTGAGCGTAATTTTTTGAGTGAAACTTATTAAGTAAGAATATTGAATTGTTTTTAGCACTTTATACTTGAGAACCCATTGTAGATCAAGGGCTGTTTGAAAGTCTGCTACGGGCCCCGCGCTTGCTTAATCCGGCACAGCTCAGCTCTAGTTCTCTTTCAGTTCTACCCAGACCTGTTCACGCTGAACATGTCCTACGGCTCAGTTGACGCGCGAAGGTCGGCCTTCACGATGAGCTACAAGCTCGTGGAGACGGTCTTCGGCATGCTTCAGGAGCTGAAGCTCTGCAGCTTCTCCTAGACCACGAGCCTCTTCCAGTGTTTCCGTATAAACGGGAAATTTAGGCGCGTTCGTTGACCGAGCACGGATTGAAATAAACGCATTCCTAACGCATTTGCTGTTTCGAATCCACCGTACAGTAAGCTCCCTTATTTTATTATAGTACAAGTCCATTTTTATTAAAGGAAAAATAAACCGACTTCAAATATCTCACTCTGTATTCATTTTATAATACCAATGAAATTAGTATGGGACCGCATGGAGCGCACCAGCTATCAAATAAAAAAGGAATCATCGAAATCGGTTCACGAGTCGAATGTTATGAGGTAACAAACATGAAAAATAAAAAAAAAATACAGTCGAATTGAGAACCCTCTGTTTTGAGGTCGGTTGAAAACTAATAGAATGACAGAGACGGACAAACACGTGCTTTAAGGGTTGGTAAGATCGAAGGTCCATCGTCATTGCAGCGAGGCTACCCAAAACTAAATATGAGATGCATATAAACTGTGGTAGGGCTACGCGAGCCTTCGCCGTTGCACGAACGGGCACGTTTGTCCGGGGAAGTACCACGACCTCCCAGAAGACCGGCGTAAATTGGAAGCATTTAAGTTTCGCGTTTCGTCTGGTGAGCGAGGTACCCGGTGCACATTTAATTTAAAGGTGGCAACGCATGTGCAACCCTACGGCTGTTACAAATGTCAATAGACGGCGGTTATCACTTAACATCAGGTGAACCGCCAACTAGCTTGCTAAATTCTCACAAAAAAAATGGACAGCCGTTATCACTTAACATCAGTTAAGTGATAACCGCTGTCCATGTTTACCCTTACCTATATGTCACAATAATTATATTTTAACTTTGGTAGGGCCACGCATAAGTTTTGGCTGTTGCACCAATGGGCAGGTCCGTCCGGGGAAGTACCGCGACCTCACAAAGTACCTGCGTGAAGTTATGTACTTCCGCATTTAGTCTGGTGAATTAGTTAACTACATAAAGGTGGCAACACAACTGCAACACTACTGATGTTGCAAATGTCCATGGGCGCTGGTCATCAACTAAAATCAGGTTATCTGCCAGCTCGCTTACCATCTTCTTATACAGGGAGATTTTTAGACGAAGTACATACTTTTACATAATGTTAATTGACCATTCCATAATTTAAAAAAATATATAAGTATATTATTTTATTTTTACAAGAAATAACCAGAAAAATATCAATTCAAACATTGTGTTTACCCCGTTAAGAGTGGTCACCCTATTGATAAGCTGTTTAGTAATTATGCGTTCAGCGAAAAGTTTTAGTGGCTCGTGAATACGTTATTGTATTGAGACGGTAAGGCAGGAATTTCTAAAAGGGTGTCAATAATGTTTGAAAAAATTAAAAATAATCTTTGAAAAAAAAAATGATGTCAAACGTCGTATGTACGAGATTCAGATTTAGAATCAAATTCTGCATATGCTCTGTTAATATGTCCGTCGTCTATAAAATCACCGCGTATAAAAAAAACAATGATTTTACCACATTCATTCGCATTCTTCATTCGCTGTCATTGACCACCTCGCGAATGAAAAATGCACAGGAATAAAACGTCCATTCGACTCAGTTTTTGTATTGCCGTTATTGGCGCTTCATCCAGTGTTTGCACAGACAAATAAAACGCATGTCATGCTATAAACAAATTATCAATTTATTTTACTGATTAAAAAAAACTAAAAACTACGAATAGGTAGTAAAAAAAAGAACTATATAACTCCTTCCACAGCGAATCTTGGAAATAGAAAGGTTAATTTATTTTACAAAATAAAAAAAAGTTGTGATAACAAAATAAGATATGCTTACGGTTTAATAAAGCGCGCGGGAATCGTTTCTCGATATATTTTTTTTTAATTTTTTCATTCTCTATTTACAATATCATCTTTTCGGTTACATTTTACTATAAAAAAAAAGTTTTTCGGCAACTCTCGTCGTCAGCCTGTGCACGCACGCATACAAAACCTATTTTACACTTCGCAAATGTTATTTACACAAATCAGGGAGGTATTTACAAGGCCTGCGTCGAGTTAATAAAATAATACATTCGTTCGTTTCCCTCGGTTACGAGGGTGTTCCGTCGTCAGTTTGTGTGATATTAAAACGTCGTACGACAATAAAATCTCGCTTATCGTGCGACATTATGTCGCGCGGCCAGAATACGGCCCCGTAGAAGCTATGCAAACAAAACTTGCGTCGCGTAAAATTCTTTTAACTAACCAACCGCAAGTGTAAAAAGTCGGGTCAAATAACAAATCGGACCGACATACACAGTCACACGTACATTATAATATTATTTTCAATTAATTTTTTCATATGTTTTATTTTATTATCGTTTCAACATTCAACTAAGCTAACACCCAAAAACACATTAACGTGAAACAAATGTCGAAATGTGATTTTGTCGTTCGCCGTCTGCGGATTGACTTTTTTCCGCGTCACATAATATAGAAACGTCGCGTGGAGAAAAGTCGAAATCATATACGAAAGAGCATTAAATAATATAGAAATAGAATCAACCGATCACAGTCTTTTAAAAATAGCGTTTGAAAAAATCAATCCACAGAGAGGAATTAAGTTAAAAAAAACAAATCCCCCCCACACACACACATCCACGAATTTTTCTATGGATCGCAAACATATCATATTCCATATTACAAATTCAACGGCATATAATCCACCTATCACCTACCGGTTACAGCTAAAAACGAAGGGTTCCCGATTTTTTTTTTAATTGCGATTCAAATTAAGCGGCGAAGGAGTTTCGATGACACTTCGCCGTTTTTAATATTTACAAGGTTAAAAATGTGAAACTCAACTGGCAACGATCTAGAAAACGTCATACAGCACAATGTTGCCATTCTATGCTAAACTAATATCAGAATGACAATACGCTAACGTTTAAAACTGACATTGAGAACTGCGCCCGACTTTGAAACAAAGATTACAAACATTTGAGATAACAATTACCGTTTCCTAGAGCAAAGCGCCATCACAATCTCACTTTTAAATTTCATTTTAAAACAAAACTGCTAGCAAAATAACTCGCATCGATGTCCATTCACAATTCACCATTATTAAAACATTAAAATAATTAAGGGTCGATCATAACGTTAACGAGCGATGTTAGTTTGGAGAGTAAAAAAAAAACGCTAAAGGCGAAAAGGAAAACGGAAATTGGTCTTCGACGATATTGAAAAAAAAAAAAAAAAAAAGAAAAACGACGCGTACCAAGTAATAGTAACATAACAGACATACTAAGTTCGCCCCCACCCACGAAGTCCACCGTACTTAATAAATACGAAGCTAATAGACAAAAACAAATAGATTTTACATTCAATCCGGTCAATATTTTATTAATTTTATTGTACACAATCGAGTCCACGTCCCCTGTGTCGAGTACAGGGCTGTGGCGAATTCATTTTGACATGTCAACGATATTTCCACTCTAGTGTGCTCAAAGAGTGCAAAATCAAACTGTAATCCAACAGGACGTCTGTTAACTGAACCCTTTTCTAGACACACTCAACGGCCCTTAGTAAACGTCAACACTGAAACTGGTGAACCCTCAACAAGTTAAACAGAGATGTAACAGTGCGGTATAACGGAAACATCGCAATGGCGGCAAAACCGTTTAATCTCCCGACGAGCGTTCGACATCCGGTCGAATGTATCAAGCGTTAGCTGATCGGCCAATGGGAGCTGAGACGATCCAAGATGGCGCCGACAAGATGGCCGACCGGATGCGCGGATCAACAGAGGTGCTTGATGAGCAGCTCGGATACGTCGCCCTTCGTCAGATCGGCGAACTCCGCCGTGGTCCGCCCGCGCTGCAGGATCTCGATGGTGCTCCTGGACTCGAGCTGCTTCAGATGGTGGACCACCTTGGCGGTGGGCAGCGGCTGGGCGGGCTTCGCCACCGTCAGCGTGGTGTTCTTCAGCGCCCTCGCGAGGCTCTTGAGGAACTTGAACCACTGCCGCTCGCTGGACGTCGCCTCCGGGGTGCTGACGAGCAGGATCGCCCTCTCGAGCATGGCGCACACGCAGCTCAGAGTCAACTGGGGAGAGGACGGTTATCTATATATCTTTGAACTCCTAAACGGCTCCTAAACTCCTAACTTTTTTTATATTGTATTAGTATGTAGTAGTATATGTGTATTAATTATAATTATGTATTAAGTATTATGTATTAAGAATTATTCAATTACTTATTTTAGTCTGTACGTTAATTTTCATTGTACACACCTACCTATTTTCCTTTGATTACTTATTTATTTTTAATTATTACGAAAGGTTTGCTGGCAGAGAACTGTGTTTAGGGTTAAGCTCGCCTTTGTACAGTCTTTTTTTTTAATCCTTTATTTGTAACTGTATTTTTTGGTTTTTTTTTTGTGTACAATAAAGAATAAGAACACAATGGCGAGCAGTGGAAAGGATTGTTCCTGGAAATGGAGTCTAGTATAGATCTATTTTGTATACTCACGGCCGTGGTCAAAGAATGGGGGGTCCTTGCAGGGTCAATTGTCTCGGAGAGTATGCCGCACGACTCCAATATCGCAGACCAGCCCGTCGAGTTTTGAATGTATCTGCGTAAATGAATTTAGAGTTTGAAAGTATCACTATTAGAGTCTGAAAATGTCATTACATCTAGACCCTATTATAGACCTATATATAGGCCATAACACAAGGCTGCACTCAGCGAAACAAAACAAAAGGTGACTGGGCTTGCTTATTTTAAAGGTGTTGTCTATGGGTGTGGATGAGGCGGCAATCACTTAAAATCAGGTAAACCTTCTGCTCGCTTGACTATTTCCCAAAAAAAGGTCCACAGTAAGACTTGATTTGGTGAACGCTATCCCGCGTTTTAAGACGTTTGGACGATCAGATGTATTATCTCATGTATCTTGTATTAACTGATGTTTGTGCTTTCAGTCCCAAGACTATTAAAGCTTCATCTGACGCAGAATCGGTGGGCTAGCCTGAACCCACGGGTTTGAGACCCTCCTCAATGGGCGTGGCCGCGCATGTACCCATGTGTGCGTTAATTATGGCACGTCCCGTACGGGCCATCGAGGCACGGTGCGGTCCGTGACCCCGATGGCCGTTGACTGTGCTTGGTTAATCGGTAGCTGGGAGCTGTGAGAACCGCCCTGAAACTCGTTTGTATAGTGTACGCGCCGTCTTGGCTTCGCCGCGCCCGAAGGCGAGGGCGAACTATAGTGCTTGTTGATGCACTAACTGAGTGTGTAGTGTTATTCGGCGGGATGCAATACTGCGCGGCCAAGCGCGAGGGGGAGGTGGCGAGGAGGGGGGAGGGGTTTTCCGTGTGGAGGGGGGGTCCGCACCTGCGGTAGTGGGGCGCCCAGGGCGGCGAGGGTGCCGTCGTCCCGACGCGCCGCCTGCGGCAGTGCGCGCAGCACGCGCGACCAGAGCGCACGCATGCGCACGTGCGAGCAGGGAGCGCGCGACGCGAACCTCGCCACCAGCGCCTGCGGAGGCACAAGTCAAGTGTCAACGGTGTACGAGCACAACGCAACGGATCTCATGTGTCAAAGTCAAGATCGATTCCGGCACAGAGACCGACAGATAACTGTTTCGTATCTGGGCGAATGTCCATGTGAAATTTATGCATGTAAAACGTCCTTACGTGATACGAAATTAACAGAGGGTCACACAAATAGTTATCTCGCATGAGTGCCCCAATGCCAAAGCCATTTCCTTGGAAACTGCACCACGGAATCATTAGTAACTAGATCCACAGTCTCAAGTTTGACAATTCAAATAAGCCTACTAATCCTTCACCTTGCCTCTTAATAGAAGGCATTTTCTATTCAACTGTACTTTCATAAAAATATCCATTGCAATACTTACCCTCCCTTTTCTGACTGTCAGCATTTGCGGTAGCCGATCGCTGTGCAGCAAACCGGCGAACATTTTGTTGAGCAGATCATCCTTATCTTCGTCCAGAAGGTTCTTGACGGGAGCCGGCTTTTGGCTGACCGCTAAGTTCACCACCTGTTTGCAAAGTTCTCAAGTTATTAAATTCATTAGTGTTATATTGAAGTTATTGTTGAAACACTGTTGAAGTTATTGTCAAAATTTATACAGTTACAAGTTTAAATAGTTATAAATAATAAATAATAAGGTCTGCTTTGTTTCCCTATTTAATATGCATAACAAAATTATTCATCCAAATCAGACTGTACACTAAAAGAATTTACCAAGACAGTAGCTCCATAATACATATGTCAAAATTCTATCTCCAATAACCAAACCCACAGATAGAAAACGACCCCTAATATTCAAGTCGACGTCATTATCGCAGACTAAACTGGCTTGTCACTAACGTCATAGAGTTATAAAATAAGTGACAGGCTATTTAATAATGTTTACAATGTTGAAAATAGTTTCTTTTTGCGGTCAACCGAGTGAAGCCATATGGGTGACATACCTCTTCAAAGCAATTTGTGTAGGCTATTTGTGAGCCATCATAAGTAGGTGGGTAATTAAAGAAACTTGCCTGTCTCTTGTCTATGCTTTCACTCTTGGGGCTTTCCTGCTTCGGCCTTCTCTGCACTGACTCGATGTTCCTGAGGAAGAGGCTCGAAGGGTCGTCTTCCTGTTCATTATCCATTGACTCCTTCTGAGCCTGCTCTAACTGCCTCTGTTTCTCTTCTCTTTCCTATAGAAATAATGATTAATCCTATAAAAAAATCACCGTCTTATATGTGTCTGGTTTACTGACACATTTGTTTTTTAACAAGGTTATTGATAAATGGATTAGATAAGAAAGTAGTATTGCAGATTTATATGGGATAATAGCTTAGCATACCATGAACATCTTCCATATTTACCACCTTTGGTCAAAAAGAACATACCTTGAGGATCAGCGCATTGGAGATCGCCAAAGGATCATTAAGTTCTTCCAGCCTGAGCAGTATCAAGTACAATGCTTCAATGTCCAGCAAGAGTTGCTTGGTTCTTCGAACCTCGCGTGGGACCTGAGTGATGAAAAAACACACTGATTAAATGTAGTAGGTTTGATTTTGATCAGCAACTGCCAACAAAGAAGTCTACCCAATAAAGAAATCTACTAGCTTGAACCATCATCAAACTTAGTAAAGTTTGATGATGGTTACTAAGTTTGATAAAATGGAGTCTATTTCTATAGTGTTCAAAGGTTTTTTACTAAAAACAGAAACCAAACTTAGTTAGAACTAAAAAACAAATGAATTGTGACTTTGCTTCAAACCTTAAAGTAACTATAGAGGCACAACAGTTTAGTATGTTGTGAGTAGACATTGATGTCAACTCACCTCTGCTGGGTTGGTGGTGCTGGCAACACTGGGCGCTCTCGAAACGCGTCCAGAAGGAGGCTCGCCCGCCACCACCTCCAAGTCAATTATCTTCCTTGGTGCGGTCACACTGCCACACTGCAAATAACCCACTATTGTTAGATGGATGCTTACTTTTCTCAATGAACATTCAGTAATGTTTTGCAAATTTTTTTATTATTTAATTACATGAAAACCCCACAGCCTGCCCAGTGACCATTCATGCATGTTTGTTATGGAAAAATTTACACAGCCTTTCACACTATGACTATCACTTGTCCTCTTCGGATTTTACAATTAATATGTGGACAGAAGAAAGGATATGCTCCGCTCTGTTGCGTGAATGGGCAGGTATGTCCAGGTAAGTACCACAGCTCACAAAAGACCGGCGTGAAGTGCGATTGTTACGCGTTTCGTCTGGTGAGTGAGATAGCCAGTGCCCGGTTTATTAAAGGTTGTCAACCCATCTGCAACCCTATGGGTGTTGCAAATCTCAATGGGCAGCAGTTATCACTTAACATCAGGTGAACCGCCAGTTCATTTGCCGCCTTCTCAGATAAAAAAAGCAGTGTGCAATAAACATGAAATGTTGAGTGTTAACACATTAAGAATGCATAAGCACACACGGTGGTAGGACCATGCAGCAACCTCGGCTGTTGCACGAATGGGCAGGCTTGTCTGGGTAAGTACCATGACCTCACAGAAGACCGGCGTAAAGTGGAAGTACTTTTGCGTGTCGCCTGGTGAGTGAGGTGGCTGGAGCCCAATTTTCAAAAGGTTGTCAACGCATCTGGAACCCTCGGGTGTAGCAGATGTCAATGGGCGGCGGTATTCACTTTACATCAGATGAACCGTCTGATCGCTTGGCAACTTTTCAAACAAAAAAAAAAGCAATATAACCTACAACTGGCTGCTGACTAATAAAAAAATTTAAATTACCTGCAGCTTCCCGAGCGAGTTTTCAAACTGCGTGGGCACATACGTCCTCGGCGTGCCGTCCTCGCTCGTCGAATTGTGACGGTGCGAGTTGTGGCGTTCCCTCGGCTGCTGCTCGTGTTTCACGGCTGGAATGTTCACAGAAATCTAAGCTTCAACTGTCTCATCTCAAAAGGGGCACCCTCACAGAAATCTTAGCTTCAACTGTCTCAATTCAACGGTATATAGCAGCCTCACAGAAGACAGGCGTGAAGTGGAAGTTATACTTCTGTGTTTCGTCTCGTAAGTGAGGTAGCCAGGGCCCACTTTATTAAAAAGTGGCAACGCATCTGCGACCCTACATGTTGCAAATGTCCATGGGCGGCGGTTATCGCTTAGCAACAGGTGAATCGTCAGCTTGTTTACCACCTACGAAGGTGAATAAAAAAAATCAATTCTAAAAATGTTTTGAAGAAAAAACATTTTTTTTTGCAAAACAAATTTTCAATAAAGCATACATACATACATTGTTGCCAAAGAATTTTACATTTTCAGATATTAACTAAATTTTAAATTAAGTAAATTCCCTGTAGAATTTAAACTAATGGATGACTATCATTTTAAACTATTTCAACTTAATAATATCTCATGTTTACTTAATGTAAATTTTAATTGTAGAAGTGTGTATAGTTTTGAGTTGATGAAAAACCTTAGAGTCAAATTCAAATACAAAATACCATAACTCATATGGACCCAATTACATGAAACAGGCATTTCCTATATATTTTTATTGTAATTCAATAAATGCGAAATCATAAGTGAATACTGCAAAGTTTAATTTTATAACACATTAGATATATCCATTGATAACAGAACTCACCACCACTGTAGAAGGGATGATTTTGCTGGTTTGCCTTGTGAGCTTCCTTTATTCCTTCTTTTTCTTTATTTGCCTGCCTCTCCAGGAATACCTAATTATTCACAAGAATTATTTTATAAAACATCAACTGAGAGTGGGTTACATTTTATTTCATTATTGGGAAATGTATTATTATTAAAACTTGTAGAAAAAGTACGAAAACATTGTTAATGTATTATTATTCATCTATTAAAACTAAGTTACTTTCTTATGCTGTCTGAAAATCTATAGTTGTATATAAAATTGATCAAGTAAATTATTGATATTAACATTACATATTTTAAATAAAAAAAAATTGAATATTTCAGAGAAATAACATATTACGGAGGCATATGTGATCTGCTTTATGATCTCCAGTGCAATTAAGTAATAAAAAATACATTTAATATAGGTTCTAATTTTCTTTTTGGTCTCATTCTGAATATTTTAAAAGTTTATAATTTTACCTGAATTTGCCTGTATTAATACAAATTCAAGTGTAATTTAACAATCTAAATTGTTATATGTCTTAATGAAGTCAGTAGAAGTTAGGCTAATAACTAAGGTCAACCGAAGACTCCATGGGGCAGTTGCTAAGATTTCGGCTTCGCGCCGTGGGTCGTGAGTTCAATTTCGACACGAGGCAAACTTGTGTGAATCACAGATAATTGTTTCATATCTCGGTATTCATTCATGTGAAATTTATGTATGTAAAACATCCTTACAAAACAGGATGTTACTCTACAACAAAGGGGCCATGTTTTTAAAGGGCAGACGGCAATAGATATTCTAGGTACAGTGGTCATTGGGGCTTACTACCCAATCCCTTCCACACAAAATACAAATACTAGGAAAATATACATATAGAGGATTACATGAAAGGCCATGATAGCTCAGTGTCTGGGTTGCTCACCTTTAATTCAATTTACTCGAGCCCTGATACCCTCTGAACAGAGGAAGTCTTTGCCCAGTTGTGGTGGGTAGAGTGGCATTTATAGAGGATACTTTACTTAACATAACGGGTCCTACCGTGTAATAGAAGTCGTGTATGTATGGGGTTCCCGTATTCAGCTGCAGCATCTGTATATTGATAAGCCATTGCTTCTCGCGTTGCGTCATAAGCCCCGCGTACTCGTCCACGTCGCTGCCAACACTGTTGTCGTCACCATTCATCATCAATCTGGGAATTGTATGATTTTGTATGAAAAATGTAATAAAACACCGTTACTGTGTTAGAGAACGGAATGATTTGTTGACCTTATGTCATTGTTAATTTGCCAATGCATATGAAAAAGTATAGGGACCAAAATAAAAAATATAGTCTACTGTAATTAATATAATGAAGAATTTTCTGAGCCTATTAACTATTGGTTGTTATACTTATGCCGTTGCACAAATGGGCAGCCACGTGCGGGGAAATACTACACAGAAGACCAGTGTAAAATGGAAGAGTTACGCGTTAGTGTCTGATCCGTTAAGTGAGGTATCCGGAGCCCACTTTTTTAAGCATTGTCAACGCATCTGCAAGTCTCCAGGTATTGTAGATGTCCATGGGCGTCGGTATTCAGTTAACATCAATTGATCATTTACAAAAAAAACTTATTACAAACAAACTCACCTGTTGCCATTATTGAAAGTGCCATTGGGTTGGTTGTTCAGCATAGGGTGGTTAGTGTACTGGCTGTTGGTGAACACTGCACCCCTATTATTCAACATAGGGTGGTGGCTGGCATTATGGAAGCTGTTGTACTGTTGAACTGGATAAGAGCCCTGCATGAGAAATTTGGTGAGGTTTTGAGGCGATGTCATTTTAGTTGTTGTGGTGTTGTAGATGCGGGGCTTTTGCTTTGCTTCCATTCTCTGGCTAGCTTGAGGTTGCTTAGTAACTTGGCTGCTTTTGCTAGGCGAATGGTTGGCCTGAATGTGGTTCCCCATAGGTTTTATTGCATTGTGGTTCATGGGTGATTGGGTCTTCATCATCTGTTGGTTTGTGATGTTCTGCTGACTGGTTGGCAGCTGTTCGGATCCTTTATTGGTTGGCATTGGGCCCTGTAAATTATATTACATACAATATCAACAAATAGATACGATAATGTTAACCAAATACATTGATTTAGTTTTTGGTGATTTTAATTCATGTACTCATACAAACTAATACAAAAATAATAGTAAGTTATGAGTTACGATTACTACATTATTAACCCATTTTTTGTCCTATAAAGCTACATACATCCCAAATTAATTACGTTAATATCCTTAAGGAAACAGTTATTTCACACTACTGTTCTAAATAGATACTTACACGAAAATTAGGATTAAATTGGTTCATACTTGGACTAAAATTTGGTCTCTGCATGCCCATTCCAGGTGGTGGAACAACCATCCTCGGCTGCCCCATCATGTGAGAAAATTGATTCATTCCTGGCGCAAATTGTCCGCCATTGGTCATCATTTGGTTTACATTCTGTCCCATTTGATTCAAGCCTGGTCCTAAAGGGTTCATGTTCCTGCTCTGACCCATTTGGTTTATATTATGACCCATTTGATTTAGATTCTGACCTATTTGATTCAAGTTTTGACCGATTTGATTCATATTCTGACCCATTTGACCAATTGATTGGTCAAATTGACCTGTAATTGAATTCTGACCCATTGGATTTTGGATCATTTGATTTGCCTGACTCATTTGATGTACATTTTGCATGTTATGTTGCATCTGATTAATCATGCCTTGTCCCATCTGATTGTTTGGAAATTGAGCACCAATTGGGGAATTCTGCATATATGGATTGTTCTGACCAAGTTGGTTCACATTTTGACCAATGTGATTCATATTCTGATTCATCTGGTTCATGTTGTGGCTCAACTGGTTCATGCCCTGACCTAATTGGTTAACATTCTGCGCCATATGATTCTGCATAAGTTGATTCCCTTGGCCAATTTGGTTCATTTGGCTGGTTTGACCAATGATTTTGTTCATAGGTTGGTTCATTTGATTAATGTTATGCGCCATCGTTTGTTGAGGGGCATATGGAAGTGATACTGGGGCCTGCAGTCCAGGCGGTCTCTGCAGAATAACAGGTGGAAACCGTGGCTGAAACATAAGGAAAAATACACGTCTTTAACTATCTAGCATGAAAACCTATTAAATCTTATATTTAAAACCATTTATAAGTTTGAAAAGTTTTGGTATTCATTATCAACCTTCTGTTATCTGCATATTTCAATGGTAAAAGTACCTGGAAGTAATTTTGTGCCTGGAAAGCCCCCTGCTGCTGCGACATTTGATTCTGCCGCATCTGCCTCTCCAACTCTTCCACAGTGCACACATTTTTGAGCGGCTGCACCGGCTAGAAATATAAATTGTTTACAATTTTTTTTAATATTTCTCAATTCTACACAATGAATAAGCCCTTAGCTTATACTCCTATTACTTGATAAACAATTTTTTGCATGCTAAACTTTTTCTGAGCCTTTTAAGTAATTTTTATTTATATTGACGTAAAATTCATTTCCTAAATTCATCAAACCAGTTAATTTAATTTTAGTGGTCTATGAACAAAACCAATCTACTATAAATTAAAAGAGTAGATTAATGCTGGTTGACAGATGGTGACACAAACCGCAGGTACTGTTGGGAAGGACAGGTCATGGCGCCAAACACTTGAGCTGAGCGAGTTCCGCGGCTGCGGCGCGTCTGTTTCGTCCAAGACAAGCCTAGAGATGGATGCTTCTGGAAAGACACAATTTTTTAACATCATTTTTATGGTGAAACAGGTATAGGTACTAAAGAGGCTTTTTAAACCATATAATTACATGTCAGAAATAAAAATAAACCCCTTGACAAACAGAGCCTTTGCAACTGCACCAACTACACAAGTAATCAATATGACTACTATTGTTTCTTGTCAAAATATGTAGTAAATAGATAAAAAAAATATAAGTGATTCTCACCAAGCTGCGAGTTAGCCTCATCTATGGCGCTATTGTTACGTCGACTGCTCTCTAGCTGTTCTGCAAGTTGTTCATGCTCCACCTCCCAGTCAAGTTCATCGGCTGCAAACAAACATAAATTAGTTTGTTACAACAAAATGCTTCACTTGAAAGGATATTTAGAAAATATTTCAAACCAATTAAATAATCATATGATGTAGAATGCACTTCAAGCATTGAGGTAAACTTGTGTCCAGCATTGAATTGTAAGCAATCAAATGACTAGTTGTTATTTATTTGTTGTTAAATGAAAATAGTCCAAGGACAGAACTTACACTAAAGAGTTCAAAACATAGGGAATTTAAAAATCTAATTGCAATGGGATATAATTGGTAAAATAATTTCATTTAACCATGTATAATATTTGAATATCAACAATAAATCAAGAGTTGTTATCTATCAAATGAAATTAAATAATGTGGTATTATACAGGGAGATTTTTGAGAAGTGCCCAAATTTACACAGGAGGTTCATACTCGGTAGTATAATTGTTTATTGAAATAAGAACAAACTTTTTTTTTTCAAAAAAATTACCATTCTATTCCCTAAAAAACAGAACTTGTTGACGCGGTAGTCATTCATAAATACCTAAATTTTACTGTTCATGCACACAAACGAACTTGTGTGCGTGTTAGTAATGAATGATCGCGCGTAAAATAAATGAGTTGCGTATAAATCACGCACTTTTTGAGAAAAGTTCAAATAAATGTAATTAATTACTTATGAGTTATTTAAAATAGTTATCATTTTTATATAACATTATTTATATCTAGAATTTAATTAAAAAAATGGATACACTTAGAAAAGCCACCCTGTATATACAAAATCATTAACCATTTGCCATGTAATATTACTTTTCAGACATCAAATTCTAATTGAGTTTTGAATATCAGTCATATAACACAGGATTTCTTTTCTCAAACTCAATGTCAGAATTTCTGGATTGGAAATTAAATTTATAGTTTATATAAAAAAAATGTACATATTTAATCTATATAAAAACTACATCACTGAAAAAGTACTTTTAGTGCTATAAAGTAAATATTGTTAAAAACTGTAGTAGTTACTTTAACTACTATTTGAATTAATAAATAAAAAAAAAATAAACGCGATAAATCCGTAAAATTAGTTTCATTTATAATGTGTAATCGCGTAAATACAAGAAATTATTAAATAAATAAAAAGCTTACAATCTTGTCCAAATGTCTCATCATTGAGTGCATCATACTCATCTTCTGAAGGTCCACCTCCACCTTCATCGTCATTTAGGTTCTGTAAAGAATATGTTCATACAATTGGTGATGCCATAAATAAAACTTCCACAAATACTCTATTACATTTACGCTTAACATATGTGAAAGAGTGTGGGTGAAAGTAAAATGCACTAAGTAATATGAATATTTCCAAGAAATATAAAATATTTATAATGTTTAGTCTGATGACATATCCTTTTTTCTATTTGTAACTTAATCCCTGTTAATATGTATGAAAAGTATGACTATGTGTAACTACTCCTTAATATTGACAAGGCAAGTTTTTATAATAGCAAAGTAAATGTCTTCCTAATAATACCTGAACAGGTATGTAGAAAGCACTGAATTTAGGATGTAGAGGTAAGTGTCGATATGAATTGTTACTTAGTTTGCAAGTTATTAAATATTGTTATACATCAAGTAATAGGTTTCGATTATTGGATTAATTATAGAAGTCCATTGCTTTTACTTTCTATGAACCTTAAAAATTTATTCATTCATATTTGTTTCCCTACTAGCTATAATATTGAAATATATTTAAAAAGTTAATTTTGTGTAGCTAAGGGTGAACTGGAATAATAATGTTTATACAGCGTGTCGTTACAAACGCGACAGTTAATGAACACACATCTAATGCTACTTGCCAATAATCATAAAAAAAATATAAGCGTTAAAAAAATCCATAATTGAAAATAAAATATTTTTCAAACAAACTAATTTAATAAAAAAGAAACAAAATTTGTAACATCCTATACAATTACAACTGACTGATTCATACATTCAGAGACTTTTTCATTCATTGCCACAGCGTCGCATTACAAATCTCTCCTTCTAACAGTATGTTTTATCTCTTTTTAATTCATGCAACCCATTCATATGCTTTGTGACCTTTACAAATGAACTTTACGTTACAGTTTTATACGTAATGGTATTCTAAAATTGTTTGTTTTGGAAAATTTAATAACTCTGTAAATATTGATGTTTAAGGAATGTAAATGTTGAATATAATTTTAAAAAGTTATCCTCTATATGTGTGTTCATTTATTGCCGCGGTTGTAACAACACACTGTATAATAAAAAATGCTTCAAACTGATGCAACTGAGTTTTTAATATAAATCAGTAAATACATAAATTAACCTCATATATTTACAAATTACAACAGTAAAAAAATTAAAGGATTTTTTTATATTGAGGATGTCCAAATTTTTATCATTGAATAATATTTAACCATTCATTATTTTTTTATTAATTGATGTACACTGTCTTCCTGTACTTATAATACAAAGATAAAATCCTCCTTTTCTGTTAATTTACATTTAAAAGCACTAAGTTTAGTTAATTAATAGTCATTTTATGTAGAAAAAATACCAACTGATCAAAATTGCATCATTTTTGAATCTACTATGAAACTTTACAATTTTAATACTTATAGTATACCATTATATTTTGTACTTCTGTACAAGTTGTAATAAACTTATCAGTCATGTCTTCTTGAAATAGCAGATTTTCTCCTATATACTTAACATGATAAAACATATGGACTTGACAAAATATTCAATTCATTACTTAAAACTAAACATATTTCAGGAAGAATACAGTTTACTTTATTTTTCTTAAAATAGTTTTAGGTTTAAGTTATGTTTCTATGAATTTATAATACAGTATTAACAAAGTTATCCAAAATCATCTACTAACGTCAAGAATTAGAGGTTAGTTAATTTACTTAAACGATGAAAGTACGTGACCACCTATGGAAACTTGTCCAGACATAAACAAGTATAATGTTCATACTTACAAATTCGTAAAATATGTACGTGCTAGTATTTCAAACTGTTCTTTCAACCAATTATTAAATTTATTTTTATATTTCAATTTAATAACTTTCTTTAACAAAATTATAACCACAATATACTTGGAAAGCTGAATAAAATAACAAAAATAGGTGAAGTGTGATCACTTAGCATGTTGGCACTAAATTGCTGGGCAGAACTTATAGGATGTTATATACCAAAGTGTTCAGCTAAAATTGTACATTTTTATGTTTACTTACCGGAAACGAAGTATCGAACCCGAAAAAAGAATCTGCCATTGGATTTTTTCATATATCATGCACAAATATGACATGACTTGTCACACTACATATGTCGCAACAGCGATGGCGCCATGGATGGCGGCGGATATTATTCGGATACTCGCAAAAGTCGCCATACTTAAATATATTCTGTAATCTCGCATTCTCATTTCTCAGCAGATAAAAAAAATATTTTTAGAGTGTAGCACGTTGTTGGCCCAGCGGCTTTGACAGTTTCTTCGGAAAAAGTACGGAATTTACTCACGGAATAGACGACAAGTTGTCTTTTAACTTTTCACGACTATCTGGCATTTCTAGTACTGTAGCTCTAAAATTAAGTCAACCAGACTTTGTGAAACTTGTTTATAACGTTGAATAATGAGTAAATCCAGCCTATAATTCTATTGGGGATCTTCAGAAGAATAACTGGCTTGCTTAAGGATTTAGCCGTTCCCTCCTCTGAGTTTATGATTAAATGTTCGAACGCCTTTTCCTAATAACGGGAACCGGCCGATATTTCGATGTTAGATCTCTAAGCTTAAGTATTACGATGATGTGCAGATTTAACTGACAGTTATAGATCAGTTCCTTCGGAAAAGGACTTAAGACTTATTAGTGTAGCCCTTATAAGGACTAAGAAACAAGTTAGCAAAGCAGAAATAAGAGCAGTTTTATAACGGACTACGTAAGTTTTGCGTCTTCATCTTCAATGTTCGCTTGATTCATCACCAATAACATCGCGACTAGAAGACGAAGTCGACGCCATCTAACTTTATCCCCTCTGGTGAAATGAAGTAAACGGGAGATGCAACGATGCTCAAGTAGGTTAATAAAGCGCTCTGATTACCTACAAAAATTGAAAATTCACAATTGCATCATGTATGCAGACTAAAATGTGACAAAAAATAAAAATCTATCCTAAAATCACAACATTGTTGAATCAACTCGAATCCAACTGTTGATGGATAAACCATTATTATCATCCACAGTGTTTTTAACTAGTAACTTAGTAAAACGTTTGTAACTATGTAGCAGTAATACCAACTTAGAGCTTTTAGCCTAAAATTAAATTGAAATATGCATGTTGGGCTTTTTTTAGGGTCCAAAAAAGGTTTGGGCTATTTTTTGGCCGACGAATAATATTTTATGAATAAATATTTTCCAAACCAAAGTGAGTAAAATAAAAGCAAAATGTTATTAATCAACGTAATTAATGAAATGTTTCTTAATATTGAGTTTTTTGTTAATTGTTTCAACTATTTGTAATGAAAAGTAATTAAAAATTAAGTTATATTACATTTATCTTAACAAAACGTAAAACTGCCATACAGTATCTTTGAATTCAATACAAAACCTTTTTTGCGGGTTTTGAAAATTGCATTTAGAGTTATTTCATCTTGATTTTAGGGCCATAGGGTCTTTTTAGTAGTTGGCAACACTACTATGTCGGTATTCAATATTCAGTATAGTATAAAATATATGTATTATCTATTCTATGATTCTATGGTTTGAAAGATTTGAAACTTGATTTGAAAGTCGTCTTTCATGTTTCCTTTCCTTCAAAATAAGTAATTTAATAAAGGCTTTTTTTCCTGATATGTAATGTTTTGTTTATGTGTTTCCTTGAAAACAAATAATATGGGCAAAAATTTTTTTATGCCTCCATTTGTTGTGTGTCCATATAGTGTTCAACTATAATTAAAGAAGTGATTAGAACTCATTACCTACGAAAATATAGCAGTGATTTCTGAATGTACCTTTGCCCTCTTTAAGCATTTTGAAAAAATTGGAATTTTTTGATTTTAATTTTATTATATAGGGCAGTATTTTATCAAATGTTGTTATATATTTACAGAACAATCATTTAATGTTTTAAGGACATAGGTCCATCCATTATAATTGTCGTCTCTTTATTATCTTATAGCTTATGTTATAGCTCTTTATTATTTATTTTGTGCAATAAATTACCTTAAAATTATATATAGAGTTAAAATAATAACCAGCCAATCACATAAATTGTAATTTATTGAAATCAAGGTTTACTGCCACTAATGTTATCATCCTGATGTAAGTTCTAGCTTACTTCATGAATTACAACAATGAAATCATGTGCCCAAACTATAGTTTACTTCTATTAAATACAACTGTAGTAAGGCCAAGCAATAGTTCTCGCTGTTGCATGAATGGGTAGGTCAGTCTGGGGAAGAAATACGCCCTTGTAGAATTCGGGATGTTAAGTAGAATTGTTATACTTCTGGGTTTCCTATGGTGAGTGAGTATCTGCATGGACATGCTCTTGGACACTTGCAACCCTAGGGGTGTTGCAAGTGTCCATGGGCGGCATCATTTAACATTAGGTCAACTGCTAGCTTGCTTGCTACCTTCTCATATTTTTTATATGAGCAAAGCAAAGAAGATAATTTACATAATATTTAAACATTATTCTAAGTATAGTATCGCATTAAACTGCAGGGTATTTTAGGGTATGTAGGACATACATTTGTATTCTTTAAGGTCATAGTATTTCCACTGTCTAGCCTGCCCATTTTAGCAATAGCAGAGACTGATCACACAAGGAACCCTTAAAACATAATAGTGACAGTGCAATCAAGCAAAAGTAGAATGTTTATTACTTTTATTTTATATTAATATTAAACTGAAATTATTTAATAGTGACATGAACCACAAATGCTATCAACAATATAGAAACATTAATGACTCTTAATGGTCTTTTGTTATATTTAATAATGAATAATGTTACTCAGTGCATGATTTCTGATTAGTAACACTGTTGCATCATCTTGTTATCATGCTAACTTCTTCATTTTGATGTAACGGAACCAAGATTATATCCTATGTAACTTTTATGTAGATGTCTCTTTTATTGGTGCGGTCTATGATAAATTACATATAGGAACATCAACTCATGTATATAGTGTTTTTATGATTGTTGGTGGCAAATGAGAAGGCGATGCTCATACTGTGGACGTCCATGGAACCCGTGGGGTTGCACTAAGTTGCCAAAATTTGAGAAAATGGCCCCCCGAAAACCTACGGTTACTTCGTCCTTACGCCAAAAGCCATGCGTCGTACGAGCCTCATTTGATGAGTCAATCCAAGTATTGCGCCAAAAGATTTCCTTGATCTATCATTCTCACACGGTAGGGCCGCGCAACAGCTACGGCTGTTGCACGAATGGGTATGCGCGTCCGGGGAAGTACCACGGCCTCTCGTTCCGTCTGGTGAGTGAGGTAACCGGGGCTACTTTTTTAAAGGTTACCAGGCCCTGGGGTATTGTAGATGTCAATGGGCGGCGGTGTTCACTTAACATCATGTGAACCGCCAGTTGGCTTAACATTTTTTCACACGTCTCGCCCACATCCATCTTTTCATGCACATCTCTCAGTCAGCCCTGCACAAGTATTTAAATGTTCTTCTCCGTTCATCCATTAACCGTGCGCAATTACACACTTCCCTTATAAATATTCTTCAGGTTGTCGTCATTTAATCGTCCGAAATAAATTTCACATGTCTCGAGGAAAATTATGTTGAAATAAATTATCTGAAATTCTGTAAATAGATATATGTGCAATTTTCTATTTTATCAAGCGATAATGAACATCTTCGTGCATTAGCGTTCATCTTTTATTGATTATGGCAAGTTTAAAAGCAACGTTATTTCTTGTTTTCACTCGTGGACAATTTCTTTGTTTGTGTTTTAATGAATATTTTATATTCTACAAGTCGTTAATGACTTGACATGAGCAAAAACTCTGTAATTGACTGATTTTGTAATGGACAATAAGAATATTATCATTTGCCGATTCGAATACATTCGCGTTATAGATAGAGGAAATAAAACTGTGCACCATAAATTAAATACATTATTGATTTGGTTCTACGCGAATTTTATAGATGGTTAAATTAAACTATTTTACGAACTTTATCGCGTTCATGGTTTGTCGCGATAGCACCATGTAGCTCAAAAAATGTAATTTGAATTAATATCAAAGAAAAAACTTGAATTAATATCAAAGAAAAAAAAAATATTGTATAAATAAATAATTATAATTGCATGAGTTGATAAAAAATGCTATGCAATAGCTTTACCGCGGCAGTCCCCGAGTGCCACAGGTATTTTTTATTTACTTGAGTTTTACTTACTTACATTTTTTTACTTCAGTTCCAACGGAAACGTAAAAAAACCTACAGTTAAAACCAGACACCTTGACCTTGTATTCCTCTGCTCCAAAGAATAAAGTCCGATGTGATTTTAAAGCAAAAAATAGATATTTACTATTCCTTGCAATAGCGTTCAAGATCTATTTACCTGTGTTTAATTTTTTTTTGTATCTCGCTTGGTTACCGAAATACAGAGTCAAACAACGTCTTATTTGATTTTTATTACAAAAATACGTACGAAATACACTTAAGGCCGTCGGGAGGCAGGCTTTAGGCGCGCGCCCATCGTCCGATTCGCACTTCGGCGTATTTCGTGCGGAGAAGTGATAATTTACAAATAAATTTTTAGCGCTTTATTTTACGTTGATAAAAACTCGAATTACTGTTTAAATTATATAATAATAAGTTCAATAAAATGTCCAGATCGCGTAAAATATTAAATTTACTAAAATATTACACAAAACCTAATAGTAAATTAGAATCGCAAAGATCCTTTTCCGATACTTCTTCAGTTTCTATGGATAAGAATGTAAAATCTGGTAAGTTAATGTTTATTATATTAATTCAAAACCTTATAAATTCAGTAAAAACTAAAATAATCAGTATGTACCTAATTAATGCTGCGCAATGGCATAAAATAACAAAGTGGTGGTAGATATTTACATGGGACGTTATTTTATGGAGAAAGATAATAGGACACAAAATTATTATTAAGCTGTAGTTATCTTGTTGTATTATAATTTTTTATTACAATTTTGTAGTGTTACATGTGACGTTTTCCTATGTATTTTATTAAAGCTTAAGGGGTACTATATCGAAATAGGCCGTTGTTCTTTGAAAGAAGTTTTACCATTGATAAGTTTTATGTGCAAATAGAACCTTTTTTGTCGGAGTATAATATCACATAAGACTTTATTCGATTGAAAATATTGATAATTTTATATAAAATATATTATTTTTTATGCAAAGTTTTATAAAATATTGTTTACAGTACACCGTTGTTTTACGGTGGTAGGGCCACGCAGCAGCCTCGCCTGTTGCACGAATGGGCAGGCTCGTCCGGGTAAGTACCACGAACTCAAAGAAAATCGGCGTAAAGTGGAAGTATAATACTTTCGCGTTTCGTCTGGTGAGTGAGGTGGCCGGAGCCCAATTTTCAAAAGGTTGTTAACGCATCTGCGACCCTCGGGTGTAGCAGATGTCCATGGGCGGCGGTTGAATACCGCCGACCATGGACATCTGCTTAACATCATGTGAACCGTCTTCTCGCTTGGCAACTTTTCACATAAAAAATACCTACCAACAATTTTTTTAAATTATTATTTATTGAAGATAATATTTTACTTTTCACTAGTTTGGTTCTTTGATTTCAGTTGTGATAATCAAAAGGCATGTAGCAATATCACCAATTCCACTTGGTGCAGAGGAAATTAGTGAAAAATTAAATGGAATCATCATCATCATGATCAGCCGCAAGAAGTCCACTGTTGAGCATAGGCCTCCCCGACTCGTATGATGTCGTCGGTCCTAGAGGGAAGCTTTCCGACGCTACTTCTCCCGGTTCGTGGTGCCAATTCAACTTGCAAATCCGGCGAGCTATGTCGGTGAATTCTGTTCTCCGGCGAATTTCCTCGTTCCGGATTTTGTCGCCCAAAGAAACTCTGAGCATAGCTCTCTCCATAGCTCGTGACTCCGAGCTTCTCCAAAAGGCCAGCTTTTAGAGACCACCTTTCGGTGCCACACGTCATCGCTGGCAACACACACTGGTTATATACCCTTGTCTTCAGGCACAGCGAAATCTTGAATGAAAAGACATCGCGTAGCTTCCCGAACGTTGCCCATCCGATTTGGATTCTTCGAGTGTCGTCTTTGGCGAAGTTGGACTTGCCTAACTGGACCGTTTGTCCAAGGTAGACATAGTGGTCGACAGCTTTGATAGTATCGTTCCCAACAATAAGTGGTATGGGTGCGACATGGCCATTGGACAAGATTTTTGTCTTGCCGATGTTCATTTTAAGACTCATCTATTGGGAAACGTTGATAAGGTCGCTGAGTATATAGTATAGTGTTAAGGTCATCCAGCGACTTTGCCATTATGACTATATCATCGGCAAAACAAAGGTGAGTGATGATATTGATGCCGAATCCGTCCCAGTCCAAGAGCTTAAAACATCCTCCAATGCGTGAACAGTTACGGAGAAATGGCGTCTCCCTCTCGTCGCCTCTCTGCTTGAATTGCTTTCGTGCTCTCGTTCTGCAGACGGATGGACATGGTGGCGTTTCTATACAAACACTTCAGAACTTCCATATACCTATAGTTGATATGACATCGCTGAAGGGACTGTAGTATCGCCGAAGTCTCGATTGCATCGAAGGCTTTTTCATAGTCCATAAACGCTAAGCATAATGGCCGATTATACTCTTCGGTCTTGCGTATAATCTGGCGTAGCGTATGAATGTGGTCTATGGTACTAAAGCCTTTCCGGAACCCGGCTTGTTTGGGAGGCTGGAAGTCGTCTAACTTGCGTTCAAGACGATTCGTAATGACTCTAGAAAACAGCTTATATACATGGCTCAGAAACGAGATGGGTCTATAACTCTTCAACAAACGGTCTTATCTCCCTTTTTTGAGAAAAGCACCACTACACTCCTATGCCATGCTTCTGGCGTGGTACCTTGAAGTATGACGGTATTCAACAACTTCTGGAGGATGGATTTGTAGTACCGGTTTTACACCCGCTCTCAGAAGTTCAGTCGTAATTCCGTCATCGCCCGGTGCCTTGTTGTTCTTAAGCTGCATTCCATGATCCATTGATGATTTTGAATTCCATATTTTTTTTAATAGAAAATTCCGTTTTTATTACCCTATTATAAAAGGTCTTGCTTCCTTTTCCGTTCCATTACTTTTAAATAAATAATAATAGTAAAAGTTAATACTGCTTACTTAAGGTCATAAGAATAAAATTGTTATCTGTGAACATTTTTTTAAAAAAAATATTGTTTGCACCCCAACTTAAGTTAGCCTTGGAACAACAGGCAAAATTGAGAAAATTTGACTTAGGCCCAAAACGAAATACGAGAAATAAAGAAAAGAAAATAAATAAATTATTAAATACATATATTTCAATACCTATATAAACACTACAAATGTAAAATATGTACGTCGACTGAAATATGTACATAAGACTAAAAAAATTGATAAAAGTGGATCGAAAATAGTCCGATATTGATATATAACATAAATCAGTTTACACTTTTCCGCAAAATATAATCTCATATTTACTAAAGACTACAGCAATTCCGCTTTATAACTTCCCAAGTTAAAATGGGAACTAACTCGTAAAATAATAAACTTAAGAAAAATTTCATTAATGAAATTTAACAAGACTAATTCAAATAACAATACACAAAAATCTTGAAATATTTGGTTGCTTAGTTTCGGTACGACGCGTGTCTACAACTTCTCCTAACTGTCCTGATAAGTAGGTAACAGTTTTGCAGATGGGACTTTATTCTTCGGAATGGGCGTTTTATATGTTTTAGAGTTTATCCAATCCTTCAGAGTCCATTCCTTCCTCAGAATCCATTTCTTCCTTCTTGATAAACAACAAATGATTATGAGCGATACTCTAATAAAAAAAAAAATCCGAGCGTCCAGCCATCGAGGCATCCAAACATGATGAATGGTTTGATCGTTGTAGCTCTTAAAAGCTGAGCTACATCGCTCGTTTGTAAACCAGCTCAAATGATGTACGAACGTTTCAGGTAAGATGTCGTGCCGAGTTACCATTGCCCAGGGCACGCTCGAGGGCAAAGCCTGCACTACGCACAGCGGGAAGAAGTATTACAGCTTTGAAGGCATACCATACGCCAAGCCTCCAGTCGGTAGCCTGAGGTTTAGGGTAAGTAGGGTCATTAATTTAGCGATTCGCTTCGTCATTCATCATCCGTACAGCTAAGGAATGGAACAACTTGCCGGCATCCGTCTTTCCCTCCGATTATAACGCAGGCGTCTTCAAGGCAAGAGTCATCAACGACTGCATCGCCACTTACCATCACGTGGGATGGCAGTCAAGCGCTGGCCAGTTTTTAACAAAAAAAAAAGTAGTCGGTGTTTTTAGATGCGTGCTTTATGTGATTACGCCGAAAAAGGATACATTTAGCCAGCTTAATTTTTTGCTTAGACGGAAGGTTTTTCAAAATTACTACGAATTGTTAAAAGGTAACTATTTAAAAAAAAATGTTATTGATTTATTCATATTCATTCAGCCTTGCAATATTGAGGAAGACATTATATAATTTACTTATCCCCTTCTTCTTCCACCGTTTGACGATCAGAAGGCCTCAATCCTTTCGTTGTCAACATGTTTTAGTTAAATCTGAATACTCACTAAAATTAAAGAATGATATATGTAATTAGCTTTAACCAGTTGCCGTTAGATATACGTTTGTTTCCAGATGTTTATAAAAAAAAAATAATTATTAACCACCAGTTAATTTTATATTATTATCATATCATAATAAGATATCTTAATAGGATATATATGAATAAGATATCTTAATAAGTTCCTCCTAATTTATTTCAAATGGTGTTTTTTGTGGATTTCTACCATACACTATCATGTCCTCCCTTTTCCAGGATCCCCAAGAGCCCGACAGCTGGACAGGTGTCCGCGATGCGACCAAGCCGGGTAACAAATGCGCCCAAGTGAACCCTTACAACCCATCTTCTCTCATAGGATCCGAAGACTGCCTCTACCTGAACGTTTACACGCCATGTCTGCCGTCGGAGAAATTGGAGAAGTTGCCCGTGCTGTTCTTCGTCCATGGCGGCCGCTTCCTCGTCGGCTACGGCGATTATTACCGGCCGGACTACTTAATAAGGCACGACGTCATCCTGGTGACGTTAAACTACAGACTGGGCATATTCGGATTCCTCTGCTTGAACATACCGGAGGTTCCCGGGAATGCTGGCCCGAAGGACACCGTAATGGCCTTGAGATGGGTGAAGGCCAACATACATCAGTTCAACGGTGACGCGAACAATATCACGGCGTTAGGCGAGAGCGCCGGTGCGGGGCTCGTGACGTCATACCTTTTCTCCCCAATGGCGAACGGCTTGTGCCACAAGGTCATAGCGCAGTCGGGCAACGTGCTCTCCGATTTGTACATCATCGACGAGGATCCATTGGATAGGGCGAAACAAATAACGAAGTTCATGGGCAGCGATATGACAGACCCCATGGCCATTTACGACTTCCTTTCGAAGGCTCCAGTTGAAGAGCTGATGATGGGCCTAATGGGCGCCGAGCTCAGCAGGCCGCCAGCCATCATCAACTCCTTCCTGCTCCCCGTGGTGGAGAAGAAGTTCGACGGCGTCGACCGCTTCTTCGCGGAATACCCGATCGTGTCGATACGCGAGGGCCGCTGCAAGAGGCTGCCCACAATAATCACCCTCAACTCCCACGAGGGGGCGCCGTTCCTGCAGCAGGACGGGGCAGGCGAGATCCGCTACGAAGCGGACCTGCGCCACTTCATACCGCGCTACCTCGCCATCAGACACGACACGCCGACCGCGCTGAGATTCGCTAAGCGCCTCCGCGACTTCTACTTCGACGGAAAGGACGTGAACGACAGGAGGAGGTACTTGGATTTCGTATCAGACGCCTACTTCGCAAGGGACACCGTTATCTTCGCCGAGGGCCTGGCGAAAGCGAACGTTGACGTCTACTTCGGCTACTTCTCTTACGCGGGGAACATGAACACAAGCCTGATGAAGAGACTCGACATAAAGGGCGCGTCACACGGCGACCTGGTCCAGTACGTGTTTTATAGACAAAGCAAGGCCGCCAAGTGCACGGAGAGCGACCGACGTATGGTCGACTTCTTATGTGAGGCGTGGTGCGACTTCGCCAAGGACGGGTAAGGACGCTTTATCAGCGAGCTGATGCTCATATTTTATTTCGAAACAACTGCTGGGAGAGGATTTTAACAATTCTGACCTTGATTTTACGCGAAAATTATAAATATTAAATGAAACTAGTTTACGTATTTTATCGCGTTTTTTATTTTGTTTTGAAATTCCCGTCGTTTCGAACTTTTTCCAGCGTTCATGGTCACGGGACAGACTGTCAGACAGTCAGTCGTAAACTAGTTTAATTTAATATTTAACAATTCTGTTAATGAGAGACTGGTGGACGATATATCGGACACCTCGGCTGTTGGTCCCCTCCAGGTGGTAAAACGGCTTGCCGAGTTCGATGATTATCGTGTCCTCCCCATGTCTATGATATGTATAATAATAAGATACGATAATAGTTTGTTTACCTCTACTTCAGCTCTGTTAAACTCTCGTCTGTCTCCAATGTTCTTGCTTTGTATGTTGCCGAATATTGTTAGCATCTCCTGCCCTGACGTTACCATGACTACCATAGTCAGGAGTAGCAGGGCCGCCGGAGACTGGGGGCCATACATTTTGGTTTACAATCAAAGGGGGGGGGGGATTTTACCGTAGTTGCCAAGACTGGCGAGCGGTTGGCAATCGCAGTTTTTACAGACCCTTTTCATGTAAACTATGCCCGTTACTTGTCTGAGTATTTAGAATCTGGAAAGCTGAGGCGGTTAACACGCAATCTATCGGAGGTCACTAGCTGTTTGTGGCTTATCCCTTATTCGCCTATTACGACACCCACGGGATGAGATGGGTGGGTTATTTACGCCGGCAACACACGGCAACTTACTAATCGATATTAAATAAATTCACACGAAAGTTAACTTTAACCTTTCAGCAAACCGAAGTGGACTGGTCAACAGGTAGAGTGGTTGCCATACGACAGGAGCAGGAAACTCACCCTCCACATCGACGAAGAGCTGCGACTGGTTCCCAACCCCAACTGGGACAGGTACAGCGTCTGGTCTAACCTCATGGGGGAGAGGTGCAAACTGTGATGTGTTTAACTCATAAACACAGCTCTTTAGATGTGACTATCCTAGAATCATTTCTTGTATTTAATAATCCAGAATAATTTCTTGTGTTTACGCGATTACACATTACATTGAAACTATATTTACGAATTCATCGCGTTCATTTTTAGCTTTATTTCAAATACAAGAAATTTAATAGATCCATTATAGAGAAATAACTTTTGACACTGCGGGATCCTATTCTTCTGGGTAACTTATGAAGCTTCTGGGAAACGTTTCATGTCAAAAGGCAATCGCGAAAGGGTTTTACTACATGTTAAGTGATTACCGCCGTCCATTGACATCTACAACACTAACGCTCGGTTTCTGAAACACTGATCGTCGTATAAATTAACTAATCAGTTGTCAGATGGTTTCTCAAATGTCATTTTAGTTGCCAAAACGATGGTTCAATAAGTAAAAGTTGATCTGATTAGTTAATTTATACGATGATCAGCGTTTCAGAAATCGGGCGTAAATATATAAATAGATAAGCGGGTCCCTCACTCGCCAGACGAAACGCGGAAGTATAATACTGCCGTGCTGGTCTGCTGTGAGCCCGTGTTACTATCCCGGACGAGGCTAACTTTAGTGCAACACGTATGATGTGTCTATTAAACTCACATTTTATCATAATAGACAAATGCAATAGTAAGAACGTAGATAGTCGTAGAAGATGTTCCCGTCGTGGCCATCGGCCGCTTAGCTTGGTTTAGTTCTTAGGGTCTGAACGGGAAACCAGAAGGTGCAGGCACGAATACCGTAGCGCCGAAAGATTCTGTTCATTTATCTGCAAATAGTTGCTATTTAATAGAAAAGGTTATGCGGGTAATATTAAATTATAATTTTTATTGTTGTTTATAGGTGGAAGGTAATCTGTGTACTTATAATTCTATCTGGTGTTTAATATATGAATATATTTGCGTTAATTCATAGATTAAAAGGTTTACATACAAAGTATTATAGAGTCTATTTTTATATGAATTTGAAACTGTCAAGATTAGTAAAATATAAAACTTATAAATTATACTGTATACCAAAGATTTTTTTTATTTTGCTATACGTCAAAAAGTTTATGCATAATTCCTATTAGACACCATTCTGAGTTATGACAAACAAAGTTTATTATTAATTTGTTTTATTTCATTTTAAATCTGATATTTGAAGCGAATAAATACTAAAAAAATGTGATATATTGGGATAAAATGTAATGTAATAGGTTCAATTTTCAGTTACGTAACTATGTAGGTACTATAGATATCTGAATTAAACCGATTTATACTAAGATGTTATAACATTAAATTACTGAACATTAAAGAATTAATTGGTTTAAAAAAGGACAAATGTGGCATTTCTCCTTTTTAAATTACCTCTTTTACTCTTAACTGTAAATCAGTCAGATGGCCGCGGTTCGTGTCACGATCATTTACTTTTTTTACTTTTTTCTATACCAGATCATTGCTTTCTTTGTTATTTATTATTTTATTTCCAAAATATATAGTGTATATACCAAAAAAAAAAAACGAGCAAAGCTCGGTCCTCCAGGTACTATTTAATTAATCAAAGTATGTACCGTTGTTATCTATGCACTTTTGCAAACTCACAGGTCCCTTTACTAAAAAAAACATAGGGGCGAGAATCAATAAGGCAGGATGTGGCTGGGTCTCCAGGGTCCAGCCATCGGGACGAGCGCTACCGATTATCGTACAGTATCCACTTTTCATCACAAGTAATAATTCGATTTAAAATGCCTTTATTATTGTGTCGGTTGGGCAAAGTAATACAGCAGTCAGCGCGTGTTTGCAAATTCGATTCATTCAATTTTTTTTACTTTCCCGATTTGTTTTTTACTACCCCGAAGCCTGCAGCTATCTCTGAAGTGGTTTGTGATGGATCCGCTTACACAATAGCCTTTAATTCTTCATCTTCCACTTTGGTCTTCGGCCGTCCACGGGGTTGGTTCTGAAGGTCGAAATTTCCAGAACGAAAACGTTGAAACCAAAAATGTTCCGTGCTTTCTTTTGCGACACCAGCGCCGTATACATCATTAATCCTTCGAGCTGTTTCTGCAGCAATGGTGCCTCGGTTGAACTCGTACTCGTAAATATACCGATATTTCATGTTTTCCATTGTGCGGTAATAAGCGACGCCAAAGAATAAAACAATGAGGAAGAAACAAATGAATGACTGATTTCAAAACTCAAATGTATCGGCTAAATGAATTTATAAATTTGAATTTGGAAATCTTAGCCAAAGATGAGATATTTCAGATCAAAGTGGTCAGTACGACAAAACGCTAATTTCATATGTAAGGACCTAATATTTATTGGTTTACAGTTAAGAGTGCGTAGATTATTGTATATAACCGTATGTCTTTAGTACCCATGCATAATAAATTTATTTCAACACACACACACACTTTGGCGACCTAGCCAACTATGTTATTGCTTCAATCCCCACACAGGAGAGAAAATTGTTTGTTCTCTATGAATTAAACCATAAACTGTGATTATATCAAAGACCATATTAAAATAAATCCAAAACTTGAGAATCGAGATATTAAAAAAAACCTATTCTGATAATTTACAACTAACAATGACTAATGTTATCGGATAATGAAATAGATAAATAGTTCTGGATTTAATTCCACAAACACATGCATCCAATAACTGTGGCCACGGCTGTCACGAAAATATTTTCTATTAGTAGGTATCCATATATTGCATACGTTAATTTTGTATCCTTACGGTGCTGGTCAAAAAATGCTTTATATTTTTTATTATTTTTTTAATAAAATATTTTTTATGTAAAGGGAAAATAAAGGCTTTTATTTTTTTTTAACTTCAATATTAAACCCGTTACATTTTAAAGTTTAGTGATAGTCTTTCTTATTTAATTAGTTTATTCAATATATAGAGTTACGAAGAATTGAAGAAGTTGACAAATAAATCAAATTTTATATACAGTATAAAAATAATATCATGTACAGATATGGGACCAAAAATACATCAACATAGTATAAAACAAAGTCGTCCCTTGCCTATCTGTCCCTATGCTTAGATCTTTAAAACTACGAAACGGATCTTGATGCGTTTTTTTTACTAGGAAGAGTGATTCAAGAGGAAGGTTTATATGTATAATACATTTCACCCGTACGAAGCCGGGGCGGGTCGCTAGTTTTCTTCTAACAGGTGAATATGTTTGAGATAAACACAATTTCAAAGAATGTTTAACAGTTCATATGATTTCATTCAGTCTCGCAAGCTCAATATCAGTCTTTCCATAACTTTTAAACGCGTCAAGCGAAGAGCGTCATGAATGAGAATTTTGTCGTTAGTTTGGACTTGCGAAAGCCTTTAGAAAAAAGCACTTCTTCCCAGTATCGTTCCTTACGGGCTTTCTGAGAAATTATACTATTAAATAACGACTTTTTCTCACGGACTAGAGAATCAAGGTCGTTGACTGTACATTCCCCGGACGCCAAACCCTCGATCACTAGCGTTTTACAGAGCTGCGTGCTGTCCAAAATCAATGAAGTCCGTATGATCACTTAAGCTGGCCATTGACGTTAACAGTCTTCCCGGAAACATCTTTATGGCTAATATGAACATTAATATGGTGTTGTTTTTTGTAAAAAGGTGGAAGAACATGTTTTTATGTAAGAAGGTGGCAAGCTAGTGGTTCAAAAGATGTTAAGTGATAACCGCCGCCCTTGCAACACCAGTAGGGCTGTCACCTTTTAAAAACTGAGCCCCTGCTACCTCACTGATCAGACGAAAAGCAGAAGTATAACACTTACACTTAACGCTGGTCTTCTGTGATGTGAGGTCGTGGTACTTACAACGTTCCACCAGCCCTTTCGTCCAACAGCTCCCGCTCCTTTTCACTTCCTCTCCAATTTTGGTTGTTAACGTAGTCGTTCAACGAAAAATGGGCCCCGTCGCTAAAAAAAATATTACCTTAAAAAATATACATATATAAGTTTTCTACCCGATATTGAGATGACGTCGATGAAATCGTTTTCAACAATTTCAATATAATTTACTACAATTCTTAATAAAGATCGATGTTTCGTTATGTTACCTAGTACCTACGTCAATATTCGGAAACAGCTGGTAGTAGACCTGAAACAAACATTAAATATGCTGTTCATAACAGTTTATAACTTATTAATCTTTCGTAATTATTTCACAACAAATGATCACGATTAAAAAAATACTTGTCCTGTTTGGGAATCGAACCCACAACCCGCGGCGCTGAATCCGATGGCATAGTAATTATACCAATCAAGTCGTCAAGTGCCTACCTAGTTAGGTGATAACTGATGTTTCTGCAGTCAGAGGAATTAACATAATAAATTAAATACTTTGTGTTTAAATGTTTATCATGGACGTTGATATTGAACTTGCAATTTTCTATGATAGTTGAATAGTATGGGCAGAATCATCGACCTGATAGTTGTTTTGGCCTGTCATAAGATCAGCGCGAAGAGGACGTGTTTATACAGTACATGGCGACAAGCAATGCTAAAACACGCTATTCTAATGTCGTAGTATTTTAGTCACTTTTATCCACGAGGCCGCGGTACTTCCCCAATTGAGCTTGTGATTCTACTCAGCAATATAAGCTTCCTCCTGGTATTACTATAGTGAAATAAAAAGTAATTCCCAGTAACGCATTTAGTAATGTTTAAAACTGACAAATTCTATTAAGGAAACATTTCTCAGCGCTTGTATTTTGATCGGGTGTCTCTGGCATCCAAGGTTAGGCGTTCACATTTTTGTGCAATAGTTTTTGCGCTGACTAATGATTGTTAAAAAGAAACGTGTGTCGTTTAGGTTAGGATTTTTTATTAAATGGATGAAATAAAAGAACTGGAAATAAAAGAATGTTCTTTGAATGCTTTCAAATCTGTAAATTCATCACGTGAAAAAAGATATAGCGTACAATCTATACGTAATATTCTATGAGTAAAAAGACACTTACGAGACAACTGCTGTTAAAGACACATTTACATGTATAAATTATTTTACGTACATTGTGTCCGTATAATTTTTTCCACAATCAGCTGTTGGTGAATTAACATAGATAGGTTTTTCGCACGAAAAGAGCAAAGACTCGATAGCAATAGGTCTTATTGGTACGGAGTCAGTCAGTCTGCCGGCGTTTTTTGTTAAACCAGGTCGCTGGTGCCGGATTGTGTAAATAAATCTAAAAGCGTTCAAAAAACGGTATGTAAATTTAGTGAATATAAACTGTTTATGTGCACAAAGTGTCATTTTTAAAGTAAAAAAAAGTGTTGTTTTGTTTTGAATTGTGGTTTAAAATTGGGTGTCACAATTCTTCGAAAGTAAGTTTTTATTTCGTATGTGTATTACTTGTTAACCAACTTGGTCACGCATGTGTTATCTGTTTTAAAAAATTCCCATATCGGTATCCCTTCGGAAAATGTCTATATTAAAATGTAAATAAAAAGTCGTGTATTTTGATGACCACCGTTTAAATTTGGACAGTGTGATTTTATTTTTGATAGTAATAGAGTATAGGTTATAATTAACGGATTGTGTTTTCTTGTTATTTATGGCACGCGAATAAAAACAAAATGTTTTTGTATCTACATAGACTGACTATGTCTTATACGATAAGTAATATAATGAAAATAAAATGATTAGATGTACATTTTGTATTACTGTCGTAATACTTGTAACTGCTGTGTAAATAGGTGAAAGTAGATATGTAGCTAGTTTTAATAGCGAAGAAAACATGTTGAAATTGTCATTCATAATGTTGTATAATTTGTATATGTGAATGAAAAGCGTCTGAGGTTACCATGAGGTTAATATGAACAACTTAGTTACTGTTACTGAGAGTATAATTATGTAAGTAACGGTAACTCAGTTTATATAGTATGTTACCTGCGAGTTCTTAAACAACTTCTAAGTATCCCAAACCAAATGGTTCGGATTTTCGTGAGTTTGTGTTATTGTGCTATTATATTTTCGGCATTCAGTTTGTGATAACAGTCCCCCGTTAATAACTTTCCGGTTCTTTAACCGTTTTATGATGAAGTTATCCTAAAATTCTTCGCGCCATGATAGCTCAGTGTCAGTGTGTGCTCGCTTTTAATTCGACATACTCGTACAGCCTGGGTTCAAATCTCGGTGTCTGCACCAATGAAATAGTTAATTGGAATTTTGAATTTGAATTGAAAATATGCAGGTTTCCTCGCGATGTTTTCCTTCACCGCCGAGCACGTGATAATTAAGCAGTTAAAATTAACAATTTTATTGGTGCTGTGCACCGGGAATCGAACTCAGGTTGCTTGAGTAAATGTAATTAAAGGCGAGCGCCCGGACACTGAGCTATCACAGCTCTATGTATGCATGTCGCGCAGGATCCTGCTTCGAGCAGCCTGTGGTGGATGCGTATGTCCAGAAGTGGACATACGCAATCAAAAATGTTGAAATTATGATGATGATGATGTACGTTGGCACCAAGTTGCATAGTCCCGATGTGTATTAATTTCTAAATTTAAGCTGTGGGTGTTTAACAAACTAGCGACCAGCCCCGGCTTCGCGTGGGTGCAATGTATTATACATATAAACCTTCCTCTTGAATCAATCTATTTATTAATAATTTTTAACAAAAAAAAAACGACTTCAATTTGAAAATTAAAAACATTGTTAATACCTATAACATTCAATGATGGCACTCAATTTCTCTGGGATCCCATCATCAAATCCGGGACTCCTTGGGATATCTCCGTTCCGTCAAAAAAAGAATCATCAAAATCGGTTCATAAACGACGAAGTTATCCACGAACGCACATAACAAAAATAAAAATATATACGGTCGAATTGAGAAACCTCCTCCTTTTTTGAAGTCGGTTAAGAAAAGCGCATCAGGATCCGTTGCGTAGTTTTAAAGATCTAAGCGTACTTACAGACAGCGGGACGACTGTTTTATACTATGATGTACAGAATCATAATGACGGCGTGTTATGCAGCTATGTTATACAGATATCTTTGTAATACACGCATACCTTTCACCGTGTTTCATAGTTGCTCCCACGTTTACGAAAGGGTTTTGTGATAATATCTGTTATGTGTATATAATTCAACAATATAAAAAAACGAATTATTCTATTTACACAATATTAAGATACAAACTTAAAATAACCTCTACATGCATTTGGTCCATATTTGCAAGTTAATTCACAGCGATCATTTCATACTTGGGTTCCTGCAAGAGGCTTATGACACTTTATTTTAGTGTAGTAGTAGTATCATAGCTTTCATGGTTTTTCGTCAATATAATGACAACATTGAATATATTTTAATGAAATCGACCTTATTTCCCGTTTTTCTTTAAACTTTTCGGCGCTGCAGGGAAGGAAATAGCGTCTGACTGAGCTAAAAGAAATAGTTTATTTTATCTGTTCAATTCATATTTTAACTTCTGAATAACACCTTTTAACGAGGCTTCGTCTTCGTGATTCTTTTCGTGGTGACAGAAACATAAAAAAATACATATTTGCTTATTGTCCGGGCCCTCGCTTTTAATCGATCGATTCCAATCCGTCACACGCATTTGTGTTACTTTAGACAATTTTAAGGTTCAGGGTTTTTGATGTTATTGAAAATTTTGAGTAAGAAATAGTCTTGGAAAACGATAACTGTTTATTTTAAAGCAACTTCAAAATTTGAAGTCGGTTTTGTTTTTCATTAATAAAAATGGACTTGTGTAGATATATATATATATATATACAGCGTGTCGTTACCATCGCGATAATAAATGAACACACGTCTAACGCTACTTGTCAATAATCATAAAAAATATTAACGTTAAACAAAATCAATAATTAAAAAAAAATATTTTTCAAACAAACTAATTAAGTAAAAAAGAAACAAAATTTGTAACATCCTATACAACTCGCGCAACAGCGTCGTAATTCAAGCCTCTCTTTCTAACAGTATGTTTTTACTCTTTTAAATTCCTTCAACCCATTCATATGCTTTGTGACCTTTACAAATGAACTTTACGTTACGCTTTTATAGGTAAGGGTGTTCTAAAATTCTTTGTTTTGGAAAATTTAATAACTCTGTAAATATTGATGTTTAAAGAATTTAAACGTTTAATACAACTTTAAAAACTTATCTTCTATATGTGTGTTCGTTTATTGTCGCGATGGTAACGACACGCTATATATATATATATATATATATATATATATATATATATATATATATATATATATATATATATATATATATGTGTGTGTGTGTTTATATATGTAAGTGTATATATTGTATAATTTCAATACATATAAATATATATAGCAAGCTTATGTGATGTATACATTGATAGATTTTATGATAGTCGTTGTCTATCTTTCAACGAATCTCTCTGTGTGGTTGATGGATCAGGCCAGAAAAGGCAGAGCATCTGCTGCGATTTCTTGTAACTATCCTATGTGGATTACACATCGAATTGGCCTTGACATGGTAACGTAGTAAATTACACAGATATTGCACCGCTCACCATTAATCTTGCCGACGTAGGTTGGGTTCAAGTCTTACGATGACTAGACCGACTGCCGACTGACTTTAGACTACCTGTGCTGTATTAGGGCAACGTAAGTCTTCGCTATTACACGAATGGGCAGGTCCGTCCGACCTAACAGAAGACCGGCTTGAAGTACAAGTTTTATACTTCTCTGTTTCGTCTGCTAAGCGATGTAGCCGGGGCCCACTTTATTAAAAGGTGGCAACACATCTGCAACCCTGTGGGTGTTGCAAAAGTGTGACGGTGGTCACTTAACATCAGGTGAAAGGCGAACTCGCTTGCCCCCTTCTCACATAAAAAAACTGTCGTCCGTATAGCTTGTACGGCTATAAAAATATTATGCAGATTACGTGGGGTGGACGGTTGCAAGTGGTTTCATATAAGTTGCATTTCCGCATATCGTTTTATCAACACATTTTTATAAATGATCATTTAAATATTCGAGGTGATTTTTCGCCTGAGTGAAGATCAGCTAAATGCTAATGAGCACCTTGAGTATTTTTCGCAAGGTGCTAACTACTGGAAAGACTTGGTTATTTAAATCAATTTCATAATAATTGTTCATTATTGTCAAGCTTCAGCTTCTAATATTGTCTAAATTAACAAATTAATATTTGTTAACAAAGTACTTGCAACAAACATAACTTGATTAGAATTTATTTAAAAAAAGTAGATTGATTTATAACATTAATATGTAAGAGTATTAATAGGTATCTCAATTTGTTGAATAAACATTTTTTTTCTAATATGCCTTTCCTAATACGATTTCTATAATATCGTGGACCCAAAGACCGCCACGTCAATCTCGCGCTTTTCGCGGATGACACCGCGCTCTTTTATTCAGATCGCAACATTAGAATACTAACCACTCGAATACAAAGCGCCGCTGACCGCCTCGGCGATTGGTTCCGCAAATGGAGAATAGAAAAAAAATCCCGAAAAGAGTGTGGCGATTCACTTCACACGAAGTACTTACCCGTCACATCTTTATAATGATCCTCGCTAATGCAGAAAGTTGGGGCAAATATCCCTTTATGGCCAACCGCTCCCCTGGGAGAAAAAGGTCAAATAGTTAGGAGTCACTTTCGACTCGCGTATGTCATTTACTACGCACATTAATAACGTTCGTAATAGAGCCGCGTTCGTTTCCGGCCGGCTACACAATTTAACTAACGCTAAAAGTAAAATGACCTTAAAATGAATTAAGGCACAAATTATTATTATATAAGACCTGCGTACGACCTATTATGTCCTACGCATGCATGATCTTCGCCCACACGCACCCTACTCGCTTGTACAAGCTGCAAATAGTACAAAATAAGTTCATCCGCCGTGCAACTGGTGCGCAGTGGTATCAACGCAACGTCGATCTGCACAGCGATTACAGACTCCCGACGATTCGCGAATATTTTAAAGACCTGACCAAACGGTTCTTCGATAGAGCCGAACATCATCCCAACCCTCTGGTGGTAAGCGCAGCAAATTACCAACCCGACACAAACGCGAACGTCAACAAGCGTCGTCCGCGAAACGTCCTCATCGACCCGGTCGAGGAAGGGGAATTAGATACGCCGGACCCACCGCCGGGGGTCCCGCCGGATAACAACACTACACCCACAGCTAGTGTAACAACAAACACAATAGTTCGCCCTCGCCTCCGAGCACGGCGAGACCAACACAACGCGTACACAAGGTACACCCGCGTTCTAGGGCGGTTCTCACCGCCCCCAGCCACCGATTAGCTAAAAACACGGTCGACGGCCATCGGGGTCTCGGTCCGCACCGCAACTTCGATGGCCCATAGATGACATGTCGTAGTTAAACGCACGCATGAGCACATGAGCGGCCCTACCCACAGCGGAGGGCCCAAACCCGTGGGTTCTGGCTAGCCCACCGGTTCTGCGTCAGATGAAGCTTTAATAGTCTCGGGACTGAAAGCAAAAACATCAGTTAATACAAGATACAAGACGATTTCTATTCAGTTTTGGCGCGATTTAATTATATTTTTAATACGAAGCAAAAAGTTGCCAGTGACCCAGTCATTTAATTATAGCATAACAATGGCGGACTGTTAGAGTGATGCAGTCAGAATGACCGTCAAGGTCTCGTCATAGAATGATAACATCTAATTAATTATCAGTGATACGCTTTCTTAGTAGTTTTTGAAGTGAGAACACTATGTTCATCACACATCACCGTTGCATTTCTCGAAGACTAGCAATTAGCATTTTTAACCGATATATATATATATATATATATATATATATATATATATATATATATATATACGAGATATTTGAAATCAGTTTTGTTTTACGTTAATTAAAAAAATGGACTTGTTACTTTTACCGTTTTTTTTTATTTATACTATGTAGTTCTTTAAGGTATGTAATAGCATATAAATATATTTTATGGTCTAATGCTGGGCAACGGTATCCTGATGAAGGTTTTAGGGAAAACTCTCCTACGTGGCCCCACGTGGTAGGCGGGATTCGAACTCGATTCCCTCGAGTATGATGAACTAATGCGAGCGTTTGTAATCTGTGCCCACACGACTCTTATCTCAGTGAAAGATTAATTACAATTATTACAAGATGATTTAAGCTAATTACAAATTTAAATGATAAATAATAACTAATGACGACCCGATTGGCGTAGTTGGTATTGAACCTGCCACTTGAGGAAGGGGTGGAGGGTGTGGGTTCGAGGCCCACAACTGGAAAAATATTATGTGATGAACATAGTATTTTTTCAGTGCCTGGTTTCAGCTATACAGCGTGTCGTTACCATCGCGACAATAAATGAACACACATATAGGGGATAACTTTTTAAAGTTGTATTAAACATTTAAATTGTTTAAACATCAATATTTACAGAGTTATTAAATTTTCCAAAACAAAGAATTTTAGAACACCCTTACCTATTAAAGCGTAACGTAAAGTTCATTTGTAAAGGTCACAAAGCATATGAATGGGTTGAAGGAATTTAAAAGAGTAAAAACATACTGTTAGAAGGAGAGGCTTGTAATACGACGCTGTTGCGCGAGTTTTATGGGATGTTACAAATTTTGTTTCTTTTTTACTTAATTAGTTTGTTTGAAAAATATTTTTTTTTAATTATTGATTTTGTTTAACGTTAATATTTTTTTATGATTATTGACAAGTAGCGTTAGACGTGTGTTCATTTATTGTCGCGATGATAACGACACGCTGTATATTTATTTACAAAAGAAATACATGTTTAAGTATATTTATCAGTACCCATTTTACAAGCGTTGCTTACTTTGGGACTATAGAACGATGTGTGAAAAAGTGTCCTAAAAATATTTAAATTTGTAGTTTATGAACAATTTTTTTTATCAAACAATAATAGTGAATAATTATTATATTTACTTTTCTTACATTTGCCTACTTATTTCGATTTTATTCGATTGAATCACGTGTTTATTACTGTTAAAAACGTGTGGTTGTGCTGAAGTAGTGTTTTCCTTTAACAACTAATTCATGACATCGCATGGAAAAACCATTTAAACAAATTCATTTCTCGGAATGCAATTTTATGTAACTACAATGTAAGTGCAACAACCTAATTAGTCAATTACGTGTACGTTTATTATGTTAATCACAATAATTACACGTATTTACGCGACTCCTGCACATTTTGATGTAACTCTTTTTAATTAATTTATCAATTTTTTTCGAATGAAGCAGCAAAGAATAATTGTTTTAATTTCCAACAAAATAAAATTCGTGAAAGCAGTCAATAAAAATTGAACATGACATTTGTTTAAATGAATAATTAAATATTTTTGTACTCATTTTTACACAACGTTCTCGGTACTAGATAATTGATAAACATACTTAAACATACTTTTCTTTTGTAAATAAATATATATTATAGACATATAAACACCCAGATGCTAGAAAACACTATGTTCATCACATAATATTTTTCCAGTAGTGGTGATCAAACCCACACCCTCTGGCACAGGAGGCAAGTACACTAACCACTACGCCATTCTGGTCGTCAGATTAAACAGATAATAGATCAGAGGTCAGATAAAAACAGATTCTTTAACAATCTGTAAAAAATTAACAAACCGCGTTGGTAGAAACTGTATCGAACCGATTTCGACGGTCAGAAAGAAAGCGCGAAGTGCATTTTTGAAACGCCATCGTCGTCTATTTTGTCAGCTAAATGCAAATATATATATCTTATCCTTTAAACGAGCAATTCTTGTATATATATATATATACAATCGGAAACGGCTCCAGCGATTTTCATGAAATTTAGTATGTGCGTAGATTCGGGGGCGAAAAATCGATCTAGCTAGGTTTCATTTTTAGAAAATGTCCTTTTATAATAAAATAAAAATATTATTCGAATATGACGGTAAATCTCGCCGAAAAAAAATGTTATGATAGCTCGGTCGGTAATCGGGCGGCCCTGAAACAGATTATAATCAAACAGTTGGTGTCACAATCATTTGTACACTTATTTTTTTTACTTATTTTTCTATACCAGATCGGTGCTTTCTTTATTTTTAATTTTTTTATTTCCATATTACACGATTTACAAAAAAACCGGTCCTCCAGGTACAAATACGAGGTAGATGTGACACTAGCACACCGAAACTGAGAGTTCTCCAATTACGCCAATTGCTGTAATTAGATTGTAATTCTATAGACTGCTATCCCTTTCCGAATCATACGTTCTATATCATCTGTCATATTCACTTATATCTATCTATACTAATAACTAAATGGAGAGTCGTTTTTTTGTTGTCTTATACTTCGAAAACTACTGAACCGATCGGAATAATACTTACACCATGGGATGCAGCGTGTTTCGGAGAAGGTTTAAGTTTATATGTTGGTGATTACTTATCCGGAACATATATTTTTTTACTTAAAGAAGAGGGTATAACCGAGCGAAGCGGTGGGGGAAAGCTTGTATGTCATATAACTTAAAGCTGAACAATTTGTAAACGCCGCACAGTATCGATATGTATCATCTTTGGCTAAATGACATAGCAAACTCGATAAGCGTGTCGGCAGTACTGGGGAGATTCAATGGGCGCAATTAAATTAGTAAAATTAACGATCACTGAGAACAAAACAATAATAACAACGATAACAATTACCATCACACGGCACGCTTTTTTAATAACGCCCCAACCAATACCGCGGCAAGGACAACTGATAGACGGAGAGCCAGGGTAAAAAATGCTCTGAATTTACTGAATCATATTTTATGCCACTGGGTTTAGTAGTCCGTTTACGTTGACTGATCGCAGTATACTGTGTACACAACTACTATATCCAACTGGCTGAAAATTAGCTTTAGTAAATTCAAAGAATGCTTTTGCACTGGCTCTTGGTCCATGACCTTAAGAGGCGCGATAACTACAATGGAATAGATCGCGAGATACCAAACAGCTTGAAACAACGGCGTGGAAGTTTAAACATAACGTTGTATAAGAATGGCTAGATTTCCATTCACAAATGGGACATGGATAATACCTGGATTGATAATAATTAAAATAAGTTTCTATAAATAAATGTGGGAATGTGATAATAAAAGTGCGAGAATATAACTCGCCGACAGCGACTTCTAAGCATACATACATAGGAGTTCTCATGTATGTGATACTACCACATGGATAGTATCATAGACAATTTGTTTGTTATGTCTTACGTGTTTTAGTAGAGTAATTTAATGGGAACTAGTTTCAAATTCAAAGTCACAGCCTTAATTTAGTTTCTTCTTGTGGAAAAGGAGAAAATCGAGTGAACCTGAAGATGAATAAATATTTCAGGACATATTTACACAACATTATTTAGTTCCAAAGTAAATTTTTTACTAAAGATATTATGCAACTGATAAATATATTTGAATATACTTTTTTTGTAAAGAAATGCATAATAGATATGTAAACACCCAGACACTAGAAAAACATTTTATTATGTGAATAGTTGTCAAGCGAGCAGACGGTTCACCTGATGTTAAGTGAATACCGCTGCCCATGGATATCTGCTACACCCGAGGGTTCCAGGTGCGTTGACCTTTTGAAAATTGGGCTCCGACCATCTCACTCACCAGACGAAACGCGAAAGTATTATACTTCCACTTTACGCCGGTCTTCTGTGAGGTCGTGGTACTTACCCGGACGAGCCTGCCCATTCGCAACAGCCGAGGCTGCTGCGTGGCCCTACCACCTTAAAATATTTTACGTTCCGTTTACGTTCATCACGAAATATTTTACCACCAGTTGGGGAATGAACCCATACCCTCTGGCGCAAGAGACAGGACAACAGTGCCGGATTAAGCAACGCGGGGCCCGTAGCAAATTCTTTCAAACAGCCCTTGATCTGCAATGGGTTCTTAAGTATAAAGTGGTAAAAAAAAATCAATACTCTTATTTACTTAATAAGTTTTACTCAGAAAATTACGCTCAGACAGAGATGAGTGGGGTTAAATATGCGGGGTCCAATGTCTCGCGGGGCCCGTAGAAATTGCTACTCTTGCTATATGGTTATCCGGCACTGCAGGACGCTATCCACTACGTCAGTCGGTTCGTCGAAAAGCGAACTCAGTAAACTCTGAGCAAAAACTCGTCGGCTGAAAACTTTCGGAAAAACTTGGACCTTAGATGAGTCACCCTTGTACAATTATTAATAAAAGAAGGTACTCTAACATCATAGTCTACCCACAAATATGTACTTGATAAGATTAATTTTTTATCAGGTACGTACTATCGACATTGACGTATTAGGATATGGCAGTTTTGATAACACAGAGCTTATATCGATGAGCTTAGAAGCACAAAACTTTGTGCCGAAATTCCTGGTAAAACTTAGGTGGTGATTAAAAAGAATTTCTAAGAGTCGCTACTAACGAGGTAAAACAAGTTAGTTATGTAGTTAAGACGAACATTTTTTTTATCTTTATATGTATAATTCTACTATATGTCACTGAACTCCTCCTAAACGGCTGGACCAATTTTAATGAAATTTTGTGTGCCTTCAGGTCGATTCAAGAATGATTTAGATTCCCATTTTTTTTTAATTTTCCACTATTATAATATAAAACTATTGTAATGATTTGATATTCTAACACCTACAATCATTTTGTTTCAACAGTTAACGATCGGATGTAAACAGAAGTTAGCTTTATTAGCCCTTCATTTCGAGTTCAGGTAAGAACAGCGCAGCGGAGAATCACAAAATGGATGCGGGTCACTACGATACGCCAAGGGAAAGGAATCCCCGAGAGACGGCCAATGCTCTCTCTAAATTATGTTTTTGGTGAGTGTAGTGCTAGTTAGTGTTTGCTTTTTTGAAGTAGACGTCCCTATCGTTAGTCTCAAGCACCAACTTTAAGTTGGGGTGTCATGTTCTACGCTGGTTTAAATTCTCTGCTATGACATGAAAGATAACTAAGAAAAACAAAAATATTTAGAACGATGTCATGTCTGCTAATCCATAATGTAGAGGGGTACGCGGCCGTACGTTCTATAGGCAATAAAAAAAAAATGAAAATAAAAATATTATTTTCATTTTTTTTATTTTTATTTAGAGCTGGTTATTTTACTTTATTTTTAGTGCTACTTTTCATTTAACTAAATTTCAATAGCAATCGCAACAAATACCTATCGATTTCTAGAGTGCTCATTAGGTGGCGCCGATTATTATTATTTTCTCATTGAAATAGTAGCCGTGATAGCTCAGTGTCCGGGCGCTCACCTTTAATTTAATACAGTCGAGCAACTTGAGTTCGATCCCCGGTGCTAGCACCAGTGAAATTGTTACTTTTAAGTGCTTACTTATCACGTAGGACAGGCAAGCCGCGAAGGAAAACATCTTAACATCCGCCAATCCGCAGTGGGGCCGCTTGGTGGACTCTGCCCTAATACCCTCTGTACAGAGGAAGCCATTGCCCAGCAGAGCATGATATTATTTGACTTTACATTGAAATATTTGCGCCTTGATGATATCGAGCGCTCAATAATTATTAATTAAACTTACCTACATGATGTTCATAGATGAAAATATGTCTACATAAAAAAAAAAACATGTAACTAGTTATTTAGGTTTTTGTTGATTACTATTACAGGTACACGCGTATGATTTTCATAAAGGGGCGCAAAGGGGACCTTAGCATATCGGACTTATACAGGTGCAGGAAATGGTTTCTGTCATATATTATTTACTGCAATCTACTCTTATTTTAAACCAACGTAAAGAAAACAGCTGGTTTTCATTTTAACATTTTGTTACAATGATTAGTTTACTCTTTCCTTCGTCATATAACTCTTTACTATATAAATGTGGTTTTATCAACATTTCATTATAACAAATAGTAACATAGCGATCTGAGGTTTTAATTCCAGTCACATACATCAATTATATTCGAAGAGTTATTCTCTTTTTATGTGAAAAGGTGGACCTTTTAATAAGGTGGGTACCCCGTACCTCACTCACCAGACGAAACGCAAAAGTGTAACAATTCCACTCCATTCGTGCAACAGCGAACATTGTAGCGTGACCCTACCACAGTTAATGATCAAATACCTTCATATCAGTCAAAAATTATTTAAATTACGGTATCATCGTAGTTCTACTAGGATTATTTAATGGTAAGAACTGTGCTAATTACTACTAACAATCATAATAACAAACGATATGTTAACTTTACTTGTTTAAAACGTTAGTATAAATTTTATGGTATAAAATTAGGTGCACTCCCGGCCACCGAGCCGCGCCGCGGGGCGATACTTTGGGCGCCAGGTGGAACGAGGAGCTGAAGAAACAAGGTATCAAAAGATTCCTCCTGATAATAACCTTCGCTTAACCGGCAAACGTTGTTCGGGCCTTTGCGACTGAAGGTACCGCTTCCTAGCAATAATACGTCTAAAGACCAAATATGTTGTGGAATCACTACCTCGACCGTCCGAGTCATTTAGAAGTTATACTTCGATAATAAACGATAGCTAAGTTAAAGTTAAAGATTTTTTTTTTTCAATCAAAGTTCGTTTTATGTGCCTAAAGAAAGTTTTTAGCTTACACTGGTTCATAATTAAATGCCAGTGAAATCTTCGTTACTACTCGTTTACTTGTTCAAACTTATAATTTTAATCAATTATGATCGAATTTCGGCCACTCGGCGTCCACTAGTAGTAGTATAGTGGTAACTTACGAACGTATTAATTTTTATGTAAAATTTTGACATGTCATAAGAACGCGCAAGCGTCTATGTGTATAAATATATTTTTGTTTTTTTTTGTTGATAATGAGTCATAACTAAAATTTTTTTTACTTGTATAAGAGGAAGAAGATTATGGATATAAAATAAACATCAATTGTACATAAGAAACGAAGGAAAGGAAGAATTTTACTAGTTGATTCGAACCTACGTTTTCTTGGTAACGCGCCCAGACATTTTAACGGATAACCGGTGTCACGAAAATCTCGATATCCCATGTGATAATTTATAGCATGAAACACTACAAATAACACGATGAATATTTGTAACGAAAGACGTCACCATTGCTCTTAATATTTATGATAATTTAGTATACATACATTATGAAGGTTAGAAGCCATACGATATTCGCATCTATAAAAATATACCAGCCAATATTTGCTAGGCGTTTAGTCATGATTCAATACTTATCTTTATGTATAGATACTTACGCGTACCTTTATTCGTTCAATCAATCGGTGCTATTTTTCTCTTCTAAATTCATGCCTTTATTTCTATCCTAGACAGCGGGGGAAAAGCTTCGTTACTGTTGGCAATCACAAAGGAGTACGGTTTCACCTTCATTGTGGCGAATTTGGTTTTCTCCGTAATAGAAAGTGCTGTTAGGTAAGAAAGCTTAAATGTGCAACAAATTTAATCAGCTCAGTTACGGTTGTATTAGCTTAATATCAATTATAGACTTTGTGAGAAATCAGATTATTATAAATATCTATTTTTCTTTTCAGACTTTCCATTCCAATTTACCTCGAGGGTATGATAAACTACTTTTCTGTGTCGCATTCTGGCATCACAATCTCCGATGCTTATCTCTACGCTGTTGGGGTTGTTGGGTGAATATCGTCTCTATTTTTTAAATCCTTTTTCTTTAGCATCACTCATTATACGAAGAATCCTGAACTCACCCACGCTGCCTGATGAACAAAATTTTTGACAATTCTAATTGCTCTGACGGGCAACATTGGAAGAAACGAGCATATCCAAGAAATAACACGATTAGATTCGTGAATACGCCTATCTGCATTGGAGCCACGTTAAGGCTCGGATAAGTTCGGATAAGGCATTTGCTATAAAGTTTCTGTCGGGTGGTTCAATATTTTTTATTTTTACTTTCCTATTTTAATTCTTACCCTCCCAAATGTTTGAGTATGATGACAAGAAAATTCTCGCCATACAGCGTAGCTCAACTCTAAGAGGTCATTTTAGTTTCCTGTACCTATGTTTTACACAGAAAATTTTGTCTTTTAATTAAATTTCTCTGAAAACTAATCGGAAAGTTAACTCTTTGAGCTTTCCAAACTTTACAATAATACATGATAATCACAATTATCCATCTGAAAATAAGAAAATTTATGTATTGTGGCGAAAGTATAGAGTTCATCAGCTAAGATCCTGCCTCGGAGGCACAATTTACGGTAAAATGATTTTTTTGTCCCGACTTCAATCGATCTGTACCGATGAACATTATCGCTTGACGAATGCGGCAAAAGACACATCAATATGTTTTTTTTGTTTTCTCTGGCGAGTGAGATAGCCCGGCTACTGGAAGTAACACATTTTATTAAATACTAGCTTTTCACCCGCGGCTTTGCTCGCATTGAAGCCCTTAAACATCTATCGCCTTTAAGAACCCTTTATAACCCTTTTTCCAATTAAAAATAGCCTATGTCCTTTCTCAGGTTCTAGACTATCTGTGTACCAATTTCATTTAAATCGGTTCAGTAGTTTTGACGCGAAAACGAGACAGACAGACAGAGCTACTTCCGCATTTATATTATTTGTATGGAAAAACCGGTCTTTTAGTAGGTCGTGGTACTTACCAGGACGGACCTGCCTATTCTTGCAACAGCGAAGACTGTTGCGTGGCCCCACCACAGTCTTACTTTAATTTCCTTTTAAATGCTAGGCGCATTATATATTGCATTAATCATATTATATTGAAATCGAACCGAGCTAATCAGTGGAGAACAGCTACATTTGTCATTATTTGATTATTGATTGAGTTTATTTTTCACAGTCTGCAGCTTTTTAACGCCATTATAATGCACCCAATGTTCCTTTGGATGCTGACGCTAAGTATGAAGTTAAGGGTCGGCTGTTCCTCCCTCATATATAGAAAGGTGAGTTGTCTAGTATAGTAATAACAGAGAAGTAACTTAAGAATTTACAACGTATTCATTTCAATGTGTATTAGAGATATCAATTAATAACTAATTGATATCTCTGAACCCAGAATTGAACACAATAAGTTCGTAGTAAATAGTTTGACTTTTATTATTAAAACTATTAACTATTAACAAGTTACTATTAACTACAGAAAATGAGCTCGATAAAGTAAATAATGCTTTTCAAAATGTATAAAATCAGGTTTTTTGAAATTAAAAGATTTGACATTAATAACACGATTCCAGCTATTGCGACTGGATTTAACAATAGGCGGCCAAGCCTCTGAAGGCCTAGCTGGCCACGTGGTCAACCTCCTCACAACGGACGCCCAGCGATTCGACATGGCAATATTGTTCCTCGTGGACCTGTTCCGGGCACCTATCGAGAGCGCCTTCATAGTATACCTAATGTACAGGCAGATTGGCGTCGCCACGATCTTCGGTGTCGCTTACCTTCTGCTATTTATACCGTTGCAAGGTAATTGTCCAGACTATAATTCTTGAGGCAAGAGTTGATATGTCGTCATTTACATTCTTTTCTTCGTTCTTTATCGCATCAGGTTTTCACCCTAGAGATTATGTATATCGTCATTGATCACATGGTGGAAGGAATTGTAAATGCCTTCATGGGCTAGGGGTGCTTTTAGTACTCGCATCACCTACACCTCTAATTGTAGTTGAATCCTCGCTAATTTTTAGAATTGAACTGACATTAAGAAAATAACTACCCTCGGACTATAGGACAATTTAACATTGAGATAAAGAAATGCTAAGTGGAGGCTACACTAAATTGTCCCATGCCCAAATGAAACCTATCTGTTACACTATAGGGAAACCTGTCTCCAAATTTTATCATCTTATTCCATCGGCCATTGACAAAATCTCATTTTTATTTCGTCTTCTACATCATTCATCCTTCATAAAAACATGATAAACTATTACTTCAAAGCTAACTAACCTTCAAATGGATTCATCATCAGGTTACCTAGGCAAGATCTCAAGCAACCTCCGCCACAAGACCACCATATGCACCGACAATCGTATCAGGCTGATGAATGAGGTCGTTCAAAGCATAGAAGCCATAAAGATGTACGCCTGGGAAGAAGCCTTCGCCAGGATTATCGGTGAAGCTAGAAAGTAAATTATCTTCTGATTTCGTCCTTTCGCAATATAAAAACAAACAAGTATCAAAAAAGGTTTTTTAGGAAGCCAAAGTATAATATTCATTATTTACAGTTATTAATTGTTCTAGGATTTAACCAAAACTTTAGGTGCAGGTGCGTTACTTACACTTTAAAAGATAAATAACACAACCTGCATCTTAGTTTTCAAATGTCGTTATATGTAGATTGCAACTATGGTAAATCCACCCAATAGCTTCCCCTTTTGGACAAATGTGCAGGCTCGTCCGGCACCACGGCCTCACAGCCAGCGTGAAGTATTTCGACTTTGATTTGAGTATGGTGAGAACCGGCCCGCTGCTTTTTAGGGTTGGCAACTCATTTGCAACTCCGAGGTTTTATCGATGTCCATAATTACTTAATATCAGGTAAACCGATCGTTCGCTTGTTAACCTTTTAATTTTTTTTTCTTACTTTTACAAAATATTTGTATAAAATATTGTTATAACATAACTCAGAAACAAACTTGTCAATGCAAGTGAACATAGAGGGATTATATGCTACCGGAAGAATGGAAACGTGATATCAGCTTTGGTTATTCCAGGAAGGAAATGAACGTGCTCAAGAAAATGTGTTGGCTGCGAACCGTGATGATATCCTGCGTCAAGCTCAACACGAAGGTCGCGATCTTCTTCAGCATCCTCGCGTACCTCTTCCTCCAGAACGACCTCACCGCCGCCAAGGTGTTTGTCATCTTCTACTACTACGAGAACCTCAAGTACACTCTGGTGGACTTCCTGCCGATGGCCATAGCGTTTGTCCTCGAAGCGTACGTCAGCGTTAAGAGGATTCAAGAGTTCCTATTATTGCCGGAGGTGAACAATCAGGACGGTGTCGACTTGTTGGTGATTAATGAGGACGGACCTGGCTTGCAGACTAATGGCATTTATGAAAAAGTTAAAACCGAGTGAGTTATTTGAGTATACAATTCCAGGATATTGAACGACTATGAACATGTTGTCTTCGATGGTTTGTTACATTAGAGACGATAAGAATATGATGATGATATGTTTGTAATATCTGCAGGCATGTAGAATGAATGTGTGATCACCATTGGAGTGCGGTGAATTATTGTGGAACATTACCCTGTAGCTTGCTTGACAGTGAGCAATTTGATATTTATATTTACATTCCATTAATTCGCAGACCACCAGAACAAGAGAAACACGAGCTGAAGAAAAGGATCGTAAAGTCGGATGTCTTACTGACTTTACAAGATTTCTCAGCTCATTGGAAAACATCAGACGACAAATCCTTGAGTACGACCATACCCGCACTTACTGAAATCAACTTGAAAGTAAGATTTTTATATTTTTTTATAAGTCAATTTGGCAAATAGAATAGTGATAAAAGGATCTAGGTAATCACTTTGTATTATATATGTTTCAAATTTAAATCTACGAGTTCAATCTACTATCGACGACTATTGTTAATAGATCAAACCCAGGACCCTCACCACGATAGTGGGCACCGTCGGTTCAGGGAAATCTACGTTGCTCTTAGCTATGATGAGAGAACTGACACCTACCTCTGGCCACGTGGATGTGTTCGGAGTGATCGCGTATGCCGCCCAAGATTCTTGGTTGTTCGACGCTTCGGTAAGTTAAAATAGTTCGCAGTGTTTTTTAAGGCCTATCCATTTACCAACAACTTACAAAACATACGACATGAACAATGCATAGAAATGTCGAATGAAACAATATTGTCAAATTCGTCGCATCTACTATTTTGAATAACCTTCTTTTTCTGGCTTTCCCTGACTTAACCTGGCTTATTCACGAATCACCATGGCTATTGAACCAAAACCACCTGGTGCAAAGAAATTGCTTTAAGTATGGAATATACATTGAGGATTCTGAGCGAATTCCGAAGTTCGATCTCACCGTTGTCTACGTTTTAGAGAATTCAAGGTTAATCCTCTATAAAATAGAGACCCTTATTTCTTGTATTTCCGCAATCACACATTATAAATGAAACTAATTTTACGGATTTATCGCGTTTATTTTTAATTTACAGCGGTCATGGTCACGGGACAGAGTCTGTCCCATGAACGCTAATTAGACCGCTAAAGGATTCGAAACGTCGGGAATTAAAATTAAAATGAACGCGATAAATCCGTAAAATTACTTTCATTTATAGAGACTTTAAGAACACAAACTTCGATCGCGGCAAAAATCTATGATCCGAGCTATCCTAAGCAATTTACATTTAAATAAGGAAATTGATGCATGAAAATATAAACTAAAGATAGTATTCCAGGTAGTATTTCACACCGAAAATATACAAGTGACCTTCCTTATACATATATGTTCTCCTTTGTAGGTGCGTCAAAATATCCTCTTCGGACAGGCGTTTGAAACGCAACGGTACAAAAAGGTGATAGAATGCTGTCAGCTGCAAAGTGATTTAGAAATTTTACCGCATGGTGACAAAACTGTCGTCGGAGAGAGAGGTAAAGTTGTTATTAAGTGAACTATCATCATCCTCCTGTCTTGATTCCACCTAGATGGGGTCGGCACAACATGTGAATCATGTTGCAAGCGGTGTTAGCCATACGTTTTACGACCGGCCACCTGCCATAGAGAATGTTGTGTAAAAATGTGTCCAAAATAAAATATATATAAAAATATATAAGTATATAAAATATATTTTCGGACAGAAGTTTAAATTTGAATCATTCTATTTGTGTCGCGTGTCGTGTGTCGTGGTGCAGTTCCTAAATATCCACTCTTCAGGAGTGCTATTCATCCGAATCTTTCGCGTTGTAACCGAAACGAGTCATAATCATGTTGGAAGTAACGCCCATGACCATCATCTTTTTCACTTGAACTTATTGCAGGTTCATCGCTCTCTGGTGGTCAGCGGGCTCGTGTGTCATTAGCACGCTGTGTGTATCAACATGCCGATCTTTATCTGCTGGATGATCCGCTAGCCGCAGTCGACGCTAAGGTAAATCCGAAATGGAGATGAATGATACTTACAATATGACTAATCAATAAGACAGTCCGCCACAGTTTTAATAGTTCCTTGACCCTAAAAATAAAGACACCTTACCTCATGCTCCACTCTTTGTACAGCAACGTAAAATACATTGCTGTACAAGGGGTGAAAATATGAATATGTATGTCTCAAAACATGTATTTATAAAAACACGGATAATGCTTAAATCCACTTGACACAAATAATTTATAATATAAAAATACAACATAGGAACAAACGTTCAAAAATTCGAGTTTTGACTTTAGACTCTTTGTCAAGGAACCAGTTATTACATTCATTTTTCTATCCGTATCGTGAGGAAAATTAATTCTTTCTGTTTTTCTTAGGTAGCTCAAGCGATATACGAGAGTTGCGTGCGGGGTTTCCTCGAGGACAAAGCTGTCGTGTTGGTGACGCACCAAGTTCAGTACGCACGTTATGCTGACAACGTGTGCGTTATGCGTGCCGGCCAGGTGAGTGTCAGGATATTCGAATAGGACGAAGGAGAGAGAGAGAAAAGAGAGAAAGCATTTTTGCTTTCTCTCTGGAGAACGAAAGAAGAAATGATGAGATACCATGATGTTCTCTCACATGACATAAAGATGGGCACCATTGGGTCAACTGATGATTAGTGACTATACCAGACCAAGAATATTAAAAAAAACTGGAGTCATAAATTCGAAGGCATTCCTTAAAAGAAAAGGCTATATGCAAGTAACCACCTTCACCACACGCAATATAAAAGTATGAATACATTTCGTCCGGCGTTCTCTTGTGATCAGGCCTTGGTACTTCTATGGAAGACCCTAACAAAGGAGAGGAAAAGAAACATTGAAAACAATGTAATACAATTATTTATTATGTTTATTTATTTATATTCTTAATAAAGCGGTGCAACAAACTGCTTTTTAGTAATCCTTCCGAAAATGTTTTCTTTCAGATTGTTACACAGGGCACTTACAATGAACTAAAAGAAAGCGTTCCGCAGTTCGAGAAATTGATCGAGATGGATGACCAAGTGGAAATTGACGAAGAGAAGTCAAAGAAAGTTGAGAATTCTGTGAGTTTTCATTTAACAAGTTTTGTGAAACGATTATGGTCTAGGAATAAGCTTTTACGTCAGCGAAATTTTGGAATTCATATAGCATTCAAAGAAAATCAATTGATTCAACCCGATGTAGCCGATAACCGTTGGGGGAGAAAGTTTCTCGAGTGGCAGCCCACTATTGGCCATGGGGTAATGGGGGATGTCGATGGCTGCAGGTGGCTCAGAGTCTTGATCCGTGATAATCTGTGGGGGAGGCCTATATACAACGGGCTGAAATGTGCGGGAAAATTAAGTGAATATAGTACACCTGTATAGTTATAGATATATCGCCTTTAGATCTGCAGATTCTGCATTTGATACCGTTTTTCAGACCCAAGTCAAAGCACGTGTGCAGCGTACAGTTTCTGTAACATCGAAATCATCATTTGATATTAACGATCTGGGTCCCGAATATGAAGGTGAGTTCTTTCCACAATGTAGCCTCTACTCGTACCAAAGCGTAAGTATTGTATAAATAAAATAATATTAAATATTGTGTTACTGTCTTTAGAATAATGTACCAGATTTGTGTTATAATCAGAAGCTATTGTGTTATTGTCCTTAAATTAATGTACCCGCTTTGTCTTATTTTAGTCTAGTTTGTTATTTATAATTTAAATTTTTGGTATGTACTGAAAATCGGGAAATCGTACAGAGTACATACCTGTTTGGTTTCATGTCTTAGATATACAGCGTGTCGTTACCATCGCGACAATAAATGAACACACATATAGGGGATAACTTTTTAAAGTTGTATTAAACATTTAAACATCAATATTTACAGAGTTATTAAATTTTCCAAAACAAAGAATTTTAGAACAGCCTTACCTATAAAAGCGTAACGTAAAGTTCATTTGTAAAGGTCACAAAGCATATGAATGGGTTGAATGAATTTAAAAGAGACAAAACATACTGTTAGAAGGAGAGGCTTGTAATTCGACGCTATGGCGCGAGTTGTATAGGATGTTACAAATTTTGTTTCTTTTTTACTAAATTAGTTTGTTTGAAAAATATTTTTTTTAATTATGGATTTTGTTTAGCGTTAATATTTTTTTATGATTATTGGCAAGTAGCGTTAGACGTGTGTTCATTTATTGTCGCGATGGTAACGACACGCTGTATATTCTTTTAATTGTTAACATAACTGTGTTTGTTGTTGAAACTAAATAAATATTCATTCATTCATTCATTCATTCAAATTATGAAATTATTATCTCCTTTAAAGTTGGAAGATTTCGTAAGGAATCATGAAAATTTTATCTCGTGACCAAAATGATAAAAAAGTATACCTATCTTCAAATATCGGGCATTGTAATGAGGTAGGAATCGGAATGGCTGAAAGCTCCCCAGTGCCCGCCTCTTGGCACCACTATGCGATATTCAAAATATGCAATTCTGCTGGTTGACTAGGTTATCGCTGTCTTAGTTTACATCTGGCCCTTGTATTTGACTTTAGTAAATGCACTGCATTCTATTTCAGGCGAATTCCAAAACAAGGGGTCCGTTGATGGCAGCGTCTATTTTGAATACGTGAAGAGTGGAGGCACTGCCTGGTCAATCGTCTGGCTTGTCTCACTTTTCGTATTCGCACAGATCTTCTACTCATCCACGGATATCTGGATGAAGGAATGGTAAGTTTGGTTGTTAATTGTGATTCAATGTCATAATTGCTACGTCTGGATTAAGGGTTCTTTCGAGTTGTTACGGACGGCACTTTTGTTTTGTATACTTGTGTAAGTCTCAGGAGCTTGAGACTCATATGATTGACGGATTGAATTTTACTCGCTAAAGGTTGTTTTTTTGAGTAAGCTGTCATAAACCAGCGCCAAGAAACTTTAAAAAATTTACATTTGCATAATTGTACAGTACATTTACATTGAAGTTACGTACGAATTAGTGTGAAAATTGACCTTTTATTAATCATAATGTATTATTGTTAATCATATTGTATTATTGTTAATCAAAATGTTTTTCAGGGTTAATTTAGAAGAATCGAACAATGCCTTTTATCGAAATACGACTGAAAAAAATGAAACCGAAAACGTCATCCCTCCAAATTTTGGTATAAATTTTGGTTTTCATTTTTTTATTAAGTTTTATGAATAACGTACAAGAATTTTTATTCTCATTATTATAATTATAATAGAAGAAAAAAACGTTTTCCTGTAGATCAGTTATTCATCTAATAAATTATCATTATTATTTATTTCTAACTGCAGCATAAAAAGAAGCAATATTGAAGATTGTTTTATCATTATTTTACTGATTCATTTTCTAATTTTGCTAAGAAATTGGTTTGAAAGTTTTCTTATATTTATGACTCTACTTCTATTGGTATACTTGTATGCTTAAGCCTTTAAGGTACTCAAGACTTTAGTATTCAAGTATAAATGAATCACGACCCATCCCATCCTTGAAATGAAAATTGCTTTCCAGATACATTGGAGAATCCGTCGAATTATTTGCAGTTGACCCGCGACCAATGCATCTACATCTATGCTGGCCTGATAGCTGTTTGCATCATCTTCACCTGGAACAAGCTGATTATGTTCTACAACACCTGCATTAAGGCCTCAATTTCTTTGCACGATACTATGTTCAGGTGAGTTACATAATTTTCGTATATTTTATAATCGTTAAATTAGCCATTTGGTTTTAATAATGAGCCGTAGACTCCTGCTGATAGTTTTTTTACTTGTTATTTGTCATGATTGGAGGTAAATTTTTAATGAGTTATTTTTTATTGCATGTGTACTTTAACAGGGGCGTCACCAATGCACCGATGTGGTTCTTCCACCACAATCCTTCGGGTCGAATTCTAAATCGATTCTCTAAGGATATGGGACAGGTGGACTCACTGCTACCAGTAACGTTAATCGACTGCATTGGGGTATGCAAATTCGATACTTTCTAAAATTAGAGAAATTTTGCAGATACAACTATATCAAAGACATAAAACTCGATTACGTTTTTTAACCTGATTTAACGTTTTTTCTCTCGATGAGAAAACAAAAGATGACTTTAATAAACAATGACCTTCATTTAGACTAGATGTGCCTTTGAATTTTTCAGTTCTTTTTGGAACTCATATCGGTCCTCGTGGTAGTGTGCCTGGCGAACTGGTGGCTCCTGTTACCTACCACTGTGGTGGCGCTTCTGTTGTATCTACTGCGAGAGTTATTTCTCGGCACCAGTAGAGAGTTAAAACGTATCGAGGCCATTGGTTAGTAGATCATAAACATCACTATTCAGGATCAGTATCGTGTGAGTAAAAATACCCAGACAACGAAGAAAGCCAAGTCATTGTTATTATAGTGGAAATTTTATTTAATATGTTATAGTATCTTCAGAAATGAGAGATAAAACGCGAAAGATACTTATTATGAATGCTGAAGTAACTACAACGACAAAACTCACATAAATAGTGGACCTAATTATTTTAGCAGTATAAAATAATTTAATACACTGACCAATTGCTTGAAATACATCCGCCACACTATATGCATATTTTATTATTATGATATGAAATAAATATTCTATTAATCATGCAGCACGAAGTCAAAGCTTGAACCACGCAGCCGCAACAGTGTCTGGTCTGACCACAATCCGCTCTTGTGGCAATCGGCAGCTTACCCTCGCCCGAGAGTTTGACAAGCTCCAAGATCTGCACAGCTGCGCCTGGACTTTAGTTCTCGATTCTAACCAGGCGTTCGGTTTCTGGATGGACATTGTCTGCTGCCTATACTTAGTCTTCGTTACATTCAGCTTTTTTTTGTTCACTACTGAAGGTGAGAAATTTTGTTCTTTGAAGATGAGTTGAAAAAATTTAGTTTTTAAAAAAAAAACTAGTTTTAAAATAAAGTACATACGGTATATAAGGGCAATTTCAATATTTTTTAATTTAATATATTATAAATTCTATTATATTTTACTTATTATTGAATTTAATGATACTGACTGGAATCGTTGTATTTTGGATCAACAGAGAATCGTGGTGGTAACGTGGGGTTGGCTATAACTCAGGCCATCGGGCTAGTGGGTATGTGTCAATTCGGGATGCGACAGACGGCCGATGTAGAGAATCAGATGACGTCGGTAAGTATTCATAGCGCCCTAGTTAAAAGGGTCTATTTACGGTTGAAGATAAAATAAACAACAAACATTTAAATAGTTACAGTAAAATTGAAAATTGTGGTTACTTTACGAAACTATTTGCTTATTTTGGTTTTTTAAATTTCGTTTCGAAAGTTTTCCAGTGTGCATGGCCACGGGACGGATCCGTCTGTCAATCGAAATATCTTTGTTGTTTGTTCCTATTTCGAAATTGTGCTGGGTATATGGGGAGGTGTATTCACCTCTGAGAACGTGATAAATTTACACTTAAAATGCAGTTAATTATTTCGATGCCAGCACCGTTACTCGAAACCGCTAGAGTATATTAAATTAATACAAGAATAATAAAAGCGAGCGTCCGGACGCTACAACGGCTTATTTATTTTTAGGTGGAAAGAATTTTGGAGTACAGCAACCTACCATCGGAAAAACCGATGGAAGGAAATGAAAAAGCCTTGAAGGAGCAACATTCTGATTTGGATTTCGATAAATGGCCCGCGAAAGGTATTACGAAAACTTTGTTCAGATAAATCGTTTTTATTCCTCAAAAAGAGGCTTTGTGTAACATGTCTAGTACTTGCGTTAAAAGTAAAATTAAAAGCAAAGTAACAGCCTATATCTGTCCCACTGCTAGGCAAAGGCGTTCTCGCGTACAGTGGGTATTAGGGTATATTCCACCACGCGACCCCACTACGGAAATCGGACTTCACAAATCCTGAAAATATTTTCCTTCACTGCTGAGCACATGATATTAGAATTCAAAATTAACAATTTCAATGGTGCCGGCATCAAGATTCGAACTCAGGTTGCTAGGTCATTACTTACACGTATTTTTTGAATATGAAAAGTATAAATTTATTACTCTCCGCAAAAGGCAGGTCAGAGTTTGCTATAAGTTACGTGGTCACTACGTAGAACGAGTTAATTGTTGGAATTTTAATAACAAAAAAACTAGTTGTTGTAGTTACATAGTAAAAATGTTCAAATATTTATTTAATTTTTATTTAATACTAATAATCTAATTAATATATTTGTTTTACACAAAACACAAGCTGAAAAATGTAAGTTATGTACAAGAGGTAAGCATGAGTTCTCTGCCAGCTAACCTGGTGAGAAAGATATGTGATTGAAAGTAGCTGGAAATGTGTTCAGTGCAACCATATTTCTATTATTTCGTTTCAACTTACTATTAATAAAATTAAGATTTACTTTAGTTAGTTAATAATTAAGAGAGGTGGTGGTGTGATATTATAACACTTATAGGAAAAATCGTATTCGAAAACGTATCTCTGGAGTATGAGAAACCACCTAAAAATGAGAACGAAAAAGAAGCCGACGAGATAGAAGAGCCAGCGTACGCTATTCGCGGAGTAAATTTCAAAGTTCACCCCTCGGAAAAGGTTGCCGTGGTGGGCAGGACTGGGGCTGGAAAGAGCTCGCTCATTGCTGCGCTTTTCAGGTGAAAAATGTCGCAATTATAATTGTATGCTAAATAGGTTACAATGGAGTTATATTTTTAGATGTTACATAAATATTTTTTTTCTTGGAGCCAATGGATAGTTTAAATTTGAAAGGAACTGTAGGGCCACCCATCCATCTGCGCTGTTGCACGAATTTGAAGGTCGGTACGAAAATCAGCCACCTTCTCAAATAAAGAAAAAATAAAGAAAAAAGAATTAAGTGTAAGAAATTTTAATTTTTTATCTAGTGCTAATCTCCGCACTTAAGATTGAACATTAAATTTGTAGAAAAGTACGAAAAGATTGTCACTTCTGTGCGAATCGAATCCACGTCTTCGGCATTCGCCGCAAGGTTGTTTGCAAATAGCTCAGATTTGTTTTTTTAAATCCCCTCCGAAATTATCACAGATTCAACGAGGCATATTATTTTTAAAAGGCTGGCTAAGGTGTCGGGTCGCATCACGGTGGATGGCGTGACCGCTGAGGAGGCGGGTCTGCATGTTTGGCGCTCTAGGCTGTGCGCGCTGCCGCAGCGGCCGGCGCTCTTCGCGGCCACTCTGCGTGACAACCTCGACCCTGAAGGCCGCTACAGCGACGCCCAGATTCACGACGCCCTGGAGCAGGTTGAGCAGATACCCAGTTAATTCTACGAACTAGATATGTTACGATGTAATTAGACAATACAAGATCTTATGTTCATACAGGATGTTCACACTTTGTTAATTTCAAAGCAAGCACACGCAGCACTCGAGCGCGTCTTTGCTTATGAGCGGATTGACGAGTGATGTATATGCTTCACTATCGTGACACGTGTTCATGTACGCGTTCAGATACATCCTCTACCCCTAATCTCAGATTTCAGTCTACGCAGATCATCGATTTTACGGCAATACGGCAATGACCGTTCAAACTTCGTCGTTACCAAATTTTGCATTGGAAGAAGAGCACGTCAACATATACGCCCGATGATAGACACGAGTACTTATGAGTAACGTAAAGCTAACAGTGATACGCCACTCGGAGGAAAAGTCATTGTTGTCTTGTTTATATAAATATTCTCTTCTCACACGCGGTCCTCCGTGCTGCTAGACCAGATCTACACTGTATTACATAGTCGAGCTTCGCACGGGTGCAATATATTATACATATAAACCTTCCTCTCGAATCACTCTATCTAGTAAAAAGAACCGCATTAAGATCCGTTGCGTAGTTTTAAAGACAACTAAGTGCACATAGGTAGAGACAGCGGGACGACTTTGTTTTATGCTATGTAGTGATGTCGCTCCCGGTAGGTGGAATTGCGGGAAGCGGTATCGGCGCTGCCCGCGGGTCTGATGACGAAGGTGGGCGATGGGGGCGGGAACCTCTCCTCGGGGCAGCGGCAACTGGTGTGCCTCGCGAGGGCCGCGCTCGCCAACTGCGCCGTCCTGGTTCTAGATGAGGCAACGGCCAATGTCGACACAGAGTAAGTGCATCATCAAGCAATGATCAAAGTATTGTATGAGTTTACGGCTGAATGCTTAAAAGAGATATTAGAGATAAGTCATAGTTGTGAATAACATAAGCTGAGGGAACAAAAATAAAGATAAAAATATCAGTATTCGTCAAGCTCTGGTTTTCTTACGCGAAAATTTTTAAGACGATGCTGACACCATATCTATTTATTTATTTATTTATTCTTTACACACAAACTTGTATTTATATACAAAGCTGGACTTAATGCCATCATCATATCGCGATGTACGAGAGTGGGTTCGACTTTCCAATATTTATGTTTAGTTCATTCACTTTCTTTTATTAACTTGTAGTTATATCCAAGTTTAATTACATGTTCCGTCTTACGAAGTCAAATAAAAACTTTATTACTTATTATACGGTTACGGACCGCGCAACGACCTACTACAACCTCACAGAAGACCGAAGTGGAAGTGTCATAATTCCACGTTTCGTCTGGTGAGTGGGGTAGTCGGGGCCCACTTTTTTATAAGGTGGCAACGCATCTGAAACCCAGCAGGTGTTGCAAATGTCCACGGGTGGCGATCATCACTTAACATCAGGTGAGCAAGCTTGCCACATCCTCACATAAAACAATCCACGATTCACTTCGCCCGCAGGACGGATAAACAAATACAGGCGACGATAAGGAGCAAGTTCGCCAGCTCAACGGTGCTGACAATCGCCCATCGACTCAACACTGTCATGGACTACGATAGACTCATCGTCATGGACAAGTGAGTACCGGGAAACCAAAAGACAAGTGATGCTAGATGTAGACCTAACATTGTAAATCCGGCCAAGTGCGCGACGGAATCGCGCACGAAGGGTTCCGTACCATTGTCTATAACAACGACAAAAATTCATGTTCGTTGTTTGGCAGCCCTCTTAAATATTTTTTATTTCATTCCGTTTTTTAGTATTTGTCGCACATGCATAGAAAGCGGTCTTAGTATTAGGTTCCCATTTTACCCTTTGGGTACGGAACTTCGGATAAAAATGGAGCATAAGGTAAATGAAGTCATTACTAAGAAGCAGTGTTATAATATTTCGAAGACACATAAAGTCTGCCAACTTAACAGGACCGTCATCTATCGTATAAAATTCTTGGATCAGCGGCTTACCATTCATATAGGCAGTTTAAAAAGCAATAAGATCATACAGTGTTATCACTCAGGGGCCGTGTAGTTGAGTCTGGACATCCGTACGAGCTGTTGAGGTCGCTGACCCTGGATGACGTTCAACTACGGGTAATGTGAAAATTAACTTATTTCTTTATTAATTAAATATAACTTAATAATACACTATACATATTCGACTGCTACAAACCTTATGGAACAAATAATACTTGAAATGTGTACTCATAACTACGTCTGCCGCGAGATTGAGTAATGGAGTATAGTAATGTTAAATGTTGTGGTATGTTGTTATCAACTGAATTAATGGCAAGTGATTCATCGAATATCACGCAAATATTAAACCATAATTGCCAAAACAAAGCACGAACAACACATTTTTCTTATAATATCTTAATAGGGCTTTCCTATTTCTTAAATACGACCGTTGCTTTGCGTACTTTAATTACTTTTAATAAAAATAATGATTTATTCTACGTCTCATTTACAGGTCTCGAATAAAAGTAAAGACAAAATTGCAGAGAAACAAAGCAGTACCATAGTTGAAAATAGGCAAGTGTTATATCTATATATAAGAGGACTTTGATATTCTTTTTTTCTTTTACAAATTTTTCTTTTAAAAACTTCCGTTACATTTTTATGTACAATGATGTTAACGCTTTCAGTCCTGAGACTATTAAGGCTTTATCGAACGCAGAACCGGTGGGCTAGCCAGAACCCAGGGGTTTGAGGCCCACCACAGTGGGTAGGGCCGCGCATGTGCTCATGCGTGCGTTAGCTAAGGAGTATAGCCTAAGGGCTATCGAGGTTCGGTGCGGACCCGATAGCCGTTGACTGTGCTTCAAGACCGTAGAGCACGTGTTAAAACGGGTGAAAATGTTTTGACACCTATTTAAGCTTACAATTTAAAGCAAAAATGTATATGTGATAGCTGAAAGAACAGTTCTTTCTGTATTTTGAGACTTGAACATCTCCATATGTCTAATGTATAAATGTTATTTCTTTTTTAGAACGAACGAAGGCTTGAACGTTGGTATCTTCAAAGGCTTAGTGGAACAAACAGGACCAGAAACATCTGCTTTGTTATACAAAATGGCGGAGGAGGTATCATAACGCTTACTTTAAATTTTAAGACACATTCTAATATTTGTTTTGTGTAAAAAAAACCTTTACATGACGTTTTTTTTTTAATTAAAATAAAATCCGAAAAAACTTTTATTGATGATTAAATAAAGGTTGCTTCGTTTTGACAATAGCAGTGATTTTAATATAACATAGTTAAATGCAGATAAATTTGCATTTATAAAACATCTGAAACAAAAAAGCAAGTTTAATTAAATTTTTATTTTTCAGAGCTATCACAAACAAAAAGGTATAGCAAAACGACATAAAGGAATATCAAGAGATAAAGCAGATGAAAAACTATCTTAAGTGATCGACATTCAGAAAAGCATATTTATATTTCTTAATATATTGTTTATTTAACATTAAGATTTAAAATAAGAACATCGTTGTTCTAAACGATTATGAAATATTTTTATTGAAATTTTGACTACGATATAAAATAAATATTATGAAAAAAATCTTTTTGTTTTGATGATTGATTTTTACAGATACTTTTTAAAATTGTATCAAACATTTACCCTCTTTAAACATCAATATTTACAGAGTTATTAAATGTTCCAAAACAAAGAATTTTAGAACAACCTTATGTATAAAACTGTAACATAAAGTTCATTTGCAAAGGTCACAAAGCATATGAATGGGTTGAATGAATTTAAAAGAGACGAAACATACTGTTAGAAGGAGAGGCTTTTAATGTGATGCTGTGGCAACGAATGAAAAAGTCTCTGAATGTATGATTCAGTCAGTTGTAGTTGTATAGGATGTTACAAATTTTGTTCCTTTTTTACTTAATTAGTTTGTTTGAAAAATATATTTTTTTAATTATGGATTTTATTTAACGTTAATATTTTTTATGATTATTGGCAAGTAGCGTTAGACGTGTGTTCATTTATTGTCGCGATGGTAACGACACGTTGTATATATGAAATTCCATATGTTCCCAACATATGGACTTTTATTGAAATCAACTCGTATCAACTCGATTCGTATAACATACCGTTTTATTATATATTGATTATATATTATATTCATTTATTGGTATTCATTGATATTGGCAGAAACATCAAGTTGTCTTTGAGGGACCCTGTTCGGTTCACTGTTGAACCAAGCAGCTTTCTTTGAAATTTTTACCTAAATTCTACCAATAGGCAGTCAGAATTCAGGCTCTTTCAATCAGAGTTTATATTGTATTTGTAATATATTAATTTCAAACTGTTTATTTAAAAAAAAAGAATAAAAAAAGTTTCTTTCGCCGGTTCTTCTCAGTACAGTGGCTTTCTTTTCCGAACCGGTGGTAGTATTTTGATTATCAATAAACGAGTGTAATACTCCAATATTGAATAAAGATATTTGATTTGATTTGATTTGAATTAAAATATACTTTGACGGGCAGTCAGTTCACGTTCGGACGTCAAGCAAACGACGCGTTCCCTAATTATCATATCATAAATATCATATCATATATTGTATTTATATCGGTTTCGTAATAATGTATCATTACCTATTATCATTTATATTATCATAACTGGTGTTAGGAGTTAGCCCCAACACAGCCATTAATTTAAAATTTGAATCGGAAGCAAATCTTTGTGCCAGATTGTTTATCGTCTTCGTGCCATCAAAGAAGAGTTCACCCGTACCTTTGTACTTGGTGGTTGAGGCCTTTACTGGCGGTATGGGAGGGGTACGGGCGTAAGGAATGAGGTCGATGAAGAAGTCATTTGGTTTGCGAATCGGTACTACTACTAATATTTTCACTACATTACGGGTTGACTGGTATAGAATACCTTTGGGCATTAAGTCCCCCTTGGGATACCTTTTTTTTTTTTTTTTTTTTTTTTTTTTTTATGCGAAACGTTGTCAAACGAGCGGACGGTTCACCTGATGTTAAGTGAATACCGCCGCCCATGGACATCTGCTACACTCGAGGGTTACAGATGCGTTGACAACCTTTTGAAAATTGGGCTCCGGCTACCTACCTCACCAGACGAAACGCGAAAGTATTTGTCATACTTCCACTTTACGCTGGTCTTCTGTGAGGTCGTGGTACTTACCCGGACGGTCCTACCCATTCGTGCAACAGCCGAGGCTGCTGCGTGGCCCTACCACCGTAATAATGTACCACCTTTTCCTTAAGGTTAGCAATAAAGCATAAATAAAAAAAAATGCCGATAACTATGACCCGGGCATCTGGGAAAGAGAAGAATATGTATAAGCTGTTTTCATGGATAATACAGTTTCTTAATAGATTAATAGAATAATTTAGTACATAATAATTGTAGTATGTTACTCAATATCTTAACTTGTTTCCAGATAAAGGTGAAATAGCTGTGAACACAATTCCACTAATTTATTATAATATTAATGCGATGTGAAGTTTCCGCGTAATTGCTAGAAGTTTCACAATAAAGGCGTTTTATAGAGAACTCCAAATACCCACGTACTTGATAGGACAGAGAGGTAATGAAGCAATTTAGACTCACTCTTTATAACTACTCTCATACCCATTATGAGCTATCACGGCTCTCGAACAAGAAGTCATTATCACGAAAATAGATAAATATAGGAGGAGTATATACAAATGAATTTAATACTGTACTCGTGTGATCATGGGCGTAGCTGAAGGGGAGTGCTGGGGGTGGGGGGAGAGTGTAGAGAGTGCTTCCTTCATAATCTACAGACCGCCAGCAAAGCGCGTCGCCCTTTTTGTGAACTTTTGTTGAAAAAGAAAATCAGCTGGGTTGTGCAGTGGGAGATCTTAAATAAAATATTTTTTATGATCTTCCGCTGCGCAACCCGCAATTACGAGTAGCTCATAAAGAAGTCAATGACAAAACAAACATGAAAACGGCTTTTATGTGTTAACGTAAGATGAGTCAATATTGCGCCATGGACAAGAAATGTGGGGAATTTAGGATTTTGCAAGTTGGGCGATTCCAGGTCGTTGACTTGATTGATTTTTTAATGTGAAAAATAGTCAAGCGAGCCGACGGTTCACCTGATGGTAAGTGAATACCGTCATGCGTCCATGGACGTCTGCTACACCCGAGGGTTCCAGATGCGTTGACAATATTTTGAAAATTGGGCTCCGGCCACCTCACTCACCAGACGAAACGCGAAAGTATTATACTTCCACTTTACGCCGGTCTTCTGTGAGGTCGTGGTACTTGCCCGGACGGACCTGCACATACGTGAAATAGTGTTGCGTGGCCCTACCGCCGTAAATTACTATTTGTTTGTTATTAATTTCACACACATACCATTAAAATCGATTGTCTAATTATTCCTAACCCCTCACTTTTTTCCAAGAATCATTTATTTTATAACTTCTTTTGGTTTCCTTTAATCTTTTATGAAATGTCTTACCTCACAATGTTGTAATATAATTTCTATTGGTGCTCCCTCATCTTTCACATAAATGACAAACTCCTTGCGTTAAATGAACTTTACCATACCATTTTTGAATGTATAATTTTGGAAAATATGTTTCTGCGCTGGACGTGGTCAAAGTAAATACAGTATGAAGTTTGCAGTTTAATGTAATCGATAAAAAATTGTTTGATTACCTGTCCATTGTTGTCAATTCTTTTTCCGAATGTATTTTAACTATGCTACTGTTAGATGGTGGTATAGGTTATTTTTGTTCGTTTTCTAGTTGGTCGGCGGACATGTTGCGGATGTGTTAGTGATGGTTATACGAGTAACTAACTTATATAGTACGAGAGTCGTCCTTGTCTTCTGTTAAAGTAAACACCCGTAGGGTTGCAGATGCGTTGCAACCTTTTAATAATGAGAGCCCCGTTAAATTACTCACCAGACGAAACGCATAAGTATAAAACTTCCACTGCACGCTGGTCTTCTGTGAGGTTGAGGTACCTCCCCAAACAAGTCTGGCCATTTGTGCAACAGTGAAGGCTGTTGCGTGGTTACCATTCGCCGCTGTTCAACTCCCTCTCCTTAAGTTTTATTGTTTTCTTCGCCATTTTTACGCAAGGGCTAACCTCGTCAAGGCGCAACACTAGAACAAGATTAAAACATATTGCGCAATACTATTATTATTCATTCTGCCGCGTGGAGGATCACCCACAGGGCAGAATGAGTAATATGGTGCAATAAAAATTAAACTTAAATTTTGTTCAATGAGTGCGCAATCTACATTACTCACAAAACAGTCGATTCGTTTAGGCCTTAGTATCAATTTGCCCGTCTTACCGAGAAGTTGCTCCGCACAAGAAAAATCTTTAAAAAAATAAAAGTAATTCAAAGTGTCAAGTGTGATACATTAAAGTGTAGGTCTTAATATTGCCTAACAGGTTGTTTGCTGATAATCAACCGCAAGAAATATTTTTTCATGATAAATTGGAGAAAAAGATCACAATGTAAGTTTGTCTTGAAGAGTTTTAAGGATACAGTATCAACTTCTGTTTTGTGCCAAAAGTGTGTGAAAACAAGAGGTGCATCCCCGAAAAAATTTGGGATTTTCCCCAAAACTGAAAAATAGAAAGACTTGAAAAACCACGTGGCAGGTACTGCTTGAAGGAAGCGCACGGCCTTCGTACTAATTGGATGTGGCCAGCAGTAGACCAGGACCGAACCATTAACCATTAACCATTAACAGAGTGGGCCCCGGTTACCTCACCAGACGAAACGCAAATTTACACCACTTCTACTTCATGCCGATGTTCTGGGGGACCGTGGTTCTTCCCCGAAACAAGTCCCATTTATGCAACTGCAGCTGTGTTATAGTTGCCGCGTAATACTACAAAAGTTTATAGTACTAAAGGTGTCGCCGGATTGTGGGCGCTCATGGCTGGAAGCGGCCATGTATACTTACAGAAAGTACAGGTGCGCGGTGCTTAGGATATGGGCGTACGAATTCATTATACACAGCAACAGTACACAAGGGTATAGTGCTTTCATGATATATAACGTGATAGATAACATTGCACAAGTCCACATAAAATCGGGTAACAGGCAACTTTAACGTATACATATCTTCTTTATATGCATATTTCTTCTGTACGCGTGCATGTCACTGAACTCCTCCTGAGCGGGTTGAACGAATTAATGAAATTTTTTGTGTGTCTTCAGGTGGATTCGAGAGTTTATTCAAAAAAGTTTGAAATTTTCGAATTTAAGATGCGTGTACGGAACAACGTTTGTCCGGTCCGCTAGTATTTTATATGTTTCTCCAAAGACATTGATATTACCTCTCTAATTATTAAAAGGTAGAATTATAAGTTGAAACTCGGAGCATCTGAACTCGTGCAAACTTTCGGAAAACATAAAAAAAATTGTCTTACTCCGACCCTTTTAGAATTATTAATAAAAGAAATGACTCAAATCTTAACGTTCAAATATGCATTGGAATATTGGATAAGATACTGATTTTATCAAATATTTCCTATCAACGGATTAGGAGATGTCAGTGTTGATAACAAAAACTATAGTGATGGGTTTGAAAGCATAAAAAATCCACAGATATTCCTTACTTTTTAAAACATTGCCCTTACTCTAGGATAACATTATCCTGTGTTGTAAGAACATTTTACAAACGTAAATTTTCACGTGGACAAACAGCCGGATGCGAAACAACTATATATGGATCACAGAAATAGTTGTCCCGTGTGGGAATCGAACCCACGACACACGAAGCCGAAGCCAATACCTTGGCAACTGCGCCACGGAGTCATCGAATTTCTGATTGTTACGCAATTAATCTATATCTCTGTAATACACTCCTTTTTATTCGACAGTCTTCAATCGAATGTTAATAGATTAATGCTGGATTAGCTCAGCATTAAAAGTAAGAAGGAGAGAACCCAAAAATGGATCCGGGTCACTACGATACGCCAAGGAATAGAAATCCAAGGGAGACCGCTGGCCTCCTCTCGAAATTATGTTTTTGGTGAGTTTCACGCACGAAACATTCATGAATTTATTTATAAACACATCTGAAATAGTGCAGTCGTGATTGTAATTTATCTAAAGAAGTTGACCAATCAGCTGTCAAATTGGTTTTAAAATGTTATTTAAGTTTTCAAAAGGACGATTTGTTGAGTTTAAGTCTCGATGCTAGCACCAATGAAATTGTTAATTTTATGTCCTGATTTATCACGTGCTCAACGGTGAAGGAAAACATCGTGAGGAAACGTGCATATTTTTAAGATAACAGCAAAAAAATACATAAAGTCCACCAATCCGCAGTAGGGCCGCGTGATGGACAATACCATAATACCCTTCGTACAGAGGAGACTTTTGTCCATCAGTGGGGCACGTATAGGTGTTATTTTAGTTTTTTTTTTACGTATGAATATAAACTTATGAACGATAGAAAAACTTAAACAAACTTGGAATGACAAAGTAAAACTTCGGTGATAATATTAACTGATTATTTTGACGAATAAATAGATATGAAAGTTTACTATTGCAGGTACACACGCATGATTTTTATAAAGGGACGCAAAGGAGACCTAAGCATATCGGACTTATACAGGTATCGGACATGCTTTTTAGCATATACAGGGAGGCTTTTTTAAATGAATCCAAAATGATAAATAATATGTAAAATCACTCGTAATTAATTAAATACATTCATTTGAACTTATTTCAGTGTTTGATTATCGTCAAGTGCGTGATTTATGGGCAACTCATTTATTTTACGCGCGATCATTCATAACTAACACGCACACAAGTTTGTTTCAAAAGTATACGACGCGTTTATGAATGAATACCGCATTGTCAACACGTTCTGTTTTTTAGGGAATGGAATGGCAATTTTTTTGAAAAAAAAAGTTTGTTTTTATTTCATAACGATTATATTAAACGATTATACTACCGAGTCTGAACCTCCTGTGTGAATTTGGGCACCTTTAGAAAAGCCACCCTGCATATCTTTACTACACTCTACTCTTTTATTTTAACACCTACGAGAAGAAGATCACCGGTTTTGAATTTTAAGATATTGTTATAATGATTACTTTAATCTTTTCTTTTTAACATAGCTTTTTATATGGTTCGGATTTTATTACTATACGTTTAAAAAGAAAATACTTCTATTTAACTGAGACGGAGGTTATAAATAATCTCTTTTCTTTGAGTAATTATGGTAGGGCCACGCAACAGTATTCACTGTTGCACGAATGGGCAGATCCATCCGGGTAAGTACCACAACCTCACAGAAGACCGGCGTAAAGCAGAAGTTTATTTAAAGATGGCAACGAATTTGCAACCCTTCGGTTGTTGCAGTCCATGCACTGGCGCTTATCACGGTCTTTTCAGTCCATACATTTGATATTTGTATAGAGCTAGCTCATTCCATTTAGTTCCGTCACTCGAAGACAGGTGGCGTTGTTTTAAATGCAAAACCATTTTAACCTTGGTATCATTAAATTAAAGCAAAATCTTATTTTAAGTAAAAAAATGTATGTATGATTCTTATTTTGGAGAAAATTGTATTTTATTAAACAAAAATTATTAATTTGAAAAAAAAAAAACAAAATATAATGTAATAGTATTGGCAGCATTGGCCTATGTAGTATTTTAAATTGTTCCGCCATAAACTCTTATTATGAATATACGGCTACTCATAATATATTTAATTCATTTACTATGTAATATAAAATCCCAAATGGTGAGGAAATTGCCATCGGATATGTTCAAAAATATGCTGCTAAGTGGGAAAAAGACAATGAATTTAAAGATAGGTATGATATCATCATGATATCATTCGGATCTTTTTTGAATGATAATTCCATTATTTATTGTCTGACTCTTAAAAATAATGAAAATGATTGTAACGTCACAATAAAATGTATTTAATTTGTATTAATATTTTTCAAGTCAATGAACAATGTTCAAGGTCAAGTATATGAATTAAGTTAATTTTTAAATAAAACAGTTTTGATTACCCAGATAATTAAATTTTCCGATAGTTATTCTAGCTTGTTAGATAATTTTAAAAAAAGGTGACCTTTTTCGTTTAGGAAGTTTTTTTTTAAAACATTTTAGGTGGTTTTTGAAATACTTGAGTTTTTTTTTCAACAATTGGTAACACTGAACTGCGGTCGGTTATTATTCATTTAGTTTATTCGGTTATCATTCATTATTCATCATTTTATTTTGTTATACGTTTTGGCAAAACATTCATATTGTATTTACAGGTAAAGACTGCAACGCAAATGCATTGCACTGCAATACATTTTTTTCTTCAACTGAAAATTATAATGACTGATTTAAAACATGGATTCAATCGATTGGAGGAAATTTACTGATTTTGGATAGCCAAAAATAATTTAACGTAAATAATTTACCAAACGGCACCAGACTCGAAATCATTCATAAAAAAGATTATAAAAAATAGCGAGTGAATATTATAAAAAACGAAAGAGTCCGCAAAACATATTTCTGTATTTTATTTACTTTATCCAAAAGTAACATCTACCAAGCTTGTATCCAATTACAGTTTTTTATAAAATGTTATGATAGTATTTATATAAATAAAATAAATTTATATAAATAAAAAATCCGCATCAAGACCCCTTGCGTAGTTTTAAAGATCTAAGCACATATAGGGATAGACAGACAGCGGGACGACTTTGTGTTATATTGCGTAGTGATTACTAGAATAATTTAATGGTAAAAAGCTGTTAATTACAATCATACCAAAAACGACATATTGATTTTGCTTATTTATAACCTTTGAATAAATTTGAAAGTATGAAATCAGGTGCTCTCCTAGTCACCGCGCCGCGCCGCTGGGCGATACGTTGAGCGTCAGGTGGAACGAGGAGCTGAAGAAACAAGGTATCGAAAGATTCCTCGTGATAATAAACTTTTCTAATCCGGCAGACTTCGCTAGTTCGTTTATTTATTGTCACTTTAAGCACTAGTACGATGGAGGACTTAATGTCAACGGCTTTTTCTACGCGTCAATCTTAGGATGGTGTAGAGACAGTATGGTAGGGGCATAGAATAGTATATAAAGTTAATGGCACTTGGACTCCTTTTTTCGAGAGGTAGTGCATTTCACAGATGCTCTTAACAAAGAAAGAAGAATGTGAAGAGGACATTGTAAAAGTCGATTATAGGTCGGGCATAGTACGAGTATTTTATTGATTTGAGAGCAGAGATTGAACGCGAGGATATAAATAAGATGGGCTCGAATGAGAGTCAAGAAGAGAATAAATAGTGCTTCATAGTAATTAATTAATAGTGCATTTTAGTTTACAATTCGACACTTATTTTTGGAAAACCTATGTGTTAAGATTAAGTATCTTATCGCATAGGTTTTCCAAAAACCCATACGCCCTTCATCAATAAATTATTCGCTTTTATTCTAGAAAGCGGGGGAAAAGCATCGTTAATGTGGGCAATCATGAAGGAATACGGTTTCATCCTCATAGTAGCTAATTTGGTTTTCTCCGTAATAGAAAGTGCTGTTAGGTAAGAAATTTAAACGTACAACAAATAAAAATAGCTCAGTAACGGTTGTAACGGCTTAATATAAACATAATAGCTTAGTCTTTAAGAGAAATCAGAGATTCATAAACATCTTTTTTTTCTTTTCAGCCTAACCATTCCAATGTGCCTTGAGGGTATGATCAACTACTTCTCAGTTTCGCATTCTGGCATCACAATCTCCGACGCTTACCTCTACGCATTTGGAGTTGTTGGGTGAATATCATTTCCCATTTTTATTCGCTTTTCTTTAGTATAACTCAATATACTGGAAAAACCTTACTTCCATCCCCTGTAACAGCATAAATATAATTTGTCGTAATTTTAAGTTTTGATTTACTTTGTTTTGGTGGGGCAAAACATTGGAAGAAACTAGCATACAAGAAATTATATTTAAAGAAGTAAGTCTATGATATGCGTGGAGCCACGTCTTTTAGATACGAATATATACAGGGAGGCTTTTCTAAGTGTATCCATTTTTTTAAATAAAATTCTAGACATAAAAAATGATAAATATTTAAAATCACTCTTAAGTAATTAATTACATACATTTGAACTTACCTCAAATTTTCCCTGATCTATACGCAACTCGTTTATTTTACACGCGATCATTCATAACTAACACGCACACAAATTCGTTTCAAAAGTATAAGACGCATAAATGTCGACATCTATCTATCTACATTGTGACACGCATACAACTAAAGTTTGTTACTACACGCGTATCATAGCACAAGTAAGTTTATGATTCCAATTTTCCTTCATACTTAGAACTGGCTTAGGATCGTCATAATAAAGGATCGTCATAATACTAAAATACTACTTTATTATTTTAAAATCGCACACTATTGTTCGTACTTATTATGGTGTATTTAAAAAGTGGAATCAACTATTTACAACAATTAAACTTACCTATTCATTTAGTCATAAAAATCACAGTAAAATTTAGGTGTTTATGAAAGACTACCGCATTGTCAACAAGTTCTGTTTTTTAGGGATAGTATGACATTTTTTTTTGAAAAAAAAAAGCTTGTTTTTATTTCAATAAACGATTATACTACCGAGTCTGAAGTTTCTGTGTAAATTTGGGCACTACTTGTAAATTCTCCCTGTATATTATATCCAAGCGAGCTGAGCTATGGGTAACAGCTAGTTTAGTTATTATTTGTCTTTTAAATGAATTTCTTTTTTACAGCCTTCAGCTTTTTAACGCCATTTTGTTGCACCCAATATTCCTTTGGATGCAGACTCTGAGTATGAAGTTAAGGGTCGGCTGTTCGTCTCTTTTATATAGGAAGGTGAGCTTTTCAGGTGCATAAATATCAAAAAGTAAATAAAATATTTGTGAAAAGTCCGAGTCAAAGTAACATAGGATTCATTTATTTTCGTTGTCTTTAATTTTCTAATAATTGATATTTCTTAGCCCATGATAGAAAGCACTCCTCGTTTTCGGTAATCATTCAGTTAAAAAATGCCCTATGCCCGTAGTTAATAGTTTAAAGTTTAAAAATAACCACTATAAGTTTTGAGTTGACAAGTTTAATTAATGCCAAGTGAGCTCGATGAAAAGTGGACATCATTAGCATCAGTCTACCATCCTCAAAATTGACAATAATGAATTATTTTCAGTTACTTCGCCTTGATGTAACTACAGGTGGCCAGGCCACCGAAGGTCTAGCTGGCCACGTGATCAACCTTCTCACATCAGACGCCCAGCGACTTGACCATGTTATAATGTACATCGTGGACGTATTTCGAGCGCCTATCGAGAGTGCCTTCATAGTGTACCTCATGTACAGGCAAATCGGTGTCGCCACGTTCTTTGGTGTCGTTTACCTTCTACTGTTTATACCATTGCAAGGTAATTGTCTCGATTATAATTCTTCATTCGCCAGATTTAATAGGCGTTTATTTGCATTCTTTCTTCTTTCTTTATCTGATGATATTTTCATTCCAATTACTTTGTACTCACTGACCACATGGTTCACGGAAATCCAAATTCTTTCTCGGGTTTGCGATGTTCTTAGCATTTATTTGGCATCACTTACACTTGTGCTGTGTATTGTAGTTAAACTCTTGTCGTTATCTTTACATTATTGAAATGAAATCAAGAAAAACACGACTCTCAGACTACAGAGAGGCTTTACACTTAGAGTGTATCCATTTGTTTTAATTAAATTGTAGACATAAATTATGTTAGATATATAAAAATGATAAATATTTAAAATCACTCGTAATTAAGTAATTACATTCATTTGAACTTATCTCAAAAAGTGCGTGATTTATGGGCAATTCATTTATTTTACGCGCGATCATGCATAACTAACACGCACACATGTTCGTTTCAAAAGTATACGACGCATTTATGAATGACTTCCGCATTGTCAACAAGTTCTGCTTTTTTAGGGAATGGAATGGCAATTTTTTTGAAAAAAAAACAGATTGTTTTTATTTCAATAAACGATGATACTACCAAGTTTCAACCTCCTGTGTGAATTTGGGCACCTTTAAAAAAGCCATCCTGTATAAGACAATCTCCTCGTTTCCAAAAAAAAGGAATATATGTTAGTTAATTCAATCTATGATTTAAGTGAACAAATCTTACAAGTATCATATCTGTATGCATTTAAATTTAATATTTCAGTATATAAATCAGGTGTTTTGCATAGTTACATTTATTTTTCTTGTTTATCACTAAGGATTTTTTGTCATTCTGTGTATCGGCATTCTTCTTTTTTTTGGCTAGGAGCAAAATTTCCTTTTTATTTCTTGTACTTGACTTAATTTTATCTCTGGCAGAGGTGCTGCCTATATTCATTCATCATGATAGCATAAGAAATGATCACTTCATACCTTAATCATCAGGTTACCTAGGCAAGATCTCAAGCAACCTCCGTCACAAGACAACGACACGCACCGATAACCGTATCAGGCTGATGAACGAGGTAGTTCAGAGCATAGAGGCCATCAAAATTTACGCCTGGGAAAAGACGTTCACCAGGATTCTCGGCGAAGCTAGACAGTAAATGAGTTTCTGATTTCATTAAGTATTTCGCTGTCACCAACTATTTACAAGCATGGAAAAATTAAAATACGAAAAAATTTTAATTAGAATACGCTGGAAATATTACAATACGAGGAAGATCCTCGGATTCTCTAAATAGTATTCATCACTAACACCGTGGCGGCAAATAATAATTAGTTGTTCTGCATTCATATGTCTGTGACCTCTCTAAAGCTGAGATTTCAGATATCAAATACGTCAAAAATAAAAGTAAGTGGAGATTTTCACTATGGTGTGGGCCACGCAACAGCTTTCGGACTCACAAAACTACAGCGAAGTGGACGTATTATACTTTTGCATATCTTCTGATGGTTGAGATGGCCAGGGCCCATTTTTAAAGCTTGGCAACACTACCAGGTGTTGTTGATATCCATGAGTGGCGGTAATCACTTAACATCAGGTGAACCACCAGATCGCTTGCTGGTGCTCTTTCACATAAAAAAATTAATATAGTTAATAATAATTAATGCCAATGTGCGGGAAGTCGATGGATGCAGGTGGCTCAGGATCGTACTTCATGGCAGTCTGTGGGGGAGGCTTATGTTCAGCAGTGGACTCAAACAGGCTGAAATGATGATGATGATGATGATGATGAATTAATGCAAGTTTTATAACAAAGAGACACAGTATGCCACCAAGAGGAATGGAGTTGCGATTTCGCCATTGTTTATTTCAGGAAAGAAATGAACGCGCTCAAGAAAATATGGTGGCTGCGTACGGTGATGATATCCTGCTCCAAGCTCAACACGAAGGTCGCGATCTTCTTCAGCATCATCGGATACGTCATCCTCCACAACGATCTCACCGCTGCAAACGTGTTTGTCATCTGCTACTTCTACGAGTCCCTCCAGTACACTCTGGTGAACTTGCTTCCTATGGCCGTAGCGTTTGTTCTCGAAGCGTACGTTAGCGTGGAGAGGATTCAAGAGTTCCTCTTACTGCCGGAGGTGAACAATCTGGACGGGGTCGACTTATTGGTGATCGACGAGGGCAGTCCAGGCTTGCATACTAATGGCACTTACGTAAAAGTTAGAACCGAGTAAGTTCTTTGTATAGATCATTCTTTTTTTTTTCTTTTTTTTTAAAAACATTGCCCTTACTTTAGGATAACATTATCCTGTATTGTAAGGACGTTTTACGAACATAAATTTCACGTGGAGAAAGACCCAGATGCGAAACAACTATCTGTGGGTCACCCAAATAGTTGTCGCGTGTGGGAATCGAACCCACGACCCTCGATGCCGAAGCCAATAGCTTGGCAACTGCGCCACGAACTCATCTAGTTCAAGGATATTGAACGATTTTGATCGATTAGAGATTAGATTTGTGTTAACGTTTCCGTTGTTAGATTTATATTTTCATTAATTCGCAGACCCCCAGAAAACGATAAACACGAGCTTAAAAAGAGTATCGTAAAGACAGATGTCTTATTGATTTTGAAAGGTTTCTCAGCTCATTGGAAAACATCAGACGAGAACTCCTTGAGTTCATCCATACCGGCTCTCACCGAAATCAACTTGAAGGTAAGAGTTTTTGTTACAACGGTTTAATAAACCATTTTAATTAATGGAACAGTGAACAAGGTAAAAAATATTCATTGAGAGGTATTCCTTAATGTTTTATATCTTTTAATTTATACTTTTTGCTACTTAATTTTGCAATAAATTTGTGATTTAGGTATTAAATAATTATTGCGGGCGCTAGCTTTTAATTTAATATTTTCGAGCAACCTGAGCTTAAAGTCCGCTGCAGCACCAATGAAATTGTGTTTAGTTATCACAAACTCTGCAATGAAGTAAAACATCATGTGATAGCGGAGAACACGTCTACGAATAATCAATTTATCCGTTTCCTAGTACCCTTATCGTTAAACTTTGGGAAACGTTGTGTAGTAGATTTTAAGATTTTTGAAATCCAGAGTTTAATCGACCATCGACTACTTTTTTTAATAGATCAAGCACGGAACCCTCACCACGATAGTGGGCACGGTGGGTTCAGGGAAATCTACGTTGCTCCTAGCGATGATGAGAGAGCTGACGCCTACCTCTGGCCACGTGGACGTGTACGGAGTAATCGCGTATGCCGCCCAAGATCCTTGGCTGTTCGACGCTTCGGTAAGTAAAATATAAATAGCTTTACGATTAAAACAACCTGGTACAAATAAACTGCTTGATTTTATGTATCCATGCAGGTTCACGGTTTTGAAATTTTAACAACGATATAATGTTAATCTTCTTTAAAATAGTGGCGTTTAAGGACAATAAATGCGAGCGCGGGAATTAACTTTAAGAGGGGTTTTAAGAAAAAATGCTTCCATTCAGCACATTTATTCATTAGTGTCGATGTGTTAGGAACTGTTTATTTTCTTATTTTTTTTTTTTTTTTGTTTTCACCCGCGGCTCCGCACATATGTAACTACATTTTATATCGTGTTTAAAAAGCACCTACGGAACCCTTCGTGCGCGAGTCCGACTCGCACTTGGGCGATTTTTTTTAATTTATTTAAACTTACAATCATCATCATTTTACCGACCATAATATATATAGTTAACTATAGTTTCACCCCATCCAACTGTAGCTATTTTAAAGCATGTTATCGCACAAATCTTCAATGTGGTTCTTTAACTTGATATAAGTTTTTTTATTTATGAATCGATTTAAATAAAACTGACATTAAATGTTAAATGAAGCTTACGACAATGCATTTGTGAAAGTTGCATCCAAATCGGTTAAGCCGTTTCTGACATAAGCGCGCACAAACGCAGAGACAAACAGACAAAAATTTTAACAATCATTGTTTTCGGTTCTATTGCGTTTATGAAGGCCGCCAATAATAGTTTTTCTCAAATATCTTCCATGTACAGACAACGATCGGTTATATTTTTATTATATGTGATGATTGATGTTCCTTATTGTTTAGGTGCGCCAAAATATCCTCTTCGGACAGGGGTTCGAAATGCAACGGTACAAAAAAGTGATAGAGTGCTGTCAGCTGCAAAGTGATTTAGAAATGTTACCCCATGGCGACAAAACTATCGTCGGAGAGAGAGGTAAGGTTATGATTACTAGGCGCAGTACATAATTTCGGTAATTTTTTTAAATAAATCTAGATTCTAAAAGAAAAAAAAAATAGCCAGGAAACATTCTATTTGGGTTGATTTGGTGTAATAATATGATCGATTGACCTATAATTCCAGTTAATTATATACACGTATACGAGGTAGACGTGACACCGAAACTGAGGTGCTCAAATTACGCCAATTGGTGTAATTTGATTGCAATTATTACAGATTGCTATCTCTTTCCGTACGATACTTTCCGTATTTTTCATTGCAACCAGAACTCGTCATAATCACCTTGGTACTGACGATCGTGAACGTATCCATTTTAACTTGAACTCATTGCAGGCTCATCGCTCTCTGGTGGTCAGCGTGCTCGCGTGTCATTAGCGCGCTGTGTGTATCAACATGCAGACCTTTATCTGCTGGATGACCCCCTAGCCGCAGTCGACGCTAAGGTAAGCCTGAAAAGGCGATAAATAACTGTGTCAAAAATTTTATCACTACTCTATCTATTCTATCACCGTCTGTCCCTATGTATGCTTAGATCTTTAAAACTACGCAACGGTTCTTGATGCGGTTCAAGAGGAAGGAAGGGTGATATGTATAATACATTGCACCCGTGCGAAGCCAAGGCTGATCGCTAGTCTGCTTTTAATAAACTTTCTTTAAATAAATCTTAAAGAAACATGCTTAATTTGTCATGATTGACAAATGTACTTGAGACATTAATATTGTTAACATAAAAACACGACAAACAAACAAACGTTCAAACATTGGAGGTTGGGCTTTAGATCTTTTAGAAGTTTATATTTTACTAGCGGACCTGACAGACGTTGTCCTGTAAACACGTCTTAAATCATTCTCGAATCCACCTGAAGATACGAAAAAATTCATTGAAATCGGTCCAGCCGTTTAGGAGGAGTTCAGTGACATACACACGTACAGAAGAATTATGCATATAAAGATACTGCTAATTTCTGCACTTAAGATTGAACATCAAAATTTGCAGAAAAAAATTACGAAGTTTTCACCGCTACGGGAGTAGAACACACGTCTTCGCGATTCGCGTATAGAAGCTTCAATCGCCAAGCTAAACGGCTGATTGCCGCACGACGAAAATCTCGACGCCTTTCATCCATTGCAAGCATTGCTTGAAATGCGCAAAAACAATTACGGGTAGAAAACTGTTATAAAGTTCTCATCTTGTGATAAAAATCAATTCTTGTTTATTATCTTAGGTAGCTCAAGCGATATACGAGAGTTGCGTGCGAGGTTTCCTAAAGGACAAAGCTGTCGTGTTGGTGACGCACCAGGTTCAGTACGCACGCTATGCTGACAGCGTGTGCGTTATGCGTGCAGGCCGGGTGAGTGTCAAGAAATTCGGATAAAAAGAAGGAAAGAGAGAGAAAAGAGACAAGGAAAAGAGAGAATGTAAGAAATAACGGTGTTCCTCTCTGTAGGTCTAATGTAGTGAACCAGTGGCACTTATTTGACGTTCAATAATAGTCACTGAGTTCAATAAGAGCTACTATTTAATATTTACTTAACTTAACATAAGTTATTTAACTTAGCTAGATGTCTCCGTGGCGCCGTTGCCAAGGTATTGGCTTCATCGTCGGGGGTCGTGGGTTCGATTCCCACACGGGGCAGCTATTTGTGTGACCCACAGATAGTTGTTTCGCATCTGGGTGTTTGTCCGCGTGAAATTTATGTTTGTAAAATGTCCTTACAACACGGATAATGTTATCCTAAAGTAAGGGCAATGTTAAAAAAAAAAGCTTATCAAAAGCTAGTAATATTTAATATCTTATAGAATTATATCAAAATAGTTACGGGAAAATTATAGAGTAAGAGAATGCCCAGTATTCCAAAATGGTGTATACGTAATACCCAATTTTGGAATCCGGACTAGTGGCGCCAACATTTGGAATTAGATACAGTACCTATAGTCGATTGTTTTTCAGTACAGTCCCTTGAATTTCAGCAAGGAATTAACTTTTAGTTCTTTGTTGGGAAATGTTTTTGTGTGACGTGTGTGATGATTTGTAGTCACATTACTAGAGAGATTATCGCAGTGTGGCAATCTTTTAGATTAAGGACATGTTTTATACACGACAAAGATTTCATAATATATAAATACTTCCAGATCGTAGCGCAGGGCACTTACAATGAGCTCAAAGAAAGCGTTCCGCAATTTGAGAAATTGATCCAGATGGAAGATCAAGTAAAGAACGACGAAGAGAAGTCGAAGGAAGATGAAAATACCGTGAGTTTCCCTTTCACGAGTTCTGTGGAACAATTTTGGCCTAGGAAAAAGAATTTCCTTCAGAATCACAAAGTATAGTTGTAGGGTAAAGCAAATAATTTAACGTTATATAGCCTTTCTTTTCTTTTATTTGCCAAAACGTATAACGTCAGTAGAATTACTTTTTTCTCCTCTTAAATAAGTATTCAAAGACTCGCGCTATTATTATATAATTTACTCATTTTTGTTCAATCTATCATTATATTTAGTCTTTTAATGTGTATTCGGTTCACACTTTTTGATTTCCGGTGAATGTCAGGTATAAAAAACTAGGCCGTCACAGGACGCCCGGCAGATGTGAAACATTCAAGTTAATTTAAGAACTTATAATTAACTAGAGGACTCAACAAACGTTGTCTTATACACACGACTTAAATTCGACGACTTCGAAATAATTCTCGAATCGACCTGATTCAGTCCGGTTACGGTTTAGGAAAAGTTCAGTGACATATACACGCATAGAAGAATTACATATATGTAGAGATATATCATAATAGAGAAAATATGGAGAAAAATAATGAATGAAGAGTAGAATTTCTTTGAAAATAATCGTCGTAAATGAAATAAATATATGTTTCTAATTTCTCTATTGTAAAGAAAATTACAATTAAAATATTACTATAGTATAGATTTACAACTTTTTTTTATTAGCAAAAAAGTTGAAATTTGTGATGGAGACCGGTTTAAAAGTAATTTATTTTTTAGTCACTTGATCGTCACTGACATTCATATTTTTATTAATAACACATATAATAAATGATATTATTATTGATTCAAATAGTAGTATAGTAGTATAGTAAACAAGTTAAGTACACAGTCCGAAAAAAATAGTACGCAGCTTATACAGAGAACTGAGATGCCATTAATTGTGTAGGATATGTGACCACACGCATATAAGGGAGACTTAAGCAGCGGCTTGGAGGATGCATGATGGCATCGGAGCGTCATGCCATTTGCCGTGACGGCTTACTAGCCAATTTTACAGTCATGCGTCAATAGATGTTTCTCGCCAACAATGTTTTTTTCATATTAAATTAAATAATTTTAAAGTATATATTAATTTGATTTTTGTAATTTACGCTTACTTCTACAGCTTTCTAGTAAAAGAGCGGCATCAGAAATCTCATATCGTAAACCCGGTATAATAAAAGATATTTCGCTTATAGATGTTGAGAAACATTTTGTACCGTATTTCAGACAGGTGTGCAGCGCACAATCTCTGTGACATCAAATTCATCATTTGATTTTAACGACATGGATCCCAAATATGAAGGTGAGTTCTTTTCACATTACAATCTACGAGTAAAAAAAAGTAAAGTAAAAGCCTATACATGCCCCACCGCTGGGCAAAGGCCTCCTCTATACAGGGGGTATTAAGGCATAGTGCATATGGGCGCAAATTTATGTATAATGATTATATTGTGACAAAATATTAATTATATTTAAGATTGATGTTTAAATAACTATTTGTGATCACAAGTTTGGAGTAATAAGTAACATGTGATTATATTTAAGTCTTGTTAGTAGCGTCACCTGTTGACGGACTTTGTAAAGTGGTGTTTGTTTATCAAAATAAATTAGTAATTTGTGTAAAATAAATCATTTAGAGTTATGTAAAATTCATTATAACGTTACTATTGATTTTTGGACTATATTTCATAATTAATTGTACAGTAATTTCAATTAATGTTGTAAAGGAAGTTGCATTTGTTAAATGTTGAGTTTAATGACAGTTGGTTTATATAAAAGGGATTGCAGCTCACATTCAGACTAGTTCTGTGCTAGAAATCGTCTGAAAGTAAACCAAGTGATGTTACGTGTGTGTGTTTTCATTATAATGGAGTCTGGACGCGGTATTTACGGCCTATCCCCGACATGCACCACGCGGCCCCATAGCGGATTGGCGGACTTCACAATCTACCAGAGTGTACTATGATTATACATACAATATGATGAAATCATAAAATTCACATCATATCGATTTGCTCAATTAGTCAGATATATAATCAAATCATATGATAATAAAATCTGGCGAAGAACGCGCACGTATAACAAATTATAAATAATTTGAAATGAGAGCTGGTTTTGACAGTACACAACAGGACTCCACGGTTAATTGGTTGTCAGGATAACCAATGAACGGACGCAGCCACTGAAACTTTTATTTTTGATGAGGTTTTAATAAAGACGGCGCAAGTCCATAGTAAAATAGAAAGATTTACATTAATGAAGGTGATAGATAATATAGAACATATGATACGGAAAGTAATCTCTAGATTTGCAATCTTATTACACCAATTGTCGTAATTTGAGTACCTCAGTTTCGGTGCCCTAGTGTCATATATAACTTCTATTTGTATATAATACAATTTTACGTGTCAGTTGTTCACACCTCAGCTTTGTATTTGACTTTAGTAAGGTACAGTGAAATCCTATTTCAGGCGAATACCAAAACAAGGGGTCCGTTGATAGCAGCGCCTATTTTGAATACGTGAATAGTGGAGGCACTGCCTTCTCTATTGTCTGTCTCGTCTCACTGTTCGTGTTCGCACAGATCTTCTACTCCTCAATGGACATTTGGATGAAGGAATGGTAAGTAAGGATGTTAATTAAGATTCAAAGTTTATGTGATTTTGTGAATGGTTCTTATTTATCTTTAAATATTTTCGTTTGAGAGGAAATAACTTGTGGAATAATGATTTTCATGATCATAATGATTTGTTATTTTTCAGGATTAATCTAGAAGAATCGATCAATGCCTTTCGAATTCCAATCAATTGCTATCGAAATACGACTGAAACAGAAAACATTATCCCTTCAGATTTTGGTATAAATTTTGGTTTTTGATTTTTTTTAAGTTTTAGAAATAGCCTTCAAGAATTTTCATCATCATTAAAATAGTTTTAAAAGATAAAATCGATATCAGTTTTACTATAATGTGTTATTATTATTAATGATTGTGATTTAAATTCTGATGATGACTCGGTACAGGTAGGCAGCTGGTCGTAAAAACCTGGCTGTTATCAACACAAAAGATGTAATAAGGGCAGAAGAAGAAGATTTATATTAATTACTAGCTGTAGACTGTATATGGACTAGAGTAGGATTTCGATGAAGATATATTCATCATTATTTTGCTATTACATTTTCTAGTTTTGCCACATTGGAAAAATGTCTCTGGTAAAAAAAGTAAAGTATCAGTCTATATATGTCCCACTGTTGGACAAAGGCCTCCTCTGTACAGAGGGTGTCAGGGCATAGTACACCACGCGGCCCCACTGCGGATTGGCGGACTTCGCATATATTCGAAATATTTTTTTGTTAATTATTTCGAAAATATGTAGGGACGAGCACGTGATAATTGAGCACTTTAAATTAACAATTTCATCGAGTACGTTGAATTATAGGCGAGCGCCCGGACACTGAGCTGTCACGGCTCAGTGTCTGTGTAAGTTTTCCTAAATTGATTAAGTTAATTCCTTTTGGATTCTTGTATACTATAGTATACCCTTGAGACTACAAATCAAGAATAAACGCATAAGGATCCTCCTGCTCATCCTTGAAGTGAAAATTGCTTTCCAGATACTTTGGAGAATCCATCGAACTATTTACATTTGTCCCGCGAACAATGCATCTACATATATGCTGGTCTTATCGTTGGTTGCATCATCTTAACCTGGAACAAACTGATAGTTTTCTACAACACCTGTATTAAGGCTTCAATTACTTTGCACGACACTATGTTTAGGTAAGTAGTATTATATTTTGAAATTGTTGAATGTTTGTTGTTGATTTTAGGGTTCCATACCCAAAAGGTAAAACGGGACCCTATTACTAAGACTTCGCTATCTGTCAGTCTGTTCTTCTGTCACCAGGCTGTTCACTTCATGATCCGTGACGTTAGATAGTTCGAATTTTCACATATTTTGATGTTTATCTGTTGCCGCTATAACAACAAATAATAAAAACAGAATAAAAAAATATGACTGTTATATGGGGCTCCCATACAACAGTCATGTTTTTTTTATTGCCGTTTTTATAGCTAATGGTACGGAACCCTTCGTGCGCGAGTCCAACTCGCACTTGGCCTTTTTATAATAATAATCCACAAATTTTTGCTCCACTGAACTTAGTTACTTTTCATTTGCCATGGTGCAGATGCGAAAGCATTTATTGCATTATCATTTATTGTATCCTGACAGGGGTGTTATGAATGCGCCGATGTGGTTCTTCCACCACAATTCTTCGGGTCGAATTCTGAACCGATTCTCTAGTGATATGGGACAGGTGGACTCTATGCTACCACCTACTTTAGTTGACTGTATTGAGGTACGTCAGTTATATAATAAATAATATAAATGATATCGTGTACGTATATTTGATAAAAATAGAATACTAGCAATTTCGCAGGTATAAAATGAACTTATTCTACAAAATTTTTAGGCTATAAAGAGAAATATTACTTCAACCAAAAAACCTTCGTCTATTGCCTTTCACAACTATTTCATTATCTACTTAATCTCATGAGCTTTTGAAGCATGATTAGGAAATAAACGCAAGAACACATTGATTTCCATTTACACTATAGCTACAATTTAATGTTTCAGTTCTTTTTGGAAGTCATATCAGTCCTCATGGTTGTGTGTCTGGTGAACTGGTGGCTCCTGATGCCGACCGCTGTGGTGACGCTGCTGTTCTATCTGCTGCGAGATCTATTTCTTGGCACAAGTAGAGAGTTAAAACGTATCGAGGCCATTGGTTAGTAGATCAAAACATCATCGCCTACGATCTAAATGCACCCAGGCAACAAAGATAGCTTGGCCATTAGTATTATAGCAGTGATTTAATTTAATATAGTAAAGTATATATTGATACTTAAGGAATATATGAAGCGAGAAAGAGACTTGTTAATATTGATGAAAAATAAGTTATAAATAGTCACATTTATAGAGTACTCAACTACACAGCTGAATAAGATATCACTGTAGCGATTTATTTTCCAATTATTCAACCAAAAATAATTTAATCAACTGACAAAGTGCTTAGACAACAGCCACATGATACAAATAAATAAAATTCTGATCTCCTTTTATTGACCTTTAAAACAAATAAATACACTTTTAATCATGCAGCACGAAGTCCAAGCTTGAACCACGCATCCGCAACCGTGTCTGGTCTGACAACAATCCGTTCTTGTGGCGACCGGCAGCGCACTCTCGCGCGGGAATTCGACAAGCTGCAGGACCTGGATAGTTGCGCCTGGATCGCTAGTGCTCGACGCTGAACAGGCGTTCGGTTTCTGGGTGGACGTTGTCTGTTGCCTATACCTAGGTTTCGTCACGTTCAGCTTTTTTTTGTTCACTACTGCAGGTGAGGAATCTCAGAGTACGCTGGTGTCTTTAAACAAGAACGAATGCAATAATTTCTTTTTAATTTATTATAATATAATTTAACACTGATTAGAGTAGTATATAAGATTAAGAAACGTTTTAATTTTGCTTGAACAGAGAGTCATGGTGGAAATGTGGGATTGGCTATAACTCAGGCCATTGGACTGGTGGGTATGAGTCAATTCGGGATGCAACAGTCAGCTGACTTAGAGAATCAGATGACGTCGGTAAGTAATATTTTGCATAGAGTCCTAAACAAAATTTTTGTTTGTTTAGTGTGTTTATATTTTTATTTTTTGTTCTTCCCTAATTAGTAACGAAATGATGATAAAAGACCTATAATCGGTAGCTCGTGTATTGCAACTCTAACGCGACTCTACCATGGTTTTGTGAGTGTACGCCAAGTGTCCCTTGAGTATCCCTCGATAGTCCGAGTGTCCTAAATAACGTTTTCTCGGTAACTCCATATACTGCGCTCTAACGCAACTTCGCGAGTGAGTGCATGGTGCGACAAGAAAAAAAATTGCTGCAGTGTAACGACTGACACGTTGACGTGATAACTGACGTGAAATTGTTCATAGCAGTTTTGTGTGCTGAATTTTAACGTGCTCAGCGGTGAAGGAAAAGCGACCAAGAGCTTGAGTTTACTCCCGCAGTCAGCTCCAGGGTACGTTTTTGTGTTGTTAATACAGGCTCCATAGCTTTGAAACAGTAATATAGTCAGTATACGATTTGATTTCTAAAACGATCACCTGGCATCATCCAGCTATACAAGCGTCTGGAATGGTTCTGGCAGCAAGTATTCATTATAGTGAGGGAGTTTTAGCACAAAATTGTAGCCACACTTCGCCTCTCTCATTGCTTTTTCCTAGTCCATACTTTCCCACCATTTCTCTTAGATGATTATCGTGAAGTGTTGATCCGACCTTTGCATTAAGATCTCCCAGCAGAACCGTAATATCTCTTCTAGGCAGCATTTTAATGGTGTCTTCCAACAATTTGTAGAATTCCTCGCATCCAGCCTCCGGATCCTCTCATATGTGATTCTGTATTACTAACACTAAATAGAAATAATTTTGGAGATATAATTATGTTAGTTTAAACTATATCGTCATAGGGTTTGCAAATATGGTTTTGGGGATAGGATATTTATAGGTTTTTTTATACCTGGCAAATGGTTAATAATAAAGCAAAACATGATTAGCGTATGGTTTTATTTGTAGGTGGAAAGAATTTTGGAGTATAACAACCTTCCATCGGAAAAGCCGGTAGAAGTAGACGAAAATGCCTTGCAGGAGCAACATCCTGATTTGGATTTCGATAAATGGCCTGCGAAAGGTATTACAAAAATTTAATTCACATAAATCATTTTTATTCTTCAAAACGAGAATATTAAAATCATCTACTGTGTATATTACATTTAATACATGATTAAGGTTCGAAATAAGTAATATTCATATTTCTAAATGAAAAAAAAAAAATCCATTCTCCGTAAAAAGACGATCAGAATTGCCACAACTTATGAGGCCATAACTTCTTATACTCTAGTTTATTTGGAAGAACGTTAGCATGTTCAGATCTTTAATTTTACTCTTCGCTAGGCATTTGCTGATCGGTTTGGTTTTGTAACATAATACTTTTAGGAAAAATCGTATTTGAAAACGTGTCTCTGGAGTATGAAAAACAACCTAAGAATGAGAACGTAGAAGAAGCTAACGAGAAAGAAAAGCCAGCGTATGCCATACGCGGTGTAAATTTCATAGTTCATCCCTCGGAGAAGGTAGCCGTGGTGGGCAGAACTGGGGCAGGCAAAAGCTCACTCGTTGCTGCACTTTTCAGGTAAATGAAAGTCAAAATGATAATTGGGTGTGAATTAATGTATGAATACGTTTTATTACACATACCGGGGTAAAAAACACATTAAAAATTACAATTGCGTATGAGTTGTACAATGGACAGGCCGCCCATTGTTCAACTCTTTTCCAATTACTTACGAGTAAAGTAATTTCTTCCAGGCAATCTTTGGATAGGCACAATATGTAAAAGACTGTTTTAGGGGTATGGGTAAATTTTATAAGATAAATGCATACTTAGTTTCAAAAAAAGGTAATATATATCCATACAGACACATCGTATACATATATACTGTATCAGTGACATTATATACATAACATACATCGAAACATGATCATATTTACGTAAGCCAAACATGAATCTTATGCAGAAAATGGATACGCTCAAGCTTATTCCTCAGTTAAATACAAGTAATTGATGTCAGCATTGTCGAGTATGGTGAGAAGCAGACTCTGAGCAAGAAAAATTTTACTAAATTACTAAATTAAATACCAAGAAGGTATATTTTATTATATTACAAAAAACTTTTTTTCATCATTGAAAGGCATTAGAAGGTTGTTAATACATAAGCGCGGATTTTCTCATTTTAAGCTCCAGCCGAAATTGTCATAGAATCAACGAGCCATCTCATTTTTAAAAGGCTGGCTAAAGTGTCTGGTCGCATCACCGTGGATGGCGTGACGGTTGAGGAGGCGGGTCTGCACGCTTGGCGTTCTAGGCTGTGCGCGCTGCCGCAGCGACCGGCGCTCTTCGCGGCCACGCTGCGCGATAACCTTGACCCTGAATGCCGCTACAGCGATGCCCAGATTCACGACGCCCTAAAACAGGTTGCCTTATTGAGTAGGTCTCAGTTAATTCCATGACGCAGCCATACCGCGATGTTTATGTCCTTTGTAGGGTCCGATCCCGAAGTAGATGCCGACAGAAGAGAACCCGACTGGTGACTCGCTTGAGAATGTGCTGTTCTTTTAATATCTTATATATATACATAACGGTGGGAGCACACTTTGGAGTTCCCGCCCGCAAACTCAGATTGTAGTCTATACAGGCCATTGCTGTTTATGACACGGCAATGATCAATTGAACTCACGTCCTCTTAAACCACCTTTTGCACAAGAAGATACGCTACCAAATCCGGATATACGCCTTGTAGTAAATACAGGTACTTAAACACAACATAGCGTTAAGCCAGCTATGTCGTTCGGGCTAAAATTCACTGGCGCCTTGCTCGAATTTAGTTGCTCTCACTTACACGGTTATCTATCCTCCGTAATAGTTGACGTCGGCTCTGGCAGGTGGCGCTGTGGGACATGGTATCAGCGCTGCCCGCGGGCTTGATGACGAAGGTAGGTGATGGCGGTGGAAACCTATCCTCGGGGCAACGGCAGCTGGTGTGCCTCGCGAGGGCCGCTCTCGCCAACTGCACTGTCCTGATTCTAGATGAGGCTACAGCCAACGTAGATACTGAGTAAGTACTACTCATCAATCATCAATTTTTTCCGAGTTTATTTTCTAAAAATAATAATAATAATATTTAAATGTTATGACAAATAGCGTAGTTTTTTCTTAACTAAATATCCTTATTAATAATTAGAAACTCTGTTTCATCCGATTTATTGGTGGACATAAGCCTATTACAGAACACTTATAATCTCCCTATATAAACAGTTTTGTCAGGCACGGCGTAACGTCATTCGAGACACCATGGCAGTCTTGAGCGTTTTCGAGGGAAATTTAATTTTTTATTTTAAATGCAAAATATTTATTAAAAAAAGGGTTTTTTTAAAGAGATTAACAGATTTATCAATTTTCAGCATGTAAAATAGTCAAAAAACATGTGTTTTATGTTTTGAATTAAATATAAAACTTGATAAACAATAGCGCACCAGTCCATAGTGAATGGATTATTTAAATCAAATGTCAGGTATTCCCAAATATTGTGTCCATAACGTACTTTAAAATTCATGAAAGTGCATTTCACCCGCAGGACTGATGAACAAATACAGGCTACGATAAGAAGCAAATTCGCCGGCTCAACGGTGTTAACAATCGCCCATCGACTCAACACTGTCATGGACTACGATAGAGTTATCGTCATGGACAAGTGAGTACCGGGAAAACAAAAGACTGACAAGAAGTCATATAACGTAGACCAATTCTGTAAACAATTCTAGGGTAAAAGCCTATTCTTGCTCCTTGCTCGTCCGGGGAATTACTTTCAGAATTGCAGAGTTTCATTTGATTGAGGTCATCGGGGCCCACCTTTTTAATAGTTGGCAAGAATCTGCTCGTACTGGCTATCGCAGTGTGGGACGACCCCCCACTAGATGGAGTGACGACCCGTGCAAAGTCGATGGATGCAGGTGGCTCAGGATCGTACTTCATGGCAGTCTATGGGGGAGGCCGATGTTCAGCAGTGGACTCAAACAGGCTGCAATTATGATGATGATGATGATGAAGCATCTGCAACCCGTCAGGTGTTTGAGATGACCATGGGCAGGTGTATTCAAAAACGAATGAACTGCCTTCTCATAAACAAATTATCCACATAAATTGTTCAAGGAAACCTAGTATGACCTTATTACAACACTAAAAGATAATTACATAGAACCAGTGTTTCTCTCAGCTTATAACATATAAATGGTTAAAGAGAAAGATAATGTACTGCATATTACGAGTATACAGGGTGGCTTTTCTAAGTGTATCCATTTTTTTAATTAAATTCTAGACATGAATAATGTTATATAATTACATTCATTTGAACTTATCTCAAAAAGTGCGTGATTTATACGCAACTCATTTATTTTACGCGCGATCATTCATAACTAACACGCACACAAGTTCGTGCACAGTAAAATTTAGGTATTTATGAATGACTACCACATTGTCAACACGTTCTGTTTTTTAGGGAATACAATGGCATTTTTTAGAAAATAAAACTTTGTTTTTTATTTCAATAAATGATTATACTACAGGGTCTGAACCTCCTGTGTAAATATGGGCACTTCTCAAAAAATCTCCCTGTATATTATGTATTGATGACGTCGCCATACCTGTACGTATACCATTCCCACGGAACAAACTACCTAGATGTCGAATTTCAAAGTACTCGTGAATGTTTTGATTCCCTCTCATCTCGACTTAAGGAGGAGTGATGATGAAATGCAGAACGTAGAAATATGCAAAATGAAGCGTCAAATAAATAAGACAGATAAATTCCGCCAACTTGGTCGGAAGCGTTGTGACTTAGGCTCCAACATCTTTTGCATAAAATTCTTTCTTTGGTCAGCAGTTAACTTTTGTATAAGCGGCTTTAAAAGCACCAAGATCACATAACCTTACTACACAGGGGCCGCGTAGTTGAATCTGGACATCCGTACGAGCTGCTGCGGTCGTTGAACTTGGATGACGTTTCATCGCGATATTCGCTTTCCGGGGTAATATAGAACATAACTTTACCACTGCAGATGACTCATTTATGACAATAGTAAAAAAGTGCAATTTGTATAATTTTACTGTTTTACTAACGTAGTACGTCGTAGGCCATACTTAAAAGGACATCACTAAGAACAGGTCTAGAAAAAAGCTGATAGTAAAAACTAGAACGCCGATTTGATGACCTAATTCGTATCACATTGCAATTACAGCATAGCCTTGATAGCTCAATGTCCGGGCGCTCGCTTTTAATTTAATATACTCGAGCAACCTGAGTTCGATCCTCGGTGCCAGCCAATGAAATTGTCAATTTTAAGTGCTGAATTATCACGTGCCCAGCGGTGAAGGAAAACATCGTGAGGAAACCTGCATATTTTCGAAATAATAACAAATAAAAATATTTCGAAGATATATGCCCTCTGCCAATCCGCAGTGGGGCCGCGTGGTGGACTATGCCCGAATAGCCTCTGTACAGAGGAGGCCTTTGCCCAGCAGTGGGACATAAATAGGCTGATACTTTACTTTGCTATGGCCTTTAACTTTATTTTTTTTTTATAAAAAAACCGCCAAGTAACTCGTCAGTTGCATTCCAATTAATGATATTTTATACTACAGATATGTTTTTAATGTGCCAAGGGTGAAGCCACTAAAACGTCCCAGAAAACGTTCGAGAGAAACGCAACTCGAGATATAAGGCTAAAGTGACAAACACATGCCGTCCTCAACACTCAATGTCAAAATTTATTTATTCCACATTGGCTTATTTTAAGCTCATATTGAATGTAAAAAAAGCTATATTTTATTTCTTATTTCTTTAATTAAGCTTTTCAAAATGATAACTTTTATTATATACTTGCCAAGTATAGATATAATCAATTGACAATTATATAATCAAGGCCCGTGAATGTGTCATGTCACTTTGTTTGAAAATAGGAACACTTTCGACCGGTGATTTTACATGCGTAAACATATCTAAATAGCATAAAATATCATTATATTAATCTAAATTCTATGAACTTAATGGGACAAATAATACTTATATTAAGTAGTCATAACGTCGTTTGCCGCGAGAATAGGTAAGAAGTATAAATAGTATTATATCCCCAATGCAATTTTATTCACAAATATGAAAAAATTCATACAACATAATTGCTCTAAAAACAGAGGATGAATAGAGTATTACAACATTAAAACCAGCACTGCGCGGCGTTTAAAAATTATAAATTATATAAGTGAATATGATAGATGGTGTAGGAACGAATGATACGGAATGTGATAGCAGTTTATAGAAGTACCAATTGGCGTAATTTTAGGGCCTCAGTTTTGTTGCCCTTGTGTCATGTCTACCTCGTATTTGTATATAATATCATTGTAACTAACGATATGAATAACAAATTTGTTGTGGTAAGCTGTTATTAACTGCATGAATGGTACGCGATATATTGAATGTCGGGCAAATACCCGGTCTTCACATTGCCCAAAACAGAGCGCGTACACTGCATCTACACTTAGGCAAAGTTCTTAGTTAAGCTCTGTTTAATAGATAAGACTGTTACTTACTTCACTTACGTTAATGACATTGAGTCAAGTAACGTAATGATTTATTCTTAATGATGTGTTATATACAAATACGAGGTAAATATGGCACTAGCGGACCGAAATTGAGGCACTCAATGCCGAAGACGTGGGTTCGATTCCCACAGCGGCGACAATCTTTTCGTACTTTTTCTACAAACTTTAATGCTTATATTAGCACTATAAAAATTTAAATTTCTAAAAAGCTATGGCGACATCTCTCGTTCGAATTATCGTTGTAAGACGATATTGGAAATTGTTTTTATGCTAAAAAAAAAACAATGCATATAAAAGAATTATCGATCGTTAAGATTTTTGTAGGTGTGGCAATCAGCCGTTTAGCTTAGTGGCTAAAGCGTCAGGCCGCGAATGCCGAAGACGTGGGTACGATTGCCACTGCGGCGACAATCTTTTCATACTTTTTCTACAAACTTTAATAGTCTACGTCTTATTGACAGGCCTCAAGTAAACATGAAGACAACATTGTAGAGAAACGAAGCAGTAATATTGCTGAAAATAGGTATGTAACTTTTTTAAATGCCTATTTCTCTCTTTCTGTTGTATCTCTATCAACGAGAACTATGAGATCCTCGGTTTAAAATACAAAAGAATCTGATTTACTGATTTTTTATTTCAAAGATCTTAGTTTTATTTTACTATTTACCATCGTATGATGGAATTTTTATTAACACGTATTATTTATACACATTAAATAATACGTGTTAAAGTTAAAAATACAATTTAAAGTTAACACGTGGTGGCAGACACAAATAAAGATGATTGAACAACAACGTTTTATGTATAAATCTTTTCTTTTTTATTCTTCCAGGATTAATCAGAGGCTCAACGTCGGTATCTTCAAAGGTTTAGTCGAACAAACGGGACCAGAAACGTCGGCTTTGTTACACAAGATGGCGGAGGAGGTAACGCAACACTTAGTTATTAAGACTGCCCTTTCATTACGGCTTCGGTGCCAAGGGTCGTGGATTTGGTTCCCACAAGGGACAAGTATTTGTATGATCGACAGATTCCGGAACTGGGTGTTTGTCCCAAGGAGGATTGCACAGGTTAGCGGCTGGTTGTAAAAAAACCTAGAAAATACCACTAACAACATGATTCACATGCTATGCCGCCTAGGTGGAATAAGGGCTGGAGACATAAAGAACAATAAGTTCTCTAAAGAAAGAAACATAGTTTATTGGATGCTTCATTTTTATAAGAGCATTGACATCCATGTATATTTCTTATCTGACTTTGCTTATAACCGAAAACTCAACCGGTACAGCATTATTTTCAATACGCTATTTTTGTATTTTTCAGAGCTTCCTCAAACGTGGAAGAAGAGATAAAGCAGATGAAAAACTATCTTGAGGCGTCGAAATTCGGAACGGCTTAATTATTTTGATATCTGAACATGTTGTTTCTTTAAAATTAACATTAGAAATAAAAACATCGTTTTTCTAAACGATTATGCAATATCTCTTTGACGCTTTTTGACTACAAAATAAAATCAATATTATAATGTCATAAACAAACCTTTTTGTTATTTGTGTTCATATTTTTCATTTGCTACGTCTTTCTTCGAACGATATACAGCGTGTCTTTACAATCGCGACAATAAATGAACACACATATAGAGGATAACTTTGTAAAATTGTATTAAACATTTACATTCTTTAAACATCAATATTTACCAAGTTATTAAAATTTCCAAAACAAACAATTTTAGAACACCCTTACGTATAAAACTGTAACGTAAAGTTAATTTGTAAAGGCCAGAAAGCATATGAATGGGTTGAATGAATTTAAAAGAGACAAAACATACTGTTAGAAGGAGAGGCTTGTAATGCGACGCTGTGGCAACGAATGAAAAAGTCTCTGAATGTATGAATCAGTCAGTTGTAGTTGTATAGGATGTTACAAATTTTGTTTCTTTTTTACTTAATTAGTTTGTTTGAAAAATATTTTTTTTATGATTATTGGCAAGTAGCGTTAGACGTGTGCTCATTTATTGGTCGCGGTGGTAACGACACGCTGTATACAAAAAAACCACCCAAGTTCGGGTGGAACTCGCGCATGAAGGGTTAACATTATCTAATTTTGATCATTAAATTTGCATTGGCTCAAACGTTTGGTTTAAACAGAGCCGATACGAAATATCAAACCTTTCTAACATTTTGCACGCGATTTATTTGAAAGTCAATATTCGCATTCGGGATTATCTTCTATATATAAAAAAAAATAATGTTGGTAAGCGTATAATACAAGAATGGCCAGCCATTCTTGAATTATAAACCAATTCGGGCTAATTAATTTTCTTGTATTTTCCTTAAGGTCCACGGAAGGTTTTAATGCCATAAAAAAGTCTGTCCGGGCAGCTAGTTTTAGATAAATATTCGAACTCGTATTTGCGAATGAGAAAAACCAGACATTACATGACTAGTATGTAACGATATCGCTATTTACACTTTTGAAACGACGGGAATTTAAAAATACAATGAAACGCTGCGAAATGCCCTAAAACAGTTTTATCGAACCTGATAATACGTGCCTTAATTTATTTATATAACTGACGGAATGTTTGTCGAATTACGCTACACGATTTATCGTAACAATATTTATATTTTTCCTGTTTCTTTACAACATTATGTCTGCGTAACTCGGTGTGGTCGCATTTTAGAGTTGAAATTTCGCAATGCTATTGAAGGGCTGCTTTTGGATTATTCTATGGATTATAAATACAAGTGAGTGTTTATTAATTTTATTCTTTTCATAATAGTGGTTGAGATAAAATCAGTAAGACTAGTACAGATAGAATCAGTTTAATAGTATAGATAGTATCGGTGTAGTACTAAAATAAAAAAATAAACTGTGGTAGGGCCACTAACAGTGTTCGACGAAAGGGCAGGTCCGTACGGGTAAGTACCGCGATCTCACAGAAGACCGTCAAGTAGAAGTGTTACTTCTGCGTTTCGTCTGGTGAGTGAGGTAGCCGGGGCCCACTACTTGTTAAGGTTACAATGCATTTGCAAACCTACGGGAGTTGCAAATGTCCATGGATGGCGGTTGTAACTTAACTTCAGGTGAACAGTCAGCTCCTTTGCCACTTAAAAAAATTGGTAGAAACAAAAAGCCTTTTGGTATTCATTTCTTTTTTATTTACTACCTTATATTGCAATGTGAACGTGCCTGAAATACCACTACATAGTATAAAACAAAGTCGTAGGCTCTCTGTCTGTCCCTATGTATGCTTAGATCTTTAAAACTACGCAACGGATCTTGGTGCGGTATTTTTTACTAGATAGAGTGGTTCAAGAGGAAGGTTTATATGTATGATACATTGCACCCGTTCGAAGCCGAGGTGGGTCGCTAGTAATTTTTTAAAAATGGTAGCTTCAGCAGAGTAGAGTGGTGTAATACGTGGTAGTATTTTTATAGGATTCTCAGCTTGACCATTGTTGGTTTCTTCCATCACCTACTGGCTTAGGCTGGACTATCATACCATTGATGGTAAGCATGTATTAAGTAAAAATAACTCGTCTTGAAGAAACATTGATGACTCCGTGGCGCAGTTGGCAAGGTATTGGCTTCGGCGTCGGGTGTCGTGGGTTCGATTCCCACACGGGACAACTATTTGTGTGGCCCACAGATAGTTGTTTCGCATCTGGGTGCTTGTCCGCGTGAAATTTATGTTTGTAAAATGTCCTTACAACACAGGATAATGTTATCCTAAAGTAAGGGTAATGTTTTTTAAAAAAAGAAAAAAAATTGTTACCGGAAACACGGATGGAGACCATTGGTACAATTGATACTAGATTTGCCATCTTCTCTTATATAAGAAATTAGGGCTAACGTAATGTCTCAACATTCATTATAGAAAAAAGAATTGATAGTAACCGAGTAAGTGATTCGCCTAATAATAATCCCTAAATGGACATCCAGAACATCAAAGAATTTCCAACCGTTGCAAAATAAATAATTTTACTTTTTACGGTCTTCTGTGATCATGTTATAATTCCCCATTTAAATATGACAATACCATTAAATATGACCGTACCAAATCTCATTGATGCAGCAACGGAAGATGATCCTTTACCTTAGTAAAGTGAAAATGAAAGTAAAGTGCAAAAGGTAAGACTGGTATAAATGAAAAAAATTAAAATGGAAAATATTTATTAATATATAGGTTCACAATTGATACAATACTAACCCCCACACTAGGCGCAGCCTGACCTATGGGGGAAGTTAATGGTTTCCGCAATTTAGTGTCAGCAAACGAACAGAATACACTGTTAGAACCACTTAGAATATCACGACATATATTTGCAGATGTAAACTGATTACACATTCTCCTGTTTGGGTTTACAATGCTATAACAAGTTGCTTGTGGTTTAGTGAATGACGTTATTTATTTTAGACGCATTGGTCGTCGAAGACCTGATAACTGGTAAAGCGCTGGGGAGTTCCTCTAAGCCAAACTACAATGTTTATAGCTTCGTTGATGGTGATACTTTGGACATATTGTGCAGGAGGGACGAACCCAGCGTAGGCAACATGAGTTGGATCATAAGTGAGTTATATTTCTATACTTTTGTTTGAATTGAATTATGGTTTTGAATTGATAGATAAAATACCATATCTATTTGAATACTACTACGAGACAATTGAAGCAATTTTTCCCTGAGACTAATTATTTGGGCAAATTTTAAAACGCTGTTTTCGCCCTGATCTTATTCCACCTAGGTCGGGTCGGCAATAGGTGAATCATGTTGTTATTGTTATTGGCTTGATTTTTTACGACCGGCCACCTCCCTGACGTCTGCCCAGCTTGGGAATAAATACCCAGATCCGAAAAAATTTACTCTGGGTCACACAAATACCGTCTGGGAATTAAACCCACAACTCCCAACGCCGAAGCAAATAGCTAAGCAATTGTCGTAGATTGAGATCGGGTTGCTCGATAATGAATTAAAAGCGAACACCCCGATATTGAGCCATCGCTGCAGATATTGAATGATTGAATGAACAAATATACTTTATTGCACACCAAAAAAAAAACAAACAAAAATTAAAAACTTAATGTAGAAGGGATGGGGAAGGGATGTGCGGCCTTATTACTAAGAGTAATTTCTTCCAGGCAACCTTTGAATGGGGACTAAAAAGAAACAATTTTTTTGTGAATTTAGAAGAGTAGACACGGGTTTTGAGTGGGTTAAATCAATAATGAATTAACAGCGAAACCCCGAATTGAGCCACGCTATATTGAATACAATGAAAAAATATTTATTGCACACCAGAAAAAAATAAACAAATATTTAATGTAGAAGGGATGGGTACAATGGGCGGCCTTATTACTAAGAGTAATTTCTTCCAGGCAACCTTTGAATGGGGACTAAAAAGAAACTAATTTAGAAATAATGTTGTGGGTTAAATAAATGAATGAATTAAATAATTACTTATCTACAATCAAAATTTATTTTAATAAGATATTTATAAATATGTAAGTAAATAAGTAAATGCATACAATACACATATACATATATGCAAAAAAATATTTAAATACCATATATACAAATATATATACATTTTATTATTAGGAAATAAAATTACAGAGATAAGTAATGATTTTTACAAGATTCTTCAACATAATGACCTACTCATAAACTTTGTTTTGTGCGTAGGAATTTTAAGCTCCAAGTTTGTAATGACCTCAGAGACTTAGATTGGGAATCACGTAGAAATTGGAAGCGTTCCTTTAGATAGGTAGGATATGAAGGATGTTGTAAATAAGGGAAAATATGTGAGAATTCCGGCGAAGACAAATGAGATCTAGATAACTGTCCAGTATTGGATGAAGTAGATTTTGTGCAAGAGCAATTTTAGTGGCTGTGGGTAGGAAGTTGCGTAATCTTCTGCTGAAGTTAATATCTTGAGAGTTATTTCTTGTAGGTGAGGGCCCCAAGAGGGATTTTTATCAAAGTGAATTCCTAAGTTTTTTACTCTTATGCTTAAAGGTTTTGGAATGCAGGCAAGAGTAACATATTATTGTACATTATCCGAAGATATTGATAACTAATTTAACCTTCCTACCGTTTGTTGCAGATACCGTCAAGCATGGCAAATTAGAATGCGAAAATTCGTATGCAGAATCAATACGGTATCGAGTCTCTTTGCAGACATTAGACAATAAAAAGGAAGTCATTTGCTTGGCGACATCGCCTGATGGCTCCGAAGAGAAATTCCATATATTATTGAATAATACGGGCACGGGTAAGACATTAGATGACACTTGATACTGTTCCTAAAGTTAAGTGAAGTTACAGTCTATATACGCCCTACTGATGGTGAAAGGCCTCCTCTGTATAGCGGGCATAGTCTCCAGGCGATCCTGTATAATAAATAAAGATTTTAAGAAATATTTTATAAATTTAAATTGTTTATAGTGCTAATCTTTGCACTTAAGATTGAACATTAAAATATGTAGTAAAAGTGCGAAAAGATTGTCGCCGCTGTGGGAATCGAACCCACGTCTTAGGCATTCGCGGCCTGACGCTCTAGCCTGATTGGCACACTGACGAAAATCTTAACGTATTCTTCTAGAAGAATACGTTAAGATCTTCTTAACGTTCGGGTTCGATTCCCACAGCGGCGACAATCATTTCGCACTTTTTCTACATATTTTAATAAATATTTTTATATAATAGCGCGAAAATAATAAAAAATTCACTTTAGAGTGGTTTTTCGAAGATGTGACTAAAGAAACTGTTCACCGAATGGTGATGAACCTTCCACCCATAGCCATCCGTAATACAAAGATATATTACGGCTGCTGGGGATTGCAGCCTTTGAGTTGATACGCTTCAGGTTATCGCGCTCACTGTGAGACGGAAACGTACTAATAATTGCATAATAATAATTGCATCTGTAAGTCCGTGGTACTTTCCCGTCGTGCTATGCACCGGGCAAAGCCAGTGTGTTATTTTCTACATGTAGCAGATTTTTTTTGTGAAAAGTTGCCAAACGAGCAGATGGTTCACCTGATTTTAAGTGAATATCGCCGCCCACGGACATCTGTTACACCCGAGGGTTCCTGGTGCGTTTACTACCTTTTGAAAATTGGGCTCTGGCCACCTCACTTACCAGACGAAACGCGAAAGTATTATACTTCCACTTTACGCCGGTCTTCTGTGAGGTCGTGGTACTTACCCGGACGAGCCTGCCCATTCGTGCAACAGCTGAGGCAGCTGCGTGGCCCTATCACCGTCAGAGTATGTATGTCTATTAGTATTAGAGAAATTATAATTGCAATTAACATTTTCAATGTTGCCGATACCGGGATTTTAATTTACTTTGCTCGACTATATTGACTTAAAAGCGAGGGCCCGGACACTGAGCTATCCCGACGTCTCCGTAATCTAGCCTTGTTAGATGTTTATCGGCTGAGTTATTCATCAGCTTAGCCCTTTGTGAATTCCAATATTTTCGGCAGCTAGAGGAAACCGAGGAACGTTGCGTAAGATATTCGCATGTCTACATGCGTGTACTAACTTCGTGTGTCGGTTACACGTAACTGCGGTAAAGCCATGCAACAGCTTTGGCTGTTGCACAAATGGGCAGGTCCGACCGGTTTAATACTACGACCTCACAGAAGACCGGCGTCAAGTGGATGTGTCATACTTCTGCGTTTTGTCTTGTGAGACAGACACACACACAAAAAGAAAAAGATTCCGATTTAATTCAGTTTGAAGGATTTGAGAAAAAAAATAGTAAACAACAGAAAACGAAGTTTTAAGCGAAAAATTAAACTAAGAAAAAGCAACAGTGTAACATTTTTTTTTTTCACTTTTTTAGATATTTCAGAGGACATTGAAACTGTGCGACAATGCATGATTCCGACAGACCTTGTGTGTCCGGATTCCTTGAACCCGGGTAAGCACATAAAGTATAACTCGCACCCCTATAATTTTGGAGAGAGTACAAAAAAATTCCCCCCTTAATGTCTGATTAAAGTTTATTTAATCAAAATTAACATTTTTTTTTTCTTTGTACTGCTAATCTCTGCACTTAAAGAGCGAAAAAGAAACATTGTAGATAAAAGACAAATTCAAAACGTTTTTGAATCCATCATCAAAATTCATTTCTGAAGATTTTTGATGATTGCATCAATAGAAAACGAATATGTTGTTTGATGTTCCGTGTAAGGAATAGCGCGGGAAACATTTTAAACTATTGAGCATACAAATCTTCGTAAAGAGTTTAAAAATACTGAAACAATGTCCAATCTTGAAATTTAACATACATAGTTTATATTTATTCAAGTATAACTTAATTATATTTATACTACAGTAAAAATTACTATATTTAGTAACAGTAAAAAAGATATATTACTGTTATTATGACAAAAGCGTACTTACTCGCATAATCGGTATAAATTATTATAAAATAACAAATGAATAAAAGCAATGGATTAATGTAATACATAGATTAATAAAATCTTCCCTTTTCAGTTTTCATGAACATCTCAGTTAACGGTAATATATTAACGCCCAAATATGATAGCTACTCAACATCTCACGAGTACATTTACAAATACAATGAAACTGAAAACTTTGTGGTTACCTGCAACGCTTCAGACTCTTCTAGTACTCCTTATATAATAATGTGCAAAGACGCATACAGTAAACAAGGTGAGTATGAATGAATGAATGAATGAATGAATATACTTTATTGCACACCAAAAATAAAACAAACAAAAATTAAAACTTAATGTAGACGTAATGGGTACAATGGGCAGCCTTATTACTAAGAGTAATTTCTTCCAGGCAACAGAGTATGCTACTCATCTTAATATAACATTATCAAAATAATGTTATTTTCTTCTTTCATACATCATTCGTACATAGGTTACTCTGAACGTAAATATTTATTTATACATTGTTTTTGTAATCTTTAATTTGCACAGATACCACAATACTGTAACCTTTTACCATATGGAATCTATGTTGCGGTTGGATATCTGATCAATATTTTAATTAAATTATTTTATACAGACCACCGCAGCCCGCTATTCAAAAGATCGTTCTTCTAAATTCCGCTCTTCTACATAGCAAAAAGTCATCATTTTACAATTGATAGAAGGCTAGGCCGCTTTTTTTTATATCACGGCGATCTGAAGGGCTACTGTTATTTAAACGCCATTTCGGAGGCCATACTGACTGCACAATGTAATAACATGGTGCAGTCAGTATGGTCGTGGTGGAGCCGTGGTTTGGTCACTCACGGTGAAGCCAAAAAAAAAACAAAGTGGGCCAGCCCAAAAGGGCCGCTCCGTGTGAACTCATTGAGCTCGAGCCGAGAGGGTGCGGGGTCGAAGTCGAAATTGGTACAGGAGGAGCCACTCTCCCTGTCTTCGGAAATCGAGGTGGATTAGCGAAGAAGAGTGTGTTATTACGTTAGGCCGCTCTCCCTATCAAAAAATGAAGGAAAAATAATTTACCCATTATTTTGCCAAGCTTATTATTTATAAAGAAGTGTGATCACCATGATTATTTAGAGCCTAATGATATACGTGCTCAGGCAGAGCAGGCCACTCGTAGAACTTGTTTGTTCTGCAAGAGCCATTTTTGGGTCCTCTTGGCTGTATGGCGACGACCACCCTCGTTTATCAGAGTAAAATACTAATTGCCATTAATGAAAATGGACTCAGTACATTTGCCCTTCATGATGCCAAACCATTACTAAAGCCCAACTGTAGGGATAAACTTCCTGAACACATCTCAGTCGCTCGTTGTCTCCAGGACGTCATTAGACACTTACGCCCGAATTCTGATCATTAAGAAGATCATTCTGATAAATTCAGAGAGTTTAACAATCCTTTTGGCAACTCAAATAACATTCGAAAAGCCATTTGACAGCTGATTAGTTGACTTCTACGTTGACCAGCTAAATACAAATTTTATCCCTTCGCTCAATGTACACGCTCCCTGCACTATGTTTCTCGGCCACCTCGATTTCCATGACGGATGGGTGAACACCTTATAAGGCGTCATGCATAAAGTCTATACTCATGCAGTCTGTGTCGTACAGTTTTGGGTCTAACAATTACGCTAGTCAAGCTTTGAAGGGTCAACCCTATTCATATAGCGGTCAGCTTAGATTGAGGTCTTGCGGTGAAACGATATTGCCAAGCAGTGGTGCTTCTTCGTCGATTAGGATGCTGTTCAGCGGGGTACCCTGTATTGTTGGAACGTTGCCAAACACGGTTAATAACACTTCGGTTTACATCAAAAGCCCGTGCCACCTCCGATTGATTGAAATACCTTCGAGAACCAACATATAGAAGTTACTATATGAAACCCGACGTGTTTGTTAGCTTAATATCTACTACTCTCTTTTGCCTCGTTTTAAATAAGGTATTCCCTACCAATTTTTGATCATCCAATCCTCTTTTAGAGTTTCAGCCATGCCTAGGGAAGAATTGCGCCATCACAAAATCAATGGGCTTGGATGAAGTCAAAAAATACCCTAAAGTGTATTGTTTCACGTTGAATGAAAACGAAGCCTTGACAAAGGTGAAGTTTATATCCGTAAACGGTAAGTGGCGTTTCGGATACATTTTTAGTTGACCTTGAGTGAAATTACACGTGTTTGTGTGTACGGATTAATATAAGTGCTAATGAAGCCGGGTGAATTCATCAATTCAAGTAGATTATATTACATATGATCTACTCTAATTGATTCCATGATAATACATAATCCGCTTTCTCGCTCCGTAGTTCTTTTTAAATCGATATCTCCAATAAAAATTGGCTTTAAATATTTAAAAGTAAAGTAACGGGCTACACATATCCCACTGATGGACAAAGGCCTCCCCTTTTATAGAGGTTATCGGGGCATAGACCACCACTCGGCCCCACTGCGGATTGGCGAACTTCACATAAATTCGTAAATATTTTTTTTGGTATTTCGAAAATATACAGTTTTCCTCGCGATGTTTTCTTTCACAGCTGAGCAGGTGATAAAAAAAAGCACTTAAAATTAACTATTTCGCTGGTGCCGGCATCGGGGTTCGAACTCAGGTGCGCGCGGACACTCAGCTATCACGGATTTCTAAAATACCTTAATTTCGCTCTGTTAATCTATTTTTTCGTTTAGTCAGTTATTATTCGTGCGATTTTGCAGATGATATAACAAGAAAGGCCACTACTGTGTATCCGCCAACTGAAACAACCACATCAACAGGTACGTTTGGACATTCTCTGACAACATAATTTTAATCCTAATATTACTAGTATCATGTAGAGGGTCTTAGTTTAAAATGGTGCTCACGACTTCAATTTCACCCTGTAGTATGATCAACCGATTGAAAACAATCGTTGTTTGTCCGCTATTCTGTTTGAATTTTATAGATTTAGTAGACTCCACTATAGACTTCCTAATTTGAAAGCTCAGTAAAAAGAAACTAAAAAGAATTGGTGATGGAGCTGGGTGAGATCATCGATTCGAGTAGATCATATATAATATAATCTACTTGAATGGATGATTTCTTGATAATACTTAATCCGCTTCCTTGCTACGTAGTTCTTTTTGAATTGATATCTCCAATAAAATTTGGATTTAAGGATTTATGAAATATCTTAATTTCTTCGCTTTGTTATCCTGTCTTTTCGCTTAGTCATGAATAAATGTATGTGTTCGTTTATTATTCTTACGCTTTTACAGATGATACAACAAGAATGGTCACTACTGTGTATCCACCAACTGAAACAACCGCACCAACAGGTACGTTTGGACAAGTGACATTCTCTTCTATAATATCTTTGGGTGTTGCAATAGTTTCCAACCGACTTCAAATAGGTAGGAGGCTCTCAATTCGATGGTATTTTTTTCACGTTCGTCACCTCACAGAACATATTTTATCGTCCGTCATTTACGAAACGATTTTAAAAATTCTCTTCGCATTGGAATCGTTTTAGCTCCCACGTCTTCCATAATGGAACAAAATGGTCCTTAGACGCGGGAGATACATCAGAGAACTACTCAAAATCAAACAGATAATGTTTACTGATAAAACGTGAAATTTATGCTGCATTTCCTGTTATTGTTATGAGCAGGAGGCAAAGACTACTTGTTTAGAATTTCCACGATCCTAGCGCATCTCTCTTGCCTCAATTTATACTCGTAAATATTCAAGAATACTAATAAACGTCCAAACATTTGTATAATTGTCGTAAATATCTAATAATACTGGTAAATATTCAATATTACGCATGCATGATGAACTTTATTAAGCAATCATTAAAAACAGCTTAGTGAAAATATTTTAAGCGATTAAACAATATCAAAATATCAAATAAAATTATTTCACATTACAGAAGAAACTGTTACTGAACAAACTACAGAAAAGGATTTGGTTTGCCCGAACCCGCCTCATATTCCTGACATAACTGAATTCGGGATAGAAGGTAACATATTTGTCCACAATGCATGTCTTAATAACTTTTGGCAATAACATGAATCGTATGATGTCAAACATTCAATTAATTTTAAAATTTTATATCAGAGGAATGTGTTTTAAGAGTAAATTATTCAAGAAAGATGCAACGACCACAGCGACCACTGGGACACCACTACATATTAGTTCTACTTTTTTTAAAGTAACGCAAAAGTTGCACGCTTTACATCATTTTTATCAAAATGGCTCCAGCAGGTCTACTCCGAACAATTAATGCTAAGTAATTAGTTAATGTTAAGTTGATTGCGTTACGACCCGAATAGCTTAGTGAGTAGTGTACCTGCCTCCTGCGTCAGAGGGTGTGGGTTTGATCCCCACTACTGGAAAAATATTGTGTGATGAACATATTGTTTTTCTAGTATCTGGGTGTTTATGTATGTATAATATGTATTTATTTACAAAAGAAAAGTATGTTTAAGTATGTTTGTTTATCAGTTATCTAGTACCCATAGTTCAAGCGTTGCTTAGTTTGGGACTAGAGATCGTTGTGTAAAAATGTGTCCTAAAAAATATTTATACAGGCGTAAAACGCATAGAATTTTCAACACGCCGTTATTGCCTTCATTTGTATGTTTGCTTTTCCTAACATGCATACGTACAAAAATACAGGTGAAGATCCCGTTGGTTCTTTCAACAGCATTCACACACATATATATAACTTTACTCTTTGTTCACACACTTCAAACAGTATAACTTGAAAATCGGCACCCTTACAAAATACTAAATGACAATGCGATAGCTTAATTAGTTTGCCACATGTTACCGCCCAGAATCGTCGGGATTTACTATTTACTCGAGCAGCGAAATGTAAACAAATCCTGTATATGGTCAGTAGGTTTAAGATGACTCCGTGGCGCAGTTGCCAAGCTATTGGCTTCGGCGTCGAGGGTCGTGGGTTCGATTCCCACACGGTTCAAAAATTTGTGCGACCCACAGGTAGTTGTTTCGCATCTGGGTGTTTGTCCACGTAAAATTTATGTTTGTAAAACGTCCTTACAACACAGAATAATACTATCCTAAAGTGAGAGCAATATTTTAAAAAAATAAGAAAAAAAAAAAAGTACCTTTTTGTACCAAATCACAGACGCAGTAAATAGATAACGCATCACAGATATACCGCCATTATAGTCGTTTTATATCTTTTACATTCTCCGATCTCCTTACATAACATTTACGTTTTCAGATATCTACTTCGTTGCCAGCGGGGTGCTGATATTATTAACGATTATAGCGATTGTGTTCCTAATATTCACTATTTATAGACGCTTCAAAAAAGTGAACAATAATTTGTACTACGCATAAACTGGTCATGTATGTTACATGCATGACCTTTATTGAAGATAAGGTAAAGGATATGTTTTTCGGAAAACTTAAAGACACACGTTACTTACACACTTGGTGTATAACAACATTATTAACATTTTCGTGCACATTTTACATTGAATTTTAGATTATTAAAAGTATTAAAATTAATTATCTATTTTACTGTTTCAAATACACAATTTCAGACAGGCATTTGAGATCGGTTAGGAAACTCCTTATAGGCGCATACGAACATGTGGGATGAACAGAATACAAAAAAAGCCATCCACAAATGACAAGGATTCTTTAGTTACGAGCAATGTTGTTAAGTAACATTGTATCATAGTAATGTAATTAAAAAAAAAAAGCATCAGTAATGACCATTCTCAATTTTCTAATTGGGTATTTTTTTCTTTAATAATGAGTATACTCATTATTTTCTTACAAATTTTGCTTACCTATCAAAGTTGGTGATTTCTATAAAAACGCGCAAAATTACCTTCCAGTACGCATTTCTATCTACTCCTAATGTCACCAAAATAACAACTTAGTATTTGAAGTTTAGAACAATTCCACTATAATTCAATGTAATACAATTTGGGTAATATATTTAATATTACCCAAAACTAAGTCTAAGTAAAGACTTAAAACAACAATTGGTAAGTGTAGAATAAGTTTGTTTAAATAAGTCGATAATTTCCTAAATCAAAATAACCGATGTAGTTCGTATGAAATATGACAGTCACTACCTCAACTTGAGGAATTAACTTGAAATTGCAATTAAGATGATAGTTAATTTACATAATCCAACTGGCGACAAAAAAGCTAATATAATCCAACTTTGTCTTTGTCGACTGCAATTTGATGAGCCTACACGGGTGGGCTTCGGTTACCTTACTTACAATACAAAAAATTCAAAAGTATAAATCATCATCTTTATTATTTCAGCCTGCTCTAGTCCACTGCTGAACGTCGGAATCCGCCGCAGACTACCACGAAGCTCGATCATGAGCCTGCATCCATCGACTTCCCTTACATACTCTCAAGTCGTTACATACTCACTCCATCTAATGCAGGGTCGTCCTACACTAGACATAGTGATAAATACTTCTAATATCTCTGGTCCTCCCTAAGTACATCCCGCAACCGGCCAGTCTATTCCCGCAACAGCAGAAGATGCCACGTCGCTCCACGACGACAATAACATCTATATACATACAAATATAATAGACTATATTCCAACTTCCATGGCTTACGGAAGAGCGGGGAAAACGCCACTAATGACGTGCCTCTTCAGCGGTTGTCTGAGAAAAGGCGTCGAACGAGAACGTAGCGGGCAATAGCTCGTCAGAGACAGGCGTCCAACGGTCCTTCCTGGCCAAGGTCCAATCATTCAAGATGCTGTTCAAAGTGGGCGCGCCCAAAGCGGTTCAAAAGCTCGAAGAGAAGTTCCCTCGAAGAAGAAAAGGAGAGAAGAAAGCCTACTCGACTTTGGATGAAGATCTATAAAAGACCGACGCCGAAAGCGTCTTAAATATGGTTTAAATTATTATTCTCGTATATAATACGGTGGTATAACAATGTGTCAATGATTTATGTAAAACTAGCTAGCCCGCACAACTTCGTCTGCGCCAAATCTGTTGTTACCGGTTTCAATTCTATTTCCAAATGCGAATCTATTAAAAACCGCGGAAACTCGGCGCCATCTGCCGCGTCCAATTGTATTTCTGTTAGAATCTTATGGAATTCACAGATAATTAAACTCTTTGTCATATTATAATAAATGAATAATTTGCAATAAAAAATATTGCGACTATAAATTTGAGATATAAACTATCCTAACTCTCAAGTTGGTTCAAACCGCACGCAGTATGCAAAAATTTGATTAAAATCTATTCAGTAGTTAGTGAGTTCATCGCGGACAAACAATGCGACACAAAATTTTTATACATATAAAGATATTTTTAGTATACTATACTTAGAATAGAGCGTGGATAAACTTTGTTCTTGTGTTATGCTTTGCTTCAGTTCTATTGTCTATTCATTCTTTCCGTCCTAAGTAAATTAAAGTAACAGCCTATAAATGTCCCACATCCACCATGCGTATCTACCGCGGATTGGCGGACTTCACATATTTTTGAAATATTTTTTTATTATTATTTCGAAAACATGCAGGTTACGCCGAGCACGTGATAATTCAGCACTTAAAATTAACAATTTCATTGGTGCTGGCACCGGCGATCGCACTCAGGATGCTCGTGTAAATGTAAAGGCGATCGCCCGGAGACTCATCAGCCGGAGATCATGGCTCATGGCTCATTTATGTTATTTATCATCTCATTTATAGTATATATTTATAAATGGGAGGGGTACCTGATGGCCTAAAAGACAAGCTTTGCTTAGTTTAGGCATCAGGCTCCCCACATTGCTTTGAATCTTAAATTGAGATGATGATAAGATGTGGTGAGAAAATAAAGTTTATTATTATTATTATATAGTAACATATTGAAGCTTATTATAATTTTATATTAGAAACTAATTCCAAACAACTCACTTTTGTTAACTGGATTTATTCATTAAAACATAAAAAATAAAATGATAATCCCACATTTGAATTCACAGCAGTGTTGATTCTTTCGAAAGGATCCAAAATAAGACGATCAAATATAAAATACTGTTTATGTTAGTTCACTATCATGGAAATAGTCTACGAGGATAAAAGTTATATTTCATATTACATAAAAACATAAACAATTTTCAATTAATACATAAATTAACATGACATTGTTGAAATGTAAAAAAAATAACGCAAGTACGTGCAAACGCATATTTTACATTATTTTAAAAGTATTATTTCTCCTAACTTGAATTATATCCGTATAATAAAAATTCTATTTAATAGTACTAGTAGCAACTTATTCATTATAAAATATCACATCATACATACTTTATCTTAATACTGTTCATTACTAAACAAAGCGATGAAAATATATCCAATGCGATCTTTCAAAGATCATTGTAATTTAGCGCCAAGGATTATATGGGTTGGCAAAATATAGGTACGTAAAAGGATTGAAGCTCATCTCTTAGTTACGGATCAGTTCATATCTGTCCAACACATATTTGTATCGTATGGCTATATTTTATTTGTGACAACACTTAATTGGAAGTATTTTACAATTTTATATCTTAAAATTCGACATATTTTAACTTACACACTTTAGTTTCAGGCTAAGAACTATAAACTCATACATAAATGATTGGCTTATTTGCCTTAGTAAGTAATAAAATAATACTTAATTATAACATGTTATTGAATATTTCAATACAATCTAATAGGCGATAGATTAGTAGTTGTATTTAATAAATCTGATGAAATTAAAAATAAATTTTTACGCCTTTAAGTTCTTTGTTAAGGAATAACACTGCAATCACAACTTGGCCTTTAAATTAAAATCTTGCAAAATAAAACATTCCCTTTATCATTCGAGTTCTCTAAAAATTTCTTGGCTCCTCTACTTTTTCCTATAGAATAAAGATAAAGGACAATATGAAAGAAATCTGTATAGCTCAGGACTATTACAATTTCAATCCCAGCACTACAACAACAGTGCGATAGTAAAATAATTTGCTCCCTTCCCTAAGACCCCGTATCGTCAGTGCCAGTTAAAGACTGTGTGGCAGAAAATAAGGTAGACTGACGCGACCAATAAGTTCCCGATCATGATGGGGAATCCGATCTTGAGGTACTGCATGAATGTGAACCGGTAGCCGTGCTGCTCGGCAACCCCGGCGCAGACCACGTTCGCACTGGCTCCGATTAGAGTACCGTTGCCTGGAAAAGCATACATCATTTGAAATAATTACTATAGGCGACGGAAGATTTTAGGACAACCTCTGAGACCTGAATGATGGCTGGAGAATGGTTATCTGGCACAGGATTATGAAGAAATTACGATCGATTCAGATAATACTTCGTCACACAGTTTCATTGATAGACACTTATTAGATGATTACTAAGTGGCTTTAGAATGGTTTTAACAGCTGTCACATGAGATAAGCTCCAAGACAGATATCGAATTTAACGCAGACTGACTATACACAACTTTAGATCAACCCGATCATCTTCACGTTCCATCCTAGCAGTTGAACGGTCCTCTCCCGATTTGTTATCGTTTGACAGATCAAACGGTCGACGATTTACCGTACCTCTTTTTATCTGAGAATGTGGCAACAAGCCGGCTGGCTGTTCGCCAGATGGACGTCTACCACACAACACCTCCGGCTCCGGTCACCTCAGTCACCAGACGAAACGCAGAAGTATAACACTTCCAATTCACGCCTGTATTCTGTGCTACTCCTCCGGACGAGCCCGCCCGTTCGCGCAACGACAACCCTACCGCAGTCGAAGGGTGGCGAGAGGTAGAAGTGTCGCCGTACGGAAACGTCGGTCACCTCCGAGACAGGCGCCGAAGCTGAGCGCCCAGGCGAGCGGCGCCAGCGGCAGCTCCAGCCCGCCGGGCGCCGACAGCGCCGCCGTCACGCGCACCATCATCGTCGTCAGCGGGATGTTGTCCACGAAGGCGGACGCGATGCCCGACACCTGTCCGTTCAATTTCACACCTATCAATAAATGTGTTTTTTTATGTGACAAGTTGCCAAGCGGGCAGGCGGTTCACCTGTTGTCAAGTGAATACCGGCGCCCATGGACATCTACACCCGAGGGTTGCAGGTGCGTTGACAACCTTTTTGGAAATTGGGCTCCGGCTACCTCACTCACCAGACGAAACGCGAAAGTATTATACTTCCACTTGACGCCGGTCTTTTGTGAGGTCGTGGTGGACTCTTCGTCCTGGTGACAAACAGTTACCAGGACGAGCCTGCCCATTCGTGTAACAGCCGAGGCTGCTGCGTGGCCCTACCACACTACTATGAGGCAGGCTTAACAGAATGCCAAGACCTCTAACGGCATGCAAGCGGTGTCTGCCGCTCCATATGAGGAGCTCGTGAGGAGCGCTGTGCTAATTGCACCGGCAAAGCACCTTTTTGATGGAGTGGGTGTGGTAACACCCAAGAAGGCCATAGTCGCACCGGGCTCGCGTAAGATTGCGTCTTCGTGTTCCCTTGTCCCCGGCTAATGCGATAGTATCTGCACCACTGCGATGTGGGTTTTTTGTAGTGGGTACTTGTTCTGTCCGGGACTCCCACTCACTCCTGCCACTCCCCCGATTCCGTGGCAGGGGATCCATCCAAAGGATTTTTCCCCACGTTAAATTTTAAAAAAGCCCTAACAGCATGAGCAGCTTCCTTCGCTCAAAGGTTTAGTATAACTTTTAAGAGAGGAAATGCAGCCAGTGTTCGTGGCACAATGCCGTGTGGGCTAGATGTACTCGATAACATATAGACGAAAGGCTCATAAGTACCCACCCAAAGAACAAGCATCAGAGCTACGGTGAGACGCGACTCCTCCCCGACCTTCAAAATTAGAGACTCCGTGATCTTTCCAATCCAGGAGATCAAGCCCAGCTTAGAGAGCACCTGGAATAAAACAGTAAAAATTAAATGACCAATAGAACTAAATTCCTGTATTCAACTTGTTCTCAAAGTGCCACTTAATATGCAGAATAACTATAATAATGGAATGACCGTAAAAATCACCCGAGAATCCTAAATAGACACATACCGAAGAGTTACTACTCTTAGCACAGATGAAAACATTTAGGTACTAAGTAATTTTTAGTTTATTAATTAGCCCGAAGAAGCTTTATCATAACAATTGATACATTAAACTATGAACAAAGAGTTTTATTATTTGAAACGTGAGTGCTGAATAGATATTTACATAGTTAGGCCGCTAGAGTACAGATGCAGTAGTCTGTATTGAATTAATTCTGGTAGAAACTAATCTCGGTAATAATTGCAAGGGCGGCAATCTATGTATATCCTATGTTTTGGTTAAAAGCAACAAGTCAAGTAGGATTTAGTGACTTCATGGCAATTAAAATTAATTAAAAGACGAAAAGTTTCTCGCCGCTGCGGGTATCGAACCCACCGCTTCCGGATCCGCACCCAGAGACGTGGGTTCGATTCCCGCAGTAGCGAGTAATTTTTCGTCTTTTTGTTAGAAATTTTAATGTTTCATCTTAAGTTCGGAAATTAGCACTATAAAATTTTAAAAATCAACAAATTGTTAATTGTCAAAGTACACTCACTTCCATCAGAACGAACAAAGCTGCGAAGAACAGCAAAGTAGACCATTCGACTCTGGCCAGGATCGGTTCTAAGTCGTCTCTTTCTGCTAATAATAGAAGCAAAATCGCGCCAAGCAAGGCCGTCCAGCCTAATGAGAGCCGTTCTGGAACACAGTGGATGAGAAAATAAATATGACAAATTTTTTAAAGCCATTAAATATTGTTTTAAATTCAAATTGCAATTTGTAATGACAATTCGAAAGAAATCGAAATGAACATTCCTTCGTGATAACCGAATTATGGCGGTCAGTATAAATCAAGAGGCCTAAGTTATTTTTCATCATAGTTGACGATATTTTGGTAACACATCTATTTATAAGTAACACTAACCAAAGGTAAGGATTTTGAAGACAAAGGTAATAAAGTTAATTTATTCAACTTTCTTACTACTTAGACAAAACATGAAAATAAAAATTTTACTTACTAAACGATTCTTGCAACAAAACTAAAGCTAATTTTTTGTTGATTTAATTTGTTGTATGATTTAATATGTGGCAACGAGCTGGCGGTTCATCTGATGTTACGTGAAAACTGCCGCCCTTGGACATTTGCAACCCCGTTGAGTTGCAGATGCATTGCCACCTTTTAGCTAATGGGCTCCGGACATCTCACTCATCAGACGAAACGCAGAAGTATAACACTTCTACTTCACGCCACTTTTATGTGAGGTCCTGGTACTTTCCTGGACGGACCTGTCCTTGCAACAGCGAAAGCTATTGCGTGCCCCTACCACGGTAAATCCAAGTTTATTTCTGTATGTAACGCAATACTCACGTAGCTCCGGTATGGCGTGAAGGAAGAACACGATTACTACAAATGCTACGCACACTATCGACTTAATCAGAAGCTGCTTGTCCCTGATGCGGTACTGTAAACGAAGAGAGCAGTTTTGACGACGATGTTAAGAGGGGAAAGTGAACGGACCTGATGATATCTTTTTTTATGTGAGAAGGTGGCAAGTGATTTGACGGTTCTTCTGATGTTAAGTAATAACCGCCACCCATGGACATTTGCAACACCCGTAGCGTTGCAAATGCGGTGCCATATTTTCACCAAGCGGGCCTCGGCTACCTCACTCACTAGACGAAACGAGGAAATATAATGCTCCTACAACACGCCGGTCTTCTGTGAGGTGCTAACCCGGACGGACCTGCCCATTCGTGCTACAGCGTTGATTGTTGCGTGGCCCTACTATAGTATAGTGATTGCAGCCACCCTAGAAATGCTATACTAAACTATTAATTATAGTTATCGCAATCACTGAATGACTGAGAAAGCGCTAAAGTATTTATGACAATTCAGTATCACACATACACTCGTACCATGGCAATATTTTAAAAAAACATGAGCCGTGCTGAGAGATAACGTTGTCCCGTGTTGTAGAATTGCTTTTTCTTCATTCTTCTCCTGCCCTTATCCCACTTAGATGGGGTCGGCGCAGCATGTAAATTATGTTGTTGGTGGCATAGGAGTACCGCCTGCTTAACGTCAACCTTCCTTCTTAACAAACACCAGATCCGGATAAATTATCAGCGAGTCACACAAATACCTGTCCCGTGTGGGAATCGGACCCACTACCACCGGAACCGAAGCCAATAGATTATAAACTGATGATAATGATTAATATAGAATTATAATATATTTTTATGGGCTGCGGGATTCATGTATTGTGTGTCGAATGGACCAAGATGCAACTCGCAGCTTAAGAAGATTATTTCGCAGTAGATACAAAACCACTGCGAATTAAAACATCTGATTAGAGACACAAAAAAACACCTTGCCTAATATTTATTATATTAAACAGTATAGCAAAATATTCGGTCCTTACTTATGAAATTGACGTTTTGTGAACTGGCCATTTTGAATTCAAAATCGATTGACTAGGAATTTCAAATTAAAATTTGTTTTAAACTTAGGCTTGTATTGTATTTCGATTGCAGCGATTCATCTGTTTTCACGTCATTTGATTTTTGTTTGACTTTGGTCTGTTCACAATAAGGAAAACTTAAAATATCGCGTTATTTACGTATACGAGTTCCAACGTGGCACCAACTACTTAAAATAAAACACGATACACTTATTCTCTATTTTTTTTAAAAACTGCCCTTCCTGTAAGATAGATAACATTATCCGAGTTGTAAGGTCCCCCAGATCCGAAACAATTATCTGTGAGTCACACAAAAAGTCCCGTGTGGGATTCGAACCCAAGGCCCCCGGCACCGAAGTCCATGCCTTGGCAACAGCGCCAAGAAGTCATCAAAATGGGTTTTTTCATTGCTTAGTACTTCTCATAATTCTTCAATCACATTTTTAGTGGTAATTCCTGTTCAACATCATTTTAAAATGCTCAAAGATCAAGATCTCATCTTTCTAGAAAAAGTTCCCAAGCGAGGGCATCAAAATACGTTGTAATGAAGAATGTTTACCGTAAACTGAAAAACGTCTTACAAGTCAGAGAGAGTAAAGTAGTGTGTTTGCAGTGGCTTCATGAGCAAAATAATATAAATATACAAATTCACACTAGGGAATCGAGCTCTGAGCGTTTCCAACGCCAACGAGATTAGAGAGAGACAACAAATGTCAACGACTAGAGTTCGTAATCGAATTTTAGCTCACAGTAACAGATCAGCTTTTTTGCATTATGCTCAACAGTCTTCTGTCCAATTCGAAGCCATGAATAAGATCTGATCAGTGTTCTGCCTAAAAATGGGTCCATGAACCAAATGGTATGTGCTGTGCTTCTGGAAAAGTTAGTCTCCCCAATATTGAGGAGCCGCCACAGCCAATAAAAAATCTTTTGATAAATAATCATTCACCATCTGAACATTTTTAACCAACATCCGAAAGTACAATAGCCTCTTCCAAATGACTTCGTTTGACGCGAACTTTTAAAATAGAGGGACAAGTATACAAGTCATCATCATCTTCTTACCCCTATCCCACCTAAGTGGGGTCGGAACAACATGAATCATGTTGTACGCAGTTTTGGCCATATTTTTACAACCAGCCGCCTGCCTGACGTTAAACCTCCTTGGGAAACAAACACCCAGATCAAATTTCAACTGTGTAACTATCACGGTTCATGAGATACAGCCTTTTGACAGAGGGACAAACAGCAGCGGAGTCTTAGTAATAGGGTCCGATTTTACCCTTTGGGTACCGAACCATAAAATGGCCCCAGAGATTTAGTGCTGCACGGTAGACACGGCCAACTTAAAAGGGTCTCTGAGTAACACCGATTGCATAATACACTACAATATCCCTTAATCGTCGTAATGGGAGAAGACTGTTATTATTTGACTATTCCTCAGCAAGGTCCAGTGCGTAACAAAACTGTGACATGCATGCAATTTTATGCATTTAGGTTGATGGTTAGAGCTACCTGTTTTAAGCCATTGCATTATTACTGGGACTTATTAGGGTTCCGTACCCAAAGTTATAGAGTGATTGCAAATGAGTTGCCATCTTTAAATAAAGTGGGCCCCGGCTACCTCTCTCACCAGACGAAACGTAGAAGTATAACACTTCTATTTTACGCCGGTCTTCTGTGAGGTCGGTACGGAACCCATCGTGTGCGAGTCTGACTCGCACTTGGCCGGTTTTTATTAAATACATTGTCGATATGATGGCAAAAAGATATAAAGATTGAATTACATATGATGTCGTAATCACCAGAGACTGAGGGCTGGTGAAACATTCATCTTAGAGACGCTTTAAATCAAGACATTGGCTCATCAAATATCGGTCAACAAAAAAACCAAAGATGCTATGATTTATGTCCGAAGCTATGGGAGACCAGACTTATTTGTCACTTTTACGTGTAACCCCGAATGTCCCGTAATTAAAGCGGAACCATTATCTGGTCAGCGGTCTTTCGATCTTCATGACGTAATTTCAAGGGTATTTTATTAAAAAATGAAGAAATTCATAAAATTATTCACCAAAGACGAAATATTCGGAATATTTTATGTGTATGATAATTTTTAGTTCTAAAAATTTTGTTAAATACCCGTGCGAAGCCGGGGCAGGCCGCTAGTTTCCATATAAACGCAAATCTAGGTAAGGACCTAATACGTCATGGTAAAGGTCTCTCTTTTTGTTCACTCACCTTTTGTTTCATTTGCGCTAGCGTAGAACAGAAGAGCGGATCTGATTTCGACTTTCCACTTCCCGCCTCCCTCTTTAGCAGCGTTACGTGCAATTTCTGCACCTGCAATTTTAAAATTGTCAATGGCATGGCGTGGCGAGGAACAATATAAAATTCTCCATTTCAGTTATGGCTCTATGTATATTAATTGCATTAATTATACTAAATTTATTAATCGCTATGCAAATTACACCTATATTAAGAGAAACCCACAAACCTTCTTCTCCAGTGCTCTTCTAACGATATCCTCGTCTCTTGAGTAAGATGCCAGGGACGCGGCTGCACGACGCCACACTGCTATCTCTTGACGCATTTCTTTAAAATATACCAACAATCAATACGCATCAATATCCACCAGCATCTTCATTACAACGATCTTCATCATAATCTCATAATACCATGATGATGAGGATACCATAGCGTTAAAACATAGAGATAATGTATATTGATTCACAACATGCATTAAAACATAGGGTTACATATGGTTCCACCTTGGTCGCCTTCGTACTGTCATAGTTGATAGAACAGAACGTTGACCAGAGAAAATATGCCTCGGAAGAGTAACGACAAGATATACATACAAAAAACAAAATGTATATTGAATGTTAATACAAATGGTGTAGAATTTAACCTGAGAGAAAATTTTAAAGCTTCAATTCCTATTAGATCTATCGACGATATTTGAACCCTTAGCACCTCCCTCGGACTATGTAAAAGTCGTGTTTAATTTCTCTTATATACTTCTATGTTGTGTAAATTCCTACCTTATTATATAAATGAGACAGCTAAGTCTAACAACATACACATACCAATCTCACTAGCAAAAAAAATGCGAAAATGGAAACTTAGCGTTCTGACGTCTAGACCAGTAAACAAATCACCGCTCACGCAAGAAATTCTAGAAGGTCAAACAATGTATCATACGTTGTTTAACTTATTAATCATACGAGTATCATTACAATCGGTCACAAGTCAAATGTTGAACATGGCCTATCCCACATATTGCCAACGTACAGTCCTGGACACATCAACCTCCATATTGATTTCTCTTATCACCAGGTTATGCAGACGTTTGTCCTACACAACATTTTCTTTTAGGGCTATCAGAGCTGCCACTCAAGAACCCATCTGTTGTTAGTCTGAAAGTATCACCTTATTCTGATCAAAGGAACACTACTTTAGTAGCAGTCCTATAATATAAAGCATTACAAAAGTATTTCATTTAACCTTACCCTGTATGTCCCTTGGTACGGTGTGACGTAGCTTGTTCATGTCGCGGAACATATATCTAAGCTGCACGTAAGTCTGAGCAGCTACAAGTAAAATACCGAGCCCCATGTGGAGAGTGAAATTGGTGAAGTTGATGTTCTGAAATTTTCAATGTCATATTTCGATGATATCAAATTGTATATCGTAGACGCTAGACGGGTACACGCGTAAATTTTAACAAAATAATCTAGAATCTGGATACAGGCCAAGTTGACTGTAGGGAAGAGGACGAAACTAATTAAAATTTATAAGAACAGGTACTTAGAGATTATGCTTAACTAGCCTCCTGTAAAATTGACGGATGGCTGGCGATGATAACGTTGGGCGGGTCACCAACTGGCGTCGCGGCACCACCCACATTGCTGAAGATCACCATTGACATCAGCACTGGCACTGGGTTCAGTTGCATCACTTCGCACAGCCTGCACAGAATGATCCAAGTGTTAAAATATTTGTTTTATTCATTCGATTAATTCATTAATTTATTCACTCCTTCCTTTGTTTTCTCATGCACTTATTAAAATAATGAAGACTTTACGAATTTAATAATGAACTCGTTATGTGATAATTAACCTACCGTATGGTTACAGGCGTCATCAATAGCACCGTGGTCACATTGTCGAGGAAAGTGGAGAAGAACGCAGTGAAAAAGCACAAACAGTTAATCAGCGGCCATGTCCTGCCTCCTGTAACCTGGATTGAAAAATATATGATAGTACTTTGTTAAAATATGTGATACTTTTGTGTCTAAGTAGACGATTTTTGTATACTAAATACTCGAGCAACCAACATTCTTTTGCTGGCAACAATAAGGTTGTTTCAAGTTTTAGGTTGTCATGCATTAGCGAGGGAAAAAGGATTGAGAAAAACTGCATAATCAAGATTTTTGATTTATATGATCTAAAGTAAATCCCGCATTTTATCTCAGAGCAGTATGTGGCTCGCTGCCGCTGTTAACAATTAAGAAGTTCACTAAAACTTAACAGTCATTTTGTCCGTCTCCCCTCTCAGAAATATATTCTTATAGTCATCATCATAACCCCCCTTACATTACCGATCTAGGTGAAGTCGGCACCGGTCGGCGGCGGTTACGACCGGCCACCTGCCTGATACCAATTCTGGGCCAATTATTTGTGGGTCACACAAATACTTGTACTTTATCCAAAGTGAGGGTTGTGGGCTACGGGCCTTTGGGATCCAGTGACAACGGGACCGTGACGCCCGTAAACCAGTGGTCTTCGAATGTGCTATTCGATGTATAGGAGCGGTGAGCGCCTCAGAAGGTGGTTGTACCGTATTTATGTAGCGCGTTCACCTCACTGTGCAATGTGCTGCCTTGTTGGGAACTTGTATTTTTGATTCAATTCTTCCTTGACATTATCCTTACTAATATCATAAAGGTGAAAGTTTGTATGTATGGATGGATGTTTGTTACCCTTTCACGCAAATACTACTGAATTGATTCTAATGAAACTTTTCAATAATATAGCTTATACATCATAATAAGACATAGACTATTTATATACATATTTTTATGTTTATATGTCTTTCTGTCTGAATGTTACGCCTTTAGCCTATTCTACGCAGACGTAGTCGCGGGCAGCAGCTAGTTATATCATATTGCAGCCTTTTAGAGTGAAGTATTAGTAGAACGCTCAACAATAAGACTGGGTGAATACTACGTTTACCCTTGGTGAAATCATTAATAATCACTCCTCACCTCGAAAGCGACCACTGCTAAGTAATCGAACAACCCCGTCTCTGCCAGGATTGCGACGAGCACCATCATGCTAAATAACAGCAGCAGGGTTTCCACATCCAGCCAGGACACTAACTCGGGCAAGGAAGGCCGCGCCCCTCCAAGAGCCAGCACTGCTATCCCCAGAGACGAGGACAGAAGCGCTGCTATTGTCCGATTTACTATCTGTTGGACATAATATAATTTTTTTCAGGAAAATTACAACGAGATAAAATTATACTTATAAGGTTTCTAAAAAGGCATTTGGTAATTGAATAAAATAAAAGAAACATGGAAAATCAAGTTGGTTGTTTATTGTTTATTTATATAATGGACTACAAAATTTCTTATATCAACACAAATTCAAAACCCCGCATCATTGTAGCCCTTAGCTCAAGGTAACCCAATGAAGTATAAATAAATTGGGCAGTTTAGAAAGTAGTGCTGACTTTTTGAACTTCGTTATTTATTTATAAGATTGAAGACATAAAATTACTTTGCTGCTGAAAATGTGAATTGAGACAGTCACAGTGTATATCTAAGACCGTACGTTCGTATCGTAATAATGAATCTTGCTTTTAGCCTTCTGTTAAGAGTACGGCAAAGAAGTTTCTGTCTACCCCCATTAGGAGCATTTTAACGTAAGTGCCATAAAAGAAAACTCATGTACAGCGTTTGCAAAATATTCATTTCTTTAAAATAAACAAGGGTTTCATGATAAACGACTAAGATGCATATTTGTGAGAGTTTACCTCGAAAATTATCAAGATGTACAGACAGCACAGCAGTAGGGTAGCGTAGATGATGCCGTCCTCCTCGGAGATCGGATCCAGGTGATAGCTGACTGTTATGGGAACTGTGTTGTTGCTCGTACTCGATAAACAAAGCGCGACTTTCGTATCTGTAACGATATAAAGAAAGAGTCATCATTAGAGTGGACCTTAAAAAAATGATATGTTTTCATACAGAAGTGACTACTATAAAAGACAAGCTTATGAGCGGAGACACAGTGATCATTTGCGCAAGGCATCGTATGGTATCACTAATTATTTTCTCTTTAAATTTGTAAAAACTAATTACGATCGATGAGGTTACACAATCGTTAGAATCTACTTCAAAAATTCTATCGTGTTTGTAAGTGTTGGATATAGAACATAATTTAAGTTTAACACGTAAGTTATCACTTTAACACGTATTGCACCAACCGTTTCCACCCACTTCCACGTAAAAATTTTTGTCCTGCATCATAAGTCTCGTAGAGTTGAGATGGTGAGTTCTGTTCCTGTCGACTGTTGCTTCAGCTTCTATCCTCTGTTCGAGCTCCAGCACTCTGCTGTCGGAGACGCTCGGCGCAAAGTCCATCACATCATCGGCCTTCAGATGCACCGTCCAGATGGTTGAGTTCTGCAATAATGAATAACTTCAAGGGTACCTTCAGAGTAAGAAGAAGAAGAGAGAAGAGAAATTGTATGACCAACAGATCCAGGTATTTGTAACAAGGTTTAAGTTTTGATTAAATTGATTTTCTTATTCTCCTCCCCTTGACCACGAATAGCTACATACTTTCAGAGTAAGGGGATAAATTGTATGACCAACAGAAAAGGTTTTAAGTTTTGATGATATGGATTTTCTTATTCTTTCTCCTGCCCTTAACCTTTATTGGGTCGACCCAACATGTGAACCACATTGTAAATGTTGTTGGACAATTGCCATTGGGTCGCTTAAATACTTGTACCTAAAACCCACGATACCTGGCACCGAAGCCAATATCTTAGCAATTTCGCCACCGAGCGTGCTCTTTACAAATTACCTTCCACATAAATCTTGTCCATATTATAAGTAAATATGGGAGCAACTTGATCTATTTCCTAGAAAGAGCTACACACAAGGCGAATATAATTTATGTATATTTTCAAAAATACTTCCGTTTCTAATGATTTTGCCCGTTAAATCATCTTAAACACCAATAGTAATAGTTTTGTTGAGTAAATTCAAGAAAATCTTGGTCCTTCAAGCCGGATGATTTTCATAAATACGAAAAATTATGGGCCCTGTTCCCTCTTCAAATCACATCAATGGATTGATAAAATATGAAGTTCGGCTAAGGAACAGTCCGTTAGGTTTTCATTTCCTTACAATAACAATTAAAAAGGCTAAACGGAAATTAGAAATTATTAACATAGCTCAGAGGATTAGCAAGCTGAAGTGGCGATGGGCCGGCCATTTAGCTCGTAGAACCGATAACCGTTGGGGAAGAAAGGTTCTCGAGTGGCAGCCTCGTACTGGCTATTGTGTAGGACGACCCCCCACTAGATGGAGTGACGACCTGTGCAAATTTGCGGGAAGTCGATGGATGCAAGTGGCTCAGGATCGTACTTCATGGCCTTCCCCCATGCATGGGGGAGGCCTATGTTCAGCAGTGGACTCAAACAGGCTGAAATGATGATGATGATGATGAAACGGAAATTAAAGCTGGTATTTTACTAACCGATCATCGGACCGATAATGTAACAACCAGCTACCATTGCCCTTACTACGTTAACTCGAAAGGAGTCAAGCCCATTTGCTTACGCTCACGTAAGCCGTGAAAGCAAATCGGACATGAGGAGCGCAGCTCGGACTAAACATGAACGAATAATAAATATTTATGAGGCGCAACTGGCGTTTTACGGCTCTCCATAAACACCCATTGTTCTATGTAAGCAACGATCGTTATCGAATGGGTGTTTGCTTATGCAAGAGGGTGCTATGGCATAATCCGCGTTCGATATACATAATCGATATACATAGTTGCAACTCGCCCAAGGTCGAATGAAGGCCGTTTATCCAAGAACCGATTAATCTGAGTCAATGATAGTTTAACTCGGTTTCATAAAACAGAACAGGGTTACCTTAAAATCAATATTTTATGATAATTTCAAATGGTTAAGTAGAAATCAAAAGTCAACACAATCTTCTCATCACGTAGAAACACAACGATACATACATACATCTACGAGTATGTTTGTATCCTTGTGTATTTCGACGTGGTTGGATTCTCAATTTGTAGAGGCATATTTTACACATATTGACAAGAAATGTTTGACATATTCATACTAAACTAAAATCCCAAAAAACTATATTAGAGTTCAGTTAGAATTTAAGTTGCAAACTGTAATAATCGTTAACAAGAGAATAGCATGCAGTTGTCGCTCTGAACCAGTTCTCAGTAGTCAAAGATCTAATAAAATACGATGACCGTCTTACATCATCATCATCATATCAGCCTGTTAAGAGTCCACTGCTGAACATAGGCCTCCCCTACAGACTGCCACGAAACATGATCCTGAGCCACCTGCATCGATTCCCTTCATATTTGCACATTTCGTCACTCCAACTAGTGGGGGTTGTTCTACATACCAATTTTTTCCTTGATGAAGTTCGCAAAAAAGATATCCGCAGTAGAACATGATAATCGACATAGCTCAAAAGATTAGTAAGCTGAGGTGGCAACGGGCCGGCGATACAGTTCGCAGAAACGATAACCGTTGGAGAAAAAAGGTTCTCGAGTGGTCGTCTAGTACTTGCCATCACTAACTCTGCCCTAAACATGTCGATAAAATTCATATTGTTAAGGTTGTTCGTGGTTAAACGTTCTGTAATGGTGAAAGCTGCAGTTTATGGTTGAGTATAATACAACATTTTATTTAAATAAAAATACTTATCACTTGCGTGTCATCTTTAGTCTATCTGTCACTTTTATTCTAGTACTAGCGACCCGCACCGGCTTTGCACGGGTGCAACATATTATATAAAAACCATCCCATCACTCTATCAAGTACAAAAAGCGCATCAAGATCCGTTGCGTACTTTTAAAGATCTAAGTATAAATAGGGACAGACAGACGGCGGAATGACTTTGTTTATATTCTATGTAGTGATAGTTCTTATTTGAGCTTATTTCGCCTCACTACAACAAAAAATGTTACGCCCATAAACTATGTCAGACACAGTGAAATTTACATAAAAATAATAGTTCCTTTTTGCCTAATCCTTATTTCAAAAATAAATTCTAGATCTAAAAATTGTAGTTCATTAAAATGCCAATTATCTAGATCTAACAAGCACAGTTATTCTCAAATGTATAGAATTTTGCTTACATAACGGTAATTTATATTACTTAAGTTTGAACCTTTGTCCCAGCTTTTACAAGTATAACACGAGGCACGCGCATAGCGTGCTAAGCAGCTATTCGTAGGGGAAATCGTGTACAACCTAGTTAACATGCCGTTGCAAGGCATTGCATGGACTTTTGTTACGTACTGAACTGCCTTTTAGGGTTCCGTACCCAAAGGGTTAAACGGGACCCTATTACTAAGTATGAACCACGATAGTTAGACAGTTGAAATTTTCAAACATCAATCGCACTTGTTCGGTTTTGAATTTTTATTTTCTTTTACTAATAATATATAAAAACACCTATCCTAAATAAATTCGTAGCCTAAGCGACCGAACCGACGATATTGTATGATATTATATATGAATGCATGAAACAACGAGCATACATGAATCATGTAACTTTGCCTACTCCTCTGGGTGTGGGATTTGAGCGTTTTTATATGGAAACTTTCGCTAGCGCTTCAAAGGTTGGTTACCTGTTCGAATCCAGAACCGTCAGTGGAACCCTTTCGCAGCCACAGATGTAGAAGATTTCCTGTTTCGTTGGTCACCGTTTCTTCAAAGGGGCCCGTGAGGGTGACCAGCACCTTCACTCTATCCGAAGCGGGGCTCAATTCGTATTCTGCAGGAAGAAGAAAGGAGTGGTGAAATCGACCGCAATTGTCATTGGAAATTCGATAAAAAGAAAAACATACATTAATTTCCATAGGTTTCTCCAACGACAATAAATATCACTGTGGCGAGGTCCAAACTATGGCCCAACTCGGTGTTGTAGATGTCCATGGGCGGCGGTATTCACTTAACATCAGATGAACAGTCTGCTCGTCTGGCAACTTTTCACATAAAAGAAAAAAATCTGCTGCAATATCCGTTGTGTCCCTCTCCAGCACCTAAGACCTGCTTGAAGCCAATTCTGCTGCGGTGGATGTGGCCAAATACTGGTCGAACAAGATCTAAATAGCTGGCTTTGACTCAAAAAGAAGAAGAAGATTTACTTCTCATCCAATCTTTTTTGTTCCATTCACATATGTTCGTACAATGTATATCTGTGACCATGCACTCACAACTGAACATCATTTTATTATTATTTTCATCATCATATTTCATTCACAAAACAGATTTCTCTTTATTCCGTTTACAAACTGTTTGCCTGTTTTGCCTGTACCGATGAATTATTTCACAAAGTTGTCCTCACGAATTAAAATCGCATATTATCCCTATATATTATTTCTGAATGGTGTTTTTTTGTCAGAACGCACCCATAACTTTATTTTTTTTAATGCGATAAAGTGGCAAACGAGCTGTCGCAGCCGTCCGAGTTGCCTCGAAGTGCGGACTGAACTGAAAACCGGTGTCGGGATCAGAACTAGTTACTGTATCTCGACTTTTACCGAGTCCCGTCCGTTTCACGGTCTCATGCTGCTACACAGACCAGTTAGGTACTGTTGTTATTTTGTTTGCTTATTTTTATGTTTACATTTATTTCAAGTTTCTGTTTAGTTAGATTATTATTTTTAAGTTTTGTATGTATTCATTTGTTCTTAGACCGTGAATAAACGTTACTTCTTCTTCTAATCTGAAGTTATAACCGCCGCCCATGGAAAAATACCTGTGGTATATAAATATAATAACTGTGGTAGGACCACGCAATAGTGTTCGCAAATGCGAGTTAACTTCCATAATTTTTCATCAAATTTAGTGATTAAAATACCATTCTTAATCTTATGGTAACCGTTATTGACAAATGATACACCGGAAAGCACAAATAGTTAGTTTTAATAAAAAAAACTTTCCTTTAAAAAATTCTAATCAAGAATGTTTGATTATTCAATCTATAAAAATGTTTTTAAATGAAAGACTGAAATGTATAGTTCTTGAAAATGAGATACTCTTTCACAATTTGAAAATTATTACATTATCATTCGGTGGTAATTTTCGAAATAATAACGAAAAAAAAAATATATTTCGAAGATTTGAAGAAGCGTGGTGACCCTAATACCTTCTGTACTATTACCGTTAACGTTACCGGCTGTTACTATTACTATTATAATATTCAAATCTAGGACTTCATATCGCACTAGGTCTTATATAGAACTAGCGACCCGCCCCGGCTTCGCACGGGTGCAATATATACATATAAAATAAACCGTCCGCTTGAATCACTATCTAAAGAAATAATTTATAACAAAAAAAAACTGACTTCAAAACTAAAAAACATTGTTAATATCTAGAACATTTGAGGATTGCTCACGATTTCTCTGGGATGACATCATCAGATTCGTGTTTCCTTATCATGGTACTACCACAAAAAAGAATCATCAAATTCGGATCATAAACGACGTTAATTAAGTATAAGTTATCCGCGAACACGCATAAAAATTAAATATATATGCGGTCGAATTGAATAACCACCTTCTTTTTTTGAAGTCGATTAAAAAATATATACGGTCGAATTGTGTAAACTCCATCTTTTTTAAAGTCGGTTAAAAAGACCGCATCCGTTGCGTAACTTTAAAGATCTAAGCGTACAGACGGACAGCGGGACGACTTTGTTTAATATTATGTTGTGATGAACGAACGATCTCACCCTTGACGTGGCCGGCTTCTATCGCGGTGTGCAACACTACGTCGCTGGTCTCCATGTTGAGGAGCAGGGATACCGTCAGCAGGACCCAACAGGCGACCAACGCGCCCAACTTGAAAACGCGTAACGCCCGATCTATCTGCAATGAGGCATATATTAACGGCCGGTTTCAATATTTGAATCAATTCATGATGACTCCGTGCCGCAGTTACCAAGGTATTGGCTTCGGCGTCGGGTGTCGTGGGTTCGATTCCCGCACGGGACAATTATTTGTGTGACCCACAGATAGTTGTTTCGTCTCTGGGTGTTTGTCCACGTGAAGTTTATATTTGTTAAGGATAATGTTATGCTAAAGTAAGGGCGATGTTTTAAAAAAAATTGGTACTGTATATGACATGTGCATGTACATAATAATATAGTTAATAAAAATCAGTTTTCTTTTTTCGGATATATCTTTCTGTGGCCTAATATTTTCGGTACCACTCCAAGGTTGGCTGGAGATATTGCCTTTGGCATTAAATCCTCCTTTGTACTATTATTGCATAAAGAATAAATAAATAAATGGTACACATGAAGCAAACACTTTGTACCCCTTTTTACGAAAATTGCTCGGACGGAGTATGAATTTTTCCACACTTATAGTTTATATAGACAAGAAGTGAAGAATGCTAATATTTTTTTCAAATTATGCATAAAAATACATTAAACCGATATAGAAAACATTATGTATTTGACACGCACATGCATATTCAGGGAGATTTTTTGAGAAGTGCCCAAATGTACACAGGAGGTTCAGACTCGGTAGTATAATCGTTTATTGAAATAAAAAACATAGTTTTTTTTCCAAAAAAAAAAAAATGCCATTCTATTCCCTAAAAAACAGAACGTTTTAACAATGCGGTAGTCATTCATAATTATACCTAAATTATACCGTGCACGAATTTGTGTGCGTGTTAGTTATGAATGATCGCGCGTAAAATAAATGAGTTGCGTATAAATCACGCACTTTTTAAGATAAGTTCCAATAAATGTAATCAATTACTTACGAGTGATTTTAATATTTATCATTCTTATATAACATTATTTATGTCTAGAATTTAATAAAAAAAATGGATACACTTAGAAAAGTCACCCTGTATACACTTTTGTTTATTATGTATTGTATTAGAGAATAGATTAATATTATTCAAAGTTGGTCGAATTTTAACCACTCGGTGTCCACTAATATAAATAATTTTATATTCCAAGACAACATACCTGTTTCTTTTTCTTTGATCTTATTTTCTTCTCTTCCGTTTGCTTATTTGGTTCCGTTAACCTGCTGAACAAAAATGTATATTCATCACCATCGCCATCGTTTCAAACTGTTGAAATTCACTGCTAAACATCCTATCACAAAAGCACGATCCTCACACACGTCGTCATTTCATCTCGTATATGTCCGGCCCATTGAATAAATAAATAAATAAATATTTTAGGACTCATTTTTACACAACATTTTCTAGTCCCAAACTAAGCAACGCTTGTACTAATGGTACTAGAAAACTGATAAACATACTTAAACATACTTTTCTTTTGTAAATAAATACATATTATACATATATAAACACCCAGACACTAGAAAAACACTATGTTCATCACACAATATTTTTCCAGTAGTGGGGATCGAACCCACACCCTCTGGCACAGGAGGCAGGTACGCTACCCACTACGCCATTCGGGTCGTCGTATTGCCACTTACTGTTATTCTGAGCTATGTTGGTTAGCTCTGTTCTTTTACAGATATATGTGTTATCTATACGGAAATACCGAGCATAGCTCTATAGCTTGCTAAGCCCCTTTGTGCTTCCTCATATGGGCACAAGTAATACTTGGTTCATTACTTCTGCCCATATGAGGAAGATCCGTAGATTATCACAGGCAGTACACATTTATTGAAGACTTTAGACCGAGTACCGATGGACCAAGTATCAGTTCCGTGGGTTATCACTGGCAGTACATAATTATTGAAGACTTTAGGCATTACTTTTCTTCTCTTCTTCCCTTGACTAAATGCTTCAATCAATGTGTACTGCTAGACCGGACCAATTTTTTTTTTCCATTTTTCACACGTTCACACAATGCTTTTTTGGTGGCAGATGTCGGCAAATTGACCTCATCCTCCTAATGCTTTATGGGTAGCCAATGCAGGGGTTTTAATGAGTCAAAGTCTCAAATTACTATTACACGGTTCACCACGAAGAATGGTATTTTTTTGAAAACCACGATTTGATATCCGACCTCGAAATAAAATGACATTGAATCGACTCACGTGGTCCGTCAGGCTAAGGCCTAGCATAAAGCTAAGCCGATTGCAACTTAACTGTGAAGCAACTCGGATCGCTTAATCTACTTAACGTGTTATTTGCTATCTACTTACACTTAAGTACTGACGTGATACACTTGGCGCTACCGAAATATTTTTATGATAAGTGACATATATACATAATGACAAGGTATATGATGTAGTAGGTGTCGCAGTGACAACTAACAGCATGTGACGGTTTACGATAGATGTTCAATGCATATTCGGTATCGGGGCGATATACTAATGAGGAGGGTAATTAAATGATCTCATTAGTTAAAGACATTTTTTGAGGATATAAATATAAAACTTCATTTAATTGTCGCCATCAGTATACAAGATATCATTACGAAAAGGCAACTACGATGACTGATACGACAATGTTGAAAAAAATTATTTAATTATTATCGTGCTGTGATAAAATTCCTTATAAAACAAAGAAAGACCCGAAAAGTTGAAACCAAGCCCCAGCTTTTTCTTCATCTACTATGCATTCTTCCTTCTTTATCCAGTCTATCCTGTTGTGGAATGAGCTACCTTTCAAAATCAGGTTGGCTAGAAGTCGCTCTGTATTTAAAAAAAAAGCACGTGAGTACATCCTCAAAAACTTTTCGGCAGGACAACTCCATCGTTGTCAGAATTTATTTATATGTATGTGTATACGTATTTATAATTGTATCTATATGTGATTGTATGTATACATTTATTTATATAAGTATCAGTATGTTATTACGTACACCTGGTAGTATTTATTATATTTGTACTATAATTAACATATGCATATATATTTATTTATAACATACTTTATCTTATAACGGCGTTTTTTTTTTGACATCTTTCTGTGCACCTACCGAATCTTCTCTGTACCACCCCAGGTTGACTGGGAGATAATGTCTTTGCCATTAAGTCCAGGCTATACAGTTTGCGCATAAAGTATAAATAAATAAATAGTTGTGAAGTGAACCATGGCTTCGCGTTTCGTCTGGTAGCTGATGTAGCCAAGGCCCACAGATCGAACACGCGGCCACCAACCCACAGAGATTGTATATGTCCAAGGTAATCTCTTTAAATAAAAAAATAAAAAAAAAACTTTTGCAAAGCTTGAGCCGCCGTCGTGAAATATTATGCAAGCCTCATGCTTGCTTGCCTTTTTTAGGATTATCGTAACGTAACCCTACAGCCAGGCAAGGCCTTTGCCTGGCTGTAGGGCATAGGCGTAAAGAGTGTCATTTTACTGTAGATAATAACTTACTCCTACTTATGCGGTGTTAACAATGAGCATTTGATTTGGCGGTATCACCAACAATCGCTATACTTAACAAACGCGTTTACATAACACACCACTTGTGCATAATAAGATTGCTGAATCGCATACTTAAATATCCCGCTCTATTTCAAATATGGTCTATTTGACATTTTACTTTATGTAATATTTATCTGTGTAAGTAGTACATTGCTTCAACCAGCAAATGCAAAGTATGATGAGTATATGTTAAATTAAAAGAAAATTAGTACTTTATCTAAATAACGAATACTTAGCATTTTGCTTCAATAAAAATTTTATGGTTATGAAATCATATATAACCATACAACTATACATCATTGTTTATTAATTTAAAGTTTCATAGTGAGTAGCTAATCCAGCCATCGTTCACTTTATAAAAAACGTTTGTTATCAAGGATACAACACCAACTATACTATCCTGCTAACTCTTGATGAAGAACAGTCGTATCCGCAAACTAAGACAAAAAGAATAGGTACACTAAAAGTAACGTAACGAATATTAATAGTTTTACATTCTCCTATTCGATGTAAAGTTTTTCAATGACAAAATGAAATATGGTCAAAAAATTTCAGTTCACATTCCAAATTCTGCAAATATTTAGGTACTGTAACGCAACGAAGACATCCGCAGTAGAACAAAAATAACCGACATAGTTCAGAAGATTAGGAAGCGAAGTGGCGATGGGCTGGCCATATACGTCGTAGAACCGATAACCGTTGGGGAAGATAGGTTCGAGTGGCAGCCTCGTACTGGCCATCCCAGTGTAGGACTAAATGGAGTGACGACCTGTGCAAAATGTGCGGGAAGTCGATGGAGGCAGTAGCTCAGAATCGGGCCTCGTGGTAATCTATGGGGGATGCCTATGTTCTGCAGTGGAGTCAAACAGGCTGAAATATGAAGTACCGACGCAGACTTTGATATTATTAAAGACATTTTTGTTAACATATTTTACAACCAAATAACTAATTCAACGCATCTTATGTAAATAGTTTTCTAATCAATTATCGAAAATTATCTCGTCACTTGATTATTACATCTATACGCAATATTATTTGTCTACATCGGAAATTAATTTCCGAAAAATTCACAACTCGTTTACGTCTCGTGTCTATTTTGTGCATAAAACCATTATACAGCGTGTCGTTACCATCGCGACAATAAATGAACACACAAATAGGGGATAAGTTTTTAAAGTTGTATTAAACATTTAAATTATTTAAACATCAATATTTACAGAGTTATTAAATTTTCCAAAACAAAGAATTTTAGAACACCCTTACCTATCAAAGCGTAACGTAAAGTTCATTTGTAAAGGTCACAAAGCTATGAATGGGTTGAATGAACTTAAAAGAGACAAAACATACTGTTAGAAGGAGAGGCTTGTAATGCGACGCTGTGGCGCGAGTTGTATAGGATGTTACAAATTTTGTTTCTTTTTTACTTAATTAGTTTGTTTGAAAAATATTTTTTTTTAATTATGGATTTTGTTTAACGTTAATATTTTTTTATGATTATTGGCAAGTAGTGTTAGACGTGTGTTCATTTACTGTCGCGATGTCAACGACACGCTGTATACAGATACTACTACCATATAATCTTTTATATACAGATACTAGCGGAACGGACAGACGATATCCTTTACACACGACTTAAATTGTTGAAACTTAGAAGTAAAAAAAAAAATGTAGTAGTAAGGTAATGTAGATAAACTCTGTCAGGCTGTTACACATTCATAAATAATCCGAAGACGTAACGAATCAGTCGTCAGTGTATGCCCTCACCTGATCTCGCAATCCTTGGCAATAACATCGCGCCCAGCATGATTGTCCAACGCGAGATTGTCTGTCGCCTTTCCGTTGAAAATTGTTCTGTCCCCTTCCGCTTTGCTGGTGACTGTTTCCAACTTGCCTGCGAAATGTTTAATAACAATAACAGCTGCGATCGGTGTCTTTATTGCTTTCTAAATATGTGGTACAACGTTAAACTGTCCATGGTATAGACTATTGTATAATCACAAAGTAAATAAATCCTTAATTTTAAGACTGCTTCTTGTTTGCAGATAGTTTTTTTTTAACATAATGTCGCTATGTTTACTAATTTATAGACAAATATAAAATGTTGTCATGATCGTCATAATAAACATGGTGGTGACGTTATTCAATATCAAGGTCCGTCCTATCAAAGAAAACTTCGTGTTTTTTGTTCTACCTAGGTGGCGGGAATGACACAATATGTGAATCATTTTGTTAATGCTAAAAAAACCTAGTCAATAGACTAAAAAACCATGTCAATAAACTATCTGATGTCAAACCTCTTTGGTAACCAGCATCCAAAGCCGGAACAATTATTTGTAGGCCACACAAATCTAGTCCCGTGTGGAAATGGAAACCGAAATCCCCGACGCCGAACCTAATAGCTTATCAAATCCGCCACCGATTCAATTTATGTTATTTTTTCTGTAGTTTAGATTATTAAGATGCATTTTTAGAAAAACAGATAATGAAACACTACTGATGGATGACGAGTTAAAGTACTTGATATGCATTATAAAGTTAAATTACGTTAAGACTAGGCGACGCGTCTAAAATCGCCGAAACAACGCCAAGGTGATGGTTTCGTTTCTGTATTCCCTCTTCACGGAACGGTGGGAAAGATTTAGATTGAATTTACAATAGTGCGACGAGATAATGATGATAAGAAAAGCTGATGAGTTATAACAAAGGGTCCTTACCATGGTGTTGCTCGTACAGCTGTTTGAAGGGTGCGAGAGAGGGGTCGTACTTGATCTCGTCTGGAAGGTCCACCCACACTTCCAGGCTGCCGGGGGTCAGGTCGCTGCATGACACCATCGAATATATGCTGTTCGTCTCATGCCTGCGGCCCCCTCGCATCATCTTTAGCTTCGTAAGCATGGCCGCCATAATGCATTGTCTTTTGCAAACACTATACTTAATAAACACTCCTTCGCTTCAGGAATACCAGTTATTTGAGCTGAATGTATTTTGACCAAAGAAATGTATGATAAGTGACGTTAAAACAGTTGCCTATGTAACATTTTAAATTTATATCGATTTACGAAAAGTTGAGCAAGAAGTGTCGTTTTGGAATTTTCACAACCAACGTCAGGAAACCTCTAAGAATGATATGGTATAAATCGAAGACGTTTTCTATGAAAACGTTATGTAGCTAATCTTTAGTCATTACGGCCACGCTAAAATATGCCCTGAGAGCCATAACCATTCCAAGCCCACTGAAATATATTAAGCATACCTAAAGTTTGTTCTCATACATACCTATCTAAATAATTTACACCAGTTACAACCCTATTAAAATTTGTTTTACCGCTGATAGCATATCACGTGTGTGAATTATAAAAGAAAACAAACAGCACCTATTTTAATTATACACCATTTGACCTAATTACTATTGTAATACATCCACGAATATTAGTTTTGTCATTTCCTAAATGACTCTCGCGATGTATACAAGTTCATACAGCTTCAACATTTGTTGCACTCATTTGTGCGTCATGCTAATAATCTATCATAAGGAGTATTAAATAGCGCCGTATCTTTTTACGCATTTAAATAAAAACGTTTCCCTTACTATATATATATGGGTGATACAAATATACAGATATTTGGACCTTAAATAGTTCGAAAATATGACGAAACTAGCTGTGCCCGCGACTTTCAAAATCGCGAAATCCGCAGAGCTACTCCTAGGGGTTTGTTGTTGCAAAATTGGGTAAACCTAAGGGCTTGTTGCATAAATGGGTAAACCAGATTGAACTGGTCATAACCGGATAAGAGATGCTCAATAAATAAATGTATGATTTATGTACGATCTATGCAGGCACTCGAACCTTATCCCCCCATTACAGATAAAGCATTATCTTATCGAATATTGCATGTTAAGCGTTCGCATCGCGGCCTTGTTTAGATCTGTGACTTCCCACGGCTGAGTTTTATACCTGTTTAGACGTGTAGAAGCATTTCACAACGTGGGAAAGTCTATAATTCTTGCGTTTTACGATCAAATTACTAGTCGAGTCTTGTCACACTCCTGGATTGATGATATTACGTGTGTTTTGAAAGTATTAATAATAAAGAGTTGACAAAAGAACAACAGTCAAGTATGATTTCGTTACTTACATACATACCGATAGTTTCGTATGTTATTACATCATTCTTCTTTATATTTAAAAATTACACTGCTATCAAACTTAACTTTAGTTGTTTTTACATAACAACTTTTATTATTTCCAGGCTATGGCAACTTATTTTATAATAATACTAGCGACCCGCCTCGGCTCCGCACAGATGAAATGTATTATACATGTAAGCCTTCCGACACACAGTGGGACGAATTTGTGTTATACTATGTATTGACGGACGATGTAAATTTACCTGTGTTAATTCTTAATGTAATTTCTATGCTCGAAACCTGGAGAAAAAATATGCGCGAACTTATGTACGCCCGTAAGCAGTCAAACTTCTTTAGCGAGATATAAGAACAATAACTAAAAATTTTATCCCCTGTGCCAGTACACTTTTTGTGAGAAAGACATTAAATGCAATTTATAACGGTTTAATTAAATAATTTCGAACTATAGGTAAATGTCAAAAGGTTGTTATTTTTTTATTTTTTTGTTTCGCGTTTTGGCTGTCGGTGTGCGCGTGCATCGTAAAAATTTTACTCTCATATTTTTTTGCCATACGCGCCTTAATATAACTTCAAAAATACACAGAAAAAAAAATTTGACAATAAAAGACAAACAATACTGAGAAATTAATGCACCTACGATGAATGCGTTAGTTGGAAATAACAGCGGATTTTTATATTTTATATTGACCAAGCTTTATAAATCAACTAAAAATTTCTAACTTTAAAAGAGAAATTCAAAAGGTTACCAAGAAATTTTTATTTCCATGTTCACTTCCGTGTTCATAAAACATATATCTTATTAACCTTTTATTGTTATAATTGCGATAAAATATTAACAACTGCGTTCATGAGATAAATTCAAAAAATAGCGGCGTTTACAGTAAATTTTAACAGAAACAGGGGGTCAATGTCCTCGCGTAACTGGTATGAACCGCTTTGAACCGGTTCTGCTCGACGGCCATGTTGTTACTTTCTAACGACGCGAAATAAAAATAATGTTTTTATTATTTGTTTTAGTGTTCAAATTGAAAATATGACTTAGGCCTTATTGCGATATTTTAGAAATACATATAAATAATTAATAGAAGAAATATACATTTATTTATATATTTAAGTCTTAAATTCGCACTTAATTAAGACCATTTTTCTTCCAAATCGTTTTTGTATTACCTTTTTAATATTATCTGGTTGTTAAAATACTTACTTACTAATATTATAAAGGCGAAAGTATGGATGGATGTTTCTTACTCTTTCACGCAAATACTACTGAAAGAATTTTAATGAAACTTAACAATAATATAGCTTATACATCGGAATAAGACATAGGCTATAATTTATATACATATTTTATGTATATCTGCCTTTCTGTCAGAAGGTTACGCCTTCAGCTTATACACGCAAACGTAGTCGCGGGCAGCAGCTAGTGTATAATAATGTAGAAAAAGTACGAAAACTTTTCGCCGCTGTGGGAATCGAACCTATATCTCGGAGATTCGCGCCCAGACACTTTGACCACTAGCTAAACGGCTGATTGACATTGACATTGTTTTTTAGCATTTGAAGCGATGCTTGGCGCATCCATAGTTATAAATGCTTCACAGCATACAATTTCGAAAATCGTTTTACAACGATAACTCCAACGAGAGATGTCGACATTGCTATAAGAAATATGCAGTACAGTAAAGTACAGTGCTAATCTCTGCACTAAAGATCAAATATTAAAATGTGTAGAAAACCCGGTAAAGTGCGAGTCGAACTTGCGGACGAAAGGATCCGTACCATTATCTATAAAAACGGTAAAAAAAATCATCTGTTGTATGACAGCTCTACTTAAATATTTTTTATATTTGTTGGTACTATTTTTTAGTGTGTTTTGTTATAACGGCAACAGAAATACATCGTCTGTGAAAGTGTCAATTGGCCATCTATCACGGTTCATGAAATAGTCTGGTGATAGACGGACAGACAGACAGCGGAGTCTTAGTAATAGAACTCTAAAATGGGCACTCAAATGGCCGAATAGGTGGATTCTAGCAACTGGTTAGGTACCACTCATATCACTGTAGTCTGGTTCGATGCAGAGTTGTTTTTCATTTATTGCGCCACTGCCGAACTATAGATACCCTAGATGAAATTGACGGTTACATCTCGTTTTAACCAGATAAGACCGGATTAATCTTGACTATCATATCAGTCAAACGGTGATGTATTGACTGATAGATGATATTCAAAGATATCAGTAACTATCTTTTGACTTTAGACGGACAAATTGCGTAATAACTCCCCTATTACTGACCAACGTAATCTAGTCACGTACGGGATTTTTCCATAGATTACTTATTTATATTTTTGGGGTTCCGCACCCAAAGGGTAAAACGGGACCCTATTACTAAGACTCCGCTGTCTGTTTGTCTGTCCGTCTGTCCACAGGCTGTATCTCATGGACAGTACTAGTTAGAAGGTCGAAATTTTCATAGATGATGTATTTCTGTTTCCTCTAAATTTTTTTTTATGTGGAAAGTTGTCAAGCGAGCAGACGGTTCACCTGATGTTAAGTGAATACCGCCGCCCATAGAAATCTGCTACACCCGAGGGTTGCAGATGCGTTGACAACCTTTTGAAAATTGGGCTCCGGCTACCTCACTCACCAGACGAAACGCGAAAGTATTACACTTCCACTTTACGCCGGTCTTCTGTGAGGTCGTGGTACTTACCCGGACGAGCCTGCCCATTCGTGCATGATATGATGCGTGGCCCTACCACCATTAAATAACATTCCTCTATAACAACAAATACTAAAAAACAGAATAAATAATACTTAAGTGGGGCTCCCATACAGCAGATATGATTATTTGGCGTTTTTATAGATAACCGGCTGCTGCCCGCGACTACGTCTGCGTGGAATAGGCTGAAGGCGTAACATTCAGACAGAAAGACAGATATACATAAAATATGTATATAAATGATAGCCTATGTCTTATTCTGATGTATAAGCTATATTATTGTAAAGTTTCATTAAAATCTATTCACTAGTTTTTGCGTGAAAGAGTAACAAACATCCATCCATACATACAAACTTTCGCCTTTATAACATTAGTAAGGAAGTAAGGATGGTACGGAACCCTTCGTGTGCGAGTCGTCTTGTACTTAGGTGGTTTTTTTAAAAATCTTGATTTAAAATAACCCGTGACCCGCTTTGCGCTATTATGGGTTGACATATTTCACGTGATTATTGTCTTGGCTTCACAGAAATGTTTGTTATTTTTTTATGTTTTTATGTCGTTTTGAAAGGTTGTCGAGCGAGCAGGCGGTTCAACACCTGTAACGTGTCTGAGGTGCCACCACTGACTACCTGTTCATCTTATTATTGATCTCTTATATTATTGATCTTTAAAAAAGTAGGCCCCGGTTACCTCACTCATCAGACGAAACGAGGAAGAATAACACTTCCACTACACGTCGGTCTTCTGTGAGGATGTGGTACTTCCTCGGATGAGCGTGCCGATTCGTGCAACAGTAGAGGCTGATGTTTGCCCTACCATAGTTTGTTAATAAAGGATACGCCCTAAATACGTAGGATTCCCCTAACTTGTTTTCCCATCAATGAAAAAGACATGGAAAAGTAACACTATTTTAGCGGTATTTTTTTTTCGCAGTCGGCACCCATATGTTAATTCCATTTACTGTATAATTAGTGAGCTGACAATGACCTACGAAGTCTTTGGCA